GGTTTCCTCTTCCACTGCGTCTACTATCAGTGGCAGGTACGTCGCATGCCACTCCTCTTGAGAGCCACTGTCGACACATGCGGGCAGTAGCTTGACCCGCCGCGCCTTAAAGAATTCCCAGTACGCGGGGTACCATCCAGCTTGGCCCCAATCAATAACTGCGGCCACCTTTGGATCAGGTCAGGATGACAGCATGATATTACAAGGAACTAGATCATCTTGTGTGAACACAGTGTCCACTTCAGGACGGTTGTCAATTCCGCAACCAGCTTGAGAGTGTTGGACCGCGCCTGCGCCTTGGAAAGGCCCAGCAAGTGCCGTGTGATTTCTCAGAAATATCTCGTTCAGCGGCTGTCATCTCCAGACTACCTTCGAAGTCGAACTTTGTATCAGTGATCTACCTTTGATGCAGAGACGAGTGGACTTACCAACGTACTGGCCCTGCTACCATGCTCCAGTGTCCTCCAGGCATAGACCATTTGCCTGAGTTCTTTGCAAACATTTCATCTTTCCCTCTTATTGAGACCAGGCCATCTCCCTGCCAACATATCGCCTTCGATGTAAAATTTTCGTCTGGGTCACGAATAAGTCGGACAATAATGCCATATACAAGCAAAACGCGACTCGTGCGTTTTATTTCATGGAACTAAGAGCATGTTCATTATTTCTTATAATCATCAAATTAGCGTCGTTCCCGATCTGCAGATACTTAGTGGTGCGAATCCTTTGTTATCAAGAACCTACGAGCCATCACATTTCTCAAGAAGCACTTTAATAATCTCAATATGTTTAACCATTAAAGCACTGTCCACGGGCGTTAACCCACACTTATACTGAATACAATAGACCTTCGAAGCAGAACTATCATATTGGAATGTCTTGCTGGAAATTTCCAAACCACATTCTCTGTGAAAATTGCAGTGGTTGATGGCCATGTTGAACTGAAATGAGCAGGAAGACTGTGGTTTTTTCGGAGCAACGGAGATATAGCTGATCAGAGAGAATGGGTAAATACGCTACCGTTGTCGCTGCTACTGCATATATTAAATTTGGATAACTCCTCTGCAGTCCTGACAATAGCAAAGGAATCTTCCAGATCAATTTCTTACACCAGGTGTCGACAAGGCAAACTTTCAAGAATCTGGCGGCCATTTCAACCATGTCCGTTGAAATATGGCTCCGGATGGTAGCTAGTCTGTGCTGCGTGACACTCAACTTCCTTCACACATCGAGTGAATATCGCGCAGATTCGGACTGTATCTAGGGGAATTCCGTAGCTGTGTGACTCTCCCCAGAATTCCAAAGAGTAACTAAGCAATTGATGAAGAACCGTTCTAGTAAAAATCTCTGGTCTGAGTACATCGCGGTGAAATAGGCGCTGAGGGCGTATCAGGTACGACAACTCTAGGCACAAAATTATTCCCGCAAAGAGGAAGTCGTATGTGGTAAGCGGGTCAAGCTCCCAGCGGTTGTGGTGCGAGCGACGATTATCCAGCAGGGATTTTTGTATCTTCATGATTTCCACGGCTGACCCAATACATTGCGCTCTGGAGTGATTGGCATATGGATCTGACCTGTCCATATTTTCGTCTAGAACAGACCATCGATGTAGAACCATTTTGGCTGCGTGATAAATAATCGCTATTGTATACTGCAGCTGGAGAACCTTTACAGGGTCACCTGTGATAGTTTTAGGAACCCGTTGATACACTGCATCCAGCTCTTGGTCGAAGTCTTGAATGTCTTTGGACGTGATATCGTCTCTACCGAAAATGTCCAGTGTAATTTTGGCTGATACATTCCGGATAGCGCTTATCAGAATGAGCGGCAGGACTCGTGTAAGCTGATCAAGTCGTCGTTGTAAGGGAAGTTCGGTCGAATAGGCATCAAAGCTTGTGTCTGAGAGATTTCGCAGCTCAAGCTTGCGCTGCTTATGGCTGATTCTTTGTAACCTTCCGAAGGACGAACAGATACGGTAGTCGAAGTTCTCCAGAAGCAACCAAGCCCGTCTGCGCAGTTCACCTTTGAAATCCGAAGGATGTAAAACATCGGATTCCCTATAGCCAGAGGACTCGGCTAATGCAATGGCATGTCCAAGGGCCGTGTACGCTCGCTGCAGATCTGATTGATGATATAACGTGACGGCGAGCCGAACAATGGCGGCCTCCACTTTGTATTGTCCGGGCCTGTCAGGATCACTGTGTTGCCAACACTGGAGGCAATTCGTTAAGCAGATGTTGAGTATTATTTCCGCCGGACCCATATTCCCTGGCAGCGACTCCTCGAGAAGGATGCAGTACAGTGCCGTCAAGGCAACCGAGCCATAAACCAGAGTCAGGAAGGAGAAGGCCACGGATGGAGGCATTGCCCTTGGATCTTTGCGGAGACTGTTCCACTTCGAAAATCAGCAGCTGTGCTGGCAAGGTTGAAAACATCATACTTCTTGAACAATACTTCTTTCAAAAAGAATGCCTATAATATGTTAGGAGTAAGACATGACTAAGACAGGAGTGGGTTCCTTACAAGTAACCAAGTCTCCCGTTTGAAGAAGCTTTGGGAGGATCAGCTCAACTATGTCCTCTCCATCCGTGACTGACATAGAAACTAGATGCCGTACGTAACGTCCCAGCTCCCCGCCATCCTCTTGGTAAGTGTTAGGTACATTTGGCGAGCCCAGCTGTTTTTCGGGGCTATAGGGCTGCTCGAGCTGACTAAGATAATTCTGAAAGCCCGGCTTGTCCCGAGACCTCAAAATTAGGACAGGCCGATGAGGTTGGTATACGCACTCACGCGGCTTGTCACGCTTGATGCATTGCTGGCATGGATATTCCCGGTTGCATTGTCTCCTGTGGCTTATTTAGTCTCCTGCCCATGTGATGCTCTCTAGACGTGCCTTACTTTTGCTGGACACACGAAATGCAGCTATTTGTCTTGCGATCCCTCAACTTCTTCGGGTCCGTCATTTTGTGGCTGGTGAAATACTGGTGGAACTTTCGTTCACTGTGCATGTGCCATGACAGTTTGTGTTGGCTATATAGTTAGAAGCAAAGATTCACGTGGTGTGCGAACGGGAAAGGTTTGCCTTGTGGGGGAGGGAATTGGATTTGAGTAGCCAATGAATGGCTAAACATTCACCGCTTGGTGGGTCCTGCGGGCAAGAAAGGAAGAATTCCCCTTAAGACCATGCGGTATGTAGGTCCAGTACTAGGGCCAACCATTGATCCTTCAACTGTGGTTCAATATCAACCGTGTTGTCCCCATAATCGTAAGCGACCGCGGTGCCCAATTACACTCCGTTCCTCACATTGTTGTCTCGTGATGTGTTTATTCGATGTACTGTATGCATCAGAGTCTATCTCTTGCTGCATTTTTGCAATCGCCAGACCTCTGGGACGTTCTCGAGTGATAGCGCCTCGGCCCCACTAATAAATCCACTTTGACAATGCACTCCTACTGTACCGCTCTAGCGTCGGGAATGCGGGATTACGGAATTGTACTCCACTTCCAATAAAAGAGGCCAAAACTAAAAGGTGTACAGAGTAGGTTAGGAACTGATTGCGCTAGGGATTGTAAAGACTAACAGTATTATACAGGGATGTCATGGGTGAAGAATGGTTTAAGACGGAAGAGGACTTGTCTTTCAGTATGGGCTTGATTCGGAGTCAAGACGCGAACATGAGAAGCGTTTTTGTATCATAGCGTTAGTTGCCCTCTAGGGGACTGACCCGGGCGTAATAACCATACGTGTGTGCATGTACAGTACAGTCCTTGGCGAAATCAGTGTCCTAGCCTACTTAAGGTCAGCTTGTGCTCCACTAAAGTGGACCCAAAACTCCAAGAGACTGATTTCGCTAGGGACTGTACTGTATCCACATGCAATCTAGTCAGCTTCGTCACGCAGAAATGGTTGTCGCGACCCTTTTGGACGAGTTGTGCAGCAACAGCAAGCCCGGGCGAGGGCGCTGCCTCAAGATGAGTATCCCGAATCTTGCTTTCGTCAATGATCACTTTCGAGCAAGTCCATTTCGACGGTACGTACAGAAAGGAGCAGTGACCAACGCTATATCTGATTAGGTCGAAGCGCAAATAGCGACAATCCATCCAGGTGTGAGAATTGACTGTTCCGAAAACTGTTTATGGGCCCCTGTGCTTGATCGCCGAGTCATCCTAACCCGGACGGGGATTAACGTCCACAATCGTCTACGACTTCCAGCATATCTGGATCTCGCTCGAATAAGTGCCTCTTCGAAGCTCCAATAAAACAGGAAAACATGGTTCAGTACGCATGCTGTTGACGCTTCATTTATGGTTATGGGGAACTGGATTACGTCCGCCGGATTGGTAGCAGAAATGAATACGGCTTTCGGGTCTAATTCTGATTCTCATTCGGACCCTGGTTGAGATCCACCACGGCGCTACAGTATTGAATTTCGGTATCATGGAAAATCATTTTGGAGCGATCCGCGAATTGAGCCACCCCAGAACCGCCTTTGCGTTACTGTATCGTCATTTCTGTTTCTGAATAGGTCAAATTCAAAATACACCCCTATGGATGCATGCTATCAATGGTCCAAGAATGAGCACGACCGAGTACAGTCCTTAGCGAAAAGAGTCTCCTAACCTACTCTCTCTTACACAGCACTTTTGGCCCTACTCTGGAGGGAGAGAATTCGCCCTTAACTACCCTGTCAGACAGACAAGTACCGGGTTATTTATGGATCTGATCACAGTACTTCTGCTTCTTTGCATAATTCTGGCAAGCTAGCGAATCAGCTTGTGACTGTCAGGAAGTGGAACAGGTAAGGGATGCCTCGAGCCACTAATTCCAGGCAGACAGCTATTACTCGCAATTCAGCCCTACCGTTAGCCCAACCCGCATCTCACCAGTTGGCACATCTGTGTTGCCGTTGCTACTGCCAACCCCGCATTCAATTTCATTCCATGTTTCATCGTAAATTTGCGCATGCCGTCCACTGTCACTCTGCTCTTGATGTGCCGACATGCGCCTTCTAAAGGCTGAAGCTGATGGTCGTGTCGTCTTAACAGAATGTTTTCCGCCAAACATACCCAAATATGCGATCCTGTCTCACACTTGGGGCCCCCCAGACCAAGAGGTCACCTTCCAAGACATCAGCGATGGTACAGCGGCGAGCAAGAGGCAAACCGCCGCTGACGGTTTGCAGTACTTCTGGATAGACACGTGCTGCATTGACAAGACGAGCTCAGCTGAGTTGACCGAAGCGATCAACTCCATGTTCGAATGGTACAGAGAAGCGCAACATTGTTACGTGTACCTGTCAGACGTCTCAACTGCAACCGACGACGGTAGGCAGGCCGATTCTGTTTTACGGCTCTGGGATGCTCAGTTCCGCAAGAGTAACTGGTTTAAGCGCGGATGGACGCTTCAGGAACTTCTTGCCCCTGGATCAGTCAAGTTCTTCTCCGTACAAGGCGACATTCTAGGGAACAGGATGTCTTTGAAGAATGCCATCCATACTGTGACTAACATTGAGGTGTCTGCACTTGATGGTCGTCCGCTCTACGACTTCCCTGTGCACAAGAGATTGCAATGGTCGAGCAGTCGCACGACCACGAAAGAAGAAGATGCGGCTTACTGCCTGCTTGGGATCTTTGGCGTCTACCTTCCACTCATCTACGGAGAAGGGAAGACGAGTGCAATGAACCGAATGCTAAAGGTGGTTGAAGAGAAACTCGGACCCTCCAATGACCTATCTCCAACTCAGTCATTCAACTTGTCATCTGTAGCTCCGATGTCAATAGAAGAAGCTCATATACTAGTTCCATTCGGACGAAACGACGAGTTTGTTGGTAGGGAGTCCGTTCTGCGAGAACTGGTTGTCAAGATTCTGCCAAGTGCGAACAACAAGAACTGCCAACGGACGGTGCTCGAGGGACTTGGTGGCGTCGGGAAGACACAGATCGCACTCGAAGCTGCATACCGCGTTTTCGAACAGAGCCCGAACTGTTCTATCTTCTGGGTCCCTGCTGTTTCGCTAGTGATGTTCGAGAATGCTTACAGGGATATTGGCGAAGCGCTGGGAACGCCTGGTATGGATGACGACAAGGCAGACATCAAAGAACTAGTCAAGACTACGCTGGAAAGGAGCAAAGTAGATTGGCTCTTGATAATCGATAATATTGATGATATTGGTTTGCTGACTAGAGACAAGGGTTTAAAGAGCTGCCTACCATTCAATCGGAAGGGGTCGATCCTCTTCACTACGCGCAATCACGAAGTCGCTGTGCGACTTAACATTTCCAGGAAACACACATTCGTGGTTGACAAGATGAGTGAAGCAGAAGCTATAAAATTGCTTCAGAACGAACTCAAGGAACGGCAATATCGAGACACCCAGGCCACAAAAGACCTCGTTCAGCATTTAGTGTTTCTACCTCTCGCGGTCAAGCAGGCATCTGCCTATATGGCGCGAACACGCATCACGACAGCTGCATATCACAAGCTTTGTCGTGGATCTGATAACGCCCAGATCAAGCTTCTCAATACCGGGTTTGAGGAGCTGCAGCGATACTCTGATAACACAAACCCGATTACCCTGACGTGGTTGATCTCATTTCAACATTTAGCAGAGTCGTACCCACTGGCGATAGAGTATCTCAAGTTCGTATGTCTACTAGCGGAGAAAGATATTCCAATGTCTTTGCTACCGATTGGCAAGGACGAGGAAGCACTTCCGGAAGCTGTTGGAATCCTGGAAGGATATGCTTTTGTCTCGATACATGAGCAAGGCGACTCGTTTGATATGCACCGATTGGTGCGACTAGTAACACGTAATTGGATTAAGAACGACTGGGAAGCATGTTACGCAAAAGTGGTACGTCAGCTTGCTAAAGTGTACCCAGTTCCGAAGCATGATAATCGACAATTGTGGACAAGATACATGCCCCACGCTCAAGTGGCTATCGAACTACATCGCGAATGCATAGATAAAAAAGCGGCAGCAGATCTTCTTTTTGTTGTTGCAGGTAGCTACAATAAAATTGGGAGGTATGAAGAGGCAGAGCAGATGCATCGACAGACACTGGAGCTGAAGAAGTCGGTGCTGGGTCCTGGCCACCCTTCCACCATACGCAGCCGGAACAATCTACAGAATCTTCTAGACTCTCTTTATGTTGGAGGTGATGATGATCAGTCAACAAGTCCTAGCGAGTCAGAAGGCGAAGGCGGAGGTGGTACGACCTTGCAATAGCTTCTAATAATAAACGTGAATGCGTTGAGTATAGTATAGTAAAGATTGTTCGGTTACGATGATATCCGACTCGTCTTTTATTTTTTTCTTTAACAGTGAAACGCTACATTACGACGAATCCTTACTCGAGCTATCATAGATAATACACGCCTTCTTCTGGTGGCAATGGTACATCTGACTTTCATGCATTTTTCTGTACTGCACGTGTTATTTGACAGTACGAGGTAATGGCTTAACACGATTGTCTCTTTTTTGATGCACCAATTCACTCTGCATAATATGTTGCTATGAAGTTATGCATTTTGAGCGGAAGTATCGCTCACAAGTCCAGAAATGGCCCAGTACTTGTTGGTATGGCAGGGTATATAGAAGCGGAATGTATCCCTTGGAAGTGGGCCCAAAAGTGAAGTGGAAGGAAGAGTGAGTTAAGAGGCTGCTTTCGCTAGGGACTGTATGTTAGAGATGTCTTTGTTAGAGGAAAGGCGAAATGGGTGTCGCGGGTCTGGTTACAGGAGACAATTAACATGGTCCGATTTTGTACCTTTGTGGCAAACGGCCCGACTCGCTTTATACCCGCAGTACCGTTACATATGCCCCCCAACTGGCCACTGCACTACGCTGAATAACGTTATTGGCTTCCGCTTGGAGCCGAATTTGATTCTAGAACAGCTAATTTTGGAACTTTGAGCTAACACACAATGCAGCTTGCGGGGCCGCCAGGCTTAGGTGGTTATGATGATTTCTGGGCCTGCACGTGTGACGAATTCTAAATTGACCCGTACAGTACCGAAGTTCAAACGTGTCGCGGTGTTCAAAATGGAAATGGACTAGCTCGAAAGTGGCCATCCACGATAGGTTCTCATTTGGGGTATGAATCCACACTGACCACTTCTGACCCCGCCAGCGCAATTCTATCCGGTCCCAACTTCCATGTGCCAGAATTGACTTTCCAGAAACTGCATAGCAATACTACGTTTTGGTTGGTTGTGCTTGCTGGCCTGAAACGTTTTATGGGCCTGGCCATCGGTCCGCTCTTTAATCTGTCCCCGGTTATGGAACCCATGTCATTTTGAGCCGCGTGGAGCCTGTCGCCATTTCAGCACCACCAAATTGGGGATGGTGTTAGCGACTTGACGGTCGCGTCAAATGCGCGCAATCGCATGACCACTTTTCACCACTACATAGCAGCAACGGTCTGAACAATGCCTTCTCCCTTTCGATGCTGTCGAAACCTGGACACGTTTGGAAGCTGTCATGAACGCAAGCAGAATCTGAAATACCGGTTTCCAGATCCGATCCGCCATTGATTGGGCTCAATACTGACTACTGCTTGCCATTGTTGAATCCAAAGCTGGCCCTCAATGGCCCTCCGAAACGATGTCACCCAACCCCCAGAAGCCATCTCCTGTCGAACGAACGAAAAGTACGAAACCAACGAAGCGGACGCAGGCGCATATAATCACAACGACATCTAATTGCTCGCATTACTGAGGGAGCGCAAATGTTACGGCCATTGGCCACATGCGGCACCCATCTGAGTTCTACAGAATAAGGTTGAACAAAAACACATGGAGCTTGCGAAAGGCAGATTATGGACATTTCAATTGTATGCACTATGTAGATATTCTATGTAGGCCATGAACCAAGATCCAGGAATCGCGTCTCTGCATCGGCTCTGCTCCGTTTGGAGCAGGTTCGTAGCCGGCACCACGTACAGGTTGCAGAATCCGTCTTCGCCGACCTCATCCCAGCGATTATGTCCGGGGGAAACGGTTCGTAACGCTAACCTGCCACAGCGGAGTTCATCCCAGCGATTATGTCCGGGGGAAGCGGTTGGTAACGCTGGCCTACCACAGCGAAGTTCATCCCAGCAATTATGTCCGGGGGAAGCGGGTGGTAACGCTGGCCTGCCACAGCGAAGTTCATCCCAGCAATTATGTCCGGGTGAAGCGGGTGGTAACGCTGACCTGCCACAGCGGAGTTCATCCCAGCGATTATGTCCGGGGGAAGCGGTTGGTAACGCTGGCCTACCACAGCGAAGTTCATCCCAGCAATTATGTCCGGGGGAAGCGGGTGGTAACGCTGACCTGCCACAGCGAAGTTCATCCCAGCAATTATGTCCGGGTGAAGCGGGTGGTAACGCTGACCTGCCACAGCGGAGTTCATCCCAGCAATTATGTCCGGGGGAAGCGGTTGGTAACGCTGGCCTGCCACAGCGAAGAGAGTTTTACATCTGGTAGGGCATGGTTAACTGCCAGATGGACACGAGTGTGAAGAAGAAAGGAAAGAAAAGGTTCAAGACAATCTGGGCGAGGACAGGCTTATATAGATGAGTCTGGGTGGATCGAGTCATGTGATTCATGTGACCGAGCTATGGTCTTTCGTGTTTGGCTAGAGTTGCATCTGGACCTGCAAGTTCAATTGTGGAAAACAAGATGACAGGAGTCATTGTACTGTCAGTTTTAGACTCCTACCGTCATGTAGAACTCTACGATGATCACAGTCCGATCTAGGCACTGTACGTAAATGGATCGTAGACCGCTCGAACATCAACAGCGACGCAGCTTCGGCCAATACAAGAGTCGTTTGTACCAAAAACTGTTCTCTGCTACCCACCCCGCCATTGTTCCATTTCATGCTCGCTGGGTGGTACATATTTGGCCGTGGCTTTGCATGGGGTACTGTGCTGCATCCTTTTTGGTCCTTAGACGAAAATGGTGCAGTGCCGTACAGTACAGTAACATCCGGTGGTCTAATGAGTACAGAGAGAATCAAAATCGGCTTCCTATCCCCTTCTCTCTTCTCTGCTATTTGAGCATGGACAGTCCAGTTCTGGCTCCTAAGCAGGAGTACACTTTTGAACCTCACTGGTACCATGGAACTTGAAGCAAGTCATTTATGGCCATAAACGCATATATTCAGTGTCAAAAATCTATCCTCGGTAACGTTCAATTTCCTTCTAGTAGTAGATAATCAATAACTGCGAAAGAGCCTGGTTGAAGCTCACGCTCGTGGAATCAAAATTGACACGGTCCAAAAGAGTACTTGCAGCGTACGTATAGGTCAGAGCCAGAAACGGATCGTCTGTGCTTAGAGAAGAGAAGAGAGAGACAAAAGGAGGAAGGCAGTTTTGATTCTCTCTGTATGCTGGTACTGTACAGCAGTGTGATGTGTTAATGGAAGAGTGTCCTTGGAGGCTTTGGTAGAGAACAGCCGACGGAAGTGGTGGAACACTTGAGGCTGGCGGTCTTGGATGTGCTGGAAAGCACCTTCGATGAGATTGAATAAGTCCTTCAACCCAAGGATACGACTCTATATGAGGGGCATTGTGGCGCTTGTCGGACAGAACTCACGAACGCGGATCTCCATATGTATCAGAGGTTTGATTGCGTAAGTTGATCCTGCCCATATTCATGCCTTGACTGATCCTCTCCCAGTTGGTATGCTCGCGATGCGCCTCTCTTCCCGGTGGTACACCCTGCATCACAGGCGTTCATTATAGATTTGGGCGGTAGCAAATTTTGTCAGTCTACGGTCTGGATGAACCCTACAAGATGTGCTTGGGTCCACTCGAGAAATCAGCAAGACCTCGATGTTGTGGTGAGTTCCCTCAACGGTACTTCCGGACACAAGTCTCCTACGCAAACTGCCCACTGCCGCACGACAGGGGTCTGCTGACTCATTCCGACGCTCGCGCGCGGTCTCCATTTTTACGGCTTTTTAGCGCCGACCAAAAGCTCCGTATCGTTCTCCGTTTCGGGGCTCCCTGCCGGAAGGCCGTTTTGTAGACACGGATTTAACCAATTAGATTAAGACGTGTTCGGAGCCAGATTTAACCAACTTCGATCTGTCGACACCCTCTTTCCCTCGCTCCACACTCCCTCCATGACCTCCAACATGGTTGTGATAAATGTCGTCGAGTCCTGTTTGCCGCCGGAAAATTGCACTAACGACCGACGCTTGACCCGGCCGCGAAAAACGTCTCCACTAGGCACTCTTCGAAAACAACCCTGTTACCCGTGCTGTATTTAAAGCCAAGTTGTATCGCACTTTCTTAGAAACAATTGTCAGTCAGACTTGTCCCAAATTCTTGCTTTACTATAATGCCATCTACATGTAATGCCGACAGGGTGCGAGGGAAGAAAGTGCATGCGGGCCCAATAACTGCAACGGAGAAAAAGGCTAAAAGCCGAGAATACACGACTGTCTACCAAACGCAAGAAATAGACGTTAGTCCGTTCGTTGCACCTTCAACCGCAAAAGCGCGTAACAAGATATGGGGCGAATGGCTTCAGTAAGTGTCTCAGTGCAAGTCTCATTTTATACAAGTGTGAATAGTGATGTTGATGCGGATTATAAACAGACATTGCGAGGATGCTAGCACCGAAAGCGTGTCGGCGTGGACGATGTTTCTCAGAAATTCCCAGTCATCTGAAGGCCAGGCACCTTTCAGAGCCTTTTTGCGCACTTACGTCGAATCCTCCGTCAAAAAAACTTTGGTCCTTGGACCAGAAGAGTTCGTCTACGTAAGAACGGTTGACATGGCATTCACCGTGCAGGAGGTGTGGCGCCGTCTTGTTGCCGCTGCAGAAAATCATGTTATGAGTGCATTGAGGCAACAATATCCATCTGAAGCTAGTACCTGGCGCCTCAGGTGGATGAGCAAAGAAGAAGGCAAAAAGGAAGGGCCGGCCTTCCGAATTGTACAGGTTCGTAAACAGAAGCATTTTCGTACTTCTGATGCCTTACCAAGCACTGGTATTTCTTTTTAGTTGTGTCTGACCTTGTATAGTGGATATTTCAAGAGCTTGCTCCAGAAATTGGTCTCTGCACAGATCCCTCTTATCGAAAGATTGAGATGACAAGCACCGACGTCGATGTCATTCTTACCACTCTATGGTCTGAAAGCCACAATATACCGTGCGATCCCGATACAAGAGTTGATTTCCATGCATTTATCCTCTTCGCAGCCATTGGCGGGTTTAGACGTGGTACGATTTTGAAAGTCAAGTACAATCAATTTCGGGTAGCAGTTGTCCGTGATCCCGAGGATCGGTCTCGGCGTAAGATTGTCGTGACGATTACCATTAAGCGAAACAAGATCAAAGAGACAGCTAAGACGACACGCTTACGCAACGGTGGCTAGTAAGTTGAATGGATCATTTCTATGTGGGTTTTTCTGACTAGGCTTAGCATTGGATTTTCTATCACCCTTGTCCCATACCGTGTATTCTGCCTTGCTAGCCTGATCATTACAAGAGCAATCCAGCGAAATGCCTTTGAGGCAGAGTTCAAAACCATCGACGAGATCTTCGATCAACCTGATTTGGAAGAGTCAGACTTCGTCCCCCTCAAGTGGAAGCCTGACTTTGCACCCAAAACAGCATTTTCTATTTCCTCTAGTACGGCCGATACACTATGGTATCTTGTGCTCCTAGTGGCAGGCCTTCGAGAGGCTGCACGGCTTTACAGTCTTCGAGTAGGTGCTGGAGCGCGAATGGATGGTATGTGTTCATTCCCCATCACAATCCACTGGTGATTCAAACTAATATTATTCAGGGGTAATTTCCGATGCACTACGCAACTACGTAATGTCGCATAGTACTGGCGTTTTCGAATCAAGCTACCAAGGCCACGACGTCCGGAAAAGCTTAATGGAATTGGCATTCGGTACTCGTGCGGGTAAAGAGGAACTATTGTTTGAAAGGCTGCGTGATACGTCCTTAAGTAGGGACCCAAATGCGCCAATTCGGATTTCTCCGGAAGACGAACAGCGATTCGAGAGTCGTAATGACATCCGCCAACTTCGCAGCGCCATAGCAACGACTCATGATCGAGGTGAGAAAAACAAGCTCCGTGCTAGTCTCCAATCGAATCTTACAACGCTACGGAGACTACGACTGGAGGAGATCAGGGCCGAGTACTTCAAGCACGTAGACTTCATGCGAGCGAAGGGACTGTCAACTGCCATGTACGGTCTGTCCAGCCGAAACAGCGGGGTCCTCAAAACACCAATCGCCGTGATGGTCACATCCCTTCTCAAACCATCAGCTAATGAATCTGTTGCTGATCGGGACTTGATGACGAGGCGGTATATGAAAGCCGTGCTGGGATTCCTAACCGACTCAACTACCAATAACGAGAAACTTCTCATCAGTACTGTGCCGAGTCCAAAAGTAATTGATGGTAAGATTAATGAGAAGTCTCGTTGTCTATTATGCAAGAAGACATTCTGCGACCGGAGTGCGCTTACAAGGCATTACAATGGACACATCGCCCTGTTCGATCAACCATTCCCATGTCCGGAATGCGATTCTTACTCAACTACAGCGATCGATTCGCTCGGTAGAGCAGAATGGAGTAACCATGTTGAGCGAACTCACGGCCGACGTAACGCACCCAATTGGTCTCAGTCAAAGAATTCAGAGAGTTTCGGTTGCTTGATCTGTTCCTCGACTCATACATCATTTACAGCACTCATCGGCCACATCAATCGACACAACGGATCTAGTCAGCAAACCTGGCCAATGAGCTGTGCCGAATGCGTCCGGATGGGTAAACCAGAGGTCAAGCTCGGAAGTTTATGGTCGCTACTTGAACATTTACAAGTTATCCACATACCTTCCGCTAAGTTTTGTGGCTTATGCGGGCATATTTGCTCTACTTCGAGCGGCTTGACCAGACATTTCACCTTGAAGCATAAGAAAGATTTCGAGACACCCCTCTCATGTCCTGCATGCAACGATGCGGGAGAGAAGCCAATGGAGATTGATGGTTTTGCTGCCTGGCAATCACATGTGTCATGTGATCACTCGAGCTGGAACTTATACTCCACCAGTCCTAAAGTTGTCGAATCTTTTGAGATGTACAAGGATGGTTCCCTATCCACAACTAAATCTCTGGCTTTGTGTTGATGATGTTGGTCTGATGATTTTGAGCTTAGATAAGGCGATGAGATGATGAGATGATGTTGTTGATGATGTTCTGATGAAATTTTGCTCTAAGAGAGGTCGGTAAGTCCTCTTCATATACCCGATTCCAGCGCTCTACTACTTCACGTCCTTACCTTTCAATTGAGGCACAGGCACAGGCGTCAAGCTGATCATAGAGCTTTCAGCCGTTGCATTGCTCGTGATCGGCGCTCAGGAATAGGATTGCTCACGTCGAGGGAATCGCCCAGTGCATGCCAAGGCGGATTGTGAACGCTGTCCAGTCTATACCTCACGTCGGCGGCTTGCGAATCGAGCTTTTTCGTGATCGTCTCGAAGGATCTTACTATGACGATCAAGGCGTTGATTCCCCTTAAACGCCAACTTGATACGATTCCACCAAAGTGGCTGTGCCTGTATAAGCCGCCTCTATATTGTATTATAATTAACAATCAATGAATAAGACTAGCTAGGAAGCCGCAGAAGATGACCTAGAGATCGCGTTCCTACAACGCCAAGCAATTGCCGCTAAGCTCCTACAGGGGCGATCATAGCCTTGCTTACACAACACGCTATAATGCGATGTCCTGAGCTGCAATCCGCAGGAATCACGTGAGCTAAACAGATTTGTCTGCTCCGTGCGACGCAAAACTATGTTTTTGTATTGTTCTTCACCACATCATAAGCTGCAATTGCTCTCTTGTGTCGTTCTACAATCTGTGTGATGTCCGGGTTTCCCGTGCCTTGGCTGGAATCCAAGAACATCCGCGGTAAGGATTCCTCTCATCTCGCATTGCTCATCATTTTTGAGCCATGTTGCCATGGTGGTGCGTTTGGCTTTCTTCAATGACGAAAGTATCCCCCATTTGTGGCCTCAACATATGCCCGTGTGCGGCACGACTCCCATATACTCCGCTACTATTCTTGGAAAAGCCAATAACATCATCCCCTTTTAGTGGAGACCTTGAAGATCAGGAACAGAATCGGCAAGTTTTCTCTCTTTCTATTTCAAGTTAGTTTCTGGGCACTGAGTGCAACGGCGGGGCTTCTCATGCACAGGCCAGGGTTTCCAGCGGGGTTACAAAACATAGGTAACGGTCACGCTGATAGTACTTGATGGCCATGATTATGCTCCTTTAAGATCACTGGCCTTAGTTGATTCGGTAGTTATGTCATCCGCCACACTAGCCAGAGTAAAGCTCAATGTATTCCCCTCGAAGCGCGCCGAAGGCGTATACGTCCAAGGCAGAGGAAGGTTTCCTTTATATTTCTTTCCCTTCTTCCCTTTTGCAAACGAGATGCGACCAGCAAGTAAGTAGCCCACGGCACCCTCTTCATCCTTCTGGCGCTTGCGTTCCCTCCACACCTCATCGGAATCGGACGCGTCGCGAAACCGGCACTGGGCAAAGTCTATATAAAATACCTGATACGAGTGCTCGCTCTCGCTGCGGCGGACAAGAATGTTTCTGGTTGCAAGATCAAAGTTGATAAAGTTATAATCGATGATTTTGTTGACTGCCTCGATCGCCTGATTGCAGATGACCGGCCAGTCCGACTCCGGCGTCTTGGTAACAAGGTCAAGGAGCGGGAAGCCATGAATATATTCGATCATAATGGCCCTGATTTCGGTGTACTCGGTCAAGCCCTCATCCAGTTGCTCTCCTACTATTGCGTGCTGTGGAGCCAACCGGACATCAGCGTAGAATTTTGGGACGTGGATACCTTGCAAATCCAGAAGGCGATCATAGACTTCGACTTCAACCTCGTGCATCCTCGTCGATTCGACATGGAAATATGCTTCCAGCTTCGGTACATCCCATTCCTCGTATGCAAAGCGTCCATTCTCTGCGTGATCTACTAGGAATTGAGGCATGGAGCCCCCGCGCAGAAAGGTGGCGTATTGCTCTTCGCTGTCAGTGGTGGCCGGGCCGGTCTCCTTGAACTGCCGCAACTCGGAGGAAAATTGACGCTCGTAGACTTTCAAGACCATCTTTGGAGCAGGAGCGGTAAGAGGAGAGACAGAGCACGCAGATTGCTCTCCTCGTTCCGTAGGCGGTTCGAGCTCGACGATGACAACAACAGACATTGTTGACGGCTCTATCACATCCACAATCTGTGCCCGTACCTTGCTGCTGCTATGCTTGAGTTGCAGTGGAGCATGTTTGCCAAGGTGATGTATTTTGAGGGTTAAGATATTCCCCTTGACGTATGGGCTAGACATTGTTAGTTTAGGAGTTAGGACGCAAAGGATGCTTATGCATGAATACCTTTTTAAAGTCGGGGCCATGCTTGTTGCCAACTCTCAAATCGGTACGGATAACTAGCATCTAGGATTCAAGCTTAAGAGTGGGAAGGATGAGCCTCCCAGTAAATACTAGCTGGGGCTGATGGCATGGATTTTAAATACCCATGCTGCGGCCCCATTTATTTAGCCGCTTTCTTCCTCCGCCCCACAATCAGTGCCATTGGAAGGGATGTTACATGATCTTCTCTTGGACCGCCAAAAGGATGAAAGTAAGTAAAGAAACAGAATGCCAATAGCGCCCGTTCAGGCGTGGTGGGCTATTTTAAATCTTCTGATCATCATTCTGGTTGATCATCATTCTCCATCCACTACTGGTAACTCACCAATTGGGGTTTTGTCATTGAGTTCCATGGCGGTCCTGCTTCCTCCCGGCCAGGCTCCTGCAAATGAGAGGATATCTGAAAATGTGTGATCATCACCCAGTCCCTCCTGAGGAGATTGTAAGGCTTACATCTGCCCCAGAACAGGCGAATAGAACGCAGTATCTAGCAGAGCCTCAATATCAGAAGTTGTTTCCACTCATACGTCATTATTTGAAGGGCGTTCGTTCCTGAAGGTCATAATGCTTGCTGCTTGATGTTAGCGATCTTTGCGCGCGACCCTGATACAACTATATTCATGATCTAATTAAAGCAACATATACTCTCAGCCAAATCAACAGCTATAGACTCACCACGACGATCGCAAGAACGACGACAGTATATAGGCCGTTGTGATTCACCCACAAACATATCCAGAATATCTTCTCAACATCACACTTCAGCATCAATCACATACCACTCAGAATTCTTTCAACACTTTTTATATTCTCATTTTAGGGAACATCTTCTACAATTAAACATTTTTTAGAAGGAAAAACGAGAAATTACCAACCATGAAGTTCAGCAAAGCCTCCTACGTCTTCTTCTTCTGCGCCTCCGCCGTGAGCGCATTGACATTGCCTCACGGGTCGCGCATTGTTGCACGTGATGTCGAAAACGTGCAAGATGAGTCGCTCGCCAAGCGCGTCCCTCAAGAGGTCGACTTCAATACGCTTAGCCGCCGTGAGGCCTCAGCTGAGCCAGAAGCCTATCCTGAGGCAGACCCTGAAGCTTTCTCCGGGGCCCTCTCCAGCCGTGACACCCTCTCCGACGCAATGGAGGAGATCATTGATTATCTTCGCGATATCCCAACCACCGGACCTCGTGGCATCGGCGGACCATCATCCTGGCCCACAGGTTGGAGCGATTTGCACGGCGACAACAAGTCTCAATACGGCGGTCGCTATGTCTGCCAGGTCCGCAGAAATGGCAACACCTACCAGGCTCGTGTCGTTGCCCATGCCAATCAGGGCAATAACATCAGGACGGGCTACGTCTTCAAGGAGACCGATGTTGATGAATGCGTGAACAGGAAGGGTCAGAACGAAGCCCCTGGATATGGTCGTGCTATTCACTTCTTGAGGAAGGCCTTCGGTGGCGAGGACCCACCAGCGGGCTGCTAAATACTTATCGTTTCCGCGTTTGGATGGTTTTGGGAAAGTCAAAGGACTCAACCCCGAAAAACATTGTTGGTGTAAAGCAGGAGTGTATAGGATCGGTTGCACTGTTGCCCCCGTCGTGTAGGAAGGTCTGGGTGGCCCCATTCTTTTAGTGCATATGCGTTGTTTTTAGTCTCGGCGTCCTAGAATTAACAAAATCAACATTATCTTGAGAAAAGCAGTCTGCATTGCTCCTGGCTATTTTGCTGCCAAACACATCCGAGTTTTTGCTAATATTCCTGTCGCCAACATCTCCTAGCCGTCACTGTTTTACCTGGGCTTGTTAGTGATCGTCATAATGAATTGCGATAGCACACCTTTGCTTACTTTCTTGCTGGATAGCTGCCCACCCAGTTCTAGATTAGTCTAACCTAGTATCTTCCGACACTTCAGCCTGTCATTTTCTAAGCCCCTCTCCCCCTTTCCCCTTCTTGTCTAGCGACATTTCGGCTAGCCGACTTGTTCTCCCAGCATTCTATTTTTGATTTACTTCTAGTATCAACAATCATTGTCTCGTGTTATTCTTCCACGCCACTCCCATTGATGGTGTGATATGCTTCGAAGTACTCATGTGTATTCAAGACTAAATCAGTGTTGTATGTTTTTGCAATTCTGTGTAATTCTGTCGACACTGGTAACAGTAACTAATTGAAACCACCCTTAATGCGCTTATTAGAATTTTTAGAATGATCCTGTTCCTGTTCCTGTCTATTTGGCTACACACACACACACACACACACATGTTTATTACGCCCGGGTCATTCCCCTAGAGGGCAACCAACGCTATGATACAAAAACGCTTCTCATGTTTCCGTCTTGACTCCGATTCGAGCCCGTACTGCAAGACTATATTCAAACATCCAAAACCACTTATTGTCCTCGACATCCCTGTATGATACTGTTAGTTGTTAGTGCATGGCAGATCAACTTGAAGTTGACTTCTCCAAGTGTTCAGAGTCCTATCCTCGGCGACTGAAGCGCGACCTGCTGGGTTAGTATATGTTTGGGATGTCCTTTGTGCATCATTTTCTCCTAAGCCTAACTCCCGACTTCCTTCACCGTCTGTTGTAATCGTCCTGTGGCGATTGCAAATCCAATTGTTGCTCCTACTGCTTTGAGGTCTGGTGTCCATTTGTTGTCATCACTATAGGTCTTTCCAACAAGGTAGAACGAGATGCTTCCTCTGCGGTCTTCCGTATACTGAAGCAGATCTTTACGATGTGCGGTCCATTTCGTGCAGCGCATGAAAAAGTGTTCTACGGTCTCTCTTCCGTATCCGCAGGCGCAATCTGGTGCTGTTATTGCTCCAATTTGAGCTAGATAGTAGTTGAGCCTCGCTATTCCTGTCCGCAACTGGACTAGAATGCTAGCTTCTTTCATGACAATGATCGTGAATCTGTCGAGTATGTCGTCCGGGTAAAGCTATGTCAATCAGTTTAGAGAAAGCTCCGACGTGTCTGGCAATACTGGACGTCTGCTTTGTGTCTTTCTGGCATTGTTCAATGTCGTCGATTTGGCCCGAAATGGTGAGATGCGCGGTGAACTACCGGGGAGGGTCGCTTTGCGAGCAGCTTCCTTGGCCAAGCGTGCTAGAGTAAAATTGCGGTTGCTGTTGTTGTCACTGGTGCCATTGTCAACATTTTCGTCGCCGGTGTTCTCTTTCTGTTCCTGTGGCCTCCAGACAATAACGACCTTGTTACTCCGTTTTCGAAGCTGTGCCACGCAAGCGCAGAAGTTTGCAATCTCTTTCTGGCCGGACTGGTGCCACGGCCGTTCAAGACTCAAAGCAGCACCTTTATTGCTCGTGAACACTAGAACTACACGTTGTCGGACGTAGTGTGGCGTCTTCCGCAGTCCCTGGACTATTGCGGCCAACTCTGCCCTGTATGGGTTCTGCTCTTCTCTTGTCCCGAGCGTTACAGAGTGTAACATGAATTTGGTCTTTGCCAAGCCAAAATCCGGAAGCCGTATAGCCATTACAAACCCGACCAGGTCATTCTTGGCTGAGCTGCTGGTGATGCACATACACTCCCTAGCGAAATCAGTCTCCTAACCTACTCTCTTTCATACCTCACTTTCGGGCCCACTCTAGTGGAGCCCGAGATGACCATATGTACCCGATCAAGCTAACAAGTACTGCGTCGTTTCTGGACGTGCTGACAGTACTTTTTTATGCATACACAAATGATCTGCTCGCAGTGTTCTTTACGCATGAGTGCGTTCCGTTCTACGGTACACGCGGTCCAAGTCGGGGTTTCTTTCAGCCCTTTATTAATACTGTACTGTATCTCTGAAACTGCCAAAAGCAATCCATTTCGGTTACAGTACAATTCTGTGATATCGTCTATATCAAATATTGGATTCAATAATAAGACACGTATTCATTCTGCGCCTGATCTGGACAAGACGAAAAATCACTCCAGGCAGTCAACCCAAAACGCCATTCTAAGCGAATGGCCATTTGCGTATGTTAGCGAACAGCCGACGTGTTGTGGATGATCTATGAGCAACAAAGGACAGAGTACTTGACTCAGTCTTCCGACTATGGCGTTATTAGCTAATGGATGTTGAAGCATCGATCAAGGACTTGTAGAGTGGACCACGACGTGGCACTCAAGGAATTGCTCTAATGTGACTGTTTGACAGCCAACAACAGCTTGATTTTCACTCGATACTCCAAACTACCAAATAGAATACTTCGGGGGCGATTCTTGGTAGTTTGGAATATCGAGTAGAAATAGAGCTGCACGACCTTAGGGGGTTATTTAGGGTCCAAGGATTTCGATCCAAGATTGTGGAGATGCAAACCCCGAACGCGCTAGGGGACTGACCGCCTGTAACGTAAATCTCTTAGATACCAGTGTTCGATGATTCCTCCATCACAGCCAGTATTTCGACGTTTCACTGGTAAACTCAGGATCTTACAACGTCACTCTGTCTTCCTAAATTGACGTACAAAATGACGTACTTTCTTACAAAGACAGCCAGCTTCTATGGCATTACTGTCTATGTGGTCTGCACTGCCTCATTGGTTCAGGCTCCAGGCCTCGTGGTCGATTCAGCACCTCCTCAAGGAGCTGCCATGTCGAGTGTAACCAGCACGATTTGTACATTCAAACCAGGGAGATAATACCAGACTTACCCAAGTTTTAACCACAGCCCCAGCCGTTTCCAGACAAATCTAACTCCACGCCGTCAGCCGCCGACGACCTCTGTGTCTAACACAACGGCGATGAAATCAGCTATCAGTCTCCTTTGGCGAATGAAGAAAGAGGTTGGGACTAATCAGGACCACAGTATGCAGTTGAGCGCCTGTATCCCTCTTGTGCTTCAGCCTTACGGTAGGCAGATAAGGGGTTGCATGTCGGACTCCGCAGCTTTCATAAGGCAAGTGAATGGTCTCGACGTAATACACCATATCTTTTCTAAATATACAGTAGACGGAGATTCACTTTTACAGCCTGTCTGAAAGAGTGGGCTGTATATTCTGGTGCCAAGCCTCGATTATTCAAGCAATTTATCGTTAGTGTGATCATCTCATCAACCCTAAGTAATGGTCTTTGTCCTAACAAGATATCCCTTAACCGCATGTAGCTTCACCCTCTTGACAAATGCACTGCGTACCTTCTCCACACTTGACATAACCATTTGAATCCCGAAAAGCTCTCCATTGCTCTGCATTAACGTTGCACCAGTATAAACGATCTTGGTCCCACTTGCTACAAGCCCACTGTTTCTCTCCAGTTTGAGAGCAGCCGTTATCAGTATTTATATTCAAGCTGCAAGTGTCAGCCGAGACTCTCGTAATAGTAGCCAGCAGGTAAAGTGTGGATGAGAGGATGTTCAGGGAGTACATGGCGTAAATTCGCGTGACGGATGTGGCTTTGGTGTGAAAACCGTGGTTGACTATGTAAGCTGGAAAAGACTTTCTTTTGAGTAGGACTGGAGCAAACTGTTCGATTAATGATGAATAGTTGGAAAATAGACGGGGAAATCAATCATTAAATAGCCGCGATAATAAAGTGAAGAATTCCTAGTCAAGACCTGTAACCGATTTGGCTCTGTTCGTACATATTCGTATCTTGTATAGGCGAGCGACAGTAAAATCAATCGCAACTACTATTGAAGTACGATGCAGGCACTTGGTCAATGTTGGTCTCCCAAATGGTGGCATGCAACCAACTTATACGCCAGTGAGCGAGAACAATGCCCTCTTCTTGATCAACGCTATTGCGAACTTTTCTATGCACAACCTTCTCAAAACATACCTTTGCCTCAGGTGACATTTAACTTTCCTTCTCCTTGTTTCTCCCATCAATTGGTATATAATACGAGAAATTGCGTCATTGCGGTTGAATGCCCTCACACATGGTTCGGGAGGTCGGCGACAACGTGTTCCAACCCAGCATTTATCTATATCCTATCAAATCAGCCACCCCAATCGGCATCATTGGAACAGATCAACATGGTCTTAACCGTGTATCTACCCGATCTAGAGGCCAGCTGGCTATGGCCTCGTCGACTCATATCCACTAAGCCGAGATCAAACAGGAATGCCTCAAGTGGGTGGCTAGTTTCGGGGCTTCACTCCACAAGCACAACAGGCCTTCGACAAATGTAGCTTCAGTAAGTGCCACGCCGTATATATGACTAAGTAGCAGTCTTGTGTCATGCTGACATGAGCTTTTTGCAGATTTGCTAACGGTTCTCATGTGCCCACGATTGACCAGAGAGCAGCTGAGGTGCGCGTGTGACGTTATGAACCTCTTCTTCATCTTTGACGAGCATTCCGATCGATCCGAACCGGCCGATGTATGGAATCAAGTCGACATCGTAATGGACGCTCTGCGCAATTCCGAAACACCTTGACCGGCCGGAGAATGGGTTGGCGGTGAGATTGCGCGACAGTAAGTCGTCCTTTCCCTGGGTCAGCCACCCTCATCGTAAGAACTAATTAGCTCACGGGGCATGCACAACTGGTTTTGGATTCGAGCGACTACTATCTCATACGCACAACAGCTCCAGCTCCCTGTAAGTCGTAATAGAGCTGCTCCTTACCAGCAATAGCAGCATGCAGATGAGTCTGATACACACTGGTTCTTCATGGGTATTGAGGAAAATTAAGAAGACGGCGATGATAGTCACCCATGGCACGACTCGGAAGAGGGCGGAGCCTTCGATGCGGTGGCTTGGAGTATTCCTCGACAGGAAACTGACTTTCAGAGACCATGTCAAACACTGGACGGGCAAGGCAAGCCGAGTGGCGAATCACATCCGCAGTCTATGCAACACCGTCAGAGGTCTTCCGGTAGCGTCGACAAGGAAAGCCGTCACGTCCTGTGTGATCCCGGTTCTCACGCACGGCCTTGAGGTCTGATACCCAGGACGGGATAGGACGAGACAGGGTAACACAACTTCGTCATGCTGTGTCAGGAAACAGCTCCAGCAGATGCAGTCCGTTCTACGAACGGCAATGAGAGCCATTATGCCTGTGTGGAGAACGCACCCAAGCCATATTCTGCATTTCGAGTCGCAGATGTCGCCGGCTGAGATACTGGCAGAGTCCATCCGCCGACGCCACGGTTTCTGGCTTGGCAGGTCGACAAAGAGCATCCACTAGTGCAGCGGCTGCCACTACAGGCGCGAAAGGACCCCACAAGACTCCAGAGATGCCATCAGCTAGTCACATATTTCCGAGGCCAGAATTAGTCCGGCCATCTTTCAAGAAACCACCACATCGGGGAGGCAAGGATGGAGAAGCTGAGCTGTTCAAAGAATGGCTCCGGGAGAGAAATGAGGAAGTAGAGCTGATCGTGTACTCGGACGGCTCGCAGTTACAGGAAAAGGGACACAAGCGCACAGGCTGGGGGTTCACCATTAAGAAAGGCGGGACCACCCAAGAAGTGTACCAAAACCGAGGCAGGCTGCACCGGGCAGAAGTCTTCGACGCCGAAGTGCACGGAGCGTTGCAGGGACTCGCAGCGGCTAGAACGATCGGGCCGAATAAACGACTGTTTATTTGTCTGGACAACACATCCGTGGTGGACGGGCTAAATGGATCACCACCGGAAACGTCGCAAGCCATCTTTCTGCGTTTCCAGGAGCTTGCATCAGGGCACAGTCCTGGGGTGACGGTCAAGTGGATCCCCGGACATCAAGACATTGAAGGAAACGAAGCTGCCGACAAACTTGCCAAGGAAGGCGTAATACTCGAGACGAGGATAGATAGTCTGCCCACGGTTGCATGGGTACGGCGACATCTCAACGGAAAGAGAAAAGACGAATTTGCCCGCTGGTGGACGGCGCAAGGTGAAGCCAGATATGATGATGTGCATTCACAGGCGGTGGTGTCAAAGAACCTCGCCTCATTCAAAAGAGCCACGCTGCACAGGCTCCTGGCGGCAAGATCTGGCCACGGCGACTTTGCAGCATATCACGAACGATTCGGGCATACGGACCCGAATAAACACTGCAGTTGCGGAGAGAGAAAGACACCAGAGCATATTTTCTTCTTAGGAAATTGCAAAGACACAGACTGCTCCCGAGGCACACGCCAAGGGCGGCTTATACACAATACTTGGGGGAGAAGAGTGCGCAGTGGGCGCGTTTTGTAGAGAGGAGTAACTTTTTCACAAGGACCTGCCCGAGATGAAGGGCCGTTTGAATAGACGGAGACTGAGTGTTCTAAATCGGTTCCTGCAATAGCGTGGATCGGCATGTGCGCAGGCTGGACTGTATATAGATACTGACACCTCCAAAACCCTGCGATGTATGGCTCTGGGAGGCGTGGTTTGCCCTAATAAGGGACGGTCCCCACGTTAAATACAATCAATCAATCAATCAATCAATCAATCATTATGGCAGAGCCTATCTACATCATTGTCGATGATGTCCCGATAAATAGCCACCCTGATTTTGGAGAATAAATAATTTAGTAGTAATCAACGGACATTATGGAGTTCGTGCTGGGCTGTGGTATTCCCCCGGCCAGCACAGATATGCTTATTCTTAATGGCTCTGGTCGCCTCCAAGTAATTCCGGACAACCGATATTAAAAAACATGGCGCTATATTATGCCATGCAGAATATCGAGAACCATATCTAGTTCCTATAGGCTGCTATATTGTCATCGTCCGTAAATATTCATCGTTCAGAGCTGTGTGATCTCCCCGTGCTCACAAAACTCCCCACCAGGTCTTTTGATAGCTGATGTGAGAATCAGATAGAGGGATTAAGGCCATGCTCCACTCTAGAAACGGTCTCTTGTGAGTCTGTTTGACCAAGCTTGACATAATTGCACATTTATCTCGGGCGTTACAATCGTTATTTCATCCTGAGTCGTAGGCTCCGGAAAGGCTGTCTCCATAGCCCTGCGTTTGGTTTTTATTATCTTTGTAACAGAAGCGGTCTTGTACTAAGGCTGATCTTGGGTTCACTTCTCGGCGTTGCTGCTGTCTTATGACTCAATGGTCGTTCCAGTCCTGACGAACCCCGAGAACCATTCCGAGACCACGTCCATGTATGATGACCTGGGCCAGGACGTGAACTCTCGAAGCAAACCTGTAATCCGGCGGAAGACTCTCCTGATTGAAAGGCTCGAGGTATCGTCTCGCAACACACCATAATCCCTGGCGGCAGCACCTCGAAGATTATTGAAGGTCGCGGTTGAGGAATAAGAAATGGGTGCGCACTGATTGGAACCAACTTTTATGCAAGGACACCTCTCAAGACCATTGGCAAGGAAATATTTAACCTTTGCCCCATGCCATGCGGGGGCTTGTGCTAAAATATACTGGAAATCGAAATCTGCCAGTACCCAGTACAGCGCAACCTGTATTACTATACGTTGCACAAAGGCAAAAGCACTTTGAATAACCGCCGCTGGAGAACTTTGATTAAAGCAGCAGTAAATACCTTGTGTTCCATAATAGTGCTCTTGTTGGAATATGGTTATCCGCGGTCTCGCACGACCATATAGTCTAGCTAGTTACCGGCGTACTGACGGCAAGCCACTACAGCCACACCGTGGCTGTCGGAAGCTTACAGCCGTATAGGCCAAACCCCTATCTGTAGATCGCGTACGATAGGAAGAATCCCTTCTTCCTTTCGTATGACAGCGCTGAATAGATCTATTTGTCGCCCACACTGTACGGAAAGAAATGAATGGAGAAGCCATTCCACAGCTCTTGTATTTGTAGCTCTTTGCTCATTCAGTAATGATGAAATCCGCACAAACATCACTATGGTTGAGTCTGAGCCATGTGGCAATGCATTATGGCTCTTAATTTGTCGACCTAGAAAGAACATATGGTAATCTAGGTGGTGTATATACTGTAGCAATATAAGGGGCTTTAAACCGAATTGTTTATGATGTGGATATGCTATGATATATTCAATGATTGTAATTCAGTCTCAATTAACCAATTTCAATATGCCCACAAAATCAGATCCGCAATGCATTAAAATCCTTGCCGCCAACGTTGACAGAGACTGTACAAATGCCTTCTAAGAACGCCTAATCCCAAAAGTTTCGGTAGATAACCAGCCAACGCAAACAAGTTTGCTTCTATTTACGCCGACCGCCCACAAAAACACGACAGATAATCAATTACATGTTTGCCAACTCGTTGTCGATTTGTCTGTCCATGAAAGTCCTCCTCTCACCGTTAAGTTCAGTCTGCAGTCGTTGCTCGACAAGAGCACGGACTTGCTTCTTGGTGACGGTGTCAAGATCAACTTCTCCGAGGGTGGCTTGAATGGCTTCGATAATCATGCCATCATCAGGACCCACGTTACCACGTTGGAAGTCGAAGGAGACCATGCTTTGATTATTGCCCTGGCCAAGAGGTGTACGAGCCCCGCCCCGGTAGTCCAAGGTTTGGTATGATGGCCGATGCATATCGCGAGATGGCGAAGCATTCGCGACGCTACGCAGGTTTGACATGCTTGGTCTCTCTTGGAATGGGGTATGCATACGCTGAATATCGCCAAAGGAAGCGGTGGACTGGCGGTGCATAGGGTTGTCCGAGTATGGCGCATAGCCAGAATTCCTCATGGAACCGTGAGGTACGGGAGATTGTGAGCTAGGAGGCATGTACGTAGATCCAGCTCGGTTGCCCTGCAGACCGTGGAGAACGGATTGCTGGCGGACTGAACTGTATACAGACTTCATGTCATCCATTTCATAGGAATCATCGAAAGGCTGAACCTCGGCCTTCTCAGAGTAATTACCACGGCGGCCAGGGAGGTTGTTCAAGGCTGCATAATCGTCCCAACGCTGGAGTGGGATGGAGCGGGGATCAAAAGTCTCTCCACCGACAGCGATGACTTGCTTGCTACCCTTTTCTCCAATGACAATACGAGTGTTACCCCATGAGAAATCATCCTGCTTCCAGAACGAGTAAATAGGTAGGATGAATGAGTAGATCGGGAATGCTAGAATATAAATGATCATCCAACCGATGTGCTGCCATTGTCGCTTCAGGATAAAGATAAGTGCCTGAAGACCATAGACAGCTGCTATCATGATAATGGATATCATTGGGAACTGTCCGCTATTGGTAGCGACACGGTAAATGAGGTATCCCAGGTAGATGGTAGTGGCAGGCAGAATGATAGTTCCAGTAAGATCGATCAAGACCACAAAGCGCATGGAGAAACAACAGAAACCACACATATCCTTCAGCATCATCAACTCGACCAGGTTGTGGATGGTGGAGTTGATCCATCGTCGTCTTTGAGACAAAAGGACGCTCCACTCGTCGGGGGCGGCAGTTTCACAGTATGCATCGGCGATGAACTTGTATGACATGTAAGGGAAATGCTTCGTCATGAGCGTGGTAAGGAATCGATCCTCTCCAAGGGACAGCAAATTCTTCTTGTGGAGAGTATCGACGTTGCAAACAGCGTACTCGCGAATGACCGCATCTGAGATGATTAAAGGCCTACCCTTGTCGGCGGTGCGTAAACGATACATGGTGAAACTAGAGCATTGTTAGTTATCTTGAACACAGGGAAGTCGAAAGGGAGTCCACTTACCATCCAGGAAGACAAGTAACACTACCAAAGAGAGATTCGAAAGCCTTTGAGAGATGATGGGAGATGAAGTACTCGTAGACCTGGATCATACTCCACCAAGATCGTTCCTCGTTCTGGAGACCAGTTTCACCACAGATACCAGCAATCTTGGCATTGTTCGCACAAGCTGCAACGAGTCGGTTCAATGAATCTTCACGGACAGAGGTATCGGCATCGACCATGAACAGATACTCGTATAATTCAGGATCTACGCCGATGATGTTGTTGATTTGATGGAACATCTCCAACTCAAGGGGGTTCATTGGAGCACGGTGGTGAACACGGTTGAGGAAGCTCATCAGCAGAATCTGGGAATCACGCTTTCCGCGGTTACCAGGCTTGGATTTGGTCTGTTCAGACTCCTTACCAACCTTGACAATGACCATGTAAGGCACGATATTGCCTTCAAATTCGTAGAGACCAGAATAGATCTTTCCGTAGTTCAGTTGTTCATTACCAGCCCCGACAGACTTGAATGGTAGGGCAGGAGGGTCAACCTTGGGATCAACACCCAGGATATCCAGAACAATCTTCGGGGTTGGACGGTCATTGCCTTTACCAATAATGACACCATCACAGATAACGCAGATGAGTTTCCTCTTATTGTCGTATTGGAGGGCTGTGAGAGAGTCGAGCGCCTTTCTGAGGGAGTCTTCGTCTTCTGTATAGGCTGGAACCTGGCAGATGACGAACTTGTCTTGAGGTGAAGGTCGTCGCTTGGAACCGAATTGCAGGGCCGAAACGAACTTCAACAGAATAACGGCGCATAGAATGACGGCGAAGGCAAGAAGCAGGTAGTTGTTGACCTGGCAACGAGCGCTATAACGGAAATCCGGAATACCTTGGTAAAAGGTGTTCTTGATACAGTTCAGACTGTTCTGAGCAAGAGCATAGGCCGTCTGGTTGGTCTGAACGCTCTTGATTTGATTATTCCACAAAGTTGTAACATCTTGACCTGGGTTCTCGGAGACGATTGTGGTAAGAGTTGAGTCCAAAAAGTTGTGCGCAGTGTCAGTGTAATACTTAGTGGTGACGAAATAATCTGTCAAATCGTAGATGCCACCATCGTAGATGACCCACATGTGGCTCTCGTCAGAACCCTCTGATTCAACAACCGCCTTGTCCCAGACCAGGTCACCATGGTAATATTCCTTTATTCTAGGCTGGAAATAGTCGCGGTACCAGGTACTTGAGTACAGCTTACTGGTTGAATCGGTCTGTAGAGCCCCAGAGGTGTGGACGCCTACAGTAAACTCCGGTGTGCTGTTCTGTAGGAGGACGGTGGTGTCAGCGATACCAAGACCAGGACAAGTCAGCGGCAGTGGCGCGATGAAATACTCGCTCAAATCCAAACCAGCGAACTGTTGCATGTTATCCGAGCTGGTTTCAGTATCCGTGTCACTGTGCTGCAGCTTATAGAATTTGGACAGGTCGTAGACTTTTCCATGAATGCTGACCCAGAAATCAGTCGATCCCATATGTGTGCTGACCTCACTTCGGTCCCAAGCCTTATCGGAATTGGGACAGAGGAGTTTACCAAACGCAATCATCCAGAAAATAATGGTGGCATTGGCCAACGCGATGAGGAATACGAGTACCAACTTTTCTCTCCACGCCATTCGGACATCAGGTCGCTTCATGCGGCCGACATACTTGAGCAGAGGCGAGGGTATCCAGAAGGTCAAGGTCCACACGAAGGCAACCCATGCTCTTCGGCTAAAAGTGGTATCTTGAGTCTCGACATGCTTGCCCGCCGCAAGATCAGGCTCCAAGTTGTTTGATATGAAAGCTCCATCACCGGTGTAATAGATTTGGTCTCGGTGGTTGTCTCCCTTGTGACCAAGACCATAGTCACCGGCGCTAACGTTTCGCATTGCAGTTGGTGCAATAGACGGAGCAGGCATGTGCTGACCCATGGAGATCTGGCTCTGGTTGCGGGAATGTGTCATGCCGGCCATCAACTGGTCATGGCGGCCGTTTGACATACCATCCATCATCGGGGTGCCAAAATAGCCACTGCCACCATTGGAGTAACCAGTTTCGGGCCCAGTGGGAGGAGGGAGCATCATGCTGGCGCCCATTGGCATATCACCTGGCTTCAAGTCGAGCATGCTTTCAGCTTCCCACCAGGCGGTCTCGCGCATCCAGACACGTTCTTTCCCAACGACCACCTCCCCGTTGCTCCAGCCACGCTCAAGAATCCATGTTTCGATGCCCTCGCGACCATCTCTGCATCCCAGCGGAGCAAATCTAGTCGCAAATTCCTCCAGGTCAAAGTCAGCTGTGAAGTCCAAGTTCTTGTTTCGGCGATTCGCCCATTCAGGCAATCTCCAGGCCCGAAGTTGTCGCGATACAGTGCCTGCAGACCATGCAGAAGTGATGGAAGGCAAAGCCGCTAGACTAGCAGGCGAGTCATCTGTTGGGTGAAGTGAGAGGTGATACCAGGCACGGCTGCTAGCCAGGACTGAGGTTAGGTCAAATCTTCCCGCTCGTCCAAGGTTGATACCCGCTCCAGCGACTGGGAAGAGGAGTTTCTTAAGGAAGCCATCATCGTCCCCAGCAAGAGCAACTTTCTCGAGAATGGTCTCTCGCTTCTCGAGCTCATGTTCTCTTTCTCGGCCGATCGGACCTGTCATGATACCTAGGTCGGGACCAACCTCTGCGATAGCATTTTGCATTTCTCGTAAGACAGAGCTTCCAGCTGCAGCCACCTCCACACCATCCTCTTTCATCTCAGCGTTAATTCCCGTCGAATCATCAAAAATGCCGCGCATGGCCACAGCTTTTCCTAGTGTAGGATCCGGAATCTCAATTACGGTAATGCAGACGGTATCAGAGTCATCAAGAGTGGGAGTCGTGGCACCGCGGCCATCAGAAGATGGCGCGCCGTCACGGGCCCGGGATATGGCAATTGCGATGGCCTCGTTGGCCTTCAGAATGACCCAGTCGACCAGCGCCTCATAGAGACCTCCAATCAATGTTCGCCTGTCGTCGGTGCTGCATTTGGCTGCCAGCACTTCTGGGTCGAGACCGAGGAGACCGCCAACATCTTCACAAACATCATCCAGAACATCTTCATCCACGCCGTAATCGATTGTGTTGCCAAGCTTGAGAAGGCCAGCGAGAGTGGAGATGAAGTTGCGATGCGCAGAACCTTTAATTCCGATCTCCTTCAGCGCAGCACGGAAATCGTCGGCGGCTGCTGCGTCGTCAGCAGTGGGGAGGTAGGACGGCGGATTGTATGTGCCGGATCTAGCCAGGAGCGAATAGGTAGATGCGGGTTTGAGCCCAAGGAACTCTCGCTCGGCTGGCGTAGACGCAGATGTGAGAAGATAGTAGAACACGTCGAATGCTCGATAGCCAGCCTCAGAAGGGATGTTCAAGAGACCCTTGTTGGTATCAATACCGCCCTGAGAGAGAGCCAGTTTCGTGGCAGTAAGATTGCCTGCCAAGTTCAGGTTCAATGTCACACCAAGAGCTGCCTCGCGTGGCGTCGCTGGGTTGTATGGGGTGACGCAGTGAAGGAATGGCCTGATTGCCTCGAGGGCAGTATAAACGGCGGATGGGATGGAGAGTGGGAGAGATCTGAGGAACGGCGCCAGGATAGAGGGCGCTGATGTATGGAGAGAGCTGAATCACGTTGGTCAGTCGATTCTCGCAATAGCATTTATGAATGAGATCAGGGTTCACATACTTCAGGACGATGCAACCGTCCTCTGCACGGCGCCGGGCATGTTCCCAAGCGCGAGCTGCCAGTGCAGGATCAACGGTACCGCCTGTGTTCCCATCTGCACCAGTTTGCATAGCAGTTAACCATGTGTTGACTACTAAACTTGTTGCAGCATCGAGTTGGTATGGTTGAGAGGACAAGTAGATGTTGTGTGTTCCATTTAGCAGAGTGGTTGTCGAGACCTGGCTGGCTTGCTGGCCAGGACCTCGAGGACCGCCTGCGGATTCGGAGGCGACCGAATACATGGACATGCGGGCTTGGTTGTTAGCCATGATGTAGGCTGCAACCCTGGTTGTCCCTTCGGACAATCAAAATGTTTGGAAGCTCAATTGATGTGTCGGTTACAAAAAGAGTACGAGAATCAAGCAGAGTTCACGTTAACCATCTGAAAGAACCAGTCTTGAGGTTGTGGCGAAGTCTCGACCAAATCGTGGGGAGCGAGTGTCGTTTGTAAATGCAGGGTGAAAGTATGGGATGTGGCGTAAGATGTGCTTGTTCTCCGGGCAACAGTACCACTCTATACCTCAAATCGATCCCTCCTATTCCAATGCAGAAAACTCTCGAGGTTTGAAGATATTAGGAAAACGATAATGAGTATATTAAGCCGCCAAAGCGAGTGAGCGGCACAAACAGCAATACAACGAGAAGAAATGGAAGATCGAAAACGATATTTCCTCAAAATGACGATGAATTGGGAGAAAGCTGTAGCAATAGCAACAGCAAAGCGAAGCAAGGCAAAGCAATACGGGGTTCCTCCTGTGACAGCGATTCGAAAAAAAGATCACCAGTCCAGCTCGGCGACGAGCACTGAACTACGGCGGGTAGCAGAGACACTTGTGCACTTACGCCAGTCCCGAAAGGCTATTGTGCATAAACACATTAGCGCATGCTGGACCAGCTCAGAATAGTGTCGATCTGGTTTATTTCGTCCGGGGAGTTACTACAGTAGTCCTTCGGCTTGCCTTGGACCTTAGACCTTGGACCTTGGAGCGGCGCCGACCTTTGGCTGGACCATCTTGCCTCGCTGGGAAGCGCCTTGCAAACCCCTGAGACTAGCTCTGGCCTTGTCCAACCGTAAGCTCCGGATCTCCACTCGCTAGCATTGTTGACTGGAATTATGCATGAGCAAGCCCGTGTTCATGGAATACGAAGCGGCAAGATGGGTCCTGCCCACCCAGTGAGAAGTCGCAGAAATTTCCATGATCTGACTTCCGATTCGATGGCTCGCCAAGGAACGAGCTGAAGCTGGGCTTTTGCTGGAGCCCAAGGAGCCTTGCAAAACCCCTTGCTGAAAATTGGGGTGAGAATGCTGTGCAGCCCTGGCAGCCTACTGTGGTACTATGATAACTTACCGCTGACAAACAGTGGATTTCATCTGGAACAAGAGACGCTGGAGAGCCCACTGGAGTGTGCTCGTAAAGTAAAGACCAAATTTCACTGCCACACGGCAAAGACCGTAATGGCGATCATGAAGCCTGCCATAATACGAACGAAACCTAAGCGCGTTTTCGCTTGATAGGTCTTTGCTGTACAACATGCGCCGCATCCACTGAAGGAGACCGAATTGACGGTTTGGTGGTACAAATGTAAGCACAAATGGCTGGTATGGCAGCAAGGTTTCTTACGTGACGCGTCTGTTCACATTAACGCCTATTGGAAGGCATGGCTCCTGGTAAAACAAACTTTTCCCCGACATCGTGCAAAGAACGCGTAAAGTCAAATGCCGTCGACTGTGCTCCCCGAACTCACTGTAAGCACAGCGAGGTAACTAATCTGTGCGCCACGCGCCACCCACGCGTGTATGCTAGCGACTGACTGTACATGCGTGAATCGGTGGTTCGCCTCTGTTCCCATACAATTTGACGTCGTGTACTGTACAGTGTGGTGACAGGTGGTTCGAGGACTAGCTGACGCGGGGTGCGGGATCCAAAATGGCGGACCGCGAAGAACCGCAGATCGTGGTGGGGTTGTCAAACTCTATCGCGACGATGGCCAAACGAGTGACACGAACGACGTCGGCCGCTGCAGCGGCAGCGAGACCTATTAGACGAACGACGGCTGGTAGCACGATAAACGTAAAAACCACGAGAGCTAAAGCACATATCCGATAGAGCAACGAATGCTCGGAAGATTCGTGGCTCTGCTAAAATTAGTCTTGACTCTGTTGGTCGGTCTGCCATGACTATTCTTTGCGAAGAACACTATGCTTGGTTGGTTGCCGAGGTTACGATGCATTCTGGCGGCATTTTAAAATACTAAACCTCAATGGCAGTGAACGTATGGATCGCCATGTTCGTGAGGGGTATTATTTCCGTGAACGAACTAGACCCGCTCGAATTGAAGCTTTCCCCCTAAATATGTACTGGGCGTGGGGCCTGAGCTGTGATCTTCTTCAACCTGGGCGAGGCATTAACCCTTACGGCTGTCAAGCGTTTTGCGCTCCTGGGTATAACCCAGTCAAAGCCGCAGTTTTACAGCAGAATTATAGGATACTATGCTAGATAAGCGGTCGCTATACTACTAGCTTAAGATTTTATTAAATTCGCCTGATAAGTCCCCACTAGTAAAGTCCGCAAGAATATTTTCTATGAAACCCTGGCCATCCGTTGGGCTGAGCCACGGTGTTTCCCTACTGTTCTCTTGCATACCTTCTTGCTCGTTTTCTGTCCCGGCGTGTCGCCGCCTGTGCTTCTCTGGCTTGGTGCAATTTGTACCAAATTCAGACACCAAGAACGATTGTCGTTAATGGCAAGGTAATCATCCAGTAAATCCAGAAATTATCTGACAGAATGACTGGATCTCTAAAATCAAAGAACGTTGTGCTGAGAATGCCCTGCTTCTGGTCAACAAAAGAATTCAACTAAAGATACAATTCTACGTACCGCCACCAACGACGCCGGCAAGAAGAAGATACCAAGAAGAGCGATAAGTGTTTGCCCGGCCGCTACGCGATCACTATCTTCCCTATCTCTTTTCTGCTGCTTTTCCTGGTGCCTCGAGACATCTAATGATATCAATGCTTGCAATAATTCTCGCTGCGTCTTCAACTTTGCCGCAGTACGATCTGCGCTTGCTTTCAGTGCTTTCAGCTGGGATTGATAGAACGTAACCCGGGCCAAGAGCTCAATATAAGCACTGTCGAGGAAATGTTTTCTATCGGCATCATATCCCGCATACAATGTCAATAATGCATCATGCATTTCGTTCAAAACTTCGAGGTATCGCGCTGGTCGTTTCCACAGGACCTTATCGTGGCAAGCCACCAATTCTCCATGAAATGTGGCGATTTCCTCGCCGGTAAGCTCTCCATGGCGTACTAGCTTTCGTCGCCAGAATTTGTCGATTGCCCTGGTGAGTTCTTCGAGATTATCCACTGCCTCCTTCTGCTTCTCTTCTATATTGTCATCTATTTCATGGCTGAATATAATAATCGGCAAAAGCATCGGATGACACAACTGACCCGGGCTCAACCTTCCCTGTAAAAGCGTCTCAATGGACTTATCCAGACATTCAGGCGTTGTACCATTCTGCCACCGAGTTGCTTTACAGAAGCCAATTGTTGTTCCGTTTCTCATGTTGTGCGATAGCATAACCTCCCAGCCCGCATCGGAACCCATAGCTCGGTCATTGGTGGCCACTTCTAGCCGTAAGTCTGAACGAGATTCCAGAATTTTCAGCGATTGGAAATTGTTGTGATTTGCAGTTTCGATTGGCATACGGTACGGCCTGGTCAACCAACAGATGCAATCGTGAGGATTGCCGCGGTGAGCTCCAAGCATAATGGCACCCAGGCTTGCACAGTCTCAACTTGAGCTAATCGAGGCCATGATCCACGATGAATCGCTAACCGACGAACAGCGAGCTAAAAATGCAGACTGCAGCTCGCGTGCCATCCGAATAATTCGCTTGAATATGCGATGCTTCGAGTCTAAACAGACGCGTCACGTAAGAAACCTTGCTGCCATACCAGCCATTTGTGCTTACATTTGTACCACCAAACCGTCAATTCGGTCTCCTCCAGTGGATGCGGCGCATGTTGTACAGCAAAGACCTATCAAGCGAAAACGCGCTTAGGTTTCGTTCGTATTATGGCAGGCTTCATGATCGCCATTACGGTCTTTGCCGTGTGGCAGTGAAATTTGGTCTTTACTTTACGAGCACACTCCGGTGGGCTCTCCAGCGTCTCTTGTTCCAGATGAATTGTATTATTGCGCTCGCTGAAGCCTACCCGCTTGTTCTTACAGCTCAGCACCGGTCTCAAGAAATAGCTTCACCACTTCGACGTGGCCACTGCGTGAAGCAGCCTGCAATGCGTTGCCGTACTCTCCGCCCTGCGCATTGACATCGGCTCCCTTGTCTAGCAGCAGCTGCACGATCTCCTTGTGTCCTTCCCATGAAGCAGCCTGCAATGCGTTGCCGTACTCTCCGCCCTGCGCATTGACATCGGCTCCCTTGTCTAGCAGCAGCTGCACGATCTCCTTATCTTCTCCGTATGAAGCAGCCTGTAATGCGTTGCCGTACTCTCCGCCCTGCGCATTGACATCGGCTCCCTTGTCTAGCAGCAGCTGCACGATCTCCTTGTGTCCTTCCCATGAAGCAGCCTGCAATGCGTTGCCGTACTCTCCGCCCTGCGCATTGACATCGGCTCCCTTGTCTAGCAGCAGCTGCACGATCTCCTTGTCTTCTTTAGATGTAGCAGCCTGTAATGCGTTGCCGTATTTTCCGCCCTGCGCATTGATATCGGCCCCCTTGCCCAGCAGCATCTGCACGACATCCTTGTGTCCTCTGTATGAAGCAGCCTGCAGTACGTTGCCGTACAGTCCGCCCTGCGCATTGATATCGGCTCCCTTGTCTAGCAGCAGCTGCACGATCTCCTTGTGTCCTTCCCATGAAGCAGCCTGCAATGCGTTGCCGTACTCTCCGCCCTGCGCATTGACATCGGCTCCCTTGTCTAGCAGCAGCTGCACGATCTCCTTTTCTTCTCCATATGAAGCAGCCTGCAATGCGTTGCCGTACTCTCCGCCCTGCGCATTGATATCGGCTCCCTTGTCTAGCAGCAGCTGCACGATCTGCTTGTGTCCTTCCCATGAAGCAGCCTGCAATGCGTTGCCGTACTCTCCGCCCTGCGCATTGATATCAGCCCCGTTGTCCAGTAACAATTGCACGATCTCCTTGTGTCCTCTGTATGTAGCAGCTTGTAATGCGTTGCCGTACTCTCCGCCCTGTGTGTTGATATCGGCTCCCATGTCAAGCAGCATCTGCACGACATCCTTGTGTCCTCTGTATGAAGCAGCCTGCAATGCGTTGCCGTACTCTCCGCCCTGCGCATTGACATCGGCTCCCTTGTCTAGCAGCAGCTGCACGATCTCCTTATCTTCTCCGTATGAAGCAGCCTGCAATGCGTTGCCGTACTCTCCGCCCTGCGCATTGACATCGGCTCCCTTGTCTAGCAGCAGCTGCACGATCTCCTTTTCTTCTCCATATGAAGCAGCCTGCAATGCGTTGCCGTACTCTCCGCCCTGCGCATTGATATCGGCTCCCTTGTCTAGCAGCAGCTGCACGATCTGCTTGTGTCCTTCCCATGAAGCAGCCTGCAATGCGTTGCCGTACTCTCCGCCCTGCGCATTGATATCAGCCCCGTTGTCCAGTAACAATTGCACGATCTCCTTGTGTCCTCTGTATGTAGCAGCTTGTAATGCGTTGCCGTACTCTCCGCCCTGTGTGTTGATATCGGCTCCCATGTCAAGCAGCATCTGCACGACATCCTTGTGTCCTCTGTATGAAGCAGCCTGCAATGCGTTGCCGTACTCTCCGCCCTGCGCATTGACATCGGCTCCCTTGTCTAGCAGCAGCTGCACGATCTCCTTATCTTCTCCGTATGAAGCAGCCTGTAATGCGTTGCCGTACTCTCCGCCCTGCGCATTGACATCGGCTCCCTTGTCTAGCAGCAGCTGCACGATCTCCTTTTCTTCTCCATATGAAGCAGCCTGTAATGCGTTGCCGTACTCTCCGCCCTGCGCATTGATATCGGCTCCCTTGTCTAGCAGCAGCTGCACGATCTCCTTGTGTCCTTCCCATGAAGCAGCCTGCAATGCGTTGCCGTACTCTCCGCCCTGCGCATTGATATCGGCTCCCTTGTCTAGCAGCAGCTGCACGATCTCCTTGTCTTCTTTAGATGTAGCAGCCTGTAATGCGTTGCCGTATTTTCCGCCCTGCGCATTGATATCGGCCCCCTTGCCCAGCAGCATCTGCACGACATCCTTGTGTCCTCTGTATGAAGCAGCCTGCAGTACGTTGCCGTACAGTCCGCCCTGCGCATTGATATCGGCTCCCTTGTCTAGCAGCAGCTGCACGATCTCCTTATCTTCTCCGTATGAAGCAGCCTGTAATGCGTTGCCGTACTCTCCGCCCTGCGTATTGACATCGACTCCCTTGTCTAGCAGTAGCTGCACGATCTCCTTGTGTCCATTATATGAAGCAGCCTGTAATGCGTTGCCGTACTTTCCGCCCTGCGTGTTGATATCGGCTCCCTTGTCTAGCAGCAGCTGCACGATCTCCTTATGTCCTCCACGTGAAGCAGCTTGTAACGCGTTGCTATACAGTCCGCCCTGTGTGTTGATATCGGCTCCCATGTCAAGCAGCATTTGCACGATCTCCTTGTGTCCGCCACGTGAAGCAGCCTGTAGTATGTTGCCGTATTGTCCGCCCCGCGCATTGATATTGGCTCCCTTGTCTAGTAGCATCTGCACGACATCCTTGTGTCCTCTGTATAAAGCAGCCTGCAGTATGTTGCCGTATAGTCCGCCCTGCGCATTGACATCGGCTCCCTTGTCTAGCAGCAGCTGCACGATCTCCTTGTGTCCATTATATGAAGCAGCCTGCAATGCGTTGCCGTACAGTCCGCCCTGTGTGTTGATATCGGCTCCCTTGTCTAACAGCATCTGCACGATCTCCTTGTGTCCTGTACATAAAGCAGCCTGTAACGCGTTGCCATACAGTCCACCTTGCGCATGAATATCGACCCCCTTGTTAAGCAGCATCTGCACGACATCCTTGTGTCCTCTGTATGAAGCAGCCTGCAGTACGTTGCCGTATTGTCCGCCATGGGCATTAATATCGGCTCCCTTGTCAAGCAGCATCTGCATAACCTTCTTATGTCCTCTGTATGAAGCAGCTTGTAATGCGTTGCCGTACTCTCCGCCCTGGGCATTGACATCGGCCCACTTGTCAAGCAACGTCTGCACAATCTCCTCATGTCCTCTGTATGAAGCAGCCTGTAATGCATTGTTGTGGTATCTACCCCCCTTGTCCAAAATCATCTGCACGATCTCCTTGTGTCCTTCCCATGAAGCAGCCTGCAATACGTTGCCGTATTGTCCGCCCTGCGCATTGGCATCAGCCCCGTTGTCCAGTAACAATTGCACGATCTCCTTGTGTCCTCTGTATGTAGCAGCTTGTAATGCGTTGCCGTACTCTCCGCCCTGTGTGTTGATATCGGCTCCCATGTCAAGCAGCATCTGCACGACATCCTTGTGTCCTATGTATGAAGCAGCCTGTAATGCGTTGCCGTACTCTCCGCCTTGTGTGTTGATATCGGCTCCCATGTCAAGTAGCATCTGCACGACATCCTTATGTCCTCTGTATGAAGCAGCCTGCAATGCGTTGCCGTACTCTCCGCCCTGCGCATTGACGTCGGCCCCGTTGTCCAGCAGCAATTGCACGATCTCCTTGTGTCCTCTGTATGTAGCAGCTTGTAATGCGTTGCCGTACTCTCCGCCCTGGGCATTGATATCGGCTCCCTTGTCTAGCAGCAGCTGCACGATCTCCTTATCTTCTCCGTATGAAGCAGCCTGTAATGCGTTGCCGTACTCTCCGCCCTGCGCATTGACATCGGCTCCCTTGTCTAGCAATAGCTGCACGATCTCCTTTTCTTCTCCATATGAAGCAGCCTGCAATGCGTTGCCGTACTCTCCGCCCTGCGCATTGATATCGGCTCCCTTGTCTAGCAGCAGCTGCACGATCTCCTTGTGTCCTTCCCATGAAGCAGCCTGCAACGCATTGTCGTAGTATCCGCCCTGCGTGTTGACGTCAGCCCCCTTGTCCAACAGTATCTGCACGATATCCTTGTGTCCTCCACGTGAAGCAGCCTGTAACGCGTTGTTATACAGTCCGCCCTGTATGTTCATATCGGCTCCCATGTCAAGCAGCATCTGCACGACATCCTTGTGTCCTCTGTATGAAGCAGCCTGCAATGCGTTGCCGTACTCTCCGCCCTGCGCATTGGCATCAGCCCCGTTGTCTAGTAGCAATTGCACGATCTCCTTGTGTCCTTTACATGAAGCAGCTTGTAGGATGTTGCCGAAAAACCTAACCTGCATATTGACATTGGCACCGTTATTAAGCAATATCTGTACCACCTCCTTATATCCTCTGTATAAAGCAGCCTGCAATGCATTGTCGTAGTATCCGCCCTGCGTGTTGACGTTAGCCCCCTTGTCTAACAGCATTTGCACGATCTCCTTGTGTCCTGTACATGAAGCAGCCTGTAACGCGTTGCCGAAAAACCTAACCTGTACATTGTCATTGGCACCGTTGTTAAGCAATATCTGCACGATCTCCTTGTGTCCTTTACATGAAGCAGCCTGTAACGCGTTGCCGTACCCTCCGCCCTGCGTGTTAATATCGGCTCCCTTGTCTAGTAGCAGCTGTACGATCTCCTTGTGTCCTCCACGTGAAGCAGCCTGTAACGCGTTGCCATACAGTCCGCCCTGTGTGTTAATATCGGCTCCCATGTCAAGCAGCATCTGCACGATCTCCTTATGTCCTCCACGTGAAGCAGCCTGCAGTATGTTGCCGTATTGTCCGCCCCGTGCATTGATATTGGCTCCCTTGTCTAGCAGCATCTGCACGACATCCTTGTGTCCTCTGTATGAAGCAGCCTGCAGTACGTTGCCGTATAGTCCGCCCTGCGCATTGATATCGGCTCCCTTGTCTAGCAGCAGCTGTACGACATCCTTATGTCCTTTACATAAAGCAGCCTGCAATGCGTTGCCGTACCCTCCGCCTTGCGTGTTGATATCGGCTCCCTTGTCTAGCAGTAGCTGCACGATCTCCTTGTGTCCATTATATGAAGCAGCCTGCAATGCGTTGCCGTACTCTCCGCCCTGCGCATTGATATCGGCTCCCTTGTCTAGCAGCAGCTGCACGATCTCCTTGTCTTCTTTAGATGTAGCAGCCTGTAACGCGTTGCCGTATTTTCCGCCCTGCGTGTTGATATCGGCCCCCTTGCCTAGCAGCAGCTGCACGGTCTCCTTGTGTCCTTCCCATGAAGCAGCCTGCAATGCGTTGCCGTATTGTCCGCCCTGCGCATTGACATTGGCCCCATTGCCCAGCAGCAATTGCACGACATCCCTGTGTCCTCCACGTAAAGCAGCCTGCAATGCGTTGCCGTATAGTCCGCCCTGCGCATTGATATCGACCCCCTTGTCCAGCAGTATTTGCATAACCTTCTTATGCCCTCTGTATGATGCAGCCTGCAATGCGTTGCCGTATAGTCCGCCCTGCACATGAATATCGACCCCCTTGTCAAGTAGCATCTGTATAACCTTCTTATGCCCTCTGTATGAAGCAACCTGCAATGCGTTACCGTATAGTCCGCCATGGGCATTAATATCGGCTCCCTTGTCAAGCAGCATCTGCATAACCTTCTTATGTCCTCTGTATGAAGCAGCCTGCAATGCGTTGCCGTACTCTCCGCCATGGGCATTAACATCGGCTCCATTGTCAAGCAACGTCTGCACAATCTCCTCGTGTCCTCTATGTGAAGCAGCTTGCAATACGTTGTCGTAATGTCTGCCCCGGGTATTGACGTTGGCCTTATTGTCCAACAGCAATTGCACGACCTCCTTGTATCCTTCACATGAAGCTACGTATAGCGCATCATCGCACTCTGCGCCCTGGGCATTCACATTGCTCTTGTTATTAAGCAGCAGCTGCACGACCTCCTTGTGTCCGCCACGTAAAGCAGCCTGCAATGCGTTGCCATACAGTCCACCCTGCGCATGAATATCGACCCCCTTGTCAAGCAGCATCTGCACGACATCCTTGTGTCCTCTGTATGAAGCAGCCTGCAGTACGTTGCCGTATTGTCCGCCCCGCGCATTGATATCGGCTCCCTTGTCCAGCAGCATCTGCATGACCTTCTTATGCCCTCTGTATGAAGCAGCTTGTAATGCGTTGCCGTACTCTCCGCCCTGGGCATTGACATCGGCCCCCTTGTCTAGCAGCATCTGCACGATCGCCCTGTGCCCTTCCCATGAAGCAGCCTGCAATGCGTTGCCGTATTTTCCGCCCTGTGTGTTAATATTGGCCCCCTTGTCCAGTAGCATTTCCACAATCTCCTTATGTCCTTCGTATGAAGCAGCCTGCAATATGTTGCCGTACTGTCCGCCCTGCGCATTGACGTCGGCCCCGTTGTCCAGCAGCAATTGCACGACCTCCTTGTGTCCTCCAAGTAAAGCAGTCCGCAATACGTTGTCGTAGTATCTGCCCCGGGTATTAATGTTGGCCTTGTTGTCAAGTAGTATCTGCACGATTTTCTTATGTCCTTTGTATGAAGCAGCCTGCAATGCGTTGCCGTACAGTCCGCCATGGGCATTAACATCGGCTCCCCTGTCAAGCAGCATCTGTACGATCTCCTCGTGTCCGCTGTATGAAGCAGCTTGTAATGCGTTGCCGTATCGTCCGCCCTGGGCATTAACCTTGGCCTCCTTGTCGAGTAATCCTTCGACACATGCTGACAAGCCTTGGAGGGAAGCATAGTATAGAGGTGGTGTGCTCTTACACTTTTCATCTTCCTCCAATTGTTCATCCCATGGCTTGTCTGGATCGTAAAGTCGGAGGCAAGTACTCAAAGCATCCACACTTGAAAGAAGTGCCATTGCTAGAAGAAACACCACATGTCTCTTGCGCTCGCCTATCACAGCATGGCAAGTCCAGTATTGAGCTGAGTATTGAGCCAAGGGGTAAAGCTCCCTCGTTAGCCTAGCAGAAACACTTTTCTTCGGCTCCAACAGATACGTTAGGCAGACTTCGGTAATGTAGCTGCGTGCCGCTCCCTCTTCCAGAAAATGAGCGGTGGCTTTCTCTAAACGGTCTGAGGTTAGATAATCTTTGACCGAGAAGTGTGCTAGTTGGATCTCCTTGACTATGTTATTTTGATTGTATCCGTCTGTCCTTGAAACGAGGACCACCAAGCTGGAACAGTACCTCGTAATTTCTTCAGGTTGCGGCATCCTGTTTGTTGGATCAAACCTTACACCCTTTACTACATCAGTCTCCACATCGACCGCGATAGCATCGACAGCCTCTTCGAGTCGTAAAGGCCGTTCCGAGTATGTAAGGAATTGCAAGATTCGTCTCGTGTAATGCATGTGTTCCGGAGGTATATTGGTCAAGATCCGCGCATACGTCTCATCCAGCGTCCTCGGCAGCGATGCAAGAGCCTGACGCAATGTCTTTTGGTCGTAACACTTTTCTAAAGCGTCAAGCTGGCACCAAACCCAACGAAACCTAAAGAATTCAGCGTAGAATTAAACAGGAGGTTGGGTTTCCTACATTCCGTTGGCTTTTCTTAGCAAACTGGACTCGATCTCGGATTGGATATCATGTCGTTGTTTCCATCTGCTTAGTCCATGGTGCTTCCTGACCCTTGCACGCACATAGTCGCTGATGTCTCCATCCACCAGGTCATCTTGAACAGGTATCATGTCCTCACGATGGGCGTAAATTTCGATGGCTGCCTTTATGTCTTGTTCTGGACGGCTCGTGACAAGGATATGTATATTCAAGTCGGATTCCTGAAGAACTTGCAGCCAGGGGAGCAGTTCGTCACGCGACGTGCATTCGTCTAGTGCGTCTAGTACGATCCAGACTTCGCCTGCGTGTTGAACCATGTTGGCAAAGGTCCCCCGGAGCGAACTGGTGCTGGGCTGCTCTTTCCCATCTTTGCAAGCATGAAACAACGAATCTGGATGATTTCGTAACTTTTCATCTTGGTCGTACAACTGATATATCAGCGCACGGATGGTATTATCGAAGGACTGTTTTCGGGCATCGGTGAAATCGAAATAGAAGTGTAGTAGCGTATGAGAAGATTTCTTCAAATCCTCGATTATTGTAGACGTCAGGATAGTCTTGCCGCATCCTGGGATACCATGTAGCCAGAGGAAGGATTGATATTGCTCTTTCCAGCGTGCATATGCCTCGCCCTCGATTAGCCGTCGACCAGAGCCCTCGTGGCGAGCCTCGATTGCTTTGTTGAAGTTGTTGGATGGATCAGGTGCCGCGAGCCATTTCGAGACGTTGGAGCTATGTCTATCACTTTGCAAGAGTTTGACTTCATGATGCGTATCATTTGTCTGGGAGTAGATGTCGTGCACTTTATCACTGACTATTGAGATATCAGCGCATCGCTTTATATGGTTTGAGTTATGAGATGTAGTAGTAGAGCTAAGTGTTACATACCATCAGAAAGCAGATCAATCAGCTTCTTCTCAGCCTTCACCTTGTTAGGCGCCAGTTTCCGAAGCAGGTCCTTTGCATAGGCAGCTGCGGCCATGGCTGCGTAACCTTGCCAGATCACGTTTTTGTGCGTGTCCGAGTAGTCGCAGATTCCGCGGATCACGAGACAGGGGAAATGGTTCATTAAGCCTGCGGCTTCCATCTCGAAACATAAAACGTCTTTCTCGGCTGCGAGCCTGTCTCGTACATTTGCATCCTTCATCAACTGGTTCGCGGACGCTGTGAGACCAAAGTGGATCATTGGGTCATCATCCTTCTCCGACCGTCGGGCCCGCACAACTAGCTTCGAGCCGTCGTGACAATCGATTGCACAATCAACATCGTCACTACCAGTATGTTTGTAGGAGGAATGGTATAACCTGTCGGTGTGGGAGCCTGGTTTTCGATACTCTGTTCTCAACCTTGGGTTGTTCGCCAGAATATCGTTGATGGTCTTTGCAATACTGTGTCCACGAAGTTTGTACTGGGTTTTAAGGGCGGACATTGCGGTCAATAGGCACTGTGGTGGCTGATTCAAATAACCCGTGATGTTGAAGGTCGCATCCTGTATAGTCTTGCCGTAGTCGTACTGGAATACCCCGCCATTTCCATAACCTGGGGAACTGACGACAACGTCGCCTAAACGGATGTCATGCTTCGGGCTTGGTGCGCCACCGCCGATACCAACCATCAGACCAACCTTGATATTTGGGAAGGTGCGGATCATGTCTCTAGCCACAGTAGCAGCACTGACAAGCCCGTATTGCCAATGTGGTAGGGCAGCGATGACAACGTTGTGCTTTCCAACCCGCCCGAGAGTATATGAGTTGTTGTCGTTGATAGGTATCTCTTCCAAATCATCGTGCTGTTCGTCGAGGAAGACCGTGGCTGCGATATATTCCGGTTCGACGGCACAGATCCATCCTATCGAGTATATGCTCGGGTCGGACATGGCTAGCACGCTGCGATCGAGAGACAATATGTGTCGGCGTCTGAGGGATTGGGCGCTGCGCAGATTGATATGCTCGAGTCGGTGGGTCGATCAGATTGTTGATGGGTTGAGGGTGAAGTTCACTGCCATGCACGCCTCGGCGACAGGCCCAAGGCATTCTTGAGCTTTCAGCCTCAAAGTCACTTTTGGCTGGTGTAACCAATGATCGACCTCAATAGCGGAAGATGAGTGGCCAGGAGTCTGCAGCTTCAAGTCTGGGCTCAACTCCCAAGGAGAGGCGATGCACCCCAAGTAAGGCTGTGTGACTGTTGTGGCCATGAGCCAGACCGGAGTCACACTTTTTGGTCGGTCAGGACTCGGCAGTCCTAAGCCAGCCACCATGCTTCCACTCGTCGAGCAAATTGAAGGCACCTTGTCAAAAATGATTTCAACCAGTAAGCAGTGTCGTTGGGTCTAGAATTGCGAAGACTACGGGAAGATCTGTTGGATACATCTTCGCGTAGCTCATCAGAGCCTAGCGCGTGCATTGTGCTCATACCCCTGCTTGGGCTCCCGTCGCGTCGCTGCCCAACTATGTCCCTGGGTTATTAGACACGAATACCGAGAGTATAGCAGCATAAGCAACCGTCACTACCATCGTTTTGTAGTTGGACACTTTTAACAGGAAAGTCACAAAGAATGGAGAAGGCAACAATGCATAAGGATACCACAGCTAGGAGCGCTGCCTTGGAGGGCCAAATTGACAGAATGGCGAGGGGAACTAGAAGGAAGAATTCTACGGCCGTAGCGGTGACAATGCGTCCAGCGATACTAGCGATCATGACTGTATTCTGAAGTGACCGGCCATGAAGGACCCCGGGCTGTTTTGTTATGTTTAAAACATAATTTATTTACCATCTTTTGTGATGTAATTACATGGACTACTCTGCAAAATGGTTTTTTACGTGCCACATTGGAACAAACTGTCGAACTGCTATGATCATAAGCAATGATTCAATTTGTAAAACTGTTGCAGATATACATTGCAGATCTCCATTGCCGGTCACTTCCCATTTAGACAGTTACATACTATGAGGCTATCATCTTGAGGATATGACCCTTTTTTAATCACTTCTTGATCAATCAACACTGTATCGCCTTCTACAACAAACAATAACGACAACATGAAGCAAGTGAAGATCGAGATGAAATCATAGAGATATCAGAGTCGTGTATCATTTCAGGATCGCTAAGTAAAACACGCAATGCAAAGCCTTGAAATGATGTTAAAATACAGACAGTCTCTTAACACAATCATTGGATAGCGGCAAAGTGAAATGTTGAGAACGACCGAACAGATTATAATCCCATATACACCACACCTGTTCTGTCTAATCTGTTAGCCTCATCCGCAATTCAGCCCACTAAAAAAATGCTCACGACCCTCCACAGATCATAACCTTACCATTTATAGTCATACTGATTCATTCAGGTGCTTGGGACATTGCTGACACCCATCGTTCTCAACGAGCCCGAGGGGGCGGCTGAGGGGGCTTACCTCACTCGACTGGCGTCAGAGATCGTGGCACTGGAATTTGGTTAACATGTTGGGCCGTCGACTCCGGGTGGCTTTCTTGCGAGTCAACATCTCGTAACGCTGGATGGATGTCTGACGGTGGTCGAACTGATATGGTGGGTTGCTGACGCGGCGACATCTCATAGTGGGCGCTCATGTACGGATCGGGGTTGTTGCCGGTATAGTCTGCGACCTGCGATTGCGCGATGGTGCTGGTAGGAGGAGTTGGCTGTTTCGAGGTCTGAACTTGTCAAAAAGAAACACGACGAGAAGTATGCCGACAAATAGGACCCAGATTGCAACGCAAATGACCAGTCCTATTAGCAGCCCGGTAATGACGGTTTCGTTATTGACGTTGCCCAACAGAGTAGTAGAATAATACGAAAACGCAGGCATTGTAGTCTCGTTGCGCTCAGTGACAGGCGACAACTCCATGGTTCAAAATGTCTTCATAATTACCGACGTAAAGTAGGATCATGATCATTCTATCACAGATTTATATTATTTCCTGCCCTGATCCATTAAAGCACCACGGTTGGGACAAGTAAATGTGGAGTTCAAGGTCGTAGAGGATTCGTGCGGCATTGCTCATCTGATTCCAGTTCATTTTGGATCTATGAACAATTGGCAACAACAGGACTTACGTAGCTTCTAATTCTACAGCATAATCGTCTCAAGGCTCATGTACTTCTGGCTAAAACTGGCAGTGCTGCCAATTACGACATTTAGTAACTGCTTGGATACCTACACAGTCCGGATTTGAACTTTCAGAGGAAGCGGCGGGCATCTTTCAAACGTGGAACCCTTTACACATTGTGTCAAATCGGTACAGTAGAAGCAGGAACGAATATGCTTGCGAGGTCCGATTCTCTTTTTAACGATAATATAGACTTTCGATGTTCGAGAAAGGTCATTTTGGTGTGATGCATAAAGTGACACATTTTAGAACCGCATTTAGGTCACCCCACTTTCCGTCTTTCAAATGGGTCAGCATCAGGACACGGTCACTAGAACCAAGAATGGGCCACATCCGACAAACGATTCATGATCTCATGGGGCCCGAAGCTGTCTCGGATGGAAAGGTTTTATCAGCTTGTGCCTTCACCAACTACCCATATGTCCCTAACTCCAGCACTCGACGTCTTCGCCTTTCTTGCCGTGAATTTTAAAGGGGGGGATCAGGGGATGGAAGACTTGGCGACGGATCCTGAAAGTACAACTCCTTGTCTAGAAGAGCGGCAACCAATTTCGGTGCTGTTTGTACATACTTTTATCTCATAGAGTCGAGCGACAGACCTCGTCATCATGAAGCATCTGTACCTGCAACCAGCGGCCGAACTCTTAGAAATAATGTTCAAAAGAGTAAACTACGCACCTTGACTCCAGAAAAAGAAAAAGAAATTTGGCGAGAGAGTACAAAGGCTCGAGGAAAGAGTATTCAAAGATACCCAAAAAGCACAGCAACTGGAGTCTTTGGCGAATCAGTCACTGCCAAAAAAGTCTTCTTCGATAAATTCGTGTGCTCAGGTTGCGAGCTACCAGGAGACTGCCCTGCAAGACGAGCAGTCTAATCCATTCAACCCTATAGCTGTCGTTGTTGACACAGCAGACTCATCAGACAGCAGTGATACGAGAACGTTGACTTTAAATGAGAAGTTTATCGAGGATATCGATCCTGATGTAGACCGTCTAACCAGAGTTTTGAGCCACCTCGGTATCGGAGAACATATGATTGATAAGCCTGTGGCTGTGGATGGAGAAGATGTGGTTCGAATGATCCAGTAGCACTGGGTTGGGGTTGGGTTGGGGGGGAGGCTATCTGCTTCGCCCTGGTTTGTAGCTGAGGAACGACGCTGTTTGAGGTTGTTGCGTCTAGTGTCTCGGAAGTTTGTATTTCCCGATTATTTCAATGACGACTGCTGTTGACAAGTTATGGACTGTATTTGGATGTCTTGTTGTCGTGGGTCTAAACGGAGGAATAATCTGCATGTTTGGTCAACAAAGTTGTCGTTTGGGTTAGTAAGAGAATATGCTAGAAAGCTTGAGGCACTCGTGTTGGCCAATTCATCATGCTGAGTTCAAGATTGGGTCATGGTAAATAAGACAGGTAAAATCACATAAGAACGAACGAACAACTAAGACAACACAGGAACTTCTTTGATGGGTTTCGAACTGAACTATGACGTGGTTACGTTGCTTTTATTTGACCTTCATTTGAACGGGTATCTGGTTATTTGAACGTAGAAATGTAATATACACATGTCTACTTAAGCATGGGACTTGCTTGCAGCTTGAAGGCTAGTCTTGGTCACTACCTATCGCAGCACCTGTCGATATCGAAACCCGTATTCTTCCGAGTATTGTACTCTATTGTACCTACAGTCACTGCTTGTAAGATATCTTCGAGCTGTACATACTCTCAAGTTTTCACAAGAATCCTTACAACAGGAAGTCGCATACCTCAAAAGACTGGCCCCGCTCTCACGTTCTGGGCGCTGCAGTATTGGCAGGAAGTTCTCTCAAAAAGAAAAGAGGGACCTCGGAACTCTCAATTATCGCCTCAATGTGCCTTCTCAAATCCCTGAATATTGGCACTCTAAGCTTGGGCTACGAACCTTCAACGACATTTCAAGTATAACAGGCACGGCAAAGCTCTCGGATCGGACACTACGGTCTCTTTATCAGCATACCCAACCATCTTCTACAACTCAAAGGCAAGACGAAGTTCAACGATATATTTAGGCCAGACGATGCGCAGAATGCAAGTCTCTACTTGGTGTTTCCAACAACAAGCTTACCGCGGTTAAAGCAGCTCGAGGCTGTGACAGCCGTGGTTCATCTTGATATATATCACCTTCTGAAAGTTGCTTTCGGTGCTTGGGCGAAGTGTTGTATTGGTGTGTTCCAGAATTGATCGTGACATCCCTTATGCTGTCTTTTGTTACTTGCGAATTGAGAAGCCTTTAACGCCCTCGGTGGATTGTTCACTTGGTAACGCCTACTCATATCTCGACGAATCAGGCTATGATCAGTGAAGGCCTGTATCTGTTTCATAGAACAGCAATACCACACCCAGAGCAGTTGTGGCATTGTACTTTTGGCAGATTGCTGTAGCACTGTCTATGGTTGGTAGCTTCTCAATACCCAAGAATGATATCGAAAAAGATGTCCCTAGTGTACCGTGCCAGCCGCGGACCTATACATAGTGGAGCCATCGTAATCCAATAACCATGGAGGATTCGGTCGTGGCTGTTTTCAAGGCAGGAGGTCCTGCTCGGACTTGTGCTTCTCTCTCGCGCGTTCTTACTTGCTATCGAATATCCGCAGCCGTAGGCAACCACTCAGGAAAGGCTTCTGTGGGATATGCTGACGCAGCCATGTACATTGCAGCGTCTAAGGCTAAAAGTTATAACATGCTGCATCTTTCCTACTCGGCTGACTCGATCCACCCCTGCTAGTGCCAACGTGACTGTATGTTTTATGTTACCTGTGTTCGGTGAAAGTCAAGCCCATCAGATTAACTTGTGGTTCTTTCTGACCCAAAGACTTTCCACTGGCTTCTGAGCGCTGTGATACTATCCTTGAGCGTGGTCTGTCAAGAAGAGCCATGTAAATATTGTTTACTTGCTCATAGAGCACGCTGGTGTCCACCTTAAGTTGATCCTACAATCAGGTGTGACAGATGATCAGGAATATTCGAAAAGCGCGAGTCGGCGTGCCCGAAGAGCTGTCCGTAAACGATTAGCCGAGATGTTCGAAATAGATTGTATTCGTATCCTTGAACTCGGTGGTATGAAATTCCTCAAACAAGCCAAGCCACAAACTACGTAGCAAATTAGATGCCTAAAGCATTTTAATACTAACATGTTACACGGTGTGCCTTCTGTTCCCTTATATGCTGCGTATTTAGAACGAAGAGACGCTTTAGCAATTTCGGAGAGGCTGATTCTAGTTGAACAAATACGTTATTTGAATTCCAAATTGTTCATCATTGCTTGACTAGGGTAGCGACGTCGAAAAGAATATACGCCTACCGTGAACACCTAGGAGCTAGTTTAATAGAACTTGACCCTTACTTGGCTGAGAACTCGATGTTGTGTAGAGTCGGGTTTCAGACATTTCCTTTTACTTTTAGGATGCGAAGTGATATATGCTTCGTGAAATAGCATACGCTTCGGAGCATTAGGGAATTACAATGAGTGATGGTGTAGAGAGTTAATTTCATTGGCTTTCACGTACATTGAGTGGGGTCTTCGATGTGTCTTTTGGCGGGTACGTTAATGTCTAGATGCACACCTTTGGGGTGTTGAACAAAATGAGCAAAACGGAGTTGCGGATATACTTTAGAAATCCGTTTGTAAACGGGTAAAAGGTTATTTCCAGTACGCGCTGTTTTGGACAGGCAGATGTGGGGCTATTATTATGCGCTAAGACTATTTTGGCGCCCAATTCAGCATAAGGTCTGCCATTTTCTGATCCCAAAACCTCCAGTCTTGGACATCGCCATGCCGAAAACCGTCATCTATATGCAAAACTAGGCCACATATTGTGCAATGATTGTTTGGAATCAGCCAGATAGACGAGAATTTAAGATGTCCTATGTGTCGAAGAAAATGCTGCGAAAGATCACGGTGCGAAGATAGTTGCCTTCAGATTTTCCACGTGTTAAGTTAAAGCATATGTCATAGATAAACGATGGAAACGAGTCTTGAGCGTGATCCAATCTTGTCATTAACAACTTTTGTCGTGGGGTGCATTTGTATCGACGCGACTCACCACCTCCTGTGAGTAGTTGGTTGGAATATAGCGTACGGTGACGCCTATTGGAACGAGGATCTTTGGCAATATGGTCCAACCGCACCCAATATCTCATCCGGAAGACTGCTGTAAATCACTACTACAGATATACATATATATATATATATGGGAAGGCACCTCTGATCCTTGCGGGCAGAATATGCAAATCAATACATCACGTGTATGCGCGCGCTCATGAAGTAGCCATGACCACCATTTCTCCGACATGATGTGGTCGTAATGATGTTGTATAGAACAGGTCGGACGAAAGGATGTCCTGTTGGGCAGGTATCATATCCCATCTCTTAATGGAATGTTTTACAATGCAAAACAGACGGAATGACGTCGCGAACAGTCCTCTGCTTTACTCTTGAACAAAAGCGTCCTCTTTTAAATACTAACACTCAACACTAGGTCTCTTAACGTTCTTTACTCTTCGAGGTGCTGCTGCCACCGCTGCTTTTACTGTTGTCGCCGGCCTGAGGCTTACCATCCGCATGGCCCTGACCTCCCCAAGCCATTTCCTTATTGGCTGGGCTAAACTCTAGCGGATTACCAACACCACCACCTTTGCCCATGGTGTCCTTCGCAGTCTCCGGTGATGTCTTCTCTGGGTTGAAGGCCGCATCCTCGTTGGCGGCTGCTTCGTCGTCTGTTCCAGATATTGTGTTGTCGTGCGCTTTTGGTTTAAGTGATTCCCGGTTCTGATCGTCTTTATAGGCCATGCATGTTGTTTGCGAAGTTTGGAAACTCTGGGTACCGCGCATAGGTAAAATGTGCGCTGTAGCTGGCGTGCGCAGTGCGGTGCGGAAGGGCATGAGAGACGGCATTTGAGCCTGGGAAGTATCTTTCTAAGTGCAACTCGGTGGATTGGGGAGGAATCGTCCAGGAATCGTTCTTAGATGTCAACTGAGTGAAGCAAACCAAGTCATTCGGGAATCATGGTATCATGAGCCGTCAACATGGTGACTGTCATAAACGAGAGAGTGACGTCAAGCCTCTTGATCTTGCAGTGATTAGTGCTAACACTGCCTTTCCAAAATTAGCCCCTTTTTAAAGAAGGCAAAAGAATAAGAGTAAAATTGGTGGGATCTTCTAAGACTGAAGAGAACGTAACTACTGAAGAGTGATTGGCGCCTGGCGTCAAAGTGGGCCGCATACGCGTGTTGAGTGTTGTATATGGAACTTTGTAGATAGCTGCAGCGCGTCGCATACTAAGGTTTGGCGTGTTTTTAATAGCCTGGATCGCAAGGGTCAGCTTGGCCTACTTTTGATCTGAATCCATTTAGAATTACTTGTGTTGTGAGGTGAAGAAGTTGAATTACATATTATGCTGCTTAGCGTGATCAGGTCAATCGGGTGATCAGGTCAATTGTGGAGTACGTTATCATATGAAAATATAAAGTATACGAGAATACAACCCCGCTTTCTGTCTGATGTAAGACAAGGCTTGTTGTACTGCCAGGACCAATTCGGAACACTGCGCGCTAGGCAAGGACTCCAAACGAGATGAGCCCCGCGGTTCGAAACTCATCTTTCCCTCATTTGATCAGCTGCTGAGGCACTTCCCTTCGCTGCAAAGTAATCACAGCACCCGTATCTCGTATGGGGTGTGCCTAGCAATCACTTAGTTCCCGTTAACATCTTTTATGAGCCGCTTCTCCCTCTGAAATATTGCACATCTGATCATCGCGAGGAGCCATATCCCATGGCTGGAGCATCATCTACTGAAGATGACCCCCCGCGCAATGCTGCAATATCCTCTGCGTGGAGCTCGCTTGTACGTCGCAGTATAGAAGCTTGGGAATCACTCAATCCAGATATGGGTGTGTTGCAAACAAGTTTCCTGCAAAGTTGGGATAGTCTTGACGACCTTCTAACCCAAGCACCGGGGTCTCTTATGTTTTGGTTTTTCCAGAAGAGAGAGGCATTCCTGTCCCAGAAGGCTATGACAAAATGGAGCAACGATCGGTTAGACGACTACATCCTTCTTCCTGCTACCCCTGGATTCGTCCTTCGTACCGACTGTTTCTTCGTCAGTCACTTCTGGCGCTCGAAAGAACACCCTGACCCGGATGGCAAATACCTACGGCTCATTCAGAACGATCTTCAACAGCAGACTTGGTCGTACGTCTGGGTCGACTGGACCTGCATACCACAGTCGCCCCGCAACGACAAGGAAAAGGCGTATTTTAGACGGGTTTTGCAGACGATGTCTGGAATAATCAGGAACTCGGGTTTCATTTACTACTATCCACCGTTCGAAGCTCGCCTGTGGATACTTTACGAGGTGGCTGAGTACACACTTACCTCTGAAAGTGAGCTCTACGTGACTGAAGACCTCAAGGAGTTCACAGACCACGTCAAAGAGATGGTCCAAGTTGGGGTACGGCCGACACTAGAAAGACACCAGTATAAGTGCACGTACGAGCCAGACAAAGATTTTCTTATCTCTTGGTTGGAGGTACTTGTTCTTCTGCAAAGACTGCATGTCGACATCCAAGGCGTGAGGCAATTGTTGGATTCGCTTACCTGGCACCCATTTGCAAAGCAGCTAATCATGACCACTGAAGGCATTTTGGAATGCAGCAGATTTGAGGGCAATTTAATTTTGAATCGGCAACGACATACCTTTACTCCGTTTCCCCGATTGGAGATTTGGCCCGAGCATTCAAGAAATATTCCGACCGAGCTCCGTGACAGCGTTCCCATTAGTGGCACCTGGGGTTTTGCTCCAAGTGAAACTCAACCTAGACCATCGTCTTAGCATACCGAGGCTTGTGTCCCCAAAAGCGTATCTCGTGCCCGTATGTAAAATCCTCTATTTGGCATTTATTGAACTGACAGGCAGCTCCAGCAAGGAAGAATATTTGATTTTTCTATGAATATCCTCTTTCGTCTTGTAATGGAACGCGATTTATTCACTGGCCAGCAAAGGGAGTAGATTTACCCACCTACAGGTCTGAATCAAAGGGGCTGCTGTCCCTAGGAGTTTTCTTACACCTGCATAATGTCAAGGTGGGATCCGAGTGATAGTTTCTATAACACCAGTGTCAGACCGGAGACTCTGACTACAAAGTCACTCATTGAAATCAAGAAACTGGACGGCGGAGATTAGAAGTTTGTTATGATACCCTTATGCGAAGAAATAAACACAATCAGAGAACTAATAGTCGCTTTGTCCTAGCGTTCATACCATTGGATCTTAAACTCACAAACGCAGACGTCGGTATCCGAATTAGTAGCTAACCCCGGTCGTAAACTGAATTTCTGGCAGGGTGTCAGGGATGAAAATATCCACTAAAAACCAAGAACTTCAGATATGTCACCGACGTTCACCAGAATGTCAGCAAATAATTGACCGCAGTAGCTTTACCTTAGTCTGAATTAAACGTCAGATAGGTTTAGATCCATTAGGATCGGGTAGATCGTAACTTTTAGCGGCGAGCGGTGGATACCCAACCGTATTGAACCTCGTAGATCTCTTTAGTCTTTGCCGAAGCCTAGGATGAAGCGTTGCAACTGGTATCAACGACATCAACGTACTCGCGGCGACACTGTGTTTCGACAAGCAAATTCCACGAGTATAGCCTTCTTCCTGATCCCATGACCTGCCCAACCATCTGTTGCTCAAATGCTGAGCATCGCCTGCTATTTTCTAGCCTCCAAGTGGAACGGGTGCACATTAATTCCTAGCCTAGTGCTCACGAAGCACTCTAAGTCACTAGCTGTTTGATCAGCGGCTATATATGGTTTCAAGCTCTTCTCGAAGCGGTTCATTATTGCTGACTCACTCCACTTTCCAGATATGAGGGTTACTAATCCGTATTGACGTCTCGGTTACAGTTTGAAGTCCATGTTACTTGCCATAATCGCAATGAGGCATGATAGTAACAGCCGTATTCCACCAATCCCATAAATAAACGGGTGGTGGTGGGCTTATTAATGCGCTTGGTGTTCAAATCGAATGTTGGGCGGAGCTCGATAGGTGAGTCGAGTCTACGTGGCACTGCCAGGGCATCAGAAGCTCCGATGTTTAGTAAAGAGTCGTTTCCGAACAGCATGTCGCTGTTAGTGACACCTTGAATAGAAACTAGTCTGGGTCTCTCCGTTATAACCGTTTAGAGCGCGGTTGCAGCCTTTTTGCTGCGAGCTATAGAAGTATCCCAACGTCCAGCAACAGGTATGCTGCTTAAACCATTATTCTGACTCATGTACTCGATTCTTTCGGAGATTTTGTTCTCAATCCGGTGGTGGCAGCCATAAATTTTCCTTGCTTTTCGTTGTGGTTGAAGAGGATATTATTTAAAAGTTGGCCACCCCGTTAGTGGGTTGGTGTCGATAATTCTGAAGTGACAATCAAATAGATCTCCGATTTTTTATTTTCGGAACGTTCGTGTGAAAGGTCATTGACTACAAGACTGCCTGCCTGCTCTACGATACTGTGTTACGGGCTATGGGCCGTGTATCAGTTGTCAGCTAAAGCCTTCAACCATGAGCGCGACCATGAAGCTCAAACCCGGTAGCTTATAGGCATGGCTGCCGGCGCGCACATAAGGTTTCGACGAACTGGCGAAGTGGCGAATCTGCAACTACAAATTGTGCCATCATATGGATGAAAGATTGTGATTCTCTTCTTTTTCAAGCTTTAGATGCTCGTCAATAGGATAGTCAATTGAAACATACATTGACTGCGCCTCTCACAATTGGGGCGACTGAGTCAGCTTGGCAAGAAAGTCAACAACGTCCCAAGGCAGTTGAGCACAAGCTTGAATACAAAATCGGCTCTATGAGTTCGATAATGGGTTCTTGTTTTATGCGGTAGAATGGAGCGGGTATAACTGACACAGCTGGGAGTTCGATTACAAGTGCACGCATAATCACCTACTGCTCCACTACGGTGGCATGGTAGGAGCTTCGGCTTACCTACCACAGCATGCTACACTGTGGGTCCCGCGCGACGCTGGGGCGTCCTTGGGACCACTAACGCAGCCGACGGCATATTCGACAGAGCTGAAGAATGGCGCCGCAACAGTGCCACAGGGCCGGGCCGTTAGCTGGGTCGATATTTTCACGGACAACCAAGCCGTCATTTCCTCGTCTGCCTGGCCGGCCGTCGATCAGGGCAGTCTCTCCTGAAGGAGACGGTAGAGAATGTGCACTTTCGGGCCCATTCCATGCACGCTGTATGTCTTGCTGATGTAGGCTTGAAGCTGCTAACGTATCATGTTGTATTTAGTGTCAACATACCCAGGTGCCTGGAAACGATCTTTGGACCCGAAACAAGACCAAAGGATGGACTTATCGTCCGAAGCCGTGGCGGATGCTCATTATAGATGGTCATCGAAGCCATATATCACCACGGTTCATGCTATCAGCGTTCAGGATGAGGATAGCCCTCGTATATTTACCAGCGCATACTAGCGAAGCAACTCAACCGCTAGATGTAACGTGCTTTTCATCGTTGAAATCGCACTTCCATACAGAGCTTCAGAAGTACCAAGGCATGAAGGCATCCGGTCCTATTCAAAAGCAAAGAATGCTTGAAGCATATCACAAAGCTGCAGAGCTATCCTTCACGGAAAAGATCATTCAACATGGATGGGAAAAGAGTGGTATTTGGCCGTTGAATTCCTCGATAGTACTAGATAACCCGGACCTCTTCCCTCCGATACTTATACCATCGCCTAAAACACCATCATCGAAGTCAACAGCCGTAGAAACCAGCTTCGGGACACCACAGAATTCGAAGCAATTAAGGGACCAAATACGGGAGCTTCATCGGAAATACCCGTCGATACCTCGGGATATATCATCGGTACTCAAGAAAGCCACCAAAACCATCGAGTTGATGACCGTTGAACTAGCAACCATGCGTCGCGATAACTTCAGATTAGGCACTGAACTAGATAGCCATAAGCCTGATAAACGTCAAGCAATAGAAAAAGACCCGAATAAGGTCTTTGCTTCGATCGCTGACATCAGACCAGCGCAAGAGAAGCTGAAGAAGAGGATACGTGAAATGCCGACCGCAGAGCAAGTCCCAATTGATTCATTTCTTGAAATGACTCCAAAAACACGAAAAAGGACACGAAACACATTAGATGGCTAACTAGATTCAATTGATTTACTATTGTTTTGATGTAAAATGATTGATCGTGATTGTTACGTTCGTGGAATTAGTGTCGGAATTGGCGTTCGGGAAGGGGGTGCATTCAGAAAGGGGGTGGAGATGGTTAGCGATTTGTATGGAGCTTACCACCGTCCAAGCAACGCCGGCCTGAGGTCGTAGACAGGATCTCAAGACTGTCCTCTACAGATTCAAGCTTCGTTACTCGGACACGATGACCTATATCAACCTGTGACAACCACGTCGTGACAAGAATCGAGCCTTAGTACGACGCGGGAAGAAAGTGATTGATGTCGATTCCCGTGCCATCTACGTGGTTAGCCAGTCGAGCATCGTCGTAGTTATCGTATACTATAAGCCACCTAGTGTTACCTGGCAAGCTAAGCCATGCCTTAACAGCTTCGAATACCTCCTCGTGATTTTGCTGCAGGTCCAGCGCATTCAGGCCGCTAGCATCAGGATGTTGTCGTAGAATTTGCATCGCAGCTTTGGTGAAGCTCTGTCGAATCGACACAAGAATCCCGAGGAAGACTCTTTGGTCATCGGGCTCTGCGATAGAGCCCTTCTCACTGTCGTGTGCCTGTTGACGACTGGCACAAGCCGGGTTAAGGGGACCGTAGCGGGATTGGAACCTACTTGCTCTCGTCGCCCACCGCAACAACGAGAGCACTGCCAGGCGCACTTGACCACTGCGCCATACGGGCCTTCAGTCTTAACTGAAGGCCAGTCTTCACTCAGTCATCAAGAAGATTAAGCAAAAGTATGGCCTCAGAATTCTCAACACACAAAAGACGAAATGCACACTGAAAAGACTTCGATCGTCGGACCTTGTGCTGACAACGTATGGGAAGCTACGTAGCGAAGTGAAGGCATACGATGAAGCTGCAGATCGGGAATCTGACGACAAAGGTTCTCTTCTAGGAGACGACTACTTGACTAGAAAGTTCCCAATTTTTGGGCCGGATTCGATGTTCCATCGCGTCATTCTCGATGAAGCCCATCTCATCAGGAATGCAGACACTGCAACAGCCAAGGCTGTGTCTAGAGTGCGCGCAGAACATAGATGGTGTCTTACCGGCACACCAATGATGAACTCTGTAGATAATCTGGCCGGGTTGATGCAGTTTCTGCAAGTCGAAAGCTACAGCGATCCAAAGGTGTTTCGAGAAGCATTCAAAACTCTACAACGGAGACAAGGTGAGACGTCATCCGACCATGTGGCTTTGGAGAAGCTTCAAGCACTACTCAATGGTATGATGCTCCGAAGAACCAAGGACTCATTAGTTGACGGCTCACCGATCATCTCCTTGCCAATCAAGGAGGAAGTCACCGAGCACGTAGTTCTGAGTGATCACGAAGAGGTCATGTACAACAACATACACTTGGAAGCCCAGCAGCACGTATCAAATCTCCTTCATGGTACAAGTAAACATCGTTCGACGAGTCTTAGCCTGCTCCTGCGTCTGAGGCAAGCCTGCTGTCATCCAGAACTTTACGCGATTAGTCGGAAGTCTTCCAGGGTCAAGAATTACCCTGTGGAGTCCGTTGGGGATGTCGAGCAGCGTAACTCTACCGACACGCCCCGGGGAGACCTTGTTGATCATCATAATGATGTACGCCATGAGTACGATGATGGTCTAGTAGGTTCAAACCACGATGTCGGAGAATCCAGCATGGATGAAAGTTCGGACAAACGCTTTCAAGAGACAAATGAGGCAATCCCCGAGAAGTCCACTGTGGCATATACGATTGTGGAAGGCGGCTGCGAAACTTGCGTGAAAAGGACTGTCGATTCGCGTTATGAGATGCAGCGATCCAGTGACTCCAGCCCAGGTGAACATCGTCTGAGAGAGCCCGTCATCGCCAAGGGAAATGCACGGCCGCAACCGCAGCCTATGGCATATCTGCAGCTAAGCTGCACCAGTTCAGCCAAGATCGCCAAGTGCATGAATATTATGAGAGACATCCAAGCCACAGGGGAAAAGACGATTATCTTCTCGCAATGGACTCTACTGCTCGACCTCCTCGAGCTCCAAATCTCCAAAGCAATGATCAAGTTTTGCCGCTACGATGGCAGCATGAGGTCCGTTCACAGGGACAAAGCTGTAGACGACTTCACGGCAGCAGATTCCAAGGTGAAAGTGATTCTTATGTCGCTGCATGCTGGCAATGCTGGTTTGAACCTGGCTGCTGCATCTCATATCATTCTGATGGATCCTTTCTGGAACCCATTTGTCGAGGATCAAGCCATCGGTCGCGCGCATCGTATGGGCCAAACAAAGAAAGTCAAGGTTCATCGATTGCTAGTCAAGGGCACGATCGAGGATCGCATTGTCGAGTTACAGGCGCACAAGCGGAAGCAGGTCGATGGTGTGTTGAATCAGGATGCCGTACATGTGGGTGCATTGAATACCAATGACTTGGGCTTTCTCCTGGATGTTTCAAGCCGTTAAAAAGCACAAGAATGTCTCTCTGGGTACCGTGGGCCATATGGCTATAACATAGCGCCTTGTCCGGTTGACCTGTGCTGAAAGATCTCTTTCGTCCACAGTCCTTTTTTTTAGAATCGTTTGGCACCTCGACAATACCTGAAGCGCAATTGTTTCGACCTTGGAGTGAAGGTAGATCGGCGTCGATAAGCTTTTCGGCTCCTATGGAGGATGTATTATGTGTGATTCTTGCTTGATGTCCGTTTCAAGTTTCATATATTCCTGGATTGAGTGTCTAATCAATCCTTGATATCAACAGGTTACGGGCGGCGATGTCGGTTGCTGCTTGTCGTTTGGGATCATAGGGTCTCGACGCTTGGGTTGAATGGCGAGCTACTCGGCTCTATCCTGTTCGCCTTCGCTGAAATCACGCAGAAAATTTAAACTTGCTATCCGGAGTGATATGGCGTTTGTTCTATTTGAACCGAAGAAAAGTTATTGGAGGTCCCACTACCAGTCATAAACTGAGGTGAATAGCTGCTTCTGCAAGCTGTGATCGGTATTCGGTCTGCTCCGGACAAGGGAGACGGCCGAGACCAAGGAGTGATGGGAATGGACTGGTTTCATGGTCGGGGTTTCTTCTAAGCGAAGCCATGTACTTGATTCAATTGCTTGGTCAGATAGCCTTTCGTATATATATACTATACATCACTACAGCAGGCTTTCCTTTCTAGGTATCGTTTGCGATCAGACTGGCTTGATCCCGAACCCATGATTATGCAACACCGATGCTAACAACCAGGACAGTGTTTGGAAACACCTCTTCTCATGCACCTAAGACAAGCATTGCTCCCGTGCGAGTAATGCTGATGTCGCTCCATGCTGGGAAGGCGAGTGTGAATCTGAGTCTCGCGTCTCGGGTCATTCTGAAGGATCCCTTCTGGAACCCGTTCATCAAAGACCAAGCCGTTACCCGAGTGATTCTCATCGGCTTAGTCAAAGAAGTGAAGGTCCACCGGCTGTTGGTTCAGGATACAGTCGAGGACCGTATTGTTGAGTTGCAGGGTCAGAAATGGAAAGGAATCAACTCGGCGATGGACGGACACAGCACGCAGTAGATGGGTGAACCATGCACACACGATGTAACCTATTTATTTAGCTGCCCGGGAAAACGACAAGGATGATGAAGCGATAGAGTTTGTAGCAAATACCCTTGCTAAATATTACGCGCAGGGAACATCACTTGTCAGATAAAGTTAGGCAACTTAGACCATACATCACAGTATTGTTGAGACCCAATCCTTTAACACATTTCAGTAAAATACGTGTCGTTATATACTATGGATCCTGTACAAGAGGGCTCCTCAACTTTTATGAATATATGATGAGATGCCAGTAGCTCCACCTCGGTCGAAAAGGAGAACTTCTGTTGCCCAATCGTCGATAGCTGGTACAGACCACAGACGGATATTCAAGCCATTCTGTACGTTAGACAAAGTCATATGGACTAGTCGCGCTCACTCCCATACCCCCTCGCTCCCATTCCCGCACAAACCGAACATTCTCCCACAGTATCCGCCACACGCCGAGTCATCATAATCAAAGTCCTATTCGGATCCTCTCCCCGTCGCCTCACACTGTCACGCCATAGACGATGCATATGCCGTTCATGCGATGATCTTGTTTCTATAATTGTGGTGACATGGTATTGATCGGTCAAATATTGGTGTGTAGAGAGAATAGGGCTGTTATAAACAAGATGACCACAGACGGGATGTCTCGCCGTCTCGCGACATATTGGACATGTTGGATCCACACGATAATACTCATCGCGATTCAGCACCTCTTGGAACCAAGTCTGAATGCAGGTGCTACCGAATTTGTGACCACAATAAAGTGAAGCCCAAGATTCCGTGATGCCTCCTGGAGTTGAAGCCTCGACAAGTTCGTGACAGATGGAGCACTGTTCTGGATGTGAATCTGATGTCTGTTTGGGGACTTCCGTGCCTATCATCTCCGCCGTGATGCCTTGGAAAGTTCCGGCCGGTTCATGGAAGCAAGGCTCTCGAGAACGTAAACCCGGTCTCTCTGTAAGTGTATGGATGAATTTCGTGAAAGTGATTGAAAATTTATTCATATTGTAGAGCATCAATTGTAAATGCGAAGTCTCACAAGATATATAAAGCCAGTTTCGGTACAATAAAACCTTGGGTGTCTGCGACGCCTTATATGCGTTGCGACCGCTACATACATTCACTGACTGACATTAAGAAATGGGCGGAGTGGCGGTAGCAATGGCAACAAAAGTGTATCCGAGGTTGATCTTGACATAGACTGGCTGCTAGATCTTGAGACCAATACTGGACTGCACGACGACCTTTGGTCGCTCTTCAAGTATGTATGACATTATTGAGTCACATCTGGCTCATCGCTAGTCCTGTTGTTTGTGGTCGCGTCAAATGAGCGCAATCCGCGTGACCACTTTTCACCACTACCAGTAGCCTGCCAACAAAGTCTAGTTGAGCACCTTGGGTGAGATGGCGTAATACCAACCCACAGATTGGTCGTTCTCGATCAGCATCTTAATACAGAGAGAATCAAAACTGCCTTCCTCCTTTTGTCTCTCTCTTCTCTTCTCTAAGCACAGACGATCCGTTTCTGGCTCTGACCTATACGTACGCTGCAAGTACTCTTTTGGACCGTGTCAATTCTGATTCCACGAGCGTGAGCTTCAACCAGGCTCTTTCGCAGTTATTGATTATCTACTACTAGAAGGAAATTGAACGTTACCGAGGATAGATTTTTGACACTGAATATATGCGTTTATGGCCATAAATGACTTGCTTCAAGTTCCATGGTACCAGTGAGGTTCAAAAGTGTACTCCTGCTTAGGAGCCAGAACTGGACTGTCCATGCTCAAATAGCAGAGAAGAGAGAAGGGGATAGGAAGCCGATTTTGATTCTCTCTGTATGCAAGTCCGGTTTCGACAGTAGCAAGAGGAAGAAGGCATGGTTTCGGCAGGTGCTGATGGAAGACAATGAGGTTGCGCTGAAGGCATTTCAGGATCCTCCTTTACTTAGACTTGCGCTATTCTTGTTTATTGTTTCTCTGATAGGGGTAAGGGCTCTTTATATGGGCCAGTTCATAACACGCATAGTCAGTGGTAGTTGTTCGACTTGACGTGGCTGATTTACGTATGTATTGACATGGCTACATATACTCAAAGGTGCCTCGAACAGGAATGGAATAGATCGTATAGACATAGTTGTAACGTATCGATGGATAGTGGGTGACCTTTTCGTCGAATACCACTACCGTGACAGAAATTCATGATGAGCAAAGATATGCTGACAAGCTGTCCCAAACCGACCATGTCTAACGGTTTTCTTGCATAGCGTTGCATGTACCTGCATGACAAGGTCGCTAGCTTGCAGTAGTTTGCAACAACCCAGCCATCGTGACGCGGATCGCGCTCCATTTCAATTATGATTCATTCCCTCTCAGAACAACTGTCACCTTGTGTTGTATTGGTCTGGCAGGTCAAATTGTCCGGGTTCCAACTTCCATGGCCAGAATTGGCCCTTCCAGAAACTGCATATAGCAAAACCACGTGGTGTTGGCTGCGAGCTGGCTGAGCGCTAAAGCGGTTGCTTGCTGGCCAAGAAACGCTTTGTGGGTCGAGCCATCGGTCCGCTCTTTAATTTGACCCCCCAGATGCTGCCGAAACTGGACGTGCAGGGAAGTTGTCATGAATGAAAGCAGAATCTGGAACACCGAATTCCAAATCTGACCCCGCCATCGATTGGGTTCAATGCTGAATACTGCTTGCCGTTGTTGAATTGTGGCCCGAAATTGCCATCAATGAAGAGGAGCGCATCGGTCGACTTGTTGTGTGGGGGGGGGGGAACGGTTACGCGACCAAATAGTGGTCAACGCTGTACCTGATTGCGGCGGATTAGCGCGACAAACCCCACGCGGCTCAAAAATGGCAGACAAATGCGCAAACAAAGCTCGAAGCAGGCATGAACATACATACAGTACAGTATACGTATCAATGCCGTTCCACCTAATCTGGCATAGTGTTGATCGCTAACGGTCGCGCCAGTGCTTGGTTGGAGTCGCGTCACCACTTCCTCATCCGTGCTCGCTGTCGAGAATCGACTGACCCAGAAGTGATCAGAACCAAAGCACGATTCAGAACCAGGCCTGCTACTATGTCCCAACCAACAGTGAAGACCCATTTGCGGCCGGACGAGAAGTAGCGCATACAACGAACGAATCGGGCGAGTGAGTGTACGATAATGGCACGCGACCCAATTAGCTTCACGTCTTGACTGGGCACGATTCTGGACCACTCCTGTCTCTGGCATGTCCAAAAAGCCGACCTCAGATGCCATTTTTGGTCCTCTTCGCCATACAGTCACCAGTTTTCATCGGACGAGTATTGTATTGATGATGCCACACTAGCACGGATGTTGGTGTGCCATTGGCCGGAGGTATCCAGTAGCTGTGCGCCGAGTACGAATTTGGTTCGCGGCCCAATACTGGGACTGCGCCAAGAAGTTCTGTACGGCTTCCCTTTATTCACTTCACGCCTATTGCTACATTATTGTAACACTTGAAGACGGAACCACATTCAGGAGCAGGCATGATCAAGAAATTATCTGCATTAGTGGCAGAAAGAGGGTGATCCACTCTACGCAATGATATAGTTTATTCTACGTAGAGTCACCGATACAGTAGCAGACATCATTCTTGTCACAGATACGGAGACTTGACGAAGTGCGCATGGCGCAGCAAACAGTTCATGGTGATAGGAGAGGAGAACTCCTGAAAAAATCTTTTCTTGGCAACTATTGTTAATATCTGTAAACGATCCAGAAGGCTTCGGCCCATACACGTAACACTTTTTATCAGCTGCAAATCACAGCTGCAACAAGACAATGGAGGTTTCCCCGGGACTACTGCCTTCAATCACAGTCCGCGGCGATGCTACTACATTGCAGCGGCCAGGGCGTGTCCTTAAACCCAGAACAAAGATCAGACTAGTCCAGCAGACTGGCAGCCGTAGCAACGCCAACGAGCTCAGCACAGAGGTCAAAGAGCTCTCCAAGCTGGTCCAAGACCTCCTGCAACGAGTTGCGGAGAAGGAGTAGCGTCTTGAGGCCTGCTCCCAGAAAATTGAGGCCCTAGAGAGGGCTCTCGAAGAAGAAAAACAGGCCTCGGCCGGACTTGCAAGCTCTATGCATGCCCCCAGCGATAGACGCGTCTTGGCTGCCCAGGAACCTCAAGGACAGCTAGCTCGAGCCCGGTGTATACTGAGGTGGCATGACAACTATTTTCGGCAAAACGGAGCAGAAAGCCTACTATAAAACAGGGACTCCCAAAGGACATGCGTGTGTTTGCGCGCCTTCCATCTAACAGCAGGTTTCGTAGTCTCAAGCCTACGACCTGTGTGCCTACCTCCGTGAAAGGCTTCCCCCAGAGGTCCGAGGTGCTCTTGACAGGATGAACAGAGCCAATGCAGAGACGCAATGATAGTCAAATTAGTGAATACAAAAGACATGTCTATTCATAAAGAGATTTCAATACAAAGATTATGCACACCGTATTTTGTATCGTTGTTGCGTAGGACTGTTTCTGCGTCATGCTCACTTCGTAAAGTCTCTGTGTCTGTAACACGAATGATAATCTGCTACTGTATCGGTAAATTTACGTAGGATAAACCATATCATTGCGTAGAGTCGATCTCTCTCTTTCTGTCACTGATGCAGACCTCTTGGTGCTAGTCTCTTGATCATGCTTGCTTCTGAATGTAGTTCCGTCCGCAAGCGTTACAATAATGTGACAATATAAGTGAAGTGAATAAAGGGAAGCCGTACAGAACTTCTTGGCGCAGTCCACCAAATTCATACTCGGCGCACAGCTGATGGAGACTTCTGGTTAATGACACACCAACATCCGTGCTGTAGTGGCATCACCAATACAATACTCGTCCGACGAAATCTGGTGACTGACTGTTGCGGAAGAATATTTATGCCATATATAAATCACGAAGGGCCTATTCGATATCTGGGTCGTAGAGTATCTTATTGTTGCTTTAAGGCAATTATATTACAGGCTGCTATCTGGCAATGCCCTTAAAGCGTGCTGAGTTAATGGCATTTGAATGTGGTTTATCCCATCTCAATCATTCATGCTTTTCTTTTTTACTTTGCCTCACACAACACACACGATCGAAAACCATACAATCTACGTAACAACGCCTAGGTAGCTGTCTGACACATTCAGACAATAATTTCTTCCAATGGTCTTGCTCAACATGGACGGCACAAGACTGAGAATGAGCTCCGAGAAATTAAGCTGTCAGTTTGGCGCTGACAAGAACATTGGGTGGCAGATAGAAAGGCCTCCCCGAGCAAATTCCGCTTCCAGGTCCGATGTAAGCTAGAAGTGTGTCGCCATGATTCCTAGTTAATTTTTCATCATGAACGCTAATACGATTTCTTTTATCCTTTTCCAGCAGGTCAATTCACCAAATTGGTATTGTTATAGCACCGACCATGTAGTCCAGTCCCGGGCCTCTGGATGGAGCGTCTTGTCTGCACATTAATTCGAATAGCAGTAAATTCCACGACTGAGCGAAATCCAAGAATGCCCCCATAGTTCTTAAACATCTAGTTCAGGTGCCTTTCCTCTTGTGCCACTATCCCAGACGACGGTGTTACGAATCGCCGCCATACTTCGAGCGATGCCGCCAATACTGAGCGGTCCAGCAAGCACTGCTGTGACTTGCAACTCAGTTTTATCGAGTCCTAAGACATGCCCATAGTCCTCCACAATGGATTGGTACGTCCCGTACTCACTTGATACATGGGCCCAAACCATACTGCACAGGTGTCTGATTCGGTGATTAATGGCGACATCAAGACAGATCGTGTTGGGATGAGCCGCGAGAGCCATCGACTATCTGCTGATTTTTATTGACTTTATGTACATAAATTTCCGGCTTTCAATCATCTATGTTGGGTGATGAAGATCTCCCCGCTTTCCCATAGATGGACCAATAAATTGTCTTCATATCATCATAAGAGGTGTCCATTTCTTATTCTTTCGTCGGCCCCCATGTTGTTGTATATTCTTGAGTGTCTCTGGTCTTTCCATTCCGTTGGTCGTGTCTCTTTTGTCTTTGTCATCTTTCGGCATGGTATAGCTGCCCCAGAACAATGCTGAGTGCCATAGCTCACCACTTGGGTTTTTGGAAGGCTGCTCGCTGTGCGTTGCGATTAGAGCTGGAAAGACCTCATAATCCTCTCGGCAGGTTGCTTCAGAGCCAAGGGCAGGTGGTTCATTTGATTCTCCCAGAAGGCTTGTCTTGATTCTGGCAGTTTCGGCTTTAGTCCAAATTGGTACTGGCTCTTCCCGAGTGAAGCTGGAGATCTTCCCAGCCGGAGCAACGACGTCGGATCCGATATTTGACGTCTCTACCGCTTGGATGCAACGGATCCTGCGATCGCCTGAGAATAAGGGTGGATAATTGAGCGAATACTCATCCTCAATATTGAGTCCTATTCCTCGCTGTTCCACAGGATCTCTTGACCTTTTTGAAGGACGCAACGGACGCATGGATGAAGTTGGCAATTTGACAGAGGTAAACATCTCTCTGACATCAGGACTTCTATGCTTTCTAGCTAACTGACGTGGTGTGTGGGTCCCTGTCGTAGCATCCGGATCAGCTCCAAACTCCGCGAGAAGTTTTATTGTCTTCAAGACACTCCTATTTCTCGAAGCTTGCATCTGAAGAAGTACCTCGTGCAAAGGCGTAAGACCTTTGGAGTTGATGACATTGACGTCGATGCCCTGGAGCAACATGGCATGTACCATTCTCGAGTAGGCAAAGCGGCACGCAACGTGTAGTGCGGTAGATCTTTCTGATATATCCACAACAGGGTTTTTGAGACCGGAGAGTTTCAATAGAACGCACGCGAGTTTTCCATGTCCTTGACATAATGCACCATATAGAGGTGTGAGTCCATCTTCGTTAGCCACATTAGGATCTGCTTTGTTCCTGAGAAGAGTGACGACAGAACTTTCGAAACCGCTCATGGCTGCTAGGTGAAGTGCTGTCTGACCTCTATGATCGCATTTTAATGATTTCCAGCACGCATGGTCGCACTTATGGATTCTGGTTGTCTGAGTAGTCAAATTTACATCCGCTCCATGTTGTATTAGGACGGACAACGTGGCGTGGATGTCAGAAGGCCAGTGGGATCCATAGCGCTGATGTAGATGGATTTGAGCTTTATGATAATCCGGCCAGGGTAGTCGTCTCATTACTGTAGAGTGGATAGCAGCTAATCCAAGATGATTTTTAGCATTTGGATTCGCTCCTAAATTGAGGAGAAATGCAGCAGTCCTGGGTAAGGCATAACTACAAGCAATCCTGAGAGCAGTATCGGTTCCTCTTTCCGCGAAAGTCTTGCGTTTGGTGAGTGCTAGGTAGATTGGAGCGAGGTCTGGATACTGTATCATCTCCTGGTCAACATCGGCGCCGGACTCGACCAGGAAAACGGCAACTTGTGGGGCATCACCAGTGAAAGACCAACGAAGACATGTATCACTGGTACGGTGTATTGTATACCGATGTTGCATAGAACTTCTAGTGTCAGGTTTGTGCGCTGTGTTAATTGATAATGACTCACTGCTTGGCGTTGAACTCTGGTCGTCGAAGAACCAGATATTGAATGAGATTGAGTGAGTTTGTACGAATGGCGCTAGCAAATAGGCGTACACACAACTTTGTCCTGGCGATTCTCGGTTTCTCGGCTTGACTCTCGCAATGTCTAAATATTTGGTCATTGAAGTAATTCAATAAAAGCCAGTGAAAGTGCCGATTCAGGCAGAGGAGGAGTCTGATAGTGCGTTGGTAGTCTACACACTCCACAATATGAATTAGTAACTCGAGGGGCAGACTGGAAAGATTCGCCTTGGCGTGATCGGCCGTGCTCTGCGAATTCAGGTCGCCCATCCTCATCAGTGGATCGCGTCAAGTTGGTTAGGTGCTTCAGTAATCGAGGTTTGATACCGATGCGATGTGGTTCAGAGTCTGTATCGATATATCGGATGGAAATGTAATTGCTGTAGACGAAAAAGTGCTGCATTCATTATACCACTCTCAGCATTGTAGTACTTATGTCCAATCTGCTAGAATGCCCTTATTCGCAGATCTTTTTCGTTAGTTGTCAGCCTTCAATGCATCAGAAGTAGCATTTCGGGGGAGCGCTCCGCTGTATGCTTCTTAGAACCCAGGCGATAGCGTCTTCGCTAGTGCGGAGCGTAAAAAGTGCGAGCGCCATGATACCAGTCAATCGAACGAGTGACAGGGACGGCATGCATGCGCCAATAGTATATGTATCATGCATATCCAGCTCACGGGCACATGAGACAGTCAATGTGCAGCATGCCCCGGTCCTAGCGAATCAGTGTTTAATGTAAAAGCTCTCACGGCTATTTGCTTCTAATTTGCTCTTAGCTGCCGTTAGTGCATCCCTCAAATCAGCTTCGACATATACAGTGTTACGACAGTATCAATATCCACCGAAACAATGAATGCTAGCGCTGCACTCGCTCACTACGCGTTCTGGTCGCATATTATTGAGGCGACAGCCGAAGTAGTACTTTGTAACTCTATTGTATTGTTTCCTGTAACCAAATTTTGGCATTTGCGCATTTGCTTTTCAGCTCGAGCAACAGGTAAGCTTTACAATCACTGTTGAAGGGAGAACATCGCGTGATGATGGCAGGATCCCGACTGTAGTGAGACCTGTTCCTTCTACCGTTCAGCTGCTGTAACCTCTTCTTTTGCCTACTGATTTCTTCTCCCCATTTTCTTTTCCAGGACAGGACAGCTTGAATTTCAATTTTATCCAAGAAGGCAACCTCCCTCATCACATAATATCACAACCTTTTTTCGTACCCTATCAAATACTATGCATAGTCCACCATATACAGAATCTTCAGCGACAAGCATCGTAGAATGCGAAACACCACCCCCGACAGACATGGACTTCAACACTTCCGCAAAATCGGAAGTGCCCCACTCGGAGCATATCTATATGATTTGCCAGAGATCCGGCACTGGCGTTCTTACGCTTCTCAATGGCAAAGTGATCCTCTCGGACGGTATGAATCCACATGGGGCTGCCCACTGGGCATGCGAGACCAAGTCCGGCTACTTAGGATTCCGCAACACTGCAGCCGGCTGCTACCTTAGCCACGACGGAGGTGTCAATATCGTCACAACGAGAAATTTCTTACCATTTGAGATGTTCAACATTAGTCCTCACCGGAACGGCGGATATATGCTGCTCTCACCGTATTACTGGTTTGCGCAGAAGAAGATTGCCATTGCTGAGAACGGAGAGAGTTTAATCCGTCATGACGCGGCTGGTACAGCATGGGATTTTGTTCGAGTTGATGGCAAAAGCTGTTGAACAACTATACGCGAATGATTTCAAGAAAGAGAGGATAAAGAAGAAAGAAAGAAAGTGTCGTAATTGCGCGATTTCAGACAAGACAACGCGTCGACGACCATCTATTTAGGCTTAGACTTTTCTGTTGCTTTCTATAGGGTCGGTGCTACGGTAAACTAGCATCCATGGCACTGCTGCTACAGACAACCCACAACCGTGCTCCTGCCACAGCCCAACACCAACAAAGGAGCTCATTACACCCACTAGACTGTAGGACAAGAAGTTCGGGTAATGAATGATTGGTAAAGCACAGACATTGATGAAAGGAACAAAATTTCATAAGTTTATTGTTGTGGCTATCTCTCTACCAACACAGATAACAGCCAGAATATCGCCTGAGAAAACACTTTTTGGTTACGCCAGATGCAGCCAACGGATGATGAACGACAACTTGTGCAAGCCCAGAGCCGCGCTAATCACTAATGTCATAATCAGCACATGAGATGAAACTTCGGGATCGGGCTAAAGGTTCTTGTCTATTAATTTAGCATATATACGCCACTACTTAGTTTACAACGTATAGCACGACTTACATGTTGATAGTATAGAGTAGGGCTCTCTGTTCTCAAGTTCAATTTCAACATCGATTTCACGCTGGACGTCTTGACATTTTTCTGATTTTGATTGACGTATAGCAAATGTTGTTTGGTGTTCAAATTTGGACTGCATATGCCTGCAAACATGCTGCATGGGCGGTTCCTCGTACGCTGGCGCAAAAACACTACAGGCCATATCTCAGCATTGAGGGAAGTTCTCGCGATCACTAACGCGTAGAACGGAACCTCATTGATTAACTGAGCAATAGGGGTTGCCGCTTATCGTCCTGGTCGACTTTTGAATGCTTATTTTCTCTAGCATGGGTTTGTCTATTGCATGTCAACCTTAAACTCCTCATTCCGAGATTAGCTAGTGCTGGAGCTAGAATGATCTGATAAATTAGATTACGACTGAGAAAGCCGAACTGCAGCGAAGTAGTGGGCATCGCGGTGACTGAAATTTAGTTGTTATCGATATAGCGAGACGGTCACGCGGACTTTGCATCCCTTGCATTTCTCCCTTGTAGATGAAAGTCAGCAGCGGGAAATCAGTCGATATCTGGCGATACAAATTTCCAAAAATTTGTAGTCTCCTCACCGCTATCATTGCCGTAATACAATCACCACGATCGTCTCTCTCCCGTGGCGGGACGAGCGCACGGCTGAAAGCGGATGTTGTGCAACAATGGCATTCTGCACATCGGTCGAAAATGATTGCTTCTTCTGTACTGTACTTGTTCTGTACACAGGCCAAATTGAGTTTGCATGGCTTTGACGATCAGATCCTACGTGGCAATCAAATGTAAAGTTCAGATCCAATAATCGTGGAGGATGAGGGCCAGAGTCCATATCTAAATGATTAAATGTGGATATGGCAGACGGCTTACCACGGCTCGTAAATCTAGCACTTTGGTGACTGGTTCACAATCCCGCAACACTTATTAGACCTGACTCAACCCCGAACGGTAAAGAAAATAAAACGTAGTTTATATTAGTCTTAACGTACAAATAATGAATTCAGATGACGACGGGTGATTGGAGATAAGTCTATCTGCTAATCGTTACAAGACCTTTTACTATATTCTTGGCTTCATCCTTCGACAATCCTCTCCAAAGACAATCATCATTTCACGTCAACTCTACATCTCACTTACTGACATATTTACCAAGATGGCCAAAATTGCCAACATGGACGCAACTGGAGCTCAAGAATCCAAACTCTCCGGTAACCTCTCAATCCTGACCAAGGTTGATAAATTGCGGGAGCTTATTGGTACGCGAGTTGCACTGCCTCAAGTATGTGCATTCACCATTTTATGATGATCTGAAGCTCAGCAATTTAGCTTGTTGTGGTCGGCGATCAATCTTCTGGGAAAAGCTCTGTGCTCGAAGGCCTAACCGGATTTGCATTTCCTCGAGATGCAGGACTTTGTACCAGATATGCTACTCAGATTACGTGTCGTCGTGACATAGAGGAGAGCATCACTGTCTCTATTATTCCTCATCAAGAGACAGGACCACCTGAACAGTCACTACTGAAGAGCTTCCGTCGCAGTCTGACTGAACTAGATCCTGAGAACCTTGCCAAGCTTTTCGAAGCAGTTGAGTACTTCACACTCGAGCGGCGGGACTGAGACTAATCTATAGTAGGCAAACAAAGCTCTGGGAATCCGTACAAGTACGAATACTACTGCTAGTGACGGATCAGCCTTGCCCACTTTTAGCGAGCATATACTCAAGATCGAGAAACGTGGCCCACAAGTATGTTCCTTGAAGACCTCTACTTCTGTGCAGCAAACGGTTGACCCATACAGGAGGAGCATTTCACCGTGATTGACGTACCGGGGATTTTTCGTAATGAAACTGAAGGTTCGCAAGTCTGAAGGAGATTGAATTTGGACCCGGAAAAACTAATAGCGATGATGGTAGGAGTGACTAGTGAGAGCGATATGGAGCTTGTCATGAATATGGTGAAGACTTATAGTGCGTACCAGTACTGCTAATTAATGCTGGGCTTGGGTTCGATCCTATAACCTTGCTACTGGGATTCAACGTTGTGCTATTCCTGGAAATGAAAGCTGACCACTGTTAATTTTAGTGAAGGATAGCAGGACTATGTAAGTATAGGCGCATCAACAAATGCCTATTGGCTAATGTGCAATAATCTCCTATAGTATTTTGGCAATCATGCCCAGCAATGTGGATCCTGCTACTCAAGAAGTTCTCAAGTTGGCCAAAAAGGCCGATCCTACCATGGCAAGAACCATGGCGGTCTTGACGAAGCCAGATCTTGCGATCGAGCGTACCATCCAACATATCGCAATTGATCATGTCTTGGGTAAGAGGAACGATTTGACTCTCGGCTACTATATCGTCAAAAATCGTGGACCGGATGATGTAGGTCTTTCCCTTCTTGGAGCTCTGATTAAAGAGAAACAGTTTTTCTCCGAAGCTCCGTGGTCAGTTCTTCGATCTACTAGAAAAACAGGCATAGGTGCCTTGAAGGAACGGGTGCACGAATTGCTTAGCGATCTAATCCGTAAAGAGTTCCCAAAGCTCAAGCTAGATGTTCTTAAGGAATTAGCAACAGCGAGGACGTCGCTCAATCAGATGGGACCGTCGCGGAGCAGCGCACACACACAGCGAGCATTTCTGAATAGAATGTGTGAGAAGTTTCAATCGCTCGCGCGAAATGCGTTCAACGCTTATTACAGTGGTGATAAGCTTTTCTCAGATAGACATGATCTAAGATTGATCACACAAGTTGTCAAGGCGAACGAGGATTACTCCGAGGAGATGCAGAGTTGTGGACATACGAGGCCCTTTGCGATCACAAACAACCTTGAAGGTTGGGAAACCCCACCACCGAGGCCATCCCCACGTTCTCTGGGTACAAAAGACCATCCCTTAGTCGACAATCACCCCGAGCTTGAAGAAATCATAAACCTCACCGATGTACCCTTGCCCGAGTTGAATGGTGAAGAAGATATTATGGACTACATCGAAGAAGTCTACAAGACCAGCCGTGGACAAGACTTAGGCACCGTAAGCTAGATCATTCCTCCTCATACCTCTATCTTAACTCTGCGTTAGTTCAACGGAACCCTTGTTGCCACTTTGTTCAAGGAACAGGCCAAGAAATGGGAATCAATCACGTTATCCCATATGCGCAAAGTCATTACCATTGTGCATCGTTTCATCACGGAGGCGTTGAAGCAGATATGTCCCGACAACCAAGTTCTCGAGGAACTATGGAATGGATATCTGCTGGATGATCTTCAGAGATCCTATAGAAGGGCATTGGATCATGCAAAGTACCTACTAGAGGTTGAATTAGATGGTGTTCCTCTGACACAGAACCACTATTTTAATGACAACTTACAGAAGGACCAAACAGACCGGCTCCTATTGGCTCTGAAGAAAATGGCAATCGAAGCGACTCGTCCTACAGCGGATGATTGTGGAGAAAACATCGGCCCTCCTGAGCGTGGTCTCTTCTTGACCCGTGCTTCACTCAGCAATTTCTCGATTGATATGGCCAACTCTGAGCACGCCCGACAATACATGCACGATGTGCTCAAGAGCTACTATAAGGTTGCACAAAAGCGTTTCGTCGATGTTGTATGCCAGCAAGCTGTGAATCATCAACTGCTGACGGGAAAGACAAACCCACTGGGCATCTTCAGCACTGAGATGGTGCTGGAATTGAACGAGGATCAGTTGGGAATGATTGCGGCTGAGGATGCTCCTATTATCATTCGGCGGGAAAAATTGAGCTGTGACATCAGAAACTTCGAGAGCGCATTGGGAGTGTTGAAAGGCTCTGGATGATGCCAAATTTCTGGATCCGACGACTGTGTTTCCGGTCTGGAAATATCTAACATTTCGTCTTGTAGTCCTCGAAATAAAAGGACAAATTTTCTCCAATCAGCAACCACGACGGGAAGTTCGGACAAGGACGTAGTTGACGATCTAGTCAAGAAACTACTGAACGTTGAACGCGGGCGACGAGTTGATCTCGTACTATGTTAATACCGTGTGTATGCTAGAGGACTTTATGAACATCGAAATTGAGTCTTAGCTTTCCTGACCAGTGTGGTGGTAGTACCAACTAACTCTTTCCCCCGCCCCGTTCCGCTTCAGTCAGGGCCTTTTCGGCTTGTACAAAGTAAGTACTTCACCATGCCGATAGGCGTGCAGGGAACAATTATGGATATTCTCTGATTGGAGAGACTTTACCCTTCTTCTTGCTCACTCATTTTATAGTATGTGTAGTTGCCACGAGCCTCTGCTTGGCTGGCCATTTCATGTTGTCGCTACAAGTGAGTTATATTTTGTATTCAAGAAATCTTCCATTACCACTGGCCGGACCTACCGACCTAATGACCCCGAATCCTCACAACAGTCGAACACCGGTAGCAAAGTCTGTCATAGACACATCTAAGCACCAAAATAATGAGGAATATCACGAAGGAAGAAAAGAAGGGCATCGTGCAGTGAAAGCAGAAAGCATAGAGACAACCGTTAGGAGAGAAGACAACATGCTTGACAAGAGCGAAGAGCTGGGTGAGGCCTTATTACTGCTGCTACAAAGCCTCACAAGTGATTTGCAACATGACTTGCAACATGAAATGCGAGAGGACATACAGGCGCAACTGCATTACATCGAGGGGGCTACATCCCAGTCTGAAAAGTATCTTGTGGCAGTAGCAGACCGATTGGCGGCAGACCTTGTTGAGACTAAGAGGCGAATGGACGCAGACTTGAGACAAACACACCAGGCATTCAGAGAGGCAATGTCGATCTCTTCAGAAAACAATGTTTCACCGCGACCTGGCTATCTGTCCTTCTGACTGACAAGAGCAAATATGGTACACCTCCATGAGATGTACCATGGTCGACGATTTAAGACGTCCTTTTGCGCAGTACGGGCAGATATGTCTTTCTGCAACATGTTCCTTCATGTCCTCGACACCTTTGCACTTGCGCTTCTGGTTACACTGGAGATAATGCATTTCGTAAAGCTCAAGTTTGATTCGGGCGTCGCAAAAAAAACACATATGAAAACCGTGGGATGATAGGTGATCGTTGAGCATTGCCTCTGGCATAGGCATATAACACTCCTCGCAAGAGACAAACCCTGGCTTTTCAGTAAGAGGATAGACCTTTGCATCCCCAAGTGGGTGTCTAGGATCGAATGCTATAGGAAAAAGCAAAAATCGATCTGGTGGGATGCGGAGGGCATTTAAGTCGCGATTGAGTAGGCCGGTAACATACTCTGTGGAGTCTTTCAAATGAGTAATAGTAGGCCATCTGTCTAGTATTACATCGACTATACGCCGTCTGTCTGGATGGCAATGCAGGGATGCTTGTCTGAAAGCCTTCTTGATGTCCTTCTCAGAGTATTTTTGTTCCACATCAAGCCCAAGAGCAATAAAAGTGCTATAATGAAAATCAAACTCCGCATTCTCAACAAAGAGTGAAGACTGAAGACTAAAGACTGAAGACCTGAAGACCTGAAGACTGTAGACTGAAGACTGAAGATTGAGGATTGAAGACTGAAGACTGCGGATTGATGACTAAAGACTGAAGACTGTAGACTGAAGACTGAGGTTTGAGGATTGAAGACTGAAGACTGAGGATTGATGACTAGAGGATTGATGACTAAAGAATGAAGACTGAGGATTGAAGATTGAAGACTGAAGACTGAGGATTGATGACTAAAGACTGATGACTGAAGACTGAAGACTGAAGACTGAAGACTGAGGATTGATGACTGAAGACCGAGGATTGATGACTGAAGACCGAGGATTGATGACTGAAGACTGAGGATTGATGACTGAAGACCGAGGGTTGATGACTGAAGACTGAAGACTGAAGACTGAAGACTAAAGACTGAAGACTGAAGACTGAAGACTGAAGACTGAAGACTGAAGACTGAAGACTGAAGACTGAAGACTGTAGACTGTAGACTGAAGACTGAGGTTTGAGGATCGAAGACTGAGGATTAAAGATGGAGGATAAAGGATAAAGATTGGAGGATGGAGAATGGAGGAGAGGTGGAGTATTAATAAAAGACGGGGCTAGCTTTGTCCGAGCATAAGTAATAGAATGTAAGCTGGGGTGATTGGCACTAACCGTGCCCACCCACTTTCGCACGCACCCCCTTTTGCACGCCGATTTACCGACGTTTCCTCAAACACACTGATAGATAGATACAACAACTGCCAGCCATAACACCATGAAATCAATTCAAATAAACTATCTCTAGGTTATTTACGTGTCCGCTTTCGCGTGGAAGGTTGTATTTCGAGGAACGAGTCAATAGGGACTTGTTCATTGCGTTGTAGCTCAGGCATCTTCCTTTTCAGCTTGTCTTGCGCTGGTCTGATCTCTGCAACACTAGCAAAGACCTTATTCGGGTCTTTTCTAACTGTTTGACGTTTATCAGGCTTGTGATTATCTAGTTCAGCTTGCAAATCGAGGTTTGCTTGACGTGTTGTTGCTAGTTCTGCGAGCGCCATGTCAAGTGACTTGGCACATTTCCCAAGCAACTCCCTTACGTCTCTAGAAGTTTGCGAATGATTGATGGTAACGTCCCTAATTTGAAGTCGAAGGTCCTTACTATTATGAGGAGTAAACAGACCAATTTCAGCTAGATCTGACTCGTTTTGTGGTGTTGTAGGTTGAGTGTCAGGTGATGGTGGGAAGAACTCAGGGTCACCTAACACCATTAATTCATTTAAGGGGTAAATACCCGTTTTGGCCCAGCCGCTTTCGATAATTTGTTTCGTAAAAGCAAGGGCACAAGCTTTATCATAAGCTTCAAGCATCCGTTGCTTGTTAACGGGCCCAGTAGCTTGAATACCACGGTATAGGCTTATTAGCCTATGGTAGTGGGACTTCAACGATGAGAAGACCGTCTTGTCAAGTGGTTGGAGCGCTTCGCTTGTGTGTGCTGGTAGGTATATCAAGGCAATCCTCTTCCTGAATGCCCTTAGCATGAACCCGGGTGTAACATGAGTACTGTGGCCATCGAGGAGGAGCATCCTCCATGGGTTTGGGCAGTCTGGGGACTCTTGTGGTCTGGTTTCTGGCTCGAAGACCTCTAACAACCATGACAGCGCCACTGCTGAGTTGGTCCAGCCTTTAGGGGTCGCTGTATACTCAGCTTCCTCAAGATCCTCAGGTAACCATTGTGCTTGTAGTGTTGTTCCTCTTAGTATATACGTATTCGTTGTTTTCAACCCGATAGCGTTGATACTATGGATAACTGACATCCATCCAGTTGCTGGGTTTTTCGCAACGCGTGAACGACGTGACCTAGACGTCCCGATGACTGTGCCTTGACTTTGTTCGGCTTCTTGTACACCTGTTTCATCCATATTATAGATGTCCTTTGGTAGGATCTTATAGGTGTCTTTGACCTGTGATATATACGTGTAAAAGTCCTTTACGGTCTGTTTTTCAATGCCTTTGACCCTCTCAGCGTCAATTACACGTCCAACCTTAGTCTTCAAGTGTGGGTGGCGGCTAAGGAACTTGTATACCCAATTGTATCCAGGGGTGACCGTATCGTCGATTTCGCCGATACCAGTCATGATATTAGCCGCTATTTGTCGCACCATATTCGAGCCCGGAGCGCGTCCACACAATTCCTCATGTAAAATCCATTGCTCAAGCTCCATTTCTTGCAATTCAGATAGGTTCTTTGACGTTTCGTGGGCTGAGGAATGTGGTTGCGACCCGTTAAGTCGTCGCGACAAAGTAGACCGTACGATACCGAAAGCTTTGGCTGCGCGCGTTATCGTTTCGCCGTTTCGAACCAAACTAATTGCTTCTGCTACATCGCGTTCATTTAGTTTACCCATATTGAAAATATCAGATCGATAGGATTACAATTGGTTGAGTTCTAGCATTTACAAGAAAAGCGTGGTGTTGTTGACGCGTCGGAAGATCGGCGTGCAAAAGGGGGTGCGTGCGAAAGTGGGTGGGCACGGTTAGTTTGCTATCTCTGGCTACATTGCGCCCTCGGGAATCAGTGCCATCTTCAGCTTGCATGCTGACGCTTTGCATGCATGCTTTTGCTTACGCTCGAGATTTCTGGGTCTGCGCAATTGTCACTCCTCTTGCCCTTGTTCAATGCTCACAATTACCTTCACCACCGTGCAGTGATCACAAAACCTACAAGCAGTATAAGAAGCTCACCGTCGAGTTGAGTGTAGCGATGGAGAAAGCCTCCAAACATGAGATTGAGCAAAGACTGGCGCTTGGTGCTCGTCGACCAGCACCTCTCGATTTAACAGAGAGTATCTCTTCCTGCAGTGATAATACAGCATGAGGCTCTTCAAACTGATCATGACACCAGCCTTTGCATTCACAAGGATGAGAGGTCCGAGCAAGAAGATTGGCATCAGCATCCTGCGCAATTCGACTCAGCTCCACAAAATGTTTGCGACCTAGGTATGTATGAGGAGGATTCGCCGGGTGATAGTAGAAGTGTAACAATCAAAACGGCATCCCCAGTCATTACTTTTCATGTAAAACGGGTGGACGATGAGAGGAGACAAGATATTGTGACCATTAGCGAATTGATACGTCCCTTATCCGAAAGACCTAGGTGGGAGCTACTATGCGTGATCTTGGCTTCTGATGAACGATTCGGTATCGGCTTCGACCACAACCGCGAATTCCTGTTGATCAACCAGAGTCTTCGAATTGGTAGTGACCGTCAGTTTACTGCGTGTCTCGAGTATCTGTGGAATACACAGTCATGGAATAATGAGGTATTGGTGCAACGTACGAGGGTTTAGAAGGCATTTGAAGTGACTTGTTCGTGATAAACGACAAGAGATCAACGACAAGAGATCAGCAACAATGATCGGGCGGACGCCAGTGTGATAGAACAGGAGAGCTCGTTGCAGTCGCATGCCGGCAGCTCTCGGAGGCACGATGGGGTTCGCCATTGAAATCATCGTTGCCTCGGTTGTCAATCCAATTTCGATACAAGAGACTAAGTTGGAACTATTTTTGTGGTCTGTACATTACTGTGTCGCTTAGAGGTTCTGATTCGCAGCGTTGCTAGCATTCCAAGGCTGCAGGTGGGCTCTAAATTAGGGCACCAACCTACAGACATGGTACATTATTCAACAGGTCCTCAAATTAGGACTATACGGGCTATATGGTCTCGACCCCAGTGCCATATTCTGCATTTCGAGTCGCAGATTCCGCCGGCTGAGATACTGGCAGAGTCCATCCGCCGACGCCACGGTTTCCGGCTTGGGAGGGTCGACAAAGAGCATCCACTAGTGCGGCGGCTGCCACTACAGGCGCGAAAGGACCCCACAAGACTCCAGAGATGCCATCAGCTAGTCCCCATATTTTCGAGGCCAGAATTGGTCCGGCCATCTTTCAAGAAACCACCACATCGGGGAGGCAAGGATGGAGAAGCAGAGCTGTTCAGAGAATGGCTCCACATCAGCTCTTCTTCCTCATTTCTCTCGTGTGTACTCGGACGGCTCGCTGTACAGGAAAAGGGAGACAAGCGCACAGGCTGGGGGGCTCACCATTAGGAAAGGCGGTACCACCGAAGAAGTGTATCGAAACCGAGGCAGGCTGCACCGGGCAGAAGTCTTCGACGCCGAAGTGCACGGAGCGTTGCAGGGACTCGCAGCGGCGAGGACGATCGGGCCGAATAAACGACTGTTTGTCTGTCTGGACAACATATCCGTGGTGGACGGGCTTAATGGATCACCCCCGGAATCGTCACAAAGCACATTCATGCAGTTCCAGAAACTTGCTGCGGCGCACGGGCCTGGTGTGGTAATCAAATGGTTCCCCGGACATCAAGACATCGAAGGAAACGAAGCTGCCGACAAACATGCCAAGGAAGGCGCAATGCTCGAGACGAGGATAGACAGTCTGCCCACGGTTGCATGGGTACGGCGACATCTCAAAGGAAAGAGAAAAGATGAATTTGCCCGCTGGTGAGCGGCGCTAAGTGAAGCCAGATATGAGGATGTGCATTCACACGCGGTGGTGTCAAAGAACCTCGCCTCATTCAAAAGAGCCACGCTGCACAGGCTCCTGGCGGCAAGATCTGGCCACGGCGACTTTGCAGCATATCACGAACGATTCGGGCATACGGACTCGAATAACCACTGCACTTGCGGAGAGAGAAAGATACCAGAGCATATTTTCTTCTGTAGGAAATTACAGAGACACAGGCTGCTTCCGAGGAACGCGCCAAGGGCGGCTTATACACAATATTTGGGGGAGAAGAGTGCGCAGTGGGCGCGGTTTGTGGAGGCTAGTGGCTTTTTCACAAGGATATGTCCGAGATGAAGGGCCGTTTGAATTGACGGACTGAGTGAGTGTTCTCACTCAGGTCCTGCAACAGCGTGGACTGGCATGTGCGCAGGCTGGAATGTATGTAGATACTGATACCTCCAAAACCCTGCGATGTATGGCTCTGGGAGGCGTGGTTTGCCCTAACCGTGCCCACCCACTTTCGCACGCACCCCCTTTTGCACGCCGATCTTCCGACGCGTCAACAACACCACGCTTTTCTTGTAAATGCTAGAACTCAACCAATTGTAATCCTATCGATCTGATATTTTCAATATGGGTAAACTAAATGAACGCGATGTAGCAGAAGCAATTAGTTTGGTTCGAAACGGCGAAACGATAACGCGCGCAGCCAAAGCTTTCGGTATCGTACGGTCTACTTTGTCGCGACGACTTAACGGGTCGCAACCACATTCCTCAGCCCACGAAACGTCAAAGAACCTATCTGAATTGCAAGAAATGGAGCTTGAGCAATGGATTTTACATGAGGAATTGTGTGGACGCGCTCCGGGCTCGAATATGGTGCGACAAATAGCGGCTAATATCATGACTGGTATCGGCGAAATCGACGATACGGTCACCCCTGGATACAATTGGGTATACAAGTTCCTTAGCCGCCACCCACACTTGAAGACTAAGGTTGGACGTGTAATTGACGCTGAGAGGGTCAAAGGCATTGAAAAACAGACCGTAAAGGACTTTTACACGTATATATCACAGGTCAAAGACACCTATAAGATCCTACCAAAGGACATCTATAATATGGATGAAACAGGTGTACAAGAAGCCGAACAAAGTCAAGGCACAGTCATCGGGACGTCTAGGTCACGTCGTTCACGCGTTGCGAAAAACCCAGCAACTGGATGGATGTCAGTTATCCATAGTATCAACGCTATCGGGTTGAAAACAACGAATACGTATATACTAAGAGGAACAACACTACAAGCACAATGGTTACCTGAGGATCTTGAGGAAGCTGAGTATACAGCGACCCCTAAAGGCTGGACCAACTCAGCAGTGGCGCTGTCATGGTTGTTAGAGGTCTTCGAGCCAGAAACCAGACCACAAGAGTCCCCAGACTGCCCAAACCCATGGAGGATGCTCCTCCTCGATGGCCACAGTACTCATGTTACACCCGGGTTCATGCTAAGGGCATTCAGGAAGAGGATTGCCTTGATATACCTACCAGCACACACAAGCGAAGCGCTCCAACCACTTGACAAGACGGTCTTCTCATCGTTGAAGTCCCACTACCATAGGCTAATAAGCCTATACCGTGGTATTCAAGCTACTGGGCCCGTTAACAAGCAACGGATGCTTGAAGCTTATGATAAAGCTTGTGCCCTTGCTTTTACGAAACAAATTATCGAAAGCGGCTGGGCCAAAACGGGTATTTACCCCTTAAATGAATTAATGGTGTTAGGTGACCCTGAGTTCTTCCCACCATCACCTGACACTCAACCTACAACACCACAAAACGAGTCAGATCTAGCTGAAATTGGTCTGTTTACTCCTCATAATAGTAAGGACCTTCGACTTCAAATTAGGGACGTTACCATCAATCATTCGCAAACTTCTAGAGACGTAAGGGAGTTGCTTGGGAAATGTGCCAAGTCACTTGACATGGCGCTCGCAGAACTAGCAACAACACGTCAAGCAAACCTCGATTTGCAAGCTGAACTAGATAATCACAAGCCTGATAAACGTCAAACAGTTAGAAAAGACCCGAATAAGGTCTTTGCTAGTGTTGCAGAGATCAGACCAGCGCAAGACAAGCTGAAAAGGAAGATGCCTGAGCTACAACGCAATGAACAAGTCCCTATTGACTCGTTCCTCGAAATACAACCTTCCACGCGAAAGCGGACACGTAAATAACCTAGAGATAGTTTATTTGAATTGATTTCATGGTGTTATGGCTGGCAGTTGTTGTATCTATCTATCAGTGTGTTTGAGGAAACGTCGGTAAATCGGCGTGCAAAAGGGGGTGCGTGCGAAAGTGGGTGGGCACGGTTAGTCTAAAGGCGGACTTGGAGCGTGATGCTCTTAATTAGGCTGCATTGCGGCTAAGCATTTGGGTGATTAGTTCCACTAAGCTACAATAGGTCAAGGCAAGGGTACTTGCGCTTTCGCTTGTGTTGTTTCAATATCAGCGGTGATCAGTAGCGCTACGATGCTGCAAAAGTCACTGTACATCAATCCGTGCAGGAAGCTGCTGCTGTGCTTCTTGGAGGCTTTGATGACTAGAACTGGCGCAACAGGTACGATACCAGTGATTGCGCCTATCAAGTCCATCTTTTACCATCTAGTGGGGCAGCTCGGTCGAGATCGCGACAGGAAGAGTTATAATACCTTGCAATTTAGTAAGCTGGCGAAGTCGAGAAGCACATTGGCGCAAGAATGACATGCTTGGAGGGCAGGTATTGGGACATGTGTTGAGAAGACACAGACAAACGGGGCACAAGGTGTCGCACCCCTGACCGTGGGGCACAGCAATGCTCGGCATGTGCAATTCGTATGTACCGCAAAATGTGAGGCAGCGGTGTTTCCTTTAGGCAGAACCGACATGAACGCTGGAAACGATTCTTAAAAACCAGCGCAATCGCATAGGGTGGCCCATCGTTGACTCGACGCCTTTGCCTAGGCATGAACCTCAGATTCAGGATATTCTATGTCTGTAGATCCGGTAACGTGGGTGTTCCCGCCTGCCGGTGCTGCGGATATCACCCCTGGAATCGCGACCAGCAGTTTTGGGCCAGTGTACCCAAACGACACGGTCATCTTGAATTGGACACCTTCTGACCAAACGCCTACTGTTGGCCTCGCATGCTTCAATAGCACCGGTGGTATGGCATTGGTACCTTCGAGGTTGAGAAATTACTGACTTGCGATAAGTTTATGACGACGATGTGAGTGTCGACGCGGTGTCAAAAGGACAATTGGCGCCAGTGTCCTTGAACCTCAACCAGCGATTCGCCACCACCGAGGAAGATGTGTACTGCCATTTCGTTTTCCACGGCACAAAGAATGGCAATACCGTTGTGTGGAAATTCAAGAAGCAACAGGGATCGATAGCGTCGACGTGGTCAGAAAGTTCGACTGCACCAAGCTCATCTTATTCCGGGACACCAAGTACTACGCAAACAAACAATACGTCATCAGAAAACACTATCCCATCTCCAATCGGGACTGGCGCGGCGGTTGGAATCGGCGTTGCTGTAACAGCATTCGTTTTCTTGGCCGTACTGGCTGGCGTCTTGCTCCTGCGGCGTCATCGACGGCAGCGGTGCGGACAGAATACTCTGCCAATGCCGTCGACGCCGGCCATAGTATACGAGCCGATTGCGCAGACTCCTTTATACGCTGAGTTGCAAACGCCCGAAACCAATAACATTGGCGGACCCCAGCAATCCGACTGTGCTCCCTTGCGGGAACTTCACAATGTCTCCAACACAAGCATTCCCGAACTCGATACTAGTATTGACCGGGTGCCGAATATTGATAGCTATAAATATAGGACGAATTAGCACAAAGGGTGTAATCGCTGAGCTCGGTACCTTGCCGCTACGGCAGCTTAAATACCAGGAACTCGCAACTAACAGATGCTCTATCCCGGTAATTTCTAGGTGAGGCTTTTGCCCGGCGGTCCACGCAGCACAAAGTGTTTGTCGGAATTGCTGCATGACGAACGCTCTCTTGTTTATGGTGTAGTTATCGTGTAAACGTAAGACACATCGAGAGCAGAGGGATAAAGCGGGAAGGTAAAACTGGTGGCAAATTTTGGATAACAGGAGGGATGCATTGAGAGCTTGACAAAGGAGTAAATCTATTTACGACACGAGGTTGATGAGCATTCTGGCGTTCAGATGGCTATCTTGACAGGCTTTTCTAATTCTCCTTAACTCTGCTGGCCTATTTTCTCAGCACTGCCTGGCTTAGAATAATAACCTTCATTACTCTTGCTTTCAACATGTATCATCAGCACATCTCAGACTAATTGTCGAGCTGAACCCCTAATTCGAAGCCATGTAATCTCATTCATTCCGTACGTATTACAGCCTTTGCTCTTCGAAATTAATAATTTTGGTGTTTACTATTCACCCTCTTTGTAAATTTGGTTCGATGACCACAGCTTCTTTCATACGTCGTAACGGAAATTTCTCTAGGCATCTAGTAATAATGACTAGTCTCTTGTGATGGGTCGAAGAGATCTGACTTTGTGGTATCGAATTCATTTATAGTGGTGCCCCGAGCAATCAAGCTTTCCATTCAATCGTGCTTCACGTCTTCACATTCTGTACCATATCCTTAAATTGATGCTCTGATAGATATGCGATATCATTCGTCATGCAATCCGATACACTAAACATCATCATGCTCCGTTCCCAATTCAGCTTTAGCGAGACACCGTCACCATCTGTCTGGATGGTAGCGGAAAGATCCGGCCAAAATTCTCGTGTAAAAAAGGTTCTACTACAGTGAACTGGCACCGGTACTGGTACGGGCCTGGTGCGGGCTCGAGTTAGTCTGTCATCTTTTTCCCGGATCATACTCAACCGGCAGCACCTAGAATACGAGATAAGCTTCGATATTACTGCCAGTTATTATCAGCATGGTGGAGTGGTGGAGTGGTGGAAAAAGAAGGTATTTTAATAGAAAAGCTTGCATAATCACCTTCATTGATCTGTGTGGTGAGGTGGAACAATCTACATCAGTTGGCAAGACCGGTGGATACCATTTATTGTGCTTATATCTTCGAAATGTAGTCTTCACGATGACTGGGAGTCCAGCCGCGACTTTCTGGTGTATGGAGATGAATCGATGTTAAAACGTTTAGCTGGTTGGTCACATGTGGTGTTAGTTCGAATTGAGAGCGGTGCATGGAGCTCTGAGAGCATGAGCATGCCTTTCGCAGAGGGAACATCCTTAATTCTCTGCTCCTTGCACTACCAGCGTCTCAACAGTCACTACGTTCATGTGAGAACTCTTTAACGTGGGTAGACACAAGCAGTATTTATACCACAGCATTCCATTGCTCCTATATTTACACCAATCGTGTCCGATGCAGCTTAATCCCCTTCATGCAGTAAGTAAATCCCTCGATTTCTCTGCTGACCCAGCCTTTCAATCATTTCTTGATCCATTTTTGTATTTGTTGAGGCAGCCGGAATATCCCGTGGCTCCATGACTGGTAAAGGAGAAGCCCAAGGAGCATCAGAAGGTGAAGCAAACAAAATCACAGCCCAGAAATGACTCGGCCTAATAAATCATCCGTCAACGTTTCTTTCCCCAACATATGACTCCTCACGTGAATACTCACTTTGTTATGGGCTGAATCATCTTTGTCGAGTGTTCCTCTAATCTTTGAGAGATCCGATCGAGCTTGATATGCAAACCTCGGATCATATTGGAAGGCCTATGCCTGAACCGATGCGGCGGCCGCTGCGGCCGTTTTCTTGACCGATGCACCCAGCGTATCGGCATCGCCATATGACGCGGCGGCAGTGCGGACTTCTGCTTCCGCGTGCGCACGTCGAAGAGCCTGTGTGGACATTTGAGGCAAGTTTGATACATGTGCTTGTGTAGCCATGATCTTGAAGATGAAGGATGAATAGAGTTGGTAGTAAGTGCTGTCTTGCAACAGGTTGCCAGAAAAACAGAACTTAGTATTTCAACCTGCGAATGCAGTGTGTTATAGAAGGGCAAAGTAGTACAAAAAAAACTAGCCTGTTCAGAACACATTATAGTTATGCGTAGGACCAGTGACCGCCGCTGTTGATGCGGGGTCAATGAAGCGGCAGGCCTGCGACAGAATTGTCTCCACCAACAATTCTCTCAATGCTTTTCAGACGACATCTTTGGAGACGCGGTAATAGTCCGCTGATCCTACAGGTTGGAGCATCTCAATTGAGCTTGATCTGATGGAATGGTGCCCGAGTCCCTTTCGAGCGCTCTCCAGTGTTTTTGAGGCCATTAGTTAGGTCACTATTACGGACACCATTCGTGGTCCAAGCTCTTTTCACCTCTTCCAAAACGGTATTGTGTGAAACGCAACCATGGCGACCAAGGGACAGCTTAGGAAACCCATTTTGTCCGTCAACTACAACAAGACGGCGAGGTATAATTTGTTTCGATGAGATTCATCACGTCGTCGTCTGTCCCGAATATTTGGCCCCTGACTTGCTCAGCGCGAGAATAAGAGCAATTCATAAGTTGCACCGTGAGATATATTATTTATTACCCTGTTTTAGCATACCACCAATAGTCTCAAGCCTCAGCCCCTGGTCATGGTCAGGTTTTATCATGCGCCGATCGGGCCAGGATCTCCACGCTAGCTATGCTTTTGGCAAGAGTATCTGTCCAGTCGAGATAACGCGAAAACTTGTCCAAACCATATCACCAAAGCAGCACTGGGATTTCTGCGGACCTACTTCCACCTAATCCATTCGCAAACCCTTTTAAATGGTTGTACTCTTGCTAAACGGCACTTCCTACCTAGCAATATGAACCCGGCAATTTCATTCGATCGGCAGTCGATCGCAAAGGTGCGAAGTCCTCACAATGTTCATATTGAACCTGGGAGGCTCGCGGGTACTGCCCAAAGATAAAGTACGCCTTACCTTGCAACGGCAGGGGTTCCTCACTTTTGCGCAGTTGGCTCCGAGCATTCATGTTAAGTGGGTGGCCACACCAACTGAGGATGCGCAGATTCGAGGCTGACAGCGACCACCTGAAGGCTCGAGGACGCCTTCGGCGCTTCTGAATGCCTACTGAAGTCATCATGACTGCTCCAATTGACTCCAATGACAGCAGAAAGTCCAGAATCACCTTTCCAATACCTAGCCGACTCTTCGAAGCATGTCTTTGCCTACCAGCGATTGTTTTCAAACCCTTGACGTTGCTCACTGCTTCTGATTGACTTGAGGCCACCGACCCAGACCGATCGAACGCGGCTAGGTCTCCTGCGTACCGATCATGTCAGACCCAACCATTTATACAATCGGATGGATTTGTGCCGTAGAAGCCGAACTTATCGCGGCCACGATCTTACTCGACAAGGAACCGAGGATTTGGAAGAAGCGCCCGTCCATGTCACCAACACATATACTCTAAGTCACATTGGAAAGCACAATATTGTCATTGCCGCATTGCCGCATTGGCAATGTGGGCTCGTCAGCGCTGCTAACGTCGCCAGAGACATGATACGCACTTTTCCCGATATCAGAATCGGTTTAATGGTAGGTATTGGTGGTGGTGCGCCAAGTTCGAAAGCACGATGTTCGATTGGGTGACATCGTTGTCAGTTCTCCTGGCTACACAAGTGGAGGGGTGTTCCAATATGATTGCGGCAAGACTACACAAGATGCCAGCTTACTATCACTGGATACTTAAATCAGCCGCCACAGTGCCTGTTGACGGCAATGTCTACTTTGAAAGCCCAGTACAAACGTCGCGGCCACATTATCGAAGAGTGATTCATGACATTCTCGAGAACAATCCAAGGCTGTGGAGGGAGTGCTAAAAACCGGCGTCCAACACAGATAGGGTGTAAATGTTTTCCTTCAAACATGCTGGGAGCGATGATGCTGATTGTGCAACTGCATGCGACGACATTTCGAAGTTGGTTGATCGAGCCGGCCGATCCGAGGAACAAGACAACCCGGTGATCCACTTCGGCTTCAGTGCGTCCGCTAACCAGCTAATGAAGGATGCGACTATACGAGACAGCCTTTCGGCCGAGAAGTTACCTTGTGTTTCGAGATGGAGGCTGCCGGGCTGATGGATCATTTCCCATGTGTCGTGATCCGCTGGACCTGCGATTACTCGGACACGCACAAGAACGTGAGATGGCAGGGATATGCGGCGATGGCAGCTCCTGCGTACGCAAAGGACCTGCTTTATAAAGTAGCACCGAACAAGTGGAGGCCGAGAAGAAGCTGGCCGAAATTTTCACAAATTGTGTGTAGCTCTGAGCCCTATAGTGCATCTTGTAACACGAATGAAAGCATGACAATTTGACCATGACGTCTCAAATTGATTAGCACTATTCCGAAGCATTATCTTTACATATGGCCATACAAATTCGCGCACTATGCCTGGTCCCATGGAAGGTGCCATAGCGCCCCGCGTGCGTTTCAGTATGCCAAGCACAACCGCCATTCAATAAGTTTCTTGCGGCATCTTGCAAGGACACCTTAAAACAATATCCTATTCGTGAAGAAGACTGTGATGCTGTACACGGCCAGCCTTTTCGCCACCATGCTCTTGTCGCCAGGCGTGCTCATCGACGTTGCTCGAACTCGGTACGGGGCACGAGGGGTGCGAAATGCCAGCTCGGGCAGGATGTTCCTTCCCCGTCGTAACAATACCAACGTCAGATGATCGACGTGCGCGCGACAGTGCGGAATCACCAGAATCGAAATACTGCCTATGCCTGCCTAACCGTTTAGCTGCTTATGTATCAGCTAATAATGCTCAGGAACCGGACACTCAACTCTAACTGGTGATGGAGAAGATCGTATGTAGCCTGATCATTTCCGTACAGACGCAAAGGATGATCGACTGGCTCAATAGGTGTCTTCTTCATTAGTGAAAAGGTCAATACAGGGACCATATTTGAATGGTATAGATGGCATGCTACTTACTTTGTTGTCTAGCTGTTTCAGCCCGCCCAAATGCTCTTTAAAACTCATATTTCCTGTTCGTTTGTGGGGAATCAACTTTATGAAAAAGTGAGAAAGAGTAATGCTAAGGTGAATAAATATTCCAATGGGACAGGATCTTCCATTATCGATGTATAGCAAAAAGTTGTCAGGCATGCAACGTCATGGTGATCAATCACATTCATCACCGGTTCTGATTATCACACCAACTTAATATGATAGGTTTGTTAGGTTTGATAACGGCAATAGTGCCGCGCCCGGTATTACGCAGCTGGTTCTTTGTCCTTATCACCGGCTCGGGGCCGAAAAGGGGACCTTGCATGAATTGATCGTGGATCAGGGAAGAGCGGAAGCATGAAGAGGATGGCCGAGGCTGGGCGCCCGAATTCCCCACGGACGGGCCTACATACCTACTAACTCAATGCGCAGCATTTATCTCTGCATGTAACAAGAACAACAGGAACCACCCTGGTCCATCCTTTTAGATTTCCTCGAATCATCCCGATAGTGATGTTGTTAAAACGTAGCGTCAAAAACAACTGGGTCACTGTTGTATTTGGTATGAGTTAATCTTCTGCGAGGCTTAATTTACTAGGTTAGATATGTCAGGATGACGAGTCATAGCGCGACCCTTGGGTGCACGGTGTGTAATCACAATTAAGCCAATCAGAGCCAAGGGACCACCTCCGAAAAGCCCTAAGAGACTGGTTTTCGGAGCAGCTTGACGTCTGGGTTCTGTTAAGTATGTTGCCACAACAGCCTGGTTTCTTATGTCAGTGCAACATATCAGTCCGGCGAGATTGTCACACAACATCGCCAACAGCCAGCAAGACAACAACGTGAATTCAAATGCCACCCAGTAAATACACGCCAATCATCCCAGCACCACCCACCTGCGGTTGAGGGTTCGGTCTCTCCCTCACCCAGCCGCTGCCCAACGAGAGACCTGGTTCGAAAGCGTGCTTAAACCTCCATCGCCCGCAATGACTGCCGCCGTAGGGAAATTAGGGTAAGCCCTTGCTATTCTTGATTGTTAAGGACTAATTGTTGTGTTAATTCATGTAGTGATAGTGGACAGCCAAGTTGTTCAAACTGCAAGAAGGTAGGCCCAACCAGATGTGTCTATATAGAGTACCTCAAGGTGGGAGTACTCCCTTAGTTAGAACTGCTAGAGCTTTTTAGATCTATCCTAGAAGACCGCGTAACCAATCTTCTGACCGCTATCAAGAAGAACAGTGACACTGCCAGCCTCTTGTGCACCGTTAAATCAAACACAGCAGAAACACCTAGAGTCCGAAGTAATGGCGAAGAACTCGAATACGTATCCCGCCCTGAGTCCTATCGTGGCCTCCGATCTAGCATGGAGTAGTCTCCTCGGACCTGTCCTGAGCTTCGCGGCACACCATACAGTTAGCAGCAGTTCCAATCCTGCCGAATACAGCCGACTACTCAGAACTTCTAACTAGCGCAAAAATCGACGCCCGAATCTACTTATTGCGACGAGCGCCTGCGCAATCTTGATAGCAGTTTCTGGACTAACATGGAGGTTACTAACGACTTCGCCGCGCGATTCGTTTCACTGTACATATTGTTACACACACACACACACACACACAAGTTTATTACGCCCGGGCTATTCCCCTAGAGGGCAACTAACACTACACTACAAAATCGTTTCCGAAGTTTCCGTCCTCACTCCGACTCGAGCCCATACCCACCGACTAATCTGTTTTCGTTTCAACCCATTTCACTTTCATGACATCCCTGTATGATACTGTTCGTGGTTAGTGTACAGTACAGAACTTGCAGTACAGAGAATATGCACCAGCCATCTTGTGTCGTTGCCATACAGGCTTGTCTAGTTTGTCTAGTTTGTCTAGTTTGTCTAGTTTGTCTAGTTTGTCTAGTTTGTCTAGTTTGTCTAGTTTGTCTAGTTTGTCTAGTTTGTCTAGTTTGTCTAGTTTGTCTAGTTTGTCTAGTTTGTCTAGTTTGTCTAGTTTGTCTAGTTTGTCTAGTTTGTCTAGTTTGTCTAGTTTGTCTAGTTTGTCTAGTTTGTCTAGTTTGTCTAGTTCGTCATGCTCACTTCGTAACGTCTCCGTGTCTGTGACTAGGACAAGACTGATGTGTAATCTGCTACTGTATCAGTGAGTCTTGCCTGCGACTGAATGTGTCGTCTTTCGGTACGGTATTGTTACTGTACAGACAGTATTGCAACGTTACGATATGAATGATGCAGTCGATCGAGGGACGCATTCGGTAGAGGAGCATATTCGTACCCGGCCTACAGCTTATGGACAGTTCCAGCTGAACATCGACATTCAGGCTGTGGAGAGAGGGGGCCCAGAATTGGCATCTCAGGTTGCCTGGACATGCTAGAAACAGGCTGGTCCTGAATCATGTCCAGTCATGACACGAAACCTCGGCGGGTCGCCCACCATTTCTGTACACTCGGTCGGGAACGAGTCGTGTCTGCTTCTCGTCAGGCCGGAAATGGGCTGTCGCAATTTGTCGCGATCGTTTCGGGTGGCTGGACAGGCCTGGTTTTGAGTCGTGCTTTTCGTCGGTGGCCTATTTCGGGCCGTCCCATTTTCGACAGGGAGTACAGAAGAGGCGCATCGGTCGGCTTGTTGTGGGGGAAAACGGCTACGCGACGCCCGCCCACTTTGACGCAACCAAATAGTGGTCAACGCTATACCTGATTGAGGAGGAACAGCGCGACAAATCCGTACGCCTCCAAAGTGGTATGCAAATGCGCAAACAAAGCTTGAAGCAGTACTGCACCGATGTTCAAAAGCGTCCTGGTGGGGTCCAACCAGAACCAGAATCAGATTTAATCAATGGACGTCCTTCGCTCATTTTTGGATTATTCTCATTCTGATTTCTTTCATGATTGTACGGAAGCAGAACCAGCTAAGTATAGTATTGGTGCAATGTCTCCACACTTGATCCACGTTGCGTGCAGGACTACGAAATCGGCCACTCTAGCTGTCTCCACAATCTGACAGGTTTGTCTGAGATTCTCGTTTCCGTGCCTGACAGTGACAAGACCCTGATTTGTCGCCAACACAACAGCGACAGCGACAGCGACAGCGACGAAACCAGAAACGGCACAGAGATGACCAAGCTGCCATGACCGACCAGGACTGTACTGTATTTACTTACATACTCCTGATGGACAGTCAGATACAGTGGGGGCAGTCAAGCAGGGTAGAGAAGGAGAAAGAGGCAAGGAAACGACACGAGACATGGGACACGGTGATCGTGAGCCCATACATCACTAGCGAAATGGTCAAGCCGAAACCAGCGTTTATTCAATTATCTATGTACGTATATACCATAATGGCTACTGAAAATCCACAAATTCTACAAGATGCGTCTCTGCATTGGCTCTGTTAACCCCAGACAAGAGAGACTCGAAAGAGCTCTTGCCAGGACAGCAGGTTCGTAGCCAGCACCACGGACAGGTTGCAGAGGCCGCCTTCGCTGGCCGGTACACAGGGTTGGGACATCTGTGACCCCCGCAGGAAACCTAGGGAGATAGGACGTCTGCGGGAAAAGAGGGAAGCAATCCATCATCTGTAGGCTCCCGGGGCCTTCTCATCGGGATCGATCGTCTTCATTCTCGCATCATTGTCGTCGCCGTTCCCTCGCTGGGGCCGTTGGCATGCCCTTGTCGGGTGCGAGCGCGCATCGTCGCCGTCGTCGCGGCCTTGTCGCTTCGTCGGCGCGGCGCAGTGGAAAAATGGAGGATCGTCGCTGTCGTCGCCGTGTGTTGTCGGTTCGTGGATGCGTCGCTATCGTTGTGTTTGAAGTGCCAGCTTAGGTTTACCTAAATATTCGGTAACGGTTCATTCAATACACATAGTGACACTCTTCCTGGTGGAGAATAAAATCAAAACTCCACGGAGCACGATCAGCGTCGCCGGTTGGATTTTAACGAACAACTGGGGAGCTAGTGGCCTTGTCATGCAGGCACATGCAGGGGCACGCACAGTAATGGATAGGCATACACGTAGTCAGCTGTGGCAGCTGCACACAATCGACCCAACCACTCTAGGGGTTGGTGCACTCAATTGGGCCATTGCTGGCGAGGCACTACATGACGCCCTGGTCGACAATCGGAACCGAAACCGTACCAACAACAGCGTCTGCACGAGCACAAATCCCATCCAACACCATTGACAGTGGCCCCGTCGGGGCCTGCAGGTCGCAGTCTCCTGATGCGGGGTTGTTTGACCGACGACTGTGCGCCTTCAGCCGCCCGAGGCTCCCGACGTGTCCTAGACGACGACGACAACGACAACGACAACGACAACGACATGACCTGCCCGATTGGACGGCGCGAACCACCGAAGCCAGTATTGGTATTATTCACTCAGAGCCATCGCATACGGGACGACTCCTGATCGCGAATTGGGAGCAACACAGAGAGGCTACAAGAGACGGGCAGGCACCCTCGACCCGAAAGCCTGCAGGGTGGCTTGCATCGCCTCTGTTGATACTGAAGCCTAAATGGCTCTTTATATGCTAGACGAGCGACATACCGGCGGTTCGCATGGGCCGAGGTGACGACTATGTGTTCCACGCAGGCAGCATGTGCGGGCACAACATCGTCGTAGTGACGCTATCGGCAGGCCAGGACTATGGGACAGGATCGGCGGCTGCGCTTCCCTAATCTCTGGACCTGTCGCGAAGGCCGGCGCGCGACATCCGGCTGGGGGACGTGCTGGTCTGTCTTCCGGACGGCGAGAGCGCGGGACTGGTTACATATGATCTGGGCAAGGAGACGGAAGTTGTGTTCGAACCGCTTCGACAGTACACTTTGTTCCTGCTCAAGTTGTCTTAGCTCATTGAACTCAAATGGCGGACAGCCTAAAATTCCTTGCAGGTGTTGCTACTTTGCCGCCCAGAAGAAGGCGTAACTTGATCCTCAGTCTTCAATCCTCAGTCTTCAATCCTCAGTCTTCAGTCTTCAATCCTCAGTCTTTAGTCATCAATCCTCAATCCTCAGTCTTCAATCCTCAGTCCTCAGTCTTCAGTCCTCAGTCCTCAGTCTTCAGTCCTCAGTCTTCAATCCTCAATCCTCAGTCTTCAGTCTTCAATCCTCAGTCCTCAGTCTTCAGTCTTCAATCCTCCGTCCTCAGTCTTCAGTCTTCAGTCATCGTCTTCAGTCTTCAGTCTTCAGTCTTCAGTCTTCAGTCATCGTCTTCAGTCTTCAGTCTTCAGTCATCAATCCTCACTCTTTGATGAGAATGCGAGAGTTTGATTCTCATTATAGCCCTTTTATTGCTCTTTGGCTTGACGCGGAACAAAAATACTCTGAGAAGGACATCAAGAAGGCTTTCAGACAAGCATCCCTGCATTGCCATCCAGACAGACGGCGTATAGTCGATGTAAAACTAGACAGATGGCCTACGGCCTACTATTACTCATTTGAAAGACTCCACAGAGTATGTTGCCGACCTACTCAATCGCGACTTAAATGCCCTCCGCATCCCACCAGATTGATTTTTGCTTTTTCCTATAGCATTCGATCCTAGACACCCACTTGGGGATGCAAGGATCTATCCTCTTACTGAAACGCCATGGTTTGTCTCTTGCGAGGAGTGCTATATGCCTATGCCGGAGGCAATGCTCAACGACCACCTATCATCCCACGGCTTTCATATGTGTTTTTTTTGCGACGCCCGAATCAAACATGAGCTTTACGAAATGCATTATCTCCAGTGTAACCAGAAGTGCAAGTGCAAAGGTGTCGAGGACATGAAGGAACATGTTGCAGAAAGACATATCTGCCCGTACTATGCAAAAGGACGTCTTAAAGCATCGACCATGGTACACCACATGGAGGTGTACCATAATTACTCTTGTCAGTCAGAAGGCTTTTGGGAGGATCACATCAGCTCGGAGCATATGTGTTGCGGAGAATATCATGATGACCTCAAACAGCATTTCTGGGACTGTCACCTTTGCGATTGTCTTGAGGTCAAAGGGTGCGAATTGGAGCACCATTACCAGCATGTTTTATCACGCCATCGCTGCAATTTATGCTTCGCCTATGCTTCGGACCTTGAACTGCATCGGGATCGCAATCATACATGCCCCCCTTGCGATATGGTAACGTAGTTCACAAGCGAGCTGGCCACCCAAGGAAGCTGGCCACGCTAATCAGCACAATACGCAATTCAACTGAATTTCGCAACCATAACGCCGTAAATCAATTTAAACTACTCTGAATACTCTTGCCCGGATGATTCTATTTCAACCTGACAGGTTCTTGCGTTATGCCCGGGCTTCCCGCACACTCCACAGCGTCGTTGGCGCGCCGGTCCCCGACCCGAACCACTACCGTTTTCACGTATTTCTTGTTGTACTTGCTGTGTAACGTCTTTTTGGTCCTGTAGATCTTCTACATCTTGTATATTAAGTGATCCTCCAAGCCGAATACGTGTTTTTTTAGCCCTACGTCGCTTACTAATAACCGTATTTGCCTCTCGTAGTTCAGTCACCTCGGCTTGGAGGAGGGCCATCCGGTGCATAATCCCATGCGCTCCTTTCGCGAATTGGTCGATAGCTTCGTAAATTGAGGTTGGAGAGCTATTTTGATGGTTGGCGATCCGAGATTTGATAAATTCAGATTGTGAAGTGGCCTCGATTGGGTTGTTCGGTGTCCTCGAAGCCCAAGGTCGGGTTTCTCGCGTAGGGGGCCGAGAGGACGTTGGCGTTTGTAATTTCACATCCAGCTTCGATATCACTACTTCCGGGCTTAGAGGGACAAGTCCAGCTCCCTCGAAGCCTGCGCGGATATTGCTTTCGGTTATACTCTTCTCGAATGCTTCGCAAAACGCCGGGAGGAAGTCCTCTTTCGTAATATGGGAAATCCGGGCTCGGATAAGACGTTCAATTTGCGCGCCGTACGCTTTCTTAAGAGGTGCAAAACATGCCACATCTAACGGCTGAAGGATATGGGATGAATGGGCGGGCATACAAAGTGTAAGAACGTTATTCTCTTTACAATACTGCTCGAAAGCATCCGAATGGTGGCTCTCGTGGCCGTCAAGGATTAAAAGCCGGTATACACCTGATTTCCGGCTTTTTGTATACGCGTCGAAGTGTTTTAGCCAATCTGTAGTTAGTTCATTAGTAGTCCAACCATTCGGGCTAACAGCAACCCTCCAATTCTTCGGCATTAGGCTGTTTTCGTACTAAGATGAGAGGTGGTATTTGCCTTTGACGATGATATACGGCGGGACCGTCCAGCCTTGCGAATTGACGCCTTGGATAACCGTAGCCCATTCCCGATTACCAGGCTGGGCCAGCTTAGGTTTGCCTTTCCTTTCGGAGCTGGTAACGACCATCGATGGGGTAATTTGTCCCATTATAAACCCGGTCTCATCGAAGTTGTAAATATCCGTATCCGCGACCCCGTATTTCGCGATTGTGTTACGTACGAGGTCGAACCAACCTTGGATAAGTTCTGGATCTTCGCATAAAGCCCTAGAATAGTCGTACTTGCGACTAAATACCGTTTTGAGTTGTGGTTGTCGCTTGACGAAGTTAGAGGCCCAGTTCTTCCCGACGCGTGACGCGTAGTAATCGATTCGCCATATCTTCCACAGCGCTTAACCGGGGAGGGAATGCTTGGGAATCTAGCTCAATTATCCTTTTAATAATCGTATCCTCTTCTAGTTCTGTAAGAATTTGATTTTTAGGTCGGATATCGCGTCGAGGTTGAATACCGCGTATTCGCGTCATAAGCGTTGAACGAGGGACTGTATATATCGCTGCGACGCGCCGTACGCTTAATGTTGGATCTTTTTCAATAGCCTGAATGGCAAGGATCAGTTGAGCTTCTTTATTAATTGAAGTCATTTGGAAGTAGTGATGAAAATGGAGGTAAAAGGTTGAATTGTATGTTATGCTAATTAGCGTGGCCAGCTTCCTTGGGTGGCCAGCTCGCTTGTGAACTACGTTATATAAGGATCGGGCTAAGCATATTGCTATATACCACTTTTGCACGAGTTGCGAAACGTACTGCGATGATGTTGAAGACCATGCTGCCACTGCACATTATTGCCGTTACTGTCGTGAAACCAGGTTTGACATAGCTGCACATATCGAAACAAATCACAGCTGTCCGCAGTGTAAGTTGGAACTGTCAGATCTTCAGCGTCATTTGGCCGAACATTGCCCACTTCCGTTTTGTAAAGTTTTTTCCAGTGACGTGGATAAAATACACTTTCATTTGCAAAGCACGCATTTGCTTCAACTCTGTCCAGATTGTCAACCTATGACGACCCAACGAGACGCCTTTTCGCAGCATCTGATGACGCATGAGTCGGCCCCGTGTCCCGAATGCAACACCATGATTTATCGAGAAGAACTTCAACGTCACGTCGAAAAGACTCATCGGTGGCGAAAATGTATTACATGTCCAGATTTGGAATCTGAATATGCTAAGGAACATTTCAGAAACTTTCACGCGAAGGAAAATTGCCCCAAATGTGATGTTCAGTTCTATGCAGTGGATCTGGAGAAACACTTGGTAGAAAACCACAATTGGAAGCATTGCCACTTCTGCGAAGCAGTCAATGAAGCGTCCTCGATCGCTGATCACGTTGAAGGTGCCCATCAACCAAGGCTATGCCCGGAATGCTCTGAGGAATATCCCAGCGACACGATGGGCCACCATCTTCGTTCCGCACATTCATGGAAACCTTGCTCCGTTTGTCACCATACCTTGTCCCCAGAAAATTTCGAAGCGCATGTCACAGAATTCCATGTGCCATGTGGAAACTGTGGCAAGATGTTTTCGCAAGAAGCTTTAAAATTTCACGAAGAAAAGGTCCATTCGCTGGTAGGGTGCGACTACTGCATCAAACGGTTTAATTCCGAAGATTTAACAGGCCATATTCTCACTTCCCATGGACTCCAGAAATGTCCAAACTCAACTTGCGACGAGCAACTACCGTCAGACGCCATCCCTGCGCATATAGGTGAGTTTCACTCGCTGAAGAAATGTTGGTGTGGCTCCCATGTCCAGGATCTGCGCCGCCATATGTCGAGGATAATAAGTAGTTTTGTATGATTAATTATAGTCTTGCAGTATGGGCTCGAATCGGAGTCAAGACGGGTATCATCCAAGGCTCTATGTGTTTCCATATCATCAAACAAAGTCACATCATCTTGGTAGAACATAACGACGTCCCAGGAAGAGCCTCGATTGTCTCAACCGCCGACCCCTCCGACACTGGTCGACATTCAGATCCATAGTCTTGGCGGTACTGCTACTGCCTATGACGCATCCCAGGCTATGTATGACCCATCGACTCAAGACTCCAGAGAACCGGAAAAGGGACGTCGAAATGGGCAAAAATAGCAACCAGCCAGCCAAATTGCTTTGTTTGTTAGCAGTGTCTTGTAGGCGCCGGGCCAAGCACGAAATCTCATTTATTTCTTGCGGTGATTTACCATCCTAGAAAGCAATCATGCCGGTCAATCTTTTCGACGACGGCTTCGACAGTCTTGATATCGGGAACGTACTGGTTCGAGTTCCCTAACCGGGCGAAGAATTCGCTCCATTTCAACTCAGCTTGCCGACCGCCGGGATCTGGCGATAATTCAGTGACAGCGCAGCAATGGTTTGGCTCTGGGCTGTTCCTGTTTGTCACCAACAAAAGCCTTGTCATGCCGGTCCAGCAGTGATCTTGGCGATATGTGCCATGTAACCACATTCTGTATGGTTCTTGATTGATGCATCGAATAGCAACTGACTCGACTTCGTTTACTTCAGGGTATTCAGCAATTTCGTTGATCGAGTATGAGTCAATATACAGAATGTCGATTTTAGGGCGAAAGTATATTGGTCCAGATATCTCTGCGTCTCCTGGCTTTTTCTCAAAGAAGGGTCGAAAATGTTCGAGAGCTATATGCCGGGATTCTTGGCAAGCGTGGAGGATTGCCGGCCGGCAGAGCAAACGAATATTGGGCCGGAGATGTAGCTGTCCTCGCAGGCTGGCAACTGGGCTATGCGAAGAACTCGCCGGTTGGGCAAGGCGAAATTCTAAATAAGGCTCCTCAATTCGAACGGTAACTCCATAAAACGGTACATCTTACACCCGCGTTGTAGTCGCCTGTTCTCAGCTTCTACTATGAAAAGCTGGGCTTTCAGCGATGCTGGCTGCGATGTATACACATATATTTCATCACACTTGAATTGCCAGAATGGAGAAGCTATAGTCTAAAGATCACCCACGTTGAACTAGACTCACGTCAGATGTTAATCCGCAACGGGAGACCGACGACCTTGGCAACTCATATTTAGTGGCAAACCCCATAATGAATGCTAGACTGGTGCTTCATCTGCAGGCGTGGTATGGCTTTCGACCAAAAGTCATTGGAGGTCCTACTACTAATCATGAGCTGAGATGAAGAGCTGCTTCTGCCAGCTGTGATAGGTTTCCGGTCTGCTTGGACCAAGGAGATGGTTCAGATCGAGCTGGTTGTCCTCGGGCAGGGAGTGCTGGGAATTGACTGGCTTTCTGTCTCCTTGGCCAGATTCCTTCGGAGCGGAGCCTAGTGCTTGATCCCATTGCCTGGGCAGTATCGTCAGTGAACTGTTGCTCGATCATTCTGCTGTCCACGTCTTCGGCCTCTTCTCTTGCCGACCCAAAGAGACGGTCAGCTCGACTCGATTGAAATGCTGTGGTCCTAGGAGAGTTGACAACTTCTGGTGCGACGCCCTCCTGCACGAATGTAGCATTATTCGCTTCCTCCATCGCCCGCATCTATGAGAAATAAGTCAACTAAACAAACGTTCCCTTTCTTGGCTGCTCACAAACACGTACGAGTTCATTAGCACCTGGCAGAGCTTGGCCTACTGGTAAGTGCACCGCCGCGTCCAGTTTGCCTTGGCGGGGATCGAAGAAGATGACAGAACAAAACACACTCGTTGCCCTCCCAAAGTCCCCAGCTCCGTGTTTGAGTTGTTCAGCAAGGTTTTTGAGTTCGCCATTCTTCGCAGTTCCTTGCTGAAGATATGCTGGAGAGTGGTCTTCGACTTCGCCTATTGGCTGAGATGCCCTGTCCGGCCATAGTGCTCCGGTAAGTTCTGGAGTAGCCATCGAGGCTTTGAGCATAGCGACCCTTTCCTCAAGATCTTCCACCATTTGTTCTTTTGTTGCAAGTAGTTTTGCCACGAGCGACTCCGCTAGCGAGGAGAGTACCTTCTCGTGCTGCAATCTCTTCATCTGGGACTCTTGCAGCTGAGCTTTGAATTGCTGTCGAAGCTCGTCTTGCATGTCACGCACTATGCTCTCAATCAGCGAAAGCAGGGCTTGACACAGCTCGTCCTCCTGTTCGACTGCGGCTGTCTCGTCATTGGGAAATGTTACATCGTGCGACGGTGCCGGGCTAGGGAACGAGAGATCCCTTTTATGTAGGTGGCGGTTACTCATTTTGTTGCGGAACTCTGGGTGTTGATATCCAGGATTGAGTAGTGCGTGGAAGGTAGTGTCAAAGAGAAGAAATTGGAAAAAAGAACTATGCAGTTACCAAAATAATGAGGGCCTTTTTATGAGGTGATGGAGGGGGTGCCTGAGGCTGTTTGGAGGCAATCTAGGCGCCTAACCTGATAGATAATTCATAGGGCAATCGTTCAGTTGATACCGTCTCAGAACAATAAACTTTATGGACAGTTGCTGTTGACTAAAGGTGTCGGATCTGGGTAGAAGGAAGCATTTTCTATTCGCCTACTCCTATACGTCCATATACAGAAGACGGGTCTCAGAATACCCGTTAGATTGTGGAGACAGCTAGAGTGCCGATTTCGTGGTGCACAGTACCGAAGTTCCAAAGTGTCGCGGTGTTAAAAATGGAAATGGACTAGCTCGAAAGTGGCTACGCACGAAAGGTTCTCATTTGGGGTATGAATCCACACTGACCACCTCTGACCCCTCTAGCGCAATACTGTCCGGTCCCAACTTTCACGAGCCAGAATTGACCATTCTAGAAACTGCATATAGCAAACTACGTTTTGGTTGGTTGGCTTGCTGGCCAAGAAACGTTTTGTGGGCCGCGACATCGGTTATCGAACGCATGTCATTTTGAGCCGCGTGGGGCCTGTCGCCATTTTCAGCACCAAATTGGGGGATGGGGTTAGCCACTTGTCGCTCGCGTCAAATGCGCGCAATCGCGTAACCACTTTTCACCACTACTAGCCGCAACGGCCGAAACCATTTCCTCCCGATGGTCCGGTCGAAATCAGGAGAGCCAGCGGGACGCACTAGCTCGGAGGCCAAGTGGACCAAGCGTGCAAAAAGTGCTTAACTCCGCCATCTAATCCGAAAGCGGATCTCCTTGCCCTTTCTGGGACGGATGAGCTTGAGGAGGATAATTTCTACACTGCAGTCCGTATTGTACATCTGATGTGTATATTTTTCTGACTGTAGCCATCAAGCCGAGCGTAACTACAAAGTTCGTTCTCAACTGTACTATAAGAAGAGCACAAGTCTACTTGTGTGTCCAAATTGCTCGTCATCAAGTGGTACTCCAGGGGTTCCAGAAGCTACTTCTTGCTCCCGCGCGGTAGTAAAGTTTTAGTACCTGAACTTGAAAATATGTCCTTTCTGACTATGAATGCATACAATCAGTGCCCAAAATCTGTCTTCGATAACGTTTAATTGCTGCGTAGTATTGTGAGCATTAATATCTGCGCCCTTCCCACGCGGGTCTAGATCTAATAGGTAAGCCGACAACTCCAAGAATAGCCCCTGAATGAAAGAAGAAGAAGAAAGCCATCAGGTCATATGATTGCATTTGATTCAAAACACAGTGAATCAATGGTCACACCTTCCTACTATCTTAGATGCACGGGAAACCCTTTCCCACGTGGCCCCAGCCATACTTCAAAACCACAACAGTCGTATCAGCATCATATTGCCCTTTTCATAAAGTCCAACACTGGCTTAGAAAATCATACAAAGTATTAGTCCCGCTCCTTTCCTTTGGTCCCGAAAATCCAAGTGTCTACACATTTGCCAATTGTTGCTACTACGTAGAGGCGTTGCTTTTGCCAATCGTAGAATGCATTTTCGACCTCAATATCGCCCTTGCCGTATGAAATTGCCGACGTTGTTATCTCGTTTAAAACCCATGTTTGGTTTGGATTGTTTTCCACAATTCTTCGGACAACGGCGGTGAGGGGAAGCTCGGACTCGCCATAGTTTATATGGTCTACGTTGAGTTTGATGTTGGATCGAGGTAGAAATATGTCCCGCTTTGCTCCATCCGTCCAGTCACCATCACTTTCAAGCTTTTCGAGGAGTAGTTCTTTATGAGGAAATCCATGCGAGACGCTCGCTTGTGACTCATATCTTTCACTTTCAAACAACACAAGAGCCAAATAGATTGGTTCTTCACCACTGGTATTTCGAGGCAGTTCTCCTTGTGTCGTTAATGTTTCAAAAATCTGGCTATTTCGACCAATTAAGGTAGGTATTAATCCTACACCAATCATCTTTTCCAACCAATCTTTAGGTGCTATCGTTTGAAAAATCTTTGTCTTGTAGTCTAAATTGTTCGGCATTTTTATTGCAACTACGCGGAATAGTGGTGCAGTAAGTGTGGTTATTTATAAGATGATCTGAGCATAAAGCATAATCATGCATGCCAGCAACATCAACGAACTTTTACAACTATTTTTCTTGGCGCCCCGCTGTTAGGGCGTGACAAGGCAACTACGCTAGTTTAGTGGCACCACTGGAGTACACCCTTAATATCTCTTGGCATTCGAAAAATTCTTTTTGACCTGAATGACAACCCCTATAGACCAGCCGCCTGGCACACCCGCTTCCAGCCCGGGGACTATAAGCGATGGAGCCTCTCTCCCTCGCACCCCAAGGAAGCCATGCGGCCCCACTACCCCGAGCAGGCTCCGCCAAGTCCTACTTAGCGACATTGCTAGCAGCCCGTCACAGGTTACTGAAACCGACTACACACCATCCTCCCCCCTCAACACCAGAGGCGGTACTGGCAAGATCAACAGCATCATCGGAGCTAAGCGACCACGGATTGAAGACATCACCGTTGAAGTCAACGACAGAAGATACACTGCCGACGATGATGAGCGCAGAACGAGCCCTGGCAACTGTCAGAATCAGGTCGCTGCAGTTCTTGAACGCGACCTGCGCATCCAGCAAGAAAAGATAAAGCTGTTTCAGGACTGTGCGCATGCAATTGATCAAGTCCTCCAAAAAGCAGGCACCGACCTTTACCTCGATGCAATGGAGTTCTGCTCCTTCTTCGCTAACCGCCTCGATGATTGGCTTACAGAACATAGGTCGGCACGGCGGAAGGCCAATGCTGCAGCGCCGACAGGAGAACATGTCAAACCATCCTACGCCCAAGTAGCTGCCTCGAAGAACACTTCGGCTCCATCGCACAGAGCTCAGCGAAATACAGCAGCTGATGAAAGAGGCATGGACCGCATGGACCGTACGGACCGGCCACGCCGCAAGGAGCAAGAAGACAACCGCATATTTGTGCGCATGGATAACTCCCGACTCGAACCATATGGCGTCAAGTCCACCCTCGTGCGAAGACTCGGACTCGACTATCTGGAACTCCGCGAGGTGACCCGGTGCGCTTCCGGCTTTACGCTGCACCCACGGGACAAGCCAACCCAGGCAAAACTCCTGGCCCTCCAGAGCGAGATTATCGACATTCTCAAAGCACAGAAAATTGAAGAACATGTCGTGTGGCACCACTACAAGCTGCGGGGCTGTCCACGAAAAGTCATGACAGCGGAGGGGCTTACAGTCGAGATCGACGAAACGGCTGTTGCCAACGAGGCAGAACTTCAGACAGGCGTAAGGCCTGTGAGGTGTGTCTTGTCTAAGCATACATCTGATGGTGACGCAGAGACAGACTGGCTCGTCTCCTTTACGGGGGAAATCAATCGGCCATTCAGGCTCTTTGCACACTCCATGACGTCGTACCGTCTACGCCGGGAACCCCGAGTTCCCCAGTGTGGAGATTGCTTCTCCTTTCATGGCAGAAATTACCGTTGTGGAAAGATAATTTGCGGAACCTGTGCCAAACCAGTGCACGAAGGCAACTGTAGCAAGCCAATCCCCAAATGCGTCAACTGTCACGGCCCGCATGCTGCCACTTTTGAGAAGTGCCCGGCACGGCCGAAAGTGGTGAAAGGAATTATTCGCAGACCAGGCGCGGAGCAATTACGCGAGATAAGGCAGGCAGGCGACCGTGCGAGGTCTCAGGCATTTAGCTCTGCAAAAGAGAGTACTGTCGCTCCAGGAAGCGGCAGGACCGAAGCCAGGGATGACAGGCAGAGCGCTGATGCGATGCAAGTCGAAGATGAAACAGGCACGGCTCACGAGAGCCAACAGGACAACAATGAGGAGACGATTATCGTATGCCCGTAAATGCAACTAGGAATCAGACACAGACACGACGCGGACACCTTGTTGTGCACTGCGTGAATGCGGCAGGGGGGCAGAGGAGCATTGATCCGACTGAACTAGCTCTTAACCTGGCCGACTACGAAGGAGAGAGGGCGGACATTATTCTGATGCAGGAGCCGTGGATCGGCGTCCCACCAGGCAGGAGAATGATGGTCAAGGCGCATCCCAACTACAACGTGTTTTCCCCGGTAGATAACTGGGACAGTGATACAACGCGGCCGAGGTCGCTGGTCTATGTGAGGAAGCACCTTCAAGCCCAACAGCTCCGGCCTTACCAGACCAGGGACGTGACGTGGGTCAAGGTGCGAGGTATTACTTTTGTTAGCGTATACAGGTCAACCACAGACCCGCAGCAAGTCGACAGGATTTTGGAAGAGTGGATTCCACCGTCTGGATGTGTCGTTGCGGGCGACTTTAATGCCGGCGACGCCTCTTGGGAATCGGGTAACCATAACTACCATGGAGGGGAGATGCTGGGTAACATCATGTCTGCACATGGCCTAGACTTGATCTCCGAGCCCGATGTGCCGACGCACGACGATGGCCATGTATTGGACCTGGTGTTCTCCGACATTCCAATGGCAGAGGCGGCAGTCAGCGAGGCACTCCACTCGACGTCGGACCATGAAACACTCCGGGTCGTGGTACCAATTTCTAGGGATCTGGAACGGGTGACAAGGCCATGTAGATGGACCGTACCAGTTGACAACATACCTGAGCTGGTGGAAATGGTCCATGACAGGCTGCACGAACTTCCATCGCTAGGTTATACTGGGGAGGAGCTAGACGGCTACGCTCAGACCCTGGGTGAGATTATCTCTAGCTGCATCAAAATAGCTGGTCGGAGGACGTCACGATTCCGATCTACGGTTTGGTGGAATGATGAATGCAGAACCGCGGTTGAAGAATACAGAAACGCAGCAAAAAGTAATACGAGTCAAGGGGACAAGAAAACCGCAAGGAAAGTTTTCCGCCAGGTTGTGAGGAAGGCTAAGAGGGAGTATTGGCGGGGTGTGATTGACGGAGCCAAAAGCCCGAGTGATCTGTTCAAAATCATATCCTGGCACAAGATGACAGCAGGTCTGAGCGCGCCCCCGATCATAACCGGTAACAGAATCTTTGAGACACAGCTAGACAAGGCGAACGCACTGCGAAGGGCCACGCTAGAGCGAAACAACGGGGAAAACGACATTCCCAATCCTTGGTCAGTTCCAGTGCGACAGCGGACACCCATCCCCTTCGAAAAGCACGTATCGCTAGAGGAGGCCGAGGCATGCACGGTCGGGGTTAGCAGCACCTCGCCTGGGGTGGATGGTCTTACCGTGAAGATACTCAAGGCATGCTGGCCTATCATTGGGAAGCATGTAACGGACCTCTTTCAAAGGTGCTTGATGGTCGGGTACCACCCGAAGCCATTCAAGGTAGCCGAGGTGGTCATGATCCCCAAGCCAGGGAAGAAGGACTACTCTGACCCCAGGACCTATCGGCCCATCTCTCTCCTATCATGTCTTGGGAAGGGGCTTGAAAGACTAGTCGGCAAAAGGCTAGCATGGACAGTGATTGAACGCGGCATCTTGGCACCACAACACTTCGGGGCCTTGCCGAAGCGTGCAGCGACCGATCTAGTAGCAGCACTCGTCCATGATATTGAACAAGCTCTCGACCAAGGCTTAGTTGCCACACTAGTAACAGCGGACGTCAAAGGTGCCTTCGATGCAGCCCTCGTGGGTCGACTGGTTGTGCGGATGAGGGAGCAGGGTTGGCCCCACTTTCTGATCAGATGGACAGAGTCGTTTATGACAGAGCGTTCTGCCAGGGTGCGGTTTGAGGATACCCTGACCGAGGTCGAACCGCTCCACTGCGGTCTGCCACAAGGCTCACCAACGTCTCCCATACTGTACATGCTCTACACGGAACCCATCTGCGGAAAACTGGGTACAAGACGGCGGCGATTTGGATATGCAGACGACATTGGGATCCTCAACGTCGGGACGACACTCCAAGAAACGGCCGTCGAGGCGACAGAACAACTGAGAGAGCTCATCGACTGGGGACAAGACAATGGCGTGGAATTTGACCCTGCCAAGACCGAGATTATGCACTTTTCCAGGAAAAGAGACACCAACAATCCTATCGTCACCCATGGCACCGCCCGAAAGAGGGCAGAGCCTTCGATGCGCTGGCTTGGAGTATTCCTCGACAGGAAACTGACTTTCAGAGACCATGTCAAGCACTGGACGGGCAAGGCAAGCCGAGTGGCGAACCACATCCGCAGTCTATGCAACACCGTCAGAGGTCTTCCGGTAGCGTCGACAAGGAAAGCCGTCACGTCCTGTGTGATCCCGGTCCTCACGCACGGCCTTGAGGTCTGGTACCCAGGACGGGAAAGGACGAGGCAGGATAACACGACTTCGTCATGCCGTGTCAAGAAACAGCTCCAGCAGATGCAGTCCGTTCTACGAACGGCAATGAGAGCCATTCTGCCTGTGTGGAGAACGCACCCAAGCCATATTCTGCATTTCGAGTCGCAGATGCCGCCGGCTGAGATACTGGCAGAGTCCATCCGCCGACGCCACGGTTTCCGGCTTGGGCGGGTCGACAAAGAGCATCCACTAGTGCGGCGGCTGCCACTACAAGCGCGAAAGGACCCCACAAGACTCCAGAGATGCCATCAGCTAGTCCCCATATTTCCGAGGCCAGAATTGGTCCGGCCATCTTTCAAGAAACCACCACATCGGGGAGGCAAGGATGGAGAAGCTGAGCTGCTCAAAGAATGGCTCCGGGAGAGAAATGAGGAAGAAGAGCTGATCGTGTACTCGGACGGCTCGCAGTTACAGGAAAAGGGACACAAGCGCACAGGCTGGGGGTTTACCATTAGGAAAGGCGGTACCACCGAAGAAGTGTACCGAAACCGAGGCAGGCTGCACCGGGCAGAGGTCTTCGACGCCGAAGTGCACGGAGCGTTGCAGGGACTCGCAGCGGCGAGGACGATCGGGCCGAATAAACGACTGTTTGTCTGTCTGGACAACACATCCGTGGTGGACGGGCTAAATGGATCACCACCGGAATCGTCGCAAGCCATCTTTCTACGTTTCCAGGAGCTTGCATCAGGGCACAGTCCTGGGGTGACGGTCAAGTGGATCCCGGGACATCAAGACATCGAAGGAAACGAAGCTGCTGATAAACTTGCCAAGGAAGGCGCAATGCTCGAGACGAGGATAGACAGTCTGCCTACGGTTGCATGGGTACGGCGACATCTCAAAGGAAAGAGAAAAGACGATTTTGCCCGCTGGTGGGCGGCGCAAGACGAAGCCAGATATGAAGATGTGCATTCATATGCGGCGGTGTCAAAGAACCTCGTCTCATTCAAAAGGGCTACGCTGCACAGGCTCCTGGCGGCAAGATCTGGCCACGGCGACTTTGCAGCATATCATGAACGATTCGGGCATACGGACTCCAATAACCACTGCAGTTGCGGAGAGAGAAAGACACCAGAGCATATTTTCTTCTGTAGGAAATTGCAAGGACACCGACTGCTCCCGAGGCACACGCCAAGGGCGGCTTATACACAATATTTGGGGGAGAAGAGTGCGCAGTGGGCGCGTTTTGTAGAGAGGAGTAACTTTTTCACAAGGACATGCCCGAGATGAAGGGCCGTTTGAATTGACGGACTGAGTGAGTGTTCTCACTCAGGTCCTGCAATAGCGTGGACTGGCACGTGCGCAGGCTGGAATGTATGTAGATACTGATACCTCCAAAACCCTGCGATGTATGGCTCTGGGAGGCGTGGTTTGCCCTAGTAAGGGACGGTCCCCACGTTAAATACAATCAATCAATCAATCAATGCATGCCAGCAACCTATATATATGGGATCTCTGCAAAATTCACTTGCTCTCACTTGTTCGTGTTTCTTACTTTACGATTCATATGTGGATATTTGAGATCATAAACCGGAAGACATGCAGTAAATACTTTGCTAGATCTCGATTATATCCAATAACGAAGTTGGTTTCCGCATTAAGAGCATGAATTTGTTTCTCACGAGACCCGTTTCTGGATCGAGTATTGTCGTAGTATCATGTAGCAATATGTTGTGGTGGTGTACTGTACATACAGTATGTAATGGGTTTCACGTCTGGAAGATGTCATCCGCGTCCTCTGAAAGTTCAAATCTGGACTGTATAGATACCGAGCAGTCACTAAAAGCCATAATTGGCAGAACCGCCATTTTTAGCCACAGGTACATGAGACTTGTGACGATTATGCTGTAGCATTTAGAAACAACGTAAGCCCTGTTATTGCTAAATGTTCCTAGATCCAAAATGAACTGGAATCAGATGAGCAATGCCGCACAAATATTTTACAACCTTGAACCATACATTTACTCGTCCCAACCGTGGTGCTTCAATGGATCAGGGCAGCAAATAATATAAATCTGTGATAGAATGATCATAATCCTACTTTACGTCGGTAATTATCAAGACATTTGGAACCATGGAGTTATCGCCTGTCACTGAGCGCAACGCGACCAGAATGCCTGCGTTTTCGTATTATTCTACTACTGTGTTGGGCAACGTCAATAATGAAACCGTCATTACCGGGCTGCTAATAGGACTGGTCATTGGTATTGCGATCCTGGTCCTATTCGTCGGCATACTTCTCGTCGTGTTTCTTCTTGACAAGTTCAGACCTCGAAACAGCCCAACTCTTCCTACCACCATCGCGCAACCGCAGGTCGCAGACTATGCCGGCAACAAGCCCGATCCGTACATGAGCGCCCACTATGAGATGCCGCTGCGTCAGCAACCCACCATATCACTTCGACCACCGTCAGACATCCATCCAGCGTTACGAGATGTTGACCCGCAAGAAAGCCACCCGGAGTCGACGGCCCAACATGTCAACCAAATTCCAGTGCCACGATCTCTGACGCCAGGCGAGTGGGGTAAACCGCCTCAGCCGCCCCCTCGGACTCGTTGAGTAACAAGACTGTGGCTGGGGACTTCTTAGTCTACACAGTGAACTCTCGTGCACTTCTTGGTGATGTCAAGGCAAGCGCTCGATCTGCGGCCCGGAAGCTTGGAGAACCTCTACCATTTATGATCATTGCATTCAATGCTCCAGATGTTGGGGAAGAAGAATTCATCGACAAAGAAGATGTGACGTTCCTTGGTGAAACACTGTTGACGTTGTGAGCTGGAGTGCGTGGAGCTAACAGCGTTGATAACGGCCGAGGCGTAGAAGATATATTAGTGTGCGTCGTCACACTGAAGGGCCGGCGGGAGTTTGCATCCATTCCCAGCTTGTCCTCGCCGGGACTGTGGACCCTATCGAATCCAGATAGGCGATGTTTTGCTTTGCGACATCAGCGCTACGAGGCCGTCATTGAAAGACAGACGTCAATTTGTAGGACATGACATCTAGAGAGAGTAGAAAGTAGAATAGAGATAATTGACAAAGTGGATGCCATGTCTTTGGGGAAAGCAGATGATGGAAGGAGAAGGCGGGAGCAAAGGCGCAACCGAGGAAAAGAACGAATCACTACATGTGCTTTAGCCTGTACGAGACTGTTCTGAATCCTTGACCGAGATTAAAGCTCACATACTGGATATCTCCGACTGCAATCTCGCTATGATTGATGTACTACAAATTCTACCTCTCGCATTTCATGCTTCCGGTGACAGATGGAGGCTGGACCAGGTTGATGGACTGCTGAGCCCAACGGCAACGGACCCAGCTACTTCATGAGGCATAAATTGCATTTCTAACGTTACGTTGGAGAATACCTTGCCGATTGCTGCGACGCTCCATGCATAAGGCTTGTGCTAATTGTCAGGTTTTGTGATCAATCGGTCGCGCTAGCGGTATCAAAGGTTGTCTCACTTTTGAAGCACAATCTACTTCCCTCGTCTCATGCATCTAATCGAACTAGTTTTGGTTAGTGGCGTACCGCAGCATAAAAGCGAGGTCGGACTCAGTGTGTTCCTATTCATTTGGTTTGTTGGCAAGATTTGATAGCGTTTCAATAGCGGGATCTTGTAGTGGTCAATCTGCATGGAAACATAGGCTTCAATAGGAACGTACTGCTAGTCATTGTTGTTGAGTGTGAAAACTGGCACAAAATACGCGCTCGGAAACGATGCCAACCATGCTCCAAAATCAGTCTTATTGAGCGAAACAGACGAAACGAAGAAAAAGAACCAAGCAAAATAAAGGTAAATGCAGTCACAATGACCTCTCACTGCTCAACATTTCTCAAGGAGCACAAATCTCACGACCGTGGGGGTTGGTCAGCTGAAGCCGCGACGAATTGGTCTTCGAAAGGGAGGTGAGAAAGTTCAAAGAAACTGATGAGCAATCGGGTTAGAAGGTTTACTGTACTATAAGAGGGCGGAAATATAATCTATGCCCTGCTACTGGCATAGTTGCTGGACCAAGCCTTTGCCAAGATTTTTACAGTACTCTAGGATAGTAAAAGTCACATCGGAGGAAAATGGGTTTCAGATGATCCTTATGAGACATGACACGTCTTCTTTTACCAAGTCTACCCCGGGCTTTCTCATCTACATATTCTTGATCGCTACTGTGTCCCAAATGGCTGCCATTCTCCTTAGGGTAACGTGCAACATCAGAGGCTTGGTTCAGACGGCTTCGTGGAGAAATCTAAGCCGTTTTGGGATACTGATCACAAATACCCTAATGACATAGCTCTGAAATGGGAGCTTCTGACTTCGCACCTGCGGACTGCAATTCCTTCCGTAACTTGCTCTGAATACTTCATTGTATTGGTGCCCAATGGCCCGCCATCAACGCTTACTACCGTTTGATGGACCTTTTCAAGCATACATCGACCACCTCGAAGATATATTGTTATCTCTCTATGGATCAACTGATCAAGTTCGACAAGGTGTTCTGTCGCGAGTGGATGTCGTTGCGACGTCTGCTCCTGAGATTCTAGCGCAAACATGGGCGACGGACAACGCTATGAGACAGGACAAACCACTAACGGCCCCGAGAACTGCGAGCACGACTTCAAGACCGATCATGACTGGTTTAGAAATCAGCGGCATTCCTCCGAGTATTCAGAGACATGATCCTGCGATGGAAGATTGTCCCCAGACGAGTAGTGTGATTCAGATTTGCCAGCCCACGGGTTTAGCAACACCGAGCGGCGATGTTACCAACAGACTCAATCAAAATCGGCTTCCTTTTTTTGTCTCTCTTCTCTTCTCTTTAAGCACGGACAGTCCACTTCTGGCTCCCACTCGGAAGTAAACTTTTGAACCTCTGTCGTACCATGGAACTTGAAAAATGCCCTTTTCAGCCCTGAACGCTTAAATTCGGTGCCCTAAATCTATCTTCGATAACGTACAATTGATGTGTAGTGGTGGGTGTACTGTATCAATAAGTGCGAAAGAGCCTGGTTAAAACTCACGAGAATTGATACGGTCCAGAAGAGTACTTAGGGTATACGTACAGGTCAGAGCCAGAAATGGATCGTCTGTGCTTAGAGAAGGAAAGAGAGAGACAAAAGGAGGAAGCCGGTTTTCCTATGAATTATCTATCATACCGTCCCAGGTTAGGCGCCTAGATTGCCTCCAAACAGCCTCAGGCACCCCCTCCATCACCTCTTAAAAGAACTTTTCAGAAATCATTCGAACCGGATAGAAGTAGGATTTGGCGAGGTATCTTGACGTGGCTTGTTTGAACATGTGCTCCGATCGTTTCCAAGTAGGCTGAAAGCATAGCCGATAGGCTGCAACCTATTTGTGTCTTGTCCAGCGGAACAAGTGCGAGCCAAATACCTGTGAAAGAGCGCTCTGGGCCTAGCAAGATTTCGCTTAGTTCTGCCACATATCTGAGGAATGACCGAGCTAGAGAATCTCTAATCCCCCATAAACATTGTATCACAAGCAACGTTGCGATAGGTAGGAGAGGAGGTTGGTATTTAACCAAGAGCCTATACCGGTCGAAACTTTCTCCGAGTATCGGAAGATCAATATCGTAATTTCGGTTCTGTCGAAGGTAGCCAGCTGTTCTCTCAGCCCTAATCCACCATATGAAAGAGCGGTCGGTCGTCCTTCTGATTACGTTCTGGACCGGAACTTCAAGCTGTTGCTTCTCCATTTGTGTGATGCGTGAGTTCTTCCCGGGGCGCAAGGCCCTCTCCTTTCCATGTCTTGCATGAGATGTGAGGTGGTTTCGTGGATGATTGGCGTTGCCGTCTATCGCACATTTAGTCACTGGCGAAAGATATAAAAGTGCGCTCCGTTTACCTCAAATCAAGCCAACGCGCTCTTCCCACTCTCTCGTTGCAGCTTTTATCGATAATCACGAATATTTGACTGTCACTAATGTCTGAGTGGCCGCAGCACGCAGTGGACTCGGCACAGCAGGTGTAGAATGAACTTCGACTTTCAGGTATGCTGAGAAGCTTTAGGTAGATGACCACATATTCAATGTGACTCTCGGAATGTATTAGACCAATGATGGTAAAGGGATCTGGTTGCGATTAGCCAGCCTCGCCGGCAAGGCTTCGAATCGTCTTGACTCTACTGCCATTGTCGTTTGCAGTTTGGCAGACCATGCATCACTGAAAAAGTGGCGAAGTCGCTCATCGCCCAGATGAACAGTCCGTGCCATCCTTGGATGTTTTCTCTCCAGAAAACATCCAAGGATGGCACGGAGCTTTACCCGAACATACGCTTACCACATACTTGGCATGCATACAGGGATTAATTGCCAAGAACTCGCTTGGCCCCTGGAGTTCACCAGCTAAATTCTGGTTGGTTCCGCAAAGGCCCATCACGGCGGCATCCCGAACTAGTGAATGGATCGATACGCACGTCGATATCATGTCACATGGATCATTGCTTTGCAAGCCACAACATCAATTCGAGCAGCCGCCCAGGTATGGATTCTGAAATTGAAGCTCTTGATCGTTGTTCCATTTGATATAAATCCCCTTGCCTTCCAGCATTCGCATCGAATACTGTTCTCTGCATGACCACCGAAATCTCCCTTGAATGTGCAGCTTGCATGATCTGAACCTAGTACTTTTGGCGACGTGGTTCGCGTGCCAAATCCTCCAGTACAGCAGATACTTGAAGTTGCTGCCCGTTGTCATCATTGTCCCATGGCCAGATGAGACCAGCGAAATTAGGATTGCCCGGCTCTGGCTCTGGGATACCAATTGCCTTATTTGATGTAAGCTGTCCGTCTCTTCCTGCTGACTTATGCCGACAGCTGCAGACCTTTTATGCCATATGTGTGTTCGTGATCGACCACAGTGGGGGCTGTATTTTCAGTGCCTCGGAAACCGTTCAAGGTTTGGCTCTTGCTATGCGTTTGCTTCTGCATCACGATCAAGGTTCATTTCCTCTCCCTGCCGTTGCTCTCGAGGCAGTGACCACAGATTGCTGCAGTGATCTGCCATTGCCTGTGTTCACTAATGTACCATTGGGAAAAAGCACGCAGGGGAGCCGGAGTTTGGCGGGACTGACGGGATTCTTGATGGATTCTGTTCCGTATCCCTCTTTGTGAGTACATTCTTGAATCAAACTAATTTCCAAGGGCTGCCTCACGTCGTGGATCCTCGCCCTCCATTTACGAAGGGCCCGAGATACCCTATTCTGCGAAGTTCTCACTAGCATCCATGAGTGGTTGTAAGGTTCTACCTTTTACTATTTTGCCAACTTGGGTCGGTGACGAATAGTAGGTTCGAATCCTACGGCTGGCACGCAAAGGGGTTTAGTCAAACCTATATGGCGGGCTGCCCACTCTGCTGACCCCAGAAAGCTTATTGATCGTAAGCTTGGAGCTTCCGAAAGTTGGTCAACCACATATAAGATTGTGAGGGAGCAGCGGGTTCGATTCCCGCACTGGAAAACGAGTTTCTTGGAAGCGCCCGGACCAGAAAGATCGAGCCGGGAGATCTAGCCCTTATCTCCTAGCAGCAACGTTATTCCAAAAACCTACTAAAAGTAGCGCACAAAAGTCAGAACCACCAACAAGCACCAATATTCGGATTCCAGCAGCCTACCTACCCGCTGCGCGCTCCGGGCCTTGGGACGGACTTTAAATTGACTATCATCATCAGCAATACCTTTTACTGCAGCGACTATATTGCAGCAAAGCATATCAGGGAAGCAGACGGCAAAGAAGGCGACGAGCCCCCTGACAGTCTATACTAGCCGGGCGAGATCGCATGTATAGTAGGATGCAGGCTCCGGCAGGGACATAATTTCTTGCACAGTCGGGCGAGGCTCTGTAGTTTGCAAGTTAAAAGGCAGCTGTCTCTTCCTTATTGCAAGTCCTCACTTTTCTCTTGACCTCTCTTCTATTGAAACCGACTGGTGAAATTTTGAAAACACCCTATCACGAACGAAGATGGCTGTCAGCAGCGGAACACTCCTTTCCCCTTTCAGCGGCGTCCCACGTACCAGGGACCACCCTACCTAGTGCATACGGAGGACATCCGTCTTCGCCCTCGGACTAACTAGCAGCACTTCCTGCAACCTTCATGTGTATTTGCGCTATGATGTGCGACTACACTGATCAATACTGTTGTGACCACACCAGGACCACCCTAGGTTCGACCATCTGGAGGAGCCGCTGAACTCGCCGCTCACACCAGCGCTAGCTTCTTGTGATATGTCTACCATGACTACAGCTCCACGATAGCGGTATATTACGACGAGTTTGGACCTCGCAGCAGGGACTCTTGGCTTCTGATGTAAGAGGTCACAGTGCTCAGTTTCGCACTCCCTGTTGCTGGCAGCAGTGCAAGTGGAAGATATTAGCCCGTTTCGGCACAAGGAGCCAGGTTTGGATACATACAAAAATCGTCTTCGACCTCGGCTTGACTGTCAGACAACCATCCTCCAACCTTCCTGAACAGTCTCGACTACGATGTACGATTACGCTCAGGTACTTACACCATACACATGGAGATTCCAGGCTAACATCTTTCAGGTTCAATATTGTTGCGATCACTTCCGATTTTGCGTACAACGATGCTGTTCTAGCTACGAAAGAACGCACAAAGTGTACCCTCCAATTGTGACGACCGCTGAGTATCGGTGAATATTCAGGGCCATCTGGCATCATTCCGCTAACCACTCCCAGAACCGATGAACTATGCAGTGACTGCAGGCCGTATTCACCCCCGGTCTGGGAGTGGATGATTAGAAGAGGCCATCGGAGGGCTCCATATATTTGAGATGGGATCACTGAAAAGCATTCTGTACATATTAATAGGTCATGTACCCAATCACCCGACTGAAGGGTCATTTACATGACGCTTCGTGACGTGTCTTTCCTTCCAACACACGGTCACCACGTCCACTAAAGTGTTGCAGTGATATTAAGGTGCAAGCCTCTAGGTCCAAGGTCAAGCTCCAATTGGGCGACTGCAATGCAGTCGGCTTGACTGAGGCAGGTCAATCCGCCGTGCATACTCCGACCCGCGCCCTTGTTGCTTTCTCCTGTGAACTGAGCCGATGTTATTGGTGGTGCAGGATGCATTGCATTAGAGGAAGTTGGAAGCCGCCCCTTGAAATGCCCCGGCGGCCATCCTCCAGCAGATGCAGCCCGCTCCTAGTGGCAAGATCTGCTCATCATATTCCCAAGCACGCGCATGCCTGATGGGATAGGTGCGGAGTAGAGCTGACGACTATTTTCAGATAAGTGCTTCCCAACCTCCCAAGCTAGAATGATGCTTTCCACTTTCCCCAAACCACTACTTTCGTTTGGAACATCTGCCAGCCAAAGCCATGACCTTCTACCCACATTCCATCGAAGAATATATGGTGATATACGGATGCCCAGATGCAGGCCAGGTATGCACATCCCCGAAGCTGCTAGTCCGTTGGGTGCTACCCCGTTGGATATGGAATGCAGTCAAGCAACTGTGGCAACGTCCAAGCCAGGATACAGGTTGGGATTTAGGACTTTGCGACGGCATGAGTCGTCTCAACGCAAGCTCGGAGCTTGCCGGAGATATCATTTGGATTGCGTCTACAAGTTCAAAAGGGCTTCATCTAGTTGCTTTCACGCCAGCTGGAAGGGATATACTTGGAACCTCCGTTATTCCCTGGTACAGACTTCCGAATGTTAGCATTTTGCAACCCGAGCAAGGGCTGATAGATATACACGGGTGCGTTGGCGCCAAGGAAAGAGTAGGAAAAGACATTTGCAGGAGGCTTGGTGAAGCCATCTCGACGGCCGGACATGGTTTGCTTCCGCCGGTGCTGTCCCACCCCGAGCTCACCAGCGTGATGCCAAATATTCTCTCTGGCTTACTCAGCGTAGGCATCATCCTTGTCCCCGCGAAGGCTTTGTATCTGACTTAAGTAGGACTCAAAACCCGAGACACAGCAGCGATTCATACAATGTCTGGTTCGAATCGGGCTTTATATTCAGCCTTCGGCTGATGATCTTAGGGGCATTACGATCAATTGGGTTCAGTGTTGTCTGGACAATATGGATCAAAGGCTTGCTCCGCTACAGCTTCGCCTGCTTTTCCTAGTCATTGAGTATGCGCAAGGCTCCGAGACGTCTCGCATTGATCCAGGATTAGCACCAGGACCTGGCCAGAAGGTGGAGGCTATTGCCTCATTTCTGGGTCTTGAGCAACCTGCCATAGTGCCTTCCTTCGAGGAACATGAGCTGCTCCCTCAGCTCAAGAACAGCACTGCATTCGGGTTTAGTCCAACCCAAGGTTTGGAACTGTGTCGTGCACTTGGTATTGTTGGTGCCATCGCAACTCTCGCAACACCAGCTCACGACAATGTTAGCGGCGAAACGCTTCTTTTCTACAAATCAGCATCGCCTCGCAGCAATGTCGTCGCACTGGTCGTGCCTGGATTAAACGTCATCACGCCGGAAGAGCCGGGGGAGGCTGTTGAAGGCACTGTTGCACTCTTACATCAGCTTGACGTGGATGTGTTTGTACTATGCAAATACACCTACGCGAGTAAGAGTGAAGAATATTCAGAGCGAGCCCACATCAAAGATGTCAAAGACACGTGTGAATGGCTTCGTAGGAGCAATCCGAATAAACAACTGCTACTCTGGGGGTTGGATTATGGGGCTTGGCCTGCTCTCATGGCCGAGGTTACTGTGGACTTGGCCGTCTCTTCGTGTGGTGTTTCTTCGATGCAAGCTGATAACACAGACAAAGGCACACAACTCAATGTCCACGGGAAGCAAGCTTCGGAAAACAACGAGTCTCCTGTCTCCGTCGAAAACCGGGGTAGCATATCGACGCGGTTTTCATACATGTACCATGTTGTTGAAGGCAACAAAGTGCCTGTTGATACCACACTGCAATGTGCAGAAGCCTGCGTCGAGCAGGGAGTCGCAATCAGAGTGGTAATTGTACCACATGGCCCTGGTCCGCGTCTGGCTGCAGCTGATCATGTCTATCTGAACAAATCCATTGATGATGTTCAACAAATAAGACCAATTGAGTGGGAGCATCTTGATTTCCAGGAAATTCGGCGGCGAGTCAAGGCCGGCGAACATATCGAGTTTCAAAATTACCGAGACCGGTATGTGCCACCACAAGTCACACTCCTCATTTTCTGGGTAACAGCACTAACGAGAGTCTAGTCATGGGGAGATCTGTTCTCGGATTACTACGTTCAAGGATTGGCCAGAAGTCATTTATCCATGGCGTGTCTTGACGAGGACACGAAGCAATGTCGTCCTTGTCTGCGTATTGTTTCTCTTGGGTTGGCAGCTCTGGAAAGATCCGGAATCATCTGCGCAAGTCACCAAGCCAGTCGTTTCTATAAGTGCTAGAGCGCAATACTATCTCCGTTGGATGCCCGGGCGGCTTCAATGAATGTTTGCGACATGGTCGTAAGCAAGCAGCAACCCATCGGCGCCTTGGGCTGTTAAAGGTTGTGATGCAAGTACATGCAACCACGGAGAGACTCGTGGTTGTGGCGAGACTGATCCGCTTGGTGTATAATGAACACATATCTTAGTTCAATTCGAGCCATCTTTAATCTGCTTGATTTGTTTCCCTCCTGCGTCGTGCTGATGCGGTTCCGTCGTATACGGCACAGGGGCTAGAGTCGGTACGAGGCAATTACGCATTAGCCCCTAGCATGGACGTATACTACTCTGCTAGGTACAGTACCGGAATTCAAGTGTCGTGTTGACAATTCAACATTCATTTGCTCTTGATAACTCTCTATTACGTCGACAGAAGTTTTACAGTAGGCTGACCACTTCAAATTCGGTAGGATGTTATTGTTTCTCTGTCTAAGGAACGTGGACCTCTGCATTCGCATGAAGATCTCGGGGAAACCCAGTGGGAAAACCGAGACCGAGGTAGGGGGAGTTGGTTGGCAGGCAGCGTAACAATAATTGAGCTACTTCAACTATGCCAACATGCGACAGGTATTGAACCAGGACCGCTGTCTTGTCCCCTTGGTTATGAGCCTCGCGACGAACTCGCTGGTTCACTCGCGGACTGATCACTGAGAAATGAATGGAAAGAATGGACTTGGTGACCAAAATAGTATCAATTAGCGACAACGAGCCATTCTCGTTGTCTTCCGAATGCTGCAAAAACCAACAACTTAACTGTGCCAAAAAGTGCGAAGCATGCCCTGGGAGACTATTTACAAGTTCCATCCCTTCGAACTTATAATTATCAGACCCTGAACAACCCTAACGAAGGTCGTACGACCCACTTAGCTCCCTTGTAGTAATAGTACAGCCAACACTCACTACTTCAGTATCCAGGATCGCCATAGGAACAATCGAGTCCTCCATCACTTCAGGTCACAGAAGCGAAACAAATTGGATGTGAGCTTAGCAGGGTTTATCACTAACGCCAAACACGCATCCGTCAGCCCGGTCACACAAGCGGGACAGGTAATGGCAGTCACTTACCGGCTATTCCCATTAAAATTGCTTCTGTCAGCCCGGGTAACACGAGCGGGACAGGTCATGGCTGTCACGTACTTTCTATTCTCGGCAAACACGCTTCTGTCAGCCCAGGTCATACGAGCGGGACAGGTCATGGCAGTCACTTACTGGCTATTCCCGTTGAACACGCTTCTGTCAGCCCAAGTCATACAAGCTTCATTCGGCGTGTTGGGAGGGCCAATATTCCCTCGCAGGATCGCTGGTAAGGATTTGCCAAGTGAATGAACTGACTGGAGATCCTCAACTCCTACAAAGATCTCGATAATTGTGCGGATGGGGTGTGGAAGTGGTTCATCACTACGACAAATAGTTGCCACATTCAGGAGCAGGATATTATCCACCTGAATACACAGTTCCGAATCAGTGAGACGTGAAGATGAGAGTAAAAGCTAACCTAGTATGGCAATGGAATGCGTGGCTAACCTCCTCAAGCTCATCCGTCTCAGAAAGGGCAATGAGATCTGCTTTCGGATTAGATAGAGGAGTTAAGCACTTTTTGCCCGCTTGGTCCACTTGGCTTCCGAGCTGCGTCCCGCTGGGCTCGCCTGATTTCGACCGGACGAACTACCATTCCCAATCTCGTGTTCACCCCAGTGACTCCCGCAGGGGACTAGACTCACGTGTGATGGTACGTGGATAACACAAGAAGGACTGCAATCAATAGATTGCGGTGCTGTGTGTTATGGCCACCAATGACATGAGCAGCCATGTAGATATCCTGGGGTCTCCACTATTACGAGGCAGTGCTCTGAATTGGCATAAAAGACGCTCAACTGCCTTGGCATTCCTCCTCTTAGCTTACCAGACTGTCGGGTCACAACTGGCGATGAGAGCAAACAATGGATGGACGACCAGGCCGCCCACCACCGACCATTCCCATTTTACAGCTGAACGTTGTAGAACGTTACATGCTACATACTACTACCAACAACGCCGGATGATCGATGTCGTTCTTGGGTGGAAAGGGAGAAGTCGTTACATAAGAGCATCAACAAACGTAAAAGCATGAAAGAACATAAGAGCATTGAGAAACCCCAGCTACGAGCATCAGGAGTGTCGAGCAGGGTTTGACGGACGCAGAAGGGCAGATTGATGGTAAGTGCATCGGCATCGGAATCCATGACGACTGCCGTCATTCCCAGCCTGTCTCTCGCTTCCTTGGCGGGATTGGACCGGTCGACACAAGACTGTGCAAGACTGTCAAGGTGTTGCCAGTATTCGGCCCACTACCTCCTGCTGGTATCCACTCGTGCGGCCAGTGCCATAGCCTTGCACGATTGAAGTAGATCCAAGCCACATTGGGGATGCTGACGAACATCATCGCTCTATTCCAGTATCGATCCATGCCATGGCATTTCCGAGTTTCAGGTTGACCTGTTTGGAGTCAAGAACAAGAACATCCCGGAACAGATTTTTGGCGTCACCATTACCGTCCCTTGATAGGTCACATCAAATATACCAGCCACTTCAATGGCAAGGGTACCAAGTCAGTCAGGCGAGCAAACAAGAGATCGAATAGGACGGACAAATAACGGATAGGACAGAGATGACGGAGATGACAGATAATGGACAGGGTTTGCAACAGGAATGTCATGTGGGATATCCGAGGTAATGCAACTTACATGACGGCATCGGGCATACCAGTGGAAGCCCATTCTTGAACGAGTCACCTGCGACTGGAGTGAGCCAATGCCAAGTAAGAACACACAAGAGAAGCATGAACTCGCAGGAGAAACAATAGCCCGAGTAGGACCCTTGTATTGGGAACAGCGAAGACCGAATCCTCCATGGCTGTTAGAGCACGATGACTACTCTATGTATGAGTCCCCGGCTGGCATAGTAGTGTAGCCTCGGATCGGTTCTCATGGCAATGCCCGATGGCTGGCTAGAACCGGTCAAGTGTTTCATCAGTCGTTCATGCTTTGCAGTCGTCCAAGGAGGTCGGGCCGCGCAATCGTCACTGGCAGTTACCTGTTGTGAGATGGAGGACGCAAGGGCCACTAGTCTATGGGGGCAGGGTGAGATGAGGGACCCACTGTGGGACAATATATAAGGGCATCGCTCGTCCCATTATTTTCCCTTTCTTTCTTTTCTTTTCTTCTTCACGCCCGTGTCGTCCGCCTGGAAGAAGCTTAAAGCCTCCAGGTTGTATTGCCCTGAACCGATGTCCACACCGGCAGGATGCCCCTAAGACCGATGACCACTCCGGCAGGAAGAATACCCCTAAGACCGATGACCACTCCGGCAGGAAGAATACCCCTAAGACCGATGACCACTCCGGCAGGAAGAATACCCTGAAAATCCGATGTCCATACCGGCAGGATGCCCCTAAGACCGATGTCCACTCCGGCAGGAGACCCGTCGAGCTTGCACGCTCAAAGGCCGAGGAGACCCTGTCATCCAGCTGGTCTGACTGACTTCCTCAGTCTCTCTCTGTCTTTTGTTCTTTCGGAACCCAGGAATGCGCGGCGACACGAGTGGGCGATTGTGAGGCGTGGCTCGTTATCGTTTTGCGCATTTCCCGGCCCGAGCCCGAACCCAAGCAGAGAGAGTACAGTCGAAATCGTCCTGACTTCTTGGAGACATGTTGTCTTCCGCTAGTGATGCGTGCAGGAACCTTGACGGGGGTCGCAGATGTCCACTCCTGTGTACCGGCCAGCGAAGACGGCCTCTGCAACCTGTCCGTGGTGCTGGCTACGAACCTGTTAATCCTGGCCGAGACTCTGTTTGGTAGTCTTGACAGGATGACAGAGCCAATGCAGAGACGCAGTAGATAGTCGAGTAGTGAATACAAGAGACGTGTCTTTCGACACAGATTCCAATACAGAGCTTCCACTACAGACATGTCACTACAGAGATCCCACTACAAAACTTGCAGTACAGAGAATATGCACAGCCCCACCTGTGTCGTTGCCATACAGGCTTATCTAGTTTGTCTAGTTTGTCATGCTCACTTCGTAACGTTTCCGTGTCTGTGACCATGACCAGACTGATGTGTGATCTGCTACTGTATCAGTGAGTCCTACGCAGGATCAACCATATCAGTATATACGGTGTATCTGCCTACTTCTGCTACTGCTGCCCATCTTGGTGCCTATCTCTGGATCCTGCCTGCGACTGAATGTGTCGTCTTTCGGTACGGTATTGTTACTGTACAGACAGTATTGTAACGTTACGACTTGAAGGACGAAGTCGATCGAGGGACGCATTTGGTAATGGAGTAGATTCGTACCTGGCCTACTACTTGTCGACAGTTCCAGCCGACCATCCACATCCAGGCTGTGGAGAGAGGGGGCCCAGAATTGGCATCTCAGGTTGCCTGAACTTGCTAGAAAAAGGCTGGTCCTGAATCATGTCCAGTCATGACACGAAACCTCGGCGGGTCGCCCACCATTTCTGTACACTCGGTCGGGAACGAGTCGTGTCTGCTTCTCGTCAGGCCGAAAATGGGCTGTCGCAATTTGTCGCGATCGTTTCGGGTGGCTGGACAGGCCTGGTTTTGAGTCGTGCTTTTCGTCGGTGGCCTCTTTCGGGCCGTCCCATTTTCGACAGGGAGTACAGAAGGGGCGCATCGGTCGGCTTGTCTGATCGCTAAAATCTACTGGACCAACCACCCAGCTCATTAGCTACAGGATTTGGCATTTCATACTGTTAGGGTGAACTGGGTTGTTTGGACATGTCAATTCTTGTCGGGGTCAACAGAGCCAATGCAGAGACGCGTCTTGTAGAATTTGTGGATTTTCAGTAGACATTATGGCATACACGTACATAGATAATTGAATAAACGCTGGTTTCGGCTTGACCATTTCGCCAATGATGTATGGACTCACGATCATCGTGTCCCATGTCTAGTGTCGTTTCCTCGCCTCTTTCTCCTTCTCTACCCTGCTTGACTGCCCCCACTGTATTTGACTGTCCATCAAGAGTATGTAAGTAAATACAGTACAGTTCTGGTCGGTCATGGCAGTACGGAAACGAGAATCTCAGGCAAACCTGTCAGATTGTGGAGATAACTAGAGTGGCCGATTTCGTGGTCTGCAAGCAACGTGGATCAAGTGTGGAGACATTGCACCAATACTACACATAGCTGGTTCTGCTTCCGTACAATCATGAAAGAAATCAGAATGAAAGCAATCCAAAAATGAGCGAAGGACATCCATTGATCAAACACAACCATAGACTTCAGATCTGATTCTGGTTCTGGTTAGACCCCACCAGGACGCTTTTGAACATCGGTGCAGTACTGCTTCAAGCTTTGTTTGCGCATTTGCATACCACTTTGGAGGCGTACGGATTTGTCGCGCTGATCCTCCTCAATCAGGTATAGCGTTGATCACTATTTGATCGCGTCAAAGTGGGCGGGCGTCGCGTAGTCGTTTTTCTCGACCGATGCGCCTCTTCTATACTCCCTTTCGAAAATGGGATGGCCCGAAAGAGGCCACCGACGAAAAGCACGACTCAAAACCAGGCCTGTCCAGCCACCCGAAACTATCACGACCAGTTGTGACAGCCTATTTTCGGCCTGACGAGAAGTTCAACAAATGGGCGAGAAATACGACATGATTTACGAAAAAGAGAGCAATCAAATGCAAGATGGACGATCTAACCGGTTATATGACAGCCTTGACATCTATGATCATATTGGTGGTGGGCCGCGGAATTTTGAATCTATTGGTTTGTTAAAAGTGGGCTGGGGATATTGTCTCTTGGTACAATACGGCGAAGACCGATGGCAAATATTAGTTTCAGCAAGGCTCCCAATTTCGCACCTCTATATAACAGATTTGCAAGGACACTTGAAGAGTCCGCCTCATAGAATTGGGAAAGATGAAGAGATATTGACCTCCAAGTCAAAGTCTTGCCTTGGATATATCCAGATAGCCACGAATGCCCCGTAAAACACCTACTTCCCAACCACTGTTAAGAAACAAACGCAATGACCTAACCAGGTGTGCTTTAGAAGCACAAGGTCGACAGATACTGTATCAAAGCGTCTTATTGATCATCCCTCCAGTGCCATGTTATGGTTTCAAACGATAAGAATTACAGGCTAGCAAAGATAGTTTATGAGTATTGAACCAGTGCATTCAGACGTATTACTCATGAAAGGTCTCTGCAATGGAGCCTTGGTGCTCCTGAAACCCGACTATTTCCTCCTTTAAGAACGGATTTTCGTCTGATTTCTTAAGCAAGAATGACGCGAGTGATGCCTCAAATGTCCTTCCACATTGATCGAGGACTGCGTAGTCCCCGTTTATCCATACCTCGAGAGGGGAAACAATAGAGCATACTTTGAGCTCCAAACAACGTCTCATATCGACTATCGCTCCTTCCCAGGAGCCGGTTTCCAGACCCACTTCCTCCAATTCCAACGTTCTCATGGTGTTCTTGTGATTCTTAGACAAATTCACCAAGCCGTTGTGATTCCAGAACCTGACGCTGCACAGACTCAACGCTTTTAATCCTGTCACGCTGACGTTTAGGAAGAAATCGTCCGGAAAATACATTCCCGTTGGTGCCTCAAATTCCTCGCCAGAAATCACCAACTTTTCTAAAGCAGGCAGTGAGCTGATCAGCACAGCAATGCCTTCGAATAATTCGTTTGCAGCATCGTGAGCTTGAGGTAATGCTAAACATAATTCTTTGACATGTCTAAAAGCGCTTCCAATTGCGTGTGGGTCGCGGAGATTCGTAAGCAGTTCACAAATGCCCCAGCCGACCTTCTCAGGTTCGCCAAACGAGAGTTTCTCAATGTGATACGCGCCTTCCCCAAATGAATTAACGGCACTTTTGAAAAATTCTGGGATTGATTCGTTGCGTGTCGGTTCATCATACTGATGTTCCGAAAAATGCAAGTGGTTCAGGGCGGGCCATTTTTTAGGGTCCAACTGTTGTTCGAATCGTCTTAGGCGATCCGCGTGTCGGAACGGGTGGCTTCGAATGGATTCCTCACATTCGGGCATATTGAATTGAATGTTTAAGCTGTATACAGCTTGACGCAACGCCAAGCTCAATATGCTTAACTCATTTGGGGTCACCGTAACATATTTAAAAATGCTTTGGGTCGCAAAATATGAGAGGTATTTGTTGACAGAGCGGAAGGTCTGGATATCCAATGCGGGTAATTCCTTGAAAATCATGAGAAAAACTCCCAGCGGAAGATTGCATAGTGTGGGTTTCATAGTGAATATTCCTTGTTGTTGAGAAATTGGTGTTGGGACAAGGAGGAAGGACCAAAGTCAATCGATTTTTCTGGCTGCCGAGATTTCTTTTAAGACATATGGTGTGATCTGCCAATTCGGCCTAGTCGAACTCAAGAAAGAAGGAGAGGGTGAAACATGGGTTCGTGGTTCCTTATTCTTGAAGAACTAGCCCAATCCACAAAGTTCTGCATTAGCGAGATTACGGGAGAACGGCAGCCTCAGTGCGACCGAAAAAATCGGCCACTCAGAACACAAGCCTATTCGAGCTTGAACTGACCAGGTACAAAGCCACGCCAAGTAACCAGCTCTTGTACCTGGTCAAGCAAATCCTCAGCCTATTCTTACTCGTATTCTGAGCGTCAGGTTTTCAAGTCGTGCGTGAGCATGACTCCTTAGTTTTCAAGTCACCATTCAGTTGTTTGGGCTATCACGTTACAGAACGACCGGTTGCCGAGTTCATGCTGGCGTGACTTCGCTACAAGACCAGTTATTAGAGCGAGAAGCAGAAATTGCCGCTCTAATTGATGCCGATGTGATGAGTTTAACGTGTGCCGCCTGGGATGACTACCAAGCGGAAGATGATATTGGTCACTCACAACGAATGAGCTTCTGGCCGCGATGCGGTCAAGTACGTCAATAGTTTTTTAGGCGCATATGATGGATCGTCCGATCCAGGCATCAAGGCCCAGCTGAGGTGGATACTATCAAGACAAAAACATGATGAGAATGGATGTTCTTCTATTTAATTAATGACGAACTACCCTCGGGCACTCCGATAGGCAGCATTCACCATAGGAGTGATCGTGTAATTAGGCGAGCTAATGACAAGGCGTTTTATGGCACTAATACCTACAGATCCGCATAATTATGCCTTGCAAGCCCACCCATTACTCCGATTTCTGGTCTCCGAAGTGTACATATGGCAGGGTATATCTTTCAGCAGTCTGGTAACTGGCCCGGCTAGAGACGTTGACAGGCAGAAAGAAACGACTATAAGTCATTCTTCAGACAAGCATTACAAAACCAAGGGGACGGAAAGTAGCCTTGCGGCGTGCTGCCCTCGTAGTTAATGCTAGACTCCATTGTATAGTAGGACCTTATACGAGATGCACTTACAACATGTAGTAGAGACTCTTTCGAAGCCGCTGTTGTATATATCGTTGTGGAGATATAATAGTATGTTTTACAACAAAACAAGTTGTTACGTATGCGTGTTATAGTTAGTGATATTGGCGAGCCAATCACGTCGGCGCTAGTTTATAAAAAGCGGTGGCTCAGTGTGGATTAAGGCGCTTACATTGATTTTTAGATACACGTCTATGGGGTGTCCAATAAGGTGACCAAAAGTTACTTACGGATATGCCTTACAAGTCCGTTTTCGTACCCCAAGTAGTCGGGGGCATGACCGCGGCTTGCTGACCCTGGAATGTTTCACAACTCGGAGTTGTTACATGGGTGGCGTGAGGTGATACTACTAAGGGAAATATAGTTTACGGACATAAGAGGACATGATGAGCTGTCATGCACTATGGGTCCTCATGGAGGCGCGGATAGCGGAATGCTAATGTACAGAAATGCAAGGTTTCAGGAAATCACAATTGAGATGGGGTCACTTTGCCTGTGTAACACATGCGTCCCTGTTCGTGTCTAGATGATTCAGATGTGCAGAAACAGGGAAGACAACACGGCCACAAGGCTTGGGTTCCGATTGGTAGAATCTCATTTTTGGTGGTTTGGAAACGAGGACGCCCCGGCTAGAAGGGTCCCAGCCAGTTTGTATGGTAACTATCGGCTGTACTCGCAAGCGAGCAGATCCTCTAATGATGGTAGGACGAGAAGTTGTATCTCCATGCGATGAAGATGCGGCAGGGTGTTGTATGCCCTAGGTCGGAAAAGAAAATCTCTTCCTGCTGTTTAGAGACAATTGATCGAACGGGTGTGGATTAGACTGACTACTAAAATGTGGGCGGTGGTATGAACCGAGACTCCATCAATCCATTGACTAGGAACCAATGTTTTATGTTGCAGTCAGACAAAAGGGGGTGCGAATCTACAAAACACGCAAAAGTAATGGTGCATCCGGTGGTATACGCAGAAGGGACAAGGTTGGCCGGCAATGGCTGCGTAATCTAAGCCGTTTTGGGGTACTGATCACAAGTACCCTAATGCGGCATAGCTCTGAAATGGGAGCTTCTGACTTCGCACCTGCAGACTGGCAATTCCTTCCGTAACTTGCTCAGAATATTTCATTGTATTGGTGCCCAATGGCCCGCCATCAACGCTTACTACCGTTTGACGGACCTCTTCAAGCATATGCCGACCACCTCGAATGCATACTGTTATCTGTCTATGGATCAATTGATCAAGTACGACAAGGGGTTCTGTCGCGAGGGGATGTCGTTGCGACGTCTGCTCCTGAGATTCTAGCGCCAACATGGGCGACGGACAACGCTATGGGCAAATCACTAACGGCCCCGAGAACTGCGCGCAGGACTTCAAGACAGATCACGAATGGTTTAGAAATCAGCGATGCTACCAACAGCAGCATAAGCCAGCCCCCTACTCCGGCTCAAGCTATCCAGGTCGCGACCTCAATACAATTCCTGGCTAGAGTTCCGGAGAATGAGCAGGAGTGGCTACAATTAGAAGCCAGTTCAGGTTTGAACTGCTCAGGGCACGATATCTTCCACCGAGTTACGCAAGCTCAAAACCAGATCCAAGTCACAGCCGCCTCGGTCCTGTCAAGCACAGCTACCACGAACCATACACAAGTGGAGAGCTCTGGGATAGCTAGGATTACCTCTTCCGCTTCAATCATTGTACGCACCTCTACCATTTCCGTAGTCCCTCTTCTGAGTATCAGCAGTTCTTCTGCTGGAACACTTTGTACTCCAGAGGGCGACTGGAGATGCGTCAACGGTAGCTCGTACCAGCGATGCGCGAGCGGTTCATGGTCGGCAATCCAGCGATTGCCCGTCGGGGTTTCTTGCAGTCCCGGGCAGGCTTCCATGTTTGATATGGTAGAAAGTACTTAGAACAGTTCACATTACCTATTGTTCGGCCTCCCAAGTCCAGTTTGCAAGTTCCATCGTCATCATGAGACTAATTAGTCTGGACGTTCGTCATCCGAAGGTTGGTCCCATCTTGAATGGTTTTATATCATGCATTTAGTATCGAGTAGAACGTGGCGCCTTTTCTGGCCTGCGCCAGCATGTGCTTTTCGTATATCTCTTTCGTAAGCCAAGGGACTCCGTGTCTCTTCTTCATAGAGTATTCTGTTTCAAGTATCAGTACTGGCGTTTCTTAATAAAACGCTTGGGTGGTAATTAGTTCCCTCATGGAAGGGGCATGGAAAAGGTGGATGTCTGGAGAGCGAAACTGTTTCGACATCCATATTAGGCGCGGAGCCATCATTTGACATAGGAATTCAAGGTTCCATGTCAGCCTGATGTGGATCATACTGCGGGACAATAAGAGGGCTTTTGGAGATTGACCATCTGTAAAGGCGCCGGAATAGGCTTCGGTCATTTGTGTCCAAACCAAGTCCAGCTCAGCCAGCTGAGGCACTTTTACTTATCCTTACATGCGGAAGGAAGTGTTCTACCGAGTCAGTAGACGGTCCCTAGATTGAGCGTCCCTTAAATAACACAGCATAGTAATGCCTATTTTCAACGAGGCTCGGGTTTCTCAAAATCTGCAAACTCAGCTATCAACTCGGCCCGGTCCAACTGTTCAACCGAGCGAGTCAAGGCTAGTTCCGTGCGACTCAGATAAATTACATGTAATCCATTAGATCTTACTTCCTCTCTTCCTTAATCCCTTTCAACTGCCTAATCACCACGAACACCAGCACCTGCGAGGCTAAGCTTACCATGTCGAAGGATGAATTACAAACTTGTCATGATCTCTGCTTCAGCGGCACTTCTGGTCATGATCGCTCTCAGAATATACCATCGGCAATATTAGGGACATGCCCAGAAATAAACGCACAAGAACCTATCGAGATGAAAACTCGTTCAGTTGGGCCGCAAAACCACTTTTTCGATCAGCAGAACTCTCTATTTAGATATTGGCAGCATCAGCAATCTATTATGCCAACAGCCATATGCTCTGAAAATTCAAGCACAGATCAAGAGCTGGGCGAGGACTGTAAGTTTGGGGACGTGCGATAATTGTCCTTTGATTGCCTTGCAGGCTCCTGGGGTTTCATACCATGACTTGAGTCCTTGACACGCTTGAATGACCTTGGATTGGTTTCTAACATTATGAGATTCAGGCAGCATAGTAACGCACGCTGTTGAAAATAGCGAATGCAATCGTAACGGGAAGCGAACATACGACTTTTTCAGTGCTGCTACCGACCCGAACCCTCTCGTCGCAGAACCCCAACGCAGCAGGCTTCGTTCAGAGACTGACGGTTGTAGCGCTGCAACCATCCTTTGGAAGCAAACCCCAGCCTTCCCACCTTACGAAATTAGTTGCCACGGGCATTCCGATCTCCGTGCCACACGGGTCAAAACCCTTACATCACACAATCCCGGCGATTACTGTTCGAATACCTATGGAGGTGGCTATCTTGCATATCCAAACAGCCCAGAAGTGCCCTTCTTTCTACCTCCTGTGTTGGACCCAGGCCTTGGTAGCACAGACTCTGTTGAGAGCATGACAAGTCCCCTAGGAAGAGATCAAAAATATAGATACGCGATGTCTACCGTAAAAACCGACGAATCATTTGTAACCGATCGCTACAACGATTTGTTCATGGGCAATGTTCCGCAGAAAGGGACTCTTGAAGCTGATACAGGGCCCGGCACCGGGACCAGGAATTACACAGTACCGGCTCGTATCGAAACAGAATTAACTTCTCATTCAAAATGGGATATCGACAGTGTATCGCTCATGAGAAGTGCGCCCAATCACATTCTAAGCCCACCTACCACCCATCATTTCGCAACCGATCTAGGCACTATGAGCGACGAGTTCCTTGACTATGCGACAGCCACGATAGACAGTCCGGCGGCAAAGCAAAGTATAATCAAATGTGCACAAACGACAGTATTTGATCTCCCTGTTCAGCGCTTCCAAGTAGATATGTCTACAGATAGCAACAGTGAGTGGAAAGGCAATGAATCGCCACCTGAGATGACAGATGCGCTTTATGCGCATCAAGCAATAGCACTAAAGTGGATGCAGGGTGTGGAAGAGGACAAAAGCCGAAAAGGTGGTATTCTGGCCGATGCCATGGGTCTGGGAAAGACAATCACAGCTTTAGCCCTGATCTTAACTCGTCTCCCCTGGCGATCCTCTACCAGTGTCAGCACGGCGAATGTGAGTTCCCACCAACCTCTTCATCCTAGCTCCACTAACTCCAGCAGCCTACGCTTGTTGTTGCTCCGGTAGCACTTGTAAATCAATGGGAGCGCGAGGCCGTATCGAAGATTAAGCCAGAGTATGGCCTCAGAATTCTCAACACACAAAAGACGAAATGCACACTGGAAAGACTTCGATCGTCGGACCTTGTGCTGACAACGTATGGGAAGCTACGTAGCGAAGTGAAGGCATACGATGAAGCTGCAGATCGGGAATCTGACGACAAAGGTTCCATTCTAGGAGACGACTACTTGACTAGAAAGTTCCCAATTTTCGGGCCGGATTCGATGTTCCATCGCGTCATTCTCGATGAAGCCCATCTCATCAGGAATGCAGACACTGCAACAGCCAAGGCTGTGTCTAGAGTGCGCGCAGAACATAGATGGTGTCTTACCGGGACACCAATGATGAACTCTGTAGATGATCTGGCCGGGTTGATGCAGTTTCTGCAAGTCGAAAGCTACAGCGATCCAAAGGTGTTTCGAGAAGCATTCAGGACTCTGCAACGGAGACAAGGTGAGACGTCATCCGACCATGTGGCTTTGGAGAAGCTTCAAGCACTACTCAATGGTATGATGCTCCGAAGAACCAAGGACTCATTAGTTGACGGCTCACCGATCATCTCCTTGCCAATCAAGGAGGAAGTCACCGAGCACGTAGTTCTGAGTGATCACGAAGAGGTCATGTACAACAACATACACTTGGAAGCCCAGCAGCACGTATCAAATCTCCTTCATGGTACAAGTAAGCATCGTTCGACGAGTCTTAGCCTGCTCCTGCGTCTGAGGCAGGCCTGCTGTCATCCAGAACTTTACGCGATTAGCCGGAAGTCTTCCAGGGTCAAGAATTACCCTGTGGAGATCGTTGGGGACGTCGAGCAGCGTAACTCTACCGACACGCCCCGGGGAGACCTTGTTGATCATCATAATGATGTACGCCATGAGTACGATGATGGTCTAGTAGGTTCAAACCACAATGTCGGAGAATCCAACATGGGTGAAAGTTCGGACAAACGCTTTCAAGAGACAAATGAGGCAATCCCCGAGAAGTCCACTGTGGCAAACACGATTGTGGAAAGCGGCTGCGAAACATGCGTGAAAAGGACTGTCGATTCGCGTTATGAGATGCAGCGATCCAGTGACTCCAGCCCAGGTGAACATCGTCTGAGAGAGCCCGTCATCGCCAAGGGAAATGCACGGCCGCAACCGCAGCCTATGGCATATCTGCAGCAAAGCTGCACCAGTTCAGCCAAGATCGCCAAGTGCATGAATATTATGAGAGACATCCAAGCCACAGGGGAAAAGACGATTATCTTCTCGCAATGGACTCTACTGCTCGACCTCCTCGAGCTCCAAATCTCCAAAGCAATGATCAAGTTTTGCCGCTACGATGGCAGCATGAGGTCCGTTCACAGGGACAAAGCTGTAGACGACTTCACGGCAGCAGATTCCAAGGTGAAAGTGATTCTTATGTCGCTGCATGCTGGCAATGCTGGTTTGAATCTGGCTGCTGCATCTCATATCATTCTGATGGATCCTTTCTGGAACCCATTTGTCGAGGATCAAGCCATCGGTCGCGCGCATCGTATGGGCCAAACAAAGAAAGTCAAGGTTCATCGATTGCTAGTCAAGGGCACGATCGAGGATCGCATTGTCGAGTTACAGGCGCACAAGCGGAAGCAGGTCGATGGTGTGTTGAATCAGGATGCCGTACATGTGGGTGCATTGAATACCAATGACTTGGGCTTTCTCCTGGATGTTTCAAGCCGTTAAAAAGCACAAGAATGTCTCTCTGGGTACCGTGGGCCTTATGGCTATAACATAGCGCCTTGTCCGATTGACCCGTGCTGAAAGATCTCTTTCGTCCACAGTCCTTTCTTTGGAATCGTTTGGCACCTCGACAATACCTGAAGCGCAATTGTTTCGACTTTGGAGTGAAGGTAGATCGGCGTCGATAAGCTTTTCGGCCCCTATGGAGGATGTATTATGTGTGATTCTTGCTTGATGTCCGTTTCAAGTCTCATATATTCCTGGCTTGAGTGTCTAATCAATCCCTGATGTCAACAGATTACGGGCGACATTGTCGGTTGCTGCTTGTGGTTTGGGATCATAGGGTCTCGGCTCTTGGGTTGAATGGCGAGCTACTCGGCTCTATCCTGTTCGCCTTCGCTGGAATTACGCAGAAAATTTAAACTTGCTATCCGGAGTGATATGGCGTTTGTTCTATTTTAACCGAAGAAACGTTATTGGAGGTCCCACTACCAGTCATAAACTGAGGTGAATAGCTGCTTCTGCAAGCTGTGATCGTTATTCGGTCTGCTCGGACAAGGGAGACGGTCGAGACCAAGGAGTGCTGGGAATTGACTGGTTTCCATGGTCGGGGTTTCTTCTGAGCGGAGCCATGTGCTTGATTCAATTGCTTCGTCAGATAGCCTTTCGTATATATATACTATACATCACTACAGCAGGCTTTCCTTTCTAGGTATCGTTTGCGATCAGACTGGCTTGATCCCGAACCCATGATTATGCGACACCGATGCTAACAACCAGGACAGTGTTTTGCAAACACCTCTTCTCATGCACCTAAGACAAGCATTGCTCCCGTGCGAGTAATGCTGATGTCGCTCCATGCTGGGAAGGCGAGTGTGAATCTGAGTGTCGCGTCTCGTGTCATTCTGATGGATCCCTTCTGGAACCCGTTCATCGAAGACCAAGCCGTTAGCCGAGTGATTCGCATAGGCCTAGTGAAAGAAGTGAAGTTCCACCGGCTGTTGGTCAAGGATACAGTCGAGGACCGTATTGTTGAGTTGCAGGGTCAGAAATGGAAAGGAATCAACGGACACAGCACGCAGTAGATGGGTGAACTATGCACACACGATGTAGCCGTTAGCTGCCCGAGAAAACGACAAGGATGATGAAGCGATAGAGTTTGTAGCAAATACCCTTGCTAAATATTACGCGCAGGGAACATCACTTGTCAGATAAAGTTAGTCGACTTAGACCATACATCACAGTATTGTTGAGACCCAATCCTTTAACACATTTCAGTAAAATACGTGTCGTTATATACTATGGATGCTGTACAAGAGGGCTCCTCAACTTTTAGGAATTATGATGAGATGCCAGTAGCTCCACCCCGGTCGAAAAGGAGAACTTCCATTGCCCAATCGTCGATAACTGGTACAGACCACAGACGGATATTCAAGCCATTCTGTACGTTACACAAAGTCATATGGACTAGTCGCGCTCACTCCCATACCCCCTCGCTCCCATTCCCGCACAAACCGAACATTCTCCCACAGTATCCGCCACACGCCGAGTCATCATAATCAAAGTCCTATTCGGATCCTCTCCCCGTCGCCTCACACTGTCACGCCATAGACGATGCATATGCCGTTCATGCGATGATCTTGTTTCTATAATTGTGGTGACATGGTACTGATCGGTCAAATATTGGTGTGTAGAGAGAATAGGGCTGTTATAAACAAGATGGCCACAGACGGGATGTCTTGCCGTCTCGCGACATATTGGACATGTTGGATCCGCACGATAATAGTCATCGCGATTCAGCACCTCTTGGAACCAAGTCTGAATGCAGGTGCTACCGAATTTGTGACCACAATAAAGTGAAGCCCAAGATTCCGTGATGCCTCCTGGAGTTGAAGCCTCGACATGTTCGTGACAGATGGAGCACTGTTCTCGATGCGAATCTGATGTCTGTTTGGGGACTTCCGTGCCTATCATCTCCGCCGTGATGCCTTGGAATGTTCCGGCCGGTTCATGGAAGCAAGGCTCTCACGTAAAACCGGTGTCTCTGTAAGTGTATGGATGAATTTCGTGAAAGTGATTGAAAATTTATTCATATTGTAGAGTATCAACTGTAAATGCGAAGTCTCACAAGATATATAAAGCCGGTTTCGGTACAATAAAACCTTGGGGTGTCTGCGACGCCTTATATGCGTTGCGACCGCTACATACATTCACTGACTGACATTAAGAAATGGGCGGAGTGGTGGTAGCAATGGCAACAAAAGTGTATCCGAGGTTGATCTTGACATAGACTGGCTGCTAGATCTTGAGACCAATACTGGACTGCACGACGACCTTCGGTCGCTCTTCAAGTATGTATGACATTCTTGAGTCACATCTGGCTCATCGCTAGTCCTGTTGTTTGTGGTCGCGTCAAATGAGCGCATTCCGCGTGACCACTTTTCACCACTACCAGCAGCACCTGCCGAAACCATGCCTTCTTCCTCTTGCTACCGTCGAACCGGATTTGCATATTAAGATGCTGATCGAGAACGACAATCTGTGGATTGGTATTACGCCATCTCACCCAAGGTGCTCAACTAGACTTTGTTGGCAGGCTACATCGTTCCCCTTCCACGTTCACGACCATGAATTGCTCCGAAGCTTCCAACACAATGATGGAAAACAATGAGTTTGCGCTGAAGGCATTTCAGAATCCTCCTTTACTTAGACTTGCGCTGTTCTTGTTTATTGTTTCTCTGATATGGATAAGGGCTCTGTATATGGGCCAGTACATAACACGCATAGTCAGTGGTGGTTGTTCGACTTGACGTGGCTGGTTTACGTATGTATTGACATGGCTACATATACTCAAAGGTGCCTCGATCAGGAATGGAATAGATCGTATAGACATAGTTGTAACGTATCGATGGATAGTGGGTGACATTTTCGTCGAATATCACAAGATTGTGTCAAACTTGCGGATTTATACAAATAGATTTTGGCGGACGCGGGCAGTCTCCGCCTAGAACATTGCATTCCGTTCCACGGGCCACCATCTGCTTGTCCTTTCTGCCAGTCGGTTATTTGCTGGCGAGTGATGTACTGCAAGCGTTTAAAATTCTACGAACACACCATTATTAGGCGCATGTCTATTCCGCACATAGAGGCAAAGAGTCATGTAGTCGTGCTCATAGACCTACTAGCATAGTATCATATCATGACCGATACTATTATAGTGTCAAGTAATATATTGTGTTACTGAAACGATATTGAGCTGCTCAGGATGGGGGGAAATGAGATCTCAAGATGTACAGACTATAAACGCATACCAAATACAACTCCATACACCCAGCCGAGCGCCCTAACATCCATGTCCACCCATTGACATAGATTCTCGAGAGCCATTTTTGGATCCTTTGTACACATACATTAAGCATTAAAATGAGTACATAGAAAGGTGTAATACACTAGCATGCCTGAGCCCACGCTGTATAAGAGTTGGCACAGCTGTTAATGCTCACATGCTCACCGAGGATCCGATGTGGATACATATATACAGTAACGAAAAGGGCTTCCGCCTTTACGAACAAACTTGTTTCTCTCAAGAGCCACTTCTGGGTTCTTCATTGGAAATGCGAGATTAATTTCAGCGCGACCTGCCCATGCACTATTTGACTCGTACAAGCTTGTTGCACTTTATTGCCCTAGAAACGTTTCACGACAAGACAATTGTGTCCTCGCGGCATGAAATAGAGCTTCAGACGACAGTGCTGATTCAAGGTCGTTTCTCAATTTCTAGACTTGAGTTGTCGGCTCTCATGTTACTGATTGAAATCAAAATCGGTATATACTGGAACAGGATCAAAGGACTCTGGTATTGTATTGTATTCCAAGTAAAAATATCACAAGAGTTTCGAGACACCTGGTTGAAGGATCGACTCAAGGCGCGGGAGCTAAAATGGCAACCCACGTGGGGGCGGAGATCGTGGTGGGGACGTCTGACTCTTATCGCGACGACGGCCAAACGAGTGGTGGGGCAAGGCCCTCAGAAAGTGCTGGACATGCTGGTACTTTCTGCGCGACAAGTGAGATGAAGACGGTGGTCATGCGTCAGTCCAAAATCATCGAAGAAAGCAGCGACCGACACATGCGTACCCTCTTATAAGTCTACGGTGTCCGATCCGGGATACAGTTTTGCGGCCCAGTCTGAATGTGTCTCACAATGGCAGGGCAATACTGTAGCGTAACCTAGAGCTACGAAAATGACTTCCGCACAGAGTAACAGTTTGGGAAGTGGAAGGTAATCCGAGCTCACCGAACGGGTAATAAGTTGTAAATTCTTGTCCAAATGATGCTTATTTTGCGACGTGGTAGGATCGATCTGAATCTCTTTAGTAGTTCACCTTGGCTAGATGGTATAACCTGCTCGTGGAAAAAGGATTGCTTGTCGTCTTGGATATTCAGTTCCGGGTCCATCTGAAAATAGACATGGCAACAGAACCTTTTGATTCAGCGACATGGCAACGACGATGAGACACGCTTCCCAACAACTCTCGCACAGTCAGGTATCGTGTATTTGCCAGTTTTTGTCCACGATTACAACTTGGAGTCAACTGAATCATATTTGACCATTCTGCACGTTTCGACAGTATCTCGAGCAGTATTTACCGCAACTGTTGCGTCCGAAGCCCTAACAAAACTCAAAACGAACTTTAAAAATCACCATCATTGCCAGATTCTCATTAGATGGAAGCTCCATCATAAATTTATCTCTCTCATAATCCCCCAGCAAACAGTATCATGACACCCAAGAACACCTATGTCCGTCCGCGCTCGGATGCTTTCATAGGAGAGTGTCTGCGCTACATTAGACATGTCGGAACATTCGCCAGGGCCGTAGTCCAAGAGAATGACCGCTTGCAAAGGCTAGTCAAACAACTATCGGCTGCGCTGTGCCACGAGAGAAATTCAAGTCAACTTCAGGCGCAAGTAGTTCAAACACAACAAACCCTCATCAAGATCTGGGAGACGCAGCGGATTGCGCACCGGGAATGCCACTGTAGACTTGCCGCACATGAGCGGGGGCAAACTACAACACGGTCAGCTCTCTACAGTGGCCAGTGTATATCGGCCACGAACAAACTTATGGTATTAGCGGATGTAGCCGAAAAGGAGAGACGATCGGAAGCTGGGGTGAAGAGGAAAGCTGCCGACGATGGGTTCTTGGGACCACGGGAATCGTCGTGTCCAGCTTGAACAGGTCTGAAACACGAAAGTAAGGCACGGGACAGATTGTATTAGGGAAATAAGCCGCCCAGTAACACATCAATCCAACCAGACCGTGGCTAACCCGTACACCTCGACCCCACGCTTATCGGCATACGTAGCCTATCATATTGACAGCTCAGATGATCCTCGCTTTCTCCCAAAGTGCGTTGGCCTCGTTGATATGACTTTTACATTTCTGTATTGTTTCCCCCAGCCCACCGATGTAATATCGTAATACAGAGAGCAGCGGCAACACTTGGTTGATCAAGCCTCTGAAGTAGGCTACCTCTTGCCGTAATCTTCCATTCTCTCGCGTGAGTTCCAACAAGCGCTGCTCCGGACTGATTGGCGATTTTGCCGACTCGATGTAGTCTAAAGATTTGTCGAAGGCCGTGGTGGTGCCTCCAAGATTGCGTATCTCAATGTCTACTAGAGTCGGGGAAATGGGTGACCGACGTGACTGAAACTGTTTTCCTGTGTTCATATTTCAAGACACAGCAAACTGGTACTAAGGGGCAGAGACCCAGGGTTCAGAACATCCTTATAACCTGTATCGAATATACAGTAACAACTGTTTCTGGACCATTGTTCGCTATCACAATGATCCAAGAGTGGACTGTCCAGCTGGAATTATAGCACTCAAAAATAGGATTCTCATACTGTAAGCTCGTCAGTGGATCTGTTTTATGTCCATGACAGACTGCAGTACTGTGATTGTCCAGAAGTGACAACTCTAAGACTGGAATGCAGTTTGCCGTCATCTCTACATGCTCCAACACCCATTTGTGGCCCATGATAGGTTACCGGCACCGCTAGGGACAGGCCAATACTGTACAGTACGCTTGACTGTCAGGATTGTATTGTATGTTCACAATGGGGGCTGCACTGTTGGAAACTGCAAGCTAGCGAGAGGAGTCAGTTGTGGATTATACCACATTTTGAACAGATAGACGACGAAAAGAAAACTGAAGTACTACAGAGAGATTGAAAATCGGCTTCCTCTCTTTGTCTCTCTTCTCTTGTCTTTGAGCACGGACGGTCCACTTTTGGCGCTGACCTCTATGTACTTATTTTAGACCCACCTAGTACTGTCATCCAAGGGTACATCAGTCAGCCAAAACTGGCCTTGCTCTAAAGTATTGTTTAAGCTGACGATACAGTGCATAGCTGAGTACATCCATTACAGCAACCGGTATTCTTGGCATCCTTGCATTCCCCGTTTACGGTATAAGATCGCATCTCTTCTTGTGCGTTATACTGTACTAGAATAATATGTATTTCGTTCGGGAGATTCAAAGCTCTTCTAGATCCTCTTGATACATACGGTATTATAGTGCTATAAAAGGTTTACAACCCATCATTTTACTCAAACACAAAACCAATGATTGGCAAGCCAGCAATGTTCCGTGGTGCGCTAGGCATTCCTAGAAATTCCCTGACTAACACGTTAATATCAAGGGACGGCTTCGTGTTCAAAGACAGTCTCAAAAATGATAATATCATAGCCGATGAGTAGTTCTTGGAAGACTGCATGCCATGGACGCTGTCACAGATGGTGATCCGTCCATCAAATCAGACGCGGATCGCAGCAGCCCTACGAGGCCTAATCATGCGCTAGCGTCGCTCAAACCCGCTTCCTGCAAGCCATGGAATCTCGCCGAATCGGATCGAAAGTCAATGCGCCGGTTGCCTAAGTGCATTCAATGCCCTTTCCACGTGGCAATCTGCCACGAACCTTGCAGACTTCGCCATCTTCAGCCTTACAAAGCATCTAGCTTAAGACTAGAAATCGGAAGCTTGACTATCGAGATGCAATTCGTCGATTCGTATCTGGATGGCTTCTCTAGCGAATTTTGTTACGACGAAGACTCTTTTAGGCAAAGAGAGCCCCAAGATTTTGATGGCGAATCCCAACCGGAACTGTTCTCTGAAGGCACACCCGATCCATTCGATTCGAACGATGAAATTCTTAGCCACAACAGCCAGGAGCGTAGCACCTCAAGTCTTCTCCCACTTTTGACGCTGGCCGATTGGAGAGAAGACCACATTTATGACGAAAGACCCCCCATATGTGTGCACTATTCTTTAGAATGGAAGCTCACAGTAAACGGAAGGAGTCGCACAAAGGATATGGAACAAGACGTTGTGCTCGCACCAAGCGCCATCTGGATGCGAGCACTCCGACCTAATTTACAGAAAATCGTAGATACTAAGCTGTCATCTAACAAAACATATCGGGCCGCTGAAACAAGCGTTACCGTACACGTATCAGACCGTGCCGAACGTGATCTCACGAAGAGATTTGACGGACTCGACATAGATTGGGCAGTCCTCGAGAACCAGCTTGTAGCTTGGAGTCGGCTGTTTCGAGCTGGAAAAAGACTCCGACTCACAATGGAGTTCAAGTATATCGAGGTTGGCGATATCTCTGCCGGAGATCGACGACGGAGTGGGCGCAACAAAAACTCTACTACAGAGCAAATGCTATCCGAAAGATCTACGGAGATTGATGCGGCAGCAAATCCTGTCAACAAAACTGGTGAATGGAGTCGCGTGTATAACCTGATGAGGTGTCCCAATCCATCTTGTCAACCGGCCGTGGAGTCGAACGGTTATTGTTGGTGTGATAATGACCAAGTGCATTACCCGTTGTTACAGCACCACATGAGAGATCTCGTAAGATACGCCCAGAAAGGTGGGAAACTTGAAACACATGGTGATGTCCCACAATTCATCCGGGAGCAACTCAAAGCTGCAAAGCAGAATGTTTCGAACCGCAAGCGAAAGCGTGACGAATCGCCCGTGCGAGCTCTCCCACCAATCAACATAAATGTTTCTTCAAGCCCGCACGCTGCCGACACTAGTGGCATATGGGCGACAGAACCATTAGGACCAAAAAATGTGGAACGCTTGAACATTCCTGGTCTACGTGAAGATATTCTTCAGTACTATACCATGTGGCACCAGTCGAGAGTCAGGCAGGCCAACCTTAAGAGCGAATTCAGCAAGGCTAATGATCTGACACTTGAGTCGGGATTTTCCCTCGACCAAGTACACAGGGACCAGAACCCCGCATTCTATACCGAGCAAGGTGTCAAGCCTGGAATTGCACGCAGTTACGTAGAAGACATTCCTGGATGGGTGGAAAAAGGCATGCCTAGCGAGGAATTGTGTTAGACGGCTAGACATCTTTTTAAACTGTTGTTTCCAGTGCTTATTTTGCGTATAGACTACATGTAGATTTGCCATTCCTGATTACTTTAAGAGTATTCAACCGTTATTCCAGCGTGGCGGAAATGCCCTTCAGCGCTTATCTGTCTTGGCCCCACAGTATCAATGCACCATTCGAGAAACTCTGTAAAGCTGGGGAATGATCCGCTAATGAATATCTGCCAATTACGCCTAATGAACGCCTTTAGCTCCGCAAAGAACTCTTCTATTGGGTTAAAATCGGGCGAATATGGGGGCAGGTAAAGCAGTTTGACCCCGGCTGCAGCACACATCTGCGCCACTCTATCGGAGCGATGGATCGAAGCATTATCCATGATCAGCACAGATCTCGGCTCGGGCCATCTTCCGCAGTGATGCAGGAGCTGCTCGATAAAGTCCTCAAAAACGGCACCATCTATAGATCCCTGCAGCACCCGCCAAAAGAGGATCCCTTTTTGGGTGTATGCAGGGAGAATTTGATATCGACGGCCTCGATGCAACCTAGTTACTTGGATGGGTGTTACGCCTTGAGGTGACCAGCCCGTCCGCCGCAGTCCTACTCGTCCATCGCATCCCGACTCGTCTACATAGACTAGCTGGTAAGATTTGAACTCCAAGAGCTTATACTGATAATAGTCCCGTAAATCTGCGTTACGCTGTTGTGCTACACGTCGGGCAGCTTTTTTAGTCCATCCCGCTGAGGCTAACGCTCGTCTAATGTTTTGCGTGGTTACCAGGGTCTTGAATTCGTCATACAGGAAGACGGCCATTTCATCGAGGTATAGATTCGACTTGATTACAAGATAATCGCATAGTGCATGCAGCATAGGCGTAGAGACAGTTCGCGGCCGACCAGCGGCCTTTGCAGGTGCTCGAGTGCTTCCGTAACATCGCAGATTCGAACGAATAGCGCGAATAGAACGCGTACTACAAGGGATCGTCTGAGCAATTTCCTTATCAGTCAGTTCTTTACTCAGAATCATGTCATGTATCTGTCGATGTTTTGATGTCGCCAAGTTCGGGGCCATGGTGTTCTCCTATCAGAAGAACTGAATCTCAAAGAGGGAGAAATTGCGGCAAGAGCACGTGGAAACAGAGTGGGCTTGGGCTCTTTTAAACCTGTGACCAACCCGCTTTGTAACGGCCAACGGTGCCTACTTACGGCAAACAGTGGGGAGAATTTCAACGCTTGGATTCCTTACAAGCTTAAATCAAGACAATTCGCAAACGCAAAATCCAGGGCTAATCAACACCACAACCACACATCATTCTAGAGCTAGATACGCCTTACGATGCGAGAACAACAGCGCGCGCTAAGACCTGAGCAAGTCAGCTGCGCCAGTGGGCTCTCTTTATTCTGTGTGTAACCCAAGATTGCGGCTGAGCCTCCAGCCATGCCCCGCACCCGCAGCCTTATGCCAGACTGACTGATCAGTGTCATTCGCAACGGCGGAATGATGCCTGCTTTCATTCCCTTAACCAAGGTCTTGCGGCCTTATACGCTCCCTTCTTTGTTAATAAAACGCTGCTTCACACGACTCTGCAATTCCGAGAGTCTACGATGCGGCTTCTACAACGCGACGACACAGGCAAATATAGCCTCACCCCAGACCTCCCTGCCGGCGATGTACCCCCTTACGCGATCCTTTCCCACACATGGGGAGCAAACGAGGTAGTCTTCGGCGACCTAGCGAGACCAGAAGACGAATGGCAGCACAAACCCGGCTACGAAAAAATCGAGTTCTGTGCTAAGCAAGCGAGACAGCATGGCATACAGTACTTCTGGGTGGACACCTGTTGTATCGACAAGTCTGATAGCATCGAGCTGCAGACTGCGATCAATAGCATGTTCCGATGGTATCGCGACGCGAAACGATGCTACGTCTATCTCGCAGACGTCTCCAGGACTGTAGTATCCGGTCCACAAGAAACCACGACGCCTTGGGAGGCGGACTTTCGAAACAGCAGATGGTTTACTCGTGGTTGGACACTTCAGGAGCTCATCGCGCCGAAGACAGTCGATTTCTACTCGAAGGAAGGGTCTTGGCTAGGTGACAAAAGATCCCTGGAGCTCCAAATCTGCGATGTTACCAATATTCCTGTAAAGACTCTCCGAGGTGCCCCGTTATCCGACTTTACGGTCTCGGAGCGAGAGGCATGGGCTGGTAATCGTCGAACAAAATATGAAGAGGACATGGCGTATTCGCTTTTAGGGATCTTTGACGTGTATATGCCACTTATCTATGGTGAAGGGCGAGAGAACGCACGAAAGAGGCTACGAGAGGAGGTCCAAAAGGCTACTCAAGGTGAGGATTGTTTTTAACTCCAGATGACTCGGCGTGCTAAACCCTGGCCTATCTAGGAACTCAAAGGGAAGGTTTCTCTATTACCCTTAGTCTGTCCGACGTTCCCGAAATACAATACTTCGTCGCGAGAGAGGGTGAATTAGCAGAGATGCGCAGAACACTGAGCTCGGACGGAAGCCGCCGTATCGTGACCCTCCATGGTCTCGGCGGCATTGGTAAAACACAGCTCGCCGTCGCATACATCAAACGGTATCGAAATGAGTATTCCGCCATATTCTGGTTCAATTTCAAGGACGAAGCCTCAATACAACAGAGCTTCAGCAGAGTCGCAAGGCAGATTTTACAGCAACATCCTGAGGCCAGCCGTTTGAGTGGACTGGACCCTCAGCAGAACGCCGAAGAGGTAGTCGAAGCCGTTAAGGCGTGGTTAAGTCTACCGGGCAACAATAGGTGGCTTCTCGTATACGATAACTATGACAATCCGAAGTCAGCCGATCGCACGGACCATGGTGGGATCGATATCAAGCGCTTCCTCCCTATAGCGCACCAAGGCTCGATTATTATCACATCACGGTCATCACAGATCAATATTGGTCGTTCGATTCGAACGAAGAAGCTTGAGTCGATGAACGACGGCCTGGAAATCCTCTCAACGACTTCAGGTCGAGCTGACTTACAAGATGGTAAGAATCTGCAACCTAAACAAGCCCTTCTAATCAATACTACAGATACCGATGCCAGAAAGCTCGTAAAGGAACTTGATGGGCTTCCTCTTGCCCTTGCCACGGCCGGCGCATATTTAAGGCGCGTTGCAATCGGTCTCGATGATTATCTTCGCATATACAAAGAATCATGGGCAAGACTTCACGTAAGCACGCCAAGCCTTGGTTCATACCAAGACCGTACACTCTGCTCGACGTGGCAGCTCTCATATGAGCAAGTCCAGAAGCAAAACTCTCTCGCAGCTCATTTACTGCGATGGTGGGCATATTTTGATAACGATGATATATGGTTTGAACTCCTTCAGCCTAATGGTGTGGACGATAGGGAAGCTCGGTTCGATCCAGCAAGGAAGCCATCAGCGCTTCGAAGAATCCAAACACGATTTCGAGCTGCTCTCCGCCCTAGAAGGATCACTGGCTCACATGGAACTCTCCAGGATCGCAGAGATGCGAAACTCCCTCAGCCACTAGCGTGGACACATGAGCTGACCGACGAGCTGAAGTTTAACAGCGCTATGGGCACACTACATGACTACGGGTTCGTAGAGCTACACATCATAACTCCAGACCTGGTTGGGTCAAGGGGATACAGCATTCACAGCTGCGTACACGCTTGGACCATTCACATAGTCAATAAAGACCGGGATGTGCGCCTAGCTAAGCTTGCGGTAGAGTGCGTAGCTGCACGCGTTCCGTCACAGAACGAGGCTCAGTTCTGGCTACTTCAAAGACGGCTTCTATCACATGCGATCCGATCTTGCGCTACGATTCAAGATAGCGATCAAGACTTAGCCAGGGCATTTTATAACCTAGGGAACCTCTACGCCGACCAAGGCAAGCTGGTCGAGGCCGAGGACATGTATCTGCGGGCGCTTCGAGGGTACGAGAAGGCGTGGGGACCGGATCACACGTCAACACTCGACACGGTCAACAACCTAGGTCTCCTCTACGCCGACCGAGGCAAGCTGGTCGAGGCCGAGGACATGTATCTGCGGGCGCTTCGAGGGTACGAGAAGGCGTGGGGACCGGATCACACGTCAACACTCTCCACGGTCAACAACCTAGGTCTCCTCTACAAAGACCAAGGCAAGCTGGTCGAGGCCGAGGACATGTATCTGCGGGCGCTTCGAGGGTATGAGAAGGCGTGGGGACCGGATCACACGTCAACACTCGACACGGTCAACAACCTAGGTCTCCTCTACGCCGACCAAGGCAAGCTGGTCGAGGCCGAGGACATGTATCTGCGGGCGCTTCGAGGGAAGGAGAAGGCGTGGGGACCGGATCACACGTCAACACTCTCCACGGTCAACAACCTAGCAGCCCTCTACGCCGACCAAGGCAAGCTGGTCGAGGCCGAGGACATGTATCTGCGGGCGCTTCGAGGGAAGGAGAAGGCGTGGGGACCGGATCACACGTCAACACTCGGCACGGTCAACAACCTAGGTCTCCTCTACGCCGACCAAGGCAAGCTGGTCGAGGCCGAGGACATGTATCTGCGGGCGCTTCGAGGGAAGGAGAAGGCGTGGGGACCGGATCACACGTCAACACTCTCCACGGTCAACAACCTAGGTCTCCTCTACAAAGACCAAGGCAAGCTGGTCGAGGCCGAGGACATGTATCTGCGGGCGCTTCGAGGGTACGAGAAGGCGTGGGGACCGGATCACACGTCAACACTCGACACGGTCAACAACCTAGGTCTCCTCTACAAAGACCAAGGCAAGCTGGTCGAGGCCGAGGACATGTATCTGCGGGCGCTTCGAGGGAAGGAGAAGGCGTGGGGACCGGATCACACGTCAACACTCTCCACGGTCAACAACCTAGGGAACCTCTACAAAGACCAAGGCAAGCTGGTCGAGGCCGAGGACATGTATCTGCGGGCGCTTCGAGGGTACGAGAAGGCGTGGGGACCGGATCACACGTCAACACTCGACACGGTCAACAACCTAGGGAACCTCTACGCCGACCAAGGCAAGCTGGTCGAGGCCGAGGACATGTATCTGCGGGCGCTTCGAGGGTACGAGAAGGCGTGGGGACCGGATCACACGTCAACACTCGACACGGTCAACAACCTAGCAGCCCTCTACGCCAACCAAGGCAAGCTGGTCGAGGCCGAGGACATGTATCTGCGGGCGCTTCGAGGGTACGAGAAGGCGATAGATCCCCGACATATCTCCAGATATCGGCCAGCAATCAACACTACGTGGGGTCTAGGTGCCTTGCTAAGGGATCAAGGCAAGTTAGCCGAGGCCAAGGAATACTATCAACGTGCTCATAACGATCTTGAAGCGCTGCTCGGACCTTCGCATAAAGATGTTCAGTTACTACAAATACTTTGTTGGATATAGATGAGGCAATATAGGGTGAGATAATCCTATACAACATGACTCCTGTAAAATTAGTATTAATCATTGGTGCAGATACAATAGCGCCAACGGAAGTTCGGAAAATTAGTCGCCGAATTGCCCTTAAAAAGCCTTGCACATTTTCTCAAAGTGAAATGGTTGCGTGCGATGGATACAGTACACGCAGGCTTTAGTAGACGTTTTCTGGCCTGGCTGTTTTTGCTTTTCTTAAATTCTTTGCGTATTCTGAGTCCAGGTCTATCAGTGATAGAAGAAGTGCATTTTAGTCCCTAATATAAGAAGCATTGCCGTAACATGCTGTTTTATAGGCACGGGCTTTTAATACTAGACATCGACAGACGTTATTGGCATTCGAAGAAACTGCAGTTTATCGAGAGTGCATATATGTTTGAGGATATCAAACGCTGATATCGTTATCATTAGACTCGTTCGGCCTTCAAGGCAAATGAATGCATTTCCTCCGCCAAGATTGCCAAGCACGTGCCACTTTTTTTCATTTTCCTATGCAAAAAACGATGTTGCACGATAGTCTCGGCGGAAGGAATACATTCCATTTGCCTTAGAGGTCGACGCTGGCCAGCTCTTTGAAGAGACCGCATGGCTTATAAGAAAAACGTAAAACATATTAGTTGTATTTAATAGTACTACAGTATAGTTATTCTCGATTACGCCGTCTAAGTACATAGCGTCAGCTTTGGCTCCCCTAGAGTTGGTCTGAAAGTGCTTGTATGAAAGAAAGTAGGTAGGACACTGATTTCGCTAGGGTCTGTATTGTACCAAGAATGCCGGGTCAATGTGATGGACAACGTTTAGCTATGTATCGTCAACCCAAATGATACATTAGGTAAGCGCCAATTTTGGGTGAGTTAAGTACCCTAGCTGACGGTACTGTGTGGGCCTAGAATAGGTACATGTAAGTCAGCGCCAAAAGTGGATCGTCCGTGCTCAAAGACAAGATATTACAGACGAAGAGAGGAAACCGATTTTGATTCTCTCTGTAAAGATGGAAGGGACCTCTTCGTACATGTTTCAGACGCTTTCGTCTAGTTTCCAGTGACTTTCCTGTCTGCCTATAACATGTCTCCCTCTCACGAAATCACGAGTACCAGGAGAAGAGGACACCGGTGGCGAAGAATGCCAACTATCCCTCTCTATGGCTCTTCTTCACAGCAGCGTCACTCCGAGAATATACCGCTGGATGCCGATCACCCAACACAGACGGCCACTTTGCCGGCTTCCACCTCTGAAGATACAACAGTCCGTCAACTTGAAGCGAGCATGAAAAGGTTCGAGCAACAAGCAGGCGAACTAAAACATGAGTAAGTGTAGCGACGTGGTTGCAGAAGTTCTTAGGCTCATTATGCTACAGAATCAGCATGCTGTAGGTCATCATCACTCTAGCCATCGCTTCTTGCTTTTAATTGCGGATAACTTCAGCACTCAGACGGTGGATACTGGGTAGGCCTCCTCAAGTCCTACTCATTTCGCCAAATTGACAGTGTTCAAGCTTAAAGCGCTTCGACCAAAAGCTGCAGGAATGGGTATCGAAGTTGCAAGCGGTCATTGAACGGGACGCGAAGAGTGGCCAGCAGGACTTTTATGATCCTACACTTGTTGGCATGGAGCCTTCCGATTTCGTAATTGAGTAGGGATACTATATTATTATTAGAAGAAGAAAGGAATGCAAATTTACATGTTACTCGAGGTTGTGCTATTGTACATATCATGGCGCTACCGAATTGGCTACCATCTTGGTCTCGACACGAAAGCTCCACGAATCAACCTGCTTTGCCCATATTCGCAAAATCGGGTGGTGCAATCCCAAGCAGAACCCTGTCCAGTAGGAACTGCTAGGCACCTCATCTGTCTCTCGGAAAACCATACTCGTGTATCGGTCCACCATGAGTTCGCGTATGTCTTCCGAGAAGGTTTGGAGGACAGTACGGTTGGCCTCTTCGAGAGTCAAGAAAGTTCCGCAATCTATGAATGCGGGAGCATGACCAGCTCGGTCGACAAAGGCTTCTACTTGGAAGTTGTATCCGCAGTCAGGGTAGACGTCCATCCACATACGCGTGTTTCGGAAGATCTGGTCGGTCATGATCATAGGATAATGGATTCTCACACGACCGTGGGGCGTTTCTAGACTGACGGGTGTAGAAGAAGGTTCGAACCGACGTTGTATTGTCGGGAATGTCGGGGGTGCAGTTGGAGATGTCTGTGGTATTGCTGAGATTGGCCGTGGCGTTGCAGAAGGCAAAGAGGGCCTCGTCATAGGTCGCAAGGACGACCGACGTAAACTTGTGGTTGGCGATGCTTGAGCTCTTGCCAGGGCTTGTCTCCTTAGTTCGGAAATTCTGGAGTTGATGATCGGACTGTGTCTGGTCCAAGAAGCCATAGAAGGGACACGCGAGTGTGACAGCACAGCAGACGACCTAGCTGTTGATACTGAGCTTGAGTGCAACGAGGGCACTGGAACGTTTTTTGATACGTTGCCGTTCAGCATGGGTACTGTTGGTCGTATTGACGACATATTAGAGTGGCGGTCACGCGCTTGCTGAGTATTGTCTTGTTGGGAAACCAAATTGTCCGTTCTGTTTACAGCTCGATCTTCAGGTCGATCGCTCGGCTCTGTTTTGATGATGAGTCTTGCAGTGATCGGCGATTGAGCACGTTTGTCGCGCCTCCGTCGACGGGGTTGGCGATTGGCAGGAGTGCCTTGAGAGTTCGCGGGTCTGTTGACTTGAGCAGCAGTGTATGGTTGAGTCTTCCCGACGGTTGCTCTTGAAGCATTGCGTATCGCCAATCTTCGCGACCGCCGGTGAGGAGAAGACCAGTCCATGGGGATCTAGTTGTAGGGCAAGCAAGATAAAATCAGGGAGAAGGGGACAGCGGGGTTGCCACTACGAGTGACTCGGAATGTAGCAGTGTCGTGAGGTCTTTGCTGAAATACAGATGTCCCCAGTGTACAATATGAGATAGGAAGAGAGGAGTAGGGAGAATATAGGCGGTCGAAGAACTGGATCTCAGATGTTGGGAGCAATCAGACGATGAAAGTAGAAGCTGGAGCAAAGGCGCAACCGAGGCAAAGAGACAAATCATTGTATCGAAAGAGAGGGTGGAAAGCATGTGGATGGCCTCGTCATGGCGGCCGTGGGATCAAGTCTCGCAGACATCCAGTCTAGCTCATGGGGCTAGGTCGATCACTAAACCGGTCGGACAGACAAGCCTAGAAGTGATGATTATGTGAGTTCGGAACTGATTTGCAAGTGGCTAAGCCCAGTACGCATTTGGGAACATGGCCTGCTGCAAGCAGGAAAGCCGAAAATGCATTCCATACCTGTACAATACTGTACTGCACGTAAGGATCCACTATTCATGAAATACATTTCTGGTATCCCAGACCGGCCTCACATGGATCGATCGATGTGGGGCCCATTGGGCATATGGCTTGACAGGACGAACAAGGGCAAGAGGATCCGCTTCCTGCTGTAACAGTTCAGGCCTACAGTGACAGCCAGTATCGGTTCCATGACTAAGTACAGTATCAAAAGATGCCCACCTGTCCAGGAGACTTTCCCCGACCACGCCAGACAGAAGGACAAACGCAAGTCCAAGTCCAAGTCCAGCCACCCACTGCAGAAGGAAAATATGGGGCTGGAGTGCCGATTTCGTGGTGCACAGTACCGAAGTTCAAAAGTGCCGCGGTGTTAAAATGGAAATAAACTGGCTCGAAAGTGGCTGGTTCTTATTTGGTGACCACCTCTGACCCCTCTAGCGCAATACTGTCCGGTCCCAACTTCCACGTGCCAGAATTGACCATTCTAGAAACTGCATATAGCAAACTACGTTTTGGTTGGTTGGCTTGCTGGCCAAGCAACGTTTTGTGGGCCGTGACATCGGTTATCGAAACGCATGTCATTTTGAGCCGCATAGGGCCTGTCGCCATTTTCAGCACCAAATTGGTGGATGGGGTTAGCCACTTGTCGGTCGCGTCAAATGATCTCAAGCCGATCTCATCGTAGGATGTGATATACACTGTAGCTCATGGGGCTAGATCGATCACTAAACTCGTTGGACAGCATGCCTAGAAGTGATGATTACAATACTGGACATGTGAGTTCGGAGGTGATTTCCCAAGTGGTTACGCCCAGTACATATTTGGGAACATGGCTTGCTACAAGCAGGGAAGCCAAAAATGCATCCATACCTGTACAGTTGGGTGGCTGGACTTACTTGGACTTGCGTTTGTTCTTCTGCCTGGCGTGGTCGGGAAAGTCTCCTGGACAGCTGCGATACTGGCTGTCACTGTAGGCCTGAACCGTTGCAGCAGGAAGCGGATCCTCTTGCCCTTGTTCGTCCTGTCAAGCCATATGCCCAATGGGCCCCACATCGATCGATCCATGTGAGGCCGGTCTGGGATACCAGAAATGTATTTCATGAATAGTGGATCCTTACGTGCAGTACAGTATTGTACAGGTATGGAATGCATTTTCGGCTTCCCTAAGACCGTAGCGAGTCAACTAAAAGAAGAAGACAGGCATACGCTTCTGAGACTCATTCTATCCCCCTTGTCGGTGGACATTTCAAGCGCAGGGCTTGATAAATAAGACTTGATATATATATTTCAAGGACGGAGAGGTGTTGGAGCTTTTCGAAACATGTTCCGAATATTTTAGCCATTACCATACGGTACTGTAATGCCTATCTGAGTAAGCGCTAGAATTAACCTCTTAATTTCGAAAAGGATCCAAAAATGGCTCCCGAGAATATTGATTTTCGCCCATATATGGGGCCCGATCGATAAGTAAACCGGTCGGAATGACAAGCCTAGAGTGATGATTATGTGAGTTCGGAACTGATTTGCAAGTGGCTATGCCTAGTGCGCTAGTCAATGGGACGAGACTTGTCTACTGATCTTATCTGGCTGTCGGTAGTAGCGTGAAGGCTGGAAGTAGGTCCCTTCCTATATTGTGGTCAGCCCGGTGTTATGTACAATGCTCACCACTCTGACTCGAACGGCTCAGTCTTGAACTGCTGTGTGCAACCACCTGTGAGGAACTATTGAGGAATGGTTGGTCCTCAAATCAGGACAGCGTAATAGCACAGACTCGTCCAGTACCTGGCGATTATAACTGCCTCCACAATTACGTGGCCGCTCATCACCTTCTTACCTCGCTTGACAGGTTTCTTGAATCATCAGAATGGCACCAGGTAAACGCATGTCTATGATTGCATGTGATGGAATGAGTTGTCTCTCGTCACTTAATATTTGTGTTGTCACCTAATGTAAATGGCGCAGTCAATGATTGTTTCAATTGATTATCCTTGTTTGACGAGCATCTAAAGCTTGAAGAACAGAAATACAATACTCCGCCAGCATTCCGGCACAATTTGTAGTTGCATCCTCGCCACCTTTGCCAATCTGTCGAAACCTTATCATGTGGAAACACCACGCCGGTGGTCATGCTAGTAAAGCTAATCGTAGTCATCTCCAGAGTCGCTCTCATAGTTGAAGGCTTCTAGCTGACAACTTGTATACGGCCCATAGCCCGTAACACCTAAGAGATACTCCAGCATACATTCCAACACATCACCCCTGAGCGATATATATTGAAGACATACCGCTTCAACCATGTTTGACGATAGCAATCGCTTCCGCGAAAGCATGCCCCTTTGTCCCACCAAGTCAAGAGTCGCTGTCTTCGTTATTACCTCCGTCGCCGTCCTCCCTAAGGTTGCGGTTGACACAGCTCGTACAATATGGCGGAGGCGGATGACGTTCGTTCGTATGGCATTGCCCAACTTACCCTGATAGTGGTGGTATGATGACTTGCTTCCTCCTCGTAGCGTTGGTGCCGTGCGAGACGCGCCGCGGACCGTGCAGCCCTTTGAGCGTTTCTGGCGGTCGTCTTTTTTGCATCCATAGCCGAACTCGTCACCCTCTTCCGCAAAGGGCTGCCCATATCGTGGCTGTCTTCTGGTTCGGCGAATAACTGACATTCTAAAAATTTGACCAGGCTTGGATTTTCATCAGTGGGCCTAGTCTCAAAGTGTACAATAGAGCCATCCGACTCACTGCCAATGCTTAATGGTAAGAAACCGGCTGCCGTGCTGACAGCGGATCCTGCGATGAACCCCCTAGAGTCTACCTTGGGCGTGATCAACTAGTAGAAGAAAGATACGGGAGTTAAAGACTTGCACTGTGGCCCATGCACTTGTCCTTCGAACTCCACAGTAGGTGCGAAATCCTGCTTGCAGAAGGCAGTGGGGCTGCTTGCCAAGCCTCGGCAGGCCTTCGCGTCAGCGTCTGGTTTGTAGAAGCAGCGCCTGCATGACGGTTGCCTTACAGCACACTTCACTCAAAAACAAGAGCGTCTCCACAACCCATTCCATTGCGTTGCATGCAAGACTGGTATAGGACAGACTGCTTTGATTGCTGGCCTCTCTGATTGGCAGGCACATGTTGCACCTTCCCAGATACCTCTGCGCGTGGTTGGGGCCCAACCGCAGGTCCTTGTTCTTGATGTTACAGTTTTGGAGCTGCTCTGTCATACTTGACTCTCCCTGCTCTCACGAGATCCGCATTTGCTAGGCCCTTCACTTCAAACTGCTATCACCTCGTGGCTCGTCCCAACATCAGATGCCAAGGAACGACAAACGAGGGCCTAAAATGAATTTGTGAGTGCGCCTTGTAGCTCTTCCAGGGTTGCAATCTGACCGCCATCCGCACCGCCCTCCAAAGTGGTTGACTTAGGGACGGCTTGGAAGAACCCTCGGGTGTGGTTGTCGTGGTCCCGGCACTGGTGTCGCGCGCAGTATCTGCTCCTCGCGGAGGTGCGATGATTACTGGAAGAGTGCTGGTATGACTTCATACAAAGTGGTTCCCGAGTATTCTCGAAAAGAAACAATGCGATTGGGCTATGGCCCTCGAGTTGAATCAATGGTCAGTATTGATTCAAAAGAATCTTCACCATCTACCGCCACATGCATTCAACCTCGAAGCAGCCGTTTGTGGTTCAGTTCTTCAAGATGTGAACAAGTTGCGCCACTGCGCCGTTCACAGGCTTAACTTGACGGCTAAGGAGCTTCAGACTCAGGTGAATACTGGCGCAGCATTGGCATCTCTGCTGAAGGATCATCATCGCACGGCCGTTCTGCATTGTGCGTCAGTGGATCTTGACAGCAAGATTGCTGCAAAGGGCAAGCCCACAGTACGAAATCGTTGAAAAAACTTTCGAGGCAGTGTTTTGGGGTAGTTGCGCCTCCCAATGTCTTGCTGATTTGTGACAGATTGGTAGCAACACGCGATGGTATCGCGCCTCAAATGAAAGAAACCGTTCTACATATTGTTCGGGTATCTAGCGAATGGGAAAACACAGCGGAATCCGTGTGACATTGGATCTCTTTTGCGGCGCAAACAGGTCGCTGGAAATGTACGACTGAGCTCCTCCGGTATCACAGCATCACACCTTGCATCTCTGTAGGTTAGTTGTTTTCCTTATTTATTTATTCATTTATTTTTTGATTCTTTTTAGAACGAAAAGACCCTATCGGAAGCGTCCAACTGTTACAGATTTACTCGTGTGCGCCTTCCAGCTTTTCGCCAATTCCGTCTCAAGTTTGTCATTTAGTGCTCTAAGAGAGAGAGAGCGAGCGAGCGCCTCGAATTTGTGGCAAGATATATGACACGGATGGACCGTTCTATCGATTAAATACGATAACGGCGCGGGCACGATCCGACAAAGGCTCGGTTGAGGGTGGCTTCTTGTCGTCGGGATCGATCATCTTCATTCTCGCATCATTGTCATCGCCGTCCCTTCCTGGGCCGTTGGCATCCCCTTGTCGGGTGCGAGCGCGCATCGTCGCCGTCGTCGCGGCCTTGTCGCTTCGTCGGCGCGGCGCAGTGGAAAAATGGAGGGTCGTCGCTGTCGTCGCCTCGCCGCCCCCCTCGTCAGGTCGTCGCCGTGTGTTGTCGGTTCGTGGATGCGTCGCTATCGTTGTGTTTGAAGTGCCAGCTTAGGTTAACCTAAATATTCGGTAACGGTTCACTCAATACACATAGTGACACTCTTCCTGGTGGAGAATAAAATCAAAACTCCATGGAGCACGATCAGCGTCGCCGGTTGGATTTTAACGAACAACTGGGGAGCTAGTGGCCTTGTCATGCAGGCACATGCAGGCACAGTAATGGATAGGCATACACGTAGCCAGCTGGGGCAGCTGCACACAATCGACCCAACCACTTTAGGGATTGGTGCACTCAATTGGGCCATTGCTGGCGAGGCACTACATGACGCCCTGGTCGACAATCGGAACCGAAACCGTACCAACAACAGCGTCTGCACGAGCACAAATCCCATCCAACACCATTGACAGTGGCCCCGTCGGGGCCTGCAGGTCGCAGTCTCCTGATGCGGGGTTGTTTGACCGACGACTGTGCGCCTTCAGCCGCCCGAGGCTCCCGACGTGTCCTAGACGACGACGACAACGACAACGACATGACCTGCCCGATTGGACGGCGCGAAATGGGTCTGGCTCATAGGCGGGCGAGCTCAATGGTGCCTTCCGCTGATCGGCCGGTATCGATTGTAGTATGGTCTCGACATCTTCTGACCAGGTGTTTAGGCTCGACATGACCGCTTCACGCTCGTCCTGACGATGATATCGTCTGGCCCGGGAGTAGTACATCCAGGCTGTGGAGAGAGGGGGCCCAGAATTGGCATCTCAGGTTGCCTGGACATGCTAGAAACAGGCTGGTCCTGAATCATGTCCAGTCATGAGACGAAACCTCGGGGCGTCGCCCACCATTTCTGTACACTCGGTCGGGAACGAGTCGTGTCTGCTTCTCGTCAGGCCGGAAATGGACTGTCGCAATTTGTCGCGATCGTTTCGGGGGCTGGACAGGCCTGGTTTCGAATCGTGCTTTTCGTCGGTGGCCTCTTTCGGGCCGTCCCATTTTTGACAGGGAGTACAGAAGAGGCGCATCGGTCGGCTTGTTGTGGAGGGAAAACGGCTACGCGACTTCTTCCTCTTGCTACTGTCGAAACCGGACTTGCATATTAAGATGCTGATCGAGAACGACCAATCTATGGATTGGTATTACGCCATCCCACCCAAGGTGCTCAACTAGACTTTGTTGGCAGGCTACATCATTCCCCTTCTACGCTCACGACCATGGATTGCTCCGAAGCTTCCAACAGCATGATGGAACACAATGAGCTTGAGCTGAAGGCATTTCAGAAACCTCCTTTACTTGGACTTGCGCTGTTCTTGTTCAGTATGCGCACTGAATTTATTTGTCGTGGAGTGTAAGTTGGACTATGAATCGTTCCGTAATTTTGATCCTACGAAGGATGTAACTGCTGCTGCTTTGAGCCACGCGTGTAAGGGTAGGCTAAGATTGACGAGGCCAAGCACGCAGCTGAAAGTCCATGTTGTGGTGGCACTGTCATAGTCGGAGAGTTCTTAACATGATAGTCCTGTGGCAGGATATACCAACTCAACGTCTTCATTTGCGTGTTTTCTTTTTACTGTTTTTCGTCGAGCTGTTTGTGCTATTACAGCGGCGTACTCCAATACTGCTTCTGGATGGTAAGCCGTCCTGGATATCCTTGAACGTTCAGGCCTGGTGTGCAGGTACAAATGCGACCTATAGTTATCCTTCCTATTGAAGTTGCGATCACAGTATTTGCATTTTTCGTCATCTTCACCACGGCTGTGTGTCCTAAGTCGGGATTAGCTGTTACTCCTGAAGTTTAGACTGCTGAAGGAGAACTCGCGATTTAATGTGGCGCTTCAAATGCTCCGCTCGTTTGTAACCTTTCTTTCCCGCATTCTTTGATGCACATGCAAGCATTTGGCATTTATGTTGTGCTGAAGGTATTGAGGCTATAGCACCAGGTTCGAATTTGCCTCTTAGGGACACTCCTCTGTTCTGGACATGGTGCACAACGCTGGGTTCCCGCTGCGCACTCTTCATCCGCAGGTGGTCCCTCGCGTTGTTGCACGGATATAGTAGTGGATGTTTGTTCTGGTCTTGGAGAAAGACATCTGTCGTCGCTGCCAGTACAGAATCAGGTTCATCCAGAAAGGCCAAAGAGTTCTCGGACGGGTTGCCCCAAAGCGAAGTATCGTCCTGTCGTTGATACTGTAGCGGGTAATAGGGAGGTGACACATTGAAGCAGGACACTAAATTATCTGAGAAGGGATGTTGTTCTAATGCTTGATGGTTGTTGAAGCCCATAAAGTCGCCATAAAGAGCAGGTTCGGAGTGCATCAGTGATACAGAATCGATATCCATACTGTATAGTGAGTCCAGAGCGTTGTTTGGCAGTGCTGGAGAGTATGCTTTCCAGCATGGAATATCTGTCTTAACCTCTGTCATGACCTCTGTCTGAACTTCTCTGTCGAAGTTATCGTCTATGGACGATAATGTCGGTGACGTGGTAAGCCCCCCTCCTAGTACTAGAACAAAGTCCATGGGTGCGGTGTGTTGCTGCGGTGTGAACAGGATGAAAGTGTTGAAAGATGAGACAGCTGGCTTTCGAAGATACCGGAGTTGAAATGATGTATGCTACACTTCGGTAATCGGGGACCTGTCGTCGTTGCTGAGTTTCAAGGCTGGTTTTTTTTTTTTTTGAGACGGGACAGCGAACATATATGAAAGAGGACGTGAATTAGAGCACAGCGAAAAATCCAACTTTTTCCCAGATTGGCGATCCGCAGTGCGGCGCATATGCATGGACCAATGAGATTATGTGTTCGGTGAGTTGTGCCTCAGTCAACCAATCCAATCTCGCTTGGTGAAACGGGGCTGTGGGAGAAAACCAAAATCCAACAATGATCTAGAAGCAATCATGTCACCAGCTATATTCGACTTGTCGTGGTTGTCGTATACCATGGGCCATCGAGTATTGCTAGGCAAGCTAAACCAGACGAAACAGCTTCGACCGCCTCTTTGTTAATTTTGCTACACTTAAGCGCCTACCATTAGGATATAGAGGTCAGAGTGTGACTAGTGGTAGTTTGGCAGATGACTGCATCTCGGGCGACCAAAGGAACAGTAAACCTTGTAAAATACTGTACATTTATGGTCAAAATGGAGTTTAGGACACCAAGATGGAATGTTCTGTACAGGACAATACAGTACAGTACAGTACAATAAACACAATTTCGAAAAGCGAGCTAATATACATCGAGACGTTATCCATTAGTAGCTTTTGTTTAGTTCCATAAGTCGACTTTTAGCCAGTATCTATAACGACAGAAGATGTTCTCATTCTGTCCTGTCCAAGCTTGGCTACTTGACATTAAAATACCTCGACGATGCCGGCTCCACGGTCTGTGGGCAATGTGAAGCAAGGCACAAAAGTTAAAACAACCTGGTCCTCGAGTGTGGCCGTGTCTTCATTATTTGCACGTTCCAGTCATCTGGTACGGGAGTAACGAACATTTGCAGGTCTACGATACTGGGGCGACTGTGTCAGCTTGGCAAGAAAGTCAACAACGTCCCAAGGCAGTTGAGCACGAGCTTGAATACATAATCGGCTCTACGAGTTCGATAATGGGTGCTTGTTTTATACGGTAAAATGGAGCGGGTATAACTGACACACCTGGGAGTTCGATTACTAGTGCACGCATAATCACCTACTGCTCCACTACGGTGGTATGGTAGGAGGTTCGGCTTACGTAACACAGCATGCTACACTTTGGGTTCCGCGCGACGCTGGGGCATCCTTGAGACCTCTAACGCAGCCGACGGCATATTCGACTGAGCTGCAAGGCATGAAGATGGCGCTGGAAATGGCGCTTCAACAGTGCCACAGGGCCGTCAGCGGGGTCGATATTTTCACGGACAACCAAGCCGTCATTTCATCGTCTGCCTGGCCGGCCGTCGATCAGGGCAGTTTCTCCTGAAATTAATCAAGACTATACATAGCTGGTTCTGCTTCCATACAATCATGAAAGAAATCAGAATAAGAACAATCCAAAAATGAGCGAAGGACGTCCATTGATCAAATCTGATTCTGGTTCTGGTTGGACCCCACCAGGACGCTTTTGAACGCCGGTGCAGTACAGACTCAATCAAAATCGGCTTCCTCTATTGCCTCTCTTCTCTTCTCTTTAAGCACTGACAGTCCACTTCTGGTTCCCACTCGGAAGTAAACTTTTGAACCTCTGCCGTACCATGGAACTTGAAAAATGCCCTTTTCAGCCCTGAACGCATATATTCGGTGCCCCAAGTCTATCTTCGATAACGTACAATTGATGTGTAGTGATGGGTGTATCAATAAGTGCGAAAGAGCCTGGTTAAAACTCACGATCCTGGAATCAGAATTGATACGGTCCTAAAGAGTACTTAGGGTATACGTACAGGTCAGAGCCAGAAATGGATCGTCTGTGCTTAGAGAAGAAAAGAGAGAGACAAAAGGAGGAAGCCGGTTTTGATCTTGTCTGTACTGCTTCAAGCTTTGTTTGCGCATTTGCATACCACTTTGGAGGCGTATGGATTTGTCGCGCTGTCCTCAATCAGGTATAGCGTTGACCACTATTTGGTCGTGTCAAAGTGGGCGGGCGTCGCGTAGCCGTTTTCCCCCACAACAAGCCGACCGATGCGCCTCTTCTGTACTCCCTGTCGAAAATGGGACGGCCCGAAAGAGGCCACCGACGAAAAGCACGACTCAAAACCAGGCCTGTCCAGCCACCCGAAACGATCTACGACATCATACCCGACGATGACGGAGACACTGTTATCGTGCACGATCCATCTTCTGCTGCAGGCCGGCAAGCGCACCCGGGCCCCTCTTCAGACTCTGGTAAGTCCTCCCAACAATCTAATCGGGAGAGCGATGATGCAATACTGACCATGGCCCAATAGACGCTATAGGAAGCCCAGACGGGGAATATCAACGCCATTTACTCATGACAGGATCGAGTGCGATGATCGGGGATAGTACAGATGATGGTTTACTGTGTTACCAAGTCGGGCAGAATAGCGCTTCAACACGCAAAGGTGAGATAAGACATAGGATGGGACAGGCCAGACAGTCTCAGTATCAACCAGGGCGAGTCACCAAGCAGCCAATGAGAGGCGGTGCATGGCCTCAAGCTTTGGAGACACATACATTGGCTGAGGGTCTAAGTGTGCACCGTGCTCAGGCGGAGAGACAGTCTAGGGTCAGTAGAGTCTTGCGTCTGTTGGGAGAGCTTGCAGGAAAGTCACGTGGCAACGTGCTAGAGAAGCATTTGAAGGACTCATAGATATCTAGGTACGTATAAGAAAGATGTCCGGCAAAACATCCCCTCCCCCACGAACTTACAATCTGACACCTCCTAGACCATTCTCGGTCTCTTCCAGTCGATCGTACTTGACTCTTTCCACGGCCTCTTTCAGTGCCTCGAGTGCTTCCTGAATCTTGTCCAGCGCTGCAACGACACATGCTAGACTTCCAAGTTCGTACTTCTTATCACCCGCGGCGGAAAGTGAGCCTCTCTGGCTCCCACCAGATGATGTTACGCTGTCATCCTGGCTGTTGCCGTCAAAGTCAGGATCACTGTCCTGCGATGAAGAAGCGATAAACTTCCTCAAGCTTCTTGGGCTATCCGAACCGTCTGTCGAGGGTTCTGATAGCTTGAATTCCGCATTTTGATCGCTATCACCAGCGTCGTCGGACGCTTGTCGTTATCATCAGCATAATGAAGATGACCAGCTATCTTCAACAACACTCACCATCAAAGTCATATGGTTCTGGTGATGGTGATGGTGATCGAACTTGTCGCATTCGGGTTCTTCCTGGTGTAATCATTGCTTTTACTGTAGCTTTTCTTGACCTATATACAACCCAGTATGAGGGGGATGGAGTCTATAGAGTCTGTCATATATATATATGTCCCGTACGAGCCTCCATCTTAGGACTTCGGGTATTCGTGTCATCCGCCGCCGTTTCTGGAGCTAGAAGTGTCTGATAGGCGTGATCCAACATAGGGTTCAACTGCCTCTGTGACACAAAATTGAGCAAAATTGGAGGATATCCTATGCTGAACGTCCCAGTTGGAGAAACTTAATTGTCAAGATTTGAAGAGCGTGAGCTTTAACCAGTCTCTTTCACACTTATTGATACAGTACACCCACTACTACACATTAATTGGACGTTATCGAAGATAGATTTTGGGTACCAAATATGTGCGTTCAGGGCCGAAAGGGGCATATTTTCAACGACAGAGGTTCAAAATTGTACTTTCCGAGTGGGAGCCAGAACTGGACTGTCCCTGCTCAAAGAGAAGAGAAGAGTAAATGCTCCCAAGCACAACGATTATTTCCTCATTGGCATCGATGTCGCTTCTTCTTGCTTCCAGTGCTTGTATGATCTTCCGGATTTAGCCATTCATTTTCTTTGCTTTCTTCTTCCCAGACCCGGATTGGCTCTCGGCTAACGTGCTGCTTGGGTTCCAGTATACGCGCTCGGAAACGATGTCGACCATGCTCCAAAATCAGTCTTATTGAGTGAAACGGACGAAAGGAACAAAATGAACCAAGCAAAATAAAGGCAAACGCAGTCACAATGACCTCTTACTGCTCAGCATTTCTCAAGGAGCACAAATCTCACGACCGTGGGGTTGGTCAGCTGCATGCGGTACGGTTGAAGGAATCAAGTTGTGAGCCTAGTGATGGCCTAGATGCGTGCTTGGGAGCGTCATTTATAGAGTACAGTACCGGCGTTGAAAAGTGCCTTCGTGGGTCTAAACCGGAATCAGATCTGAAGGTTGGTGGACGGAATCTAGTGCCAAGGACCAATTCTTTCTCCATGATCAACAGCTGACTGCGAAACTATTCGCGTAACCGTTGTTTGTCGAAGAGCGAAAATAGACCGGCTCGAAAGTGGCCACCTACGGGAGGTCCTCAATTGGAGTATAATCCACACTGACCACTTCTAACCGCGCCAGCGCAACAGTCTCCGGTTCCAACTTCTATGTGCCGAAATTGACCATTCTATATAACAAAGCCACGTGTTGTAGATTGCAATCCGGCTGAGCCCACAAAGCAGTTGCTCGCTGGCCAAGAAACGGATTGTGGACCAGGCCATCGGTACGCTCGGTTGTCGAGCCCATGTCATTTGAGCCGCGTGGGGTCTGTTGCCATTCTCCAGCACCACCAAAAATTGGGGATGGTATTGGCCACCGATGAAGCCGAGAAACGACAACAAGACGCTGAACTATTTACACGACTGACAACTTTGGACGAATACATTGCCGCAACTCATGACCTCGTAGCCAGCCACTTTGCCGTCGAGACCGACAAGGAGCTCACCTCGAACGGCCCCATCACAAACCCGCGCAACAAGCTGTGTCCAAAGAATCTACGCCCATGGCCCGACTTTCTCGAGCAGCAGCGAACCACTCTAGGGGCCCTCTACGGCACCTTTCCTAGTCTCTGATCGGCGTTTCGAATCTCGGGGCTTTTTGGCGGGCCTCGGCCAGCGAATGGCTAAGCGATCGATATTTTGCGAAAAGACGCTCGAATATTTCCTGCACAACAGCGTTGAGGATCCAGTGCGAGAGATTTTCGATCAATTGCGGGACGTGGACCAAGTGCGGCACGAGTTTGGGATCGGTAACGGCATTGTCTTTGAGAACCACCCCAATGTGATCAGCGATGTTGCGGAGGAGGTTGTCGACCGGCAGGCCTCATCGATACCGCCACAGACGCCCGATCAAGGGAAAGATCCAGGACACATCCGCCCCGACTAGATATGCGTATACTGGTTTGACGACGAGCTCTCCACACGGCGTACCATGCTATACGTGTCCGAATGCAAGACCCCGCACAAGCTGACCGCTCCGCACCTGCGCATCGGTCTGCATCCCATGGATATCTTCAAAGATGTGGTCAATCGGAAAACAACACCTACCGCGGCCAATCCCGACGGTCGCTTCCAGTATCATGCCGAGAGGCTCACCGCTGCGGCCATCACACAGACCTACAACTACATGATCGAGGGGGGTCTCGAGTACGGGTTGCTGACTACCGGCGAGACTGGCGAGAACCCGGCACACTCTTGTACCATCTAGCAGAGCCCGCGTTTGAGGTGGCAGCGCAATCGGGGGAACACCACGCTTGCACCGCAGTTGGCGAGTACCTGGCATTCAGCCTGCTGGCTCTCGGCCCGCCAGGGAACCCACCCACTGTTCGATCGCAGGATGAGCGGCAGCGTGTGATCTTGGGGCTGAGGCGATGGGCAGAGGACTTTGAGACGACATTGCGATCTATCCCCCGAGACGAGCGATACGCTCCGAGCGGCTCAAGCTCGGGCTCGCTGTATGCGCCGACGACTTATGCAGGCATCAGCCGGTCACCGCGCGTGCCTCGAACAAGACGCAAACGCTGGGCGCAGGAAGAGGACCGTCCAGATGTGCAACCAAGAATCAGGGACCGGGACGACGAGTCTTCGTCGGATGAGTGCTCGCCTCGGATGCCGGACACCCCGACACCGTCTGGGAAGACATCCTGTGTTGGATGTCAAAACTGAGGGGCTTGAATGTCAAGCTTTGGAGTACGAGAGCAAACCAGATCCTGTTTTGCATTCGAAAAGTAGCATAAGAAGACCATCTCGACTGCGCCCAATGCTGACATGAAATCCTATGCCAGTAAATCGAACGGTCTCTCGATCTACATGATGCTGAATAACATACTTGGTATCCTCAACTCGACATTGTCTCTCTTTTATCCCCTACTTGCCACATTCAAGGCACTAAAAACGTCGAACACGGAGGAACTGAGAGAATGGTTGATGTACTGGTCCATCCTTTCTACCGTGATGTTCATCGAGTCGCTTTCACATTCCGTCTTAGAGCTGATTCCGGTATATGCATCGACGAGACTCGTCTTTATCCTTTACCTTCTCCTTCCCAAGGCGAGGGGCCATCGTCGGTTGTTTGAGTCATTTCTACGGCCCCTGCTCGATTCTCAAGAGAAGCCGATCGAGAGCATGCTTCGATTTGCCGATGATGGAGTCCAGAAAGTGGGGTCCTTTTGCTTGCAACAAGCTTGGAATTTGTTAGCTACTCAGTGGCGCAACAAGCAGGCCGACAAGAGTGGATAATATGGACAAAGAAGCGACGGTACTATATGGTAGCCGCAGTCAGGGCTAACCTCATCACATTCTGATTTACATACTACTAGTACAGTGCCGAGTACTTGAAGCATTGTAACATTTATTTACTTGTATCCTATAATGCTTTCTTATGGTGTACAGTACAGTACTTTGCTTTCTGTTTCCTTGTCTATATATTCAGGCGGTGGCATATACCATAATTGACTCCTCTCGCTAGCTTGTAGTTTCCACAGTGCAGCCCCCATTGTGAACATACAATACAATCCTGACAGTCAAGCGTACTGTACAGTATAGGCCTGCCCCTAGCGGGGCCGGTAACCTATCATGGGACACAAATGGGTGTTGGAGCATGTAGTTCGATGTGCTGACGGTTGTTCCACTGGCCTATCCTAGAGCTCTACCGTACCGGTGTGCTGAGAGTTATTGGGATGAAGCGGGCGGGAAACGGGTAATCAGAATCCGCGAGGCAGTAGATGGGCCGATCAATATCTTCTATCCAGATGCCGAGAAGATGGCCGCTTGTAAGAACGACGCTATAACGGAGATCAGCTATGTGCTCTCTCCTATCTAGAGGATTGAGTAAATCGCAAGGTATTTTTGTTTGGACTTAGGGAACAGCTCGGCACAGTACAATTGATTGGAGGTGTCTCGTCACGCATATTTCACAAGCTTTCGTATAATTTCCCAAAATCACGACTAGAAGGGGAAGGGAACGCCGATGGCGTAGAAGTGCTATGTTCAGATGTCTATGTTTAGTGGATCACAACCCCGATGGTTTTTTTCCGCTACTCCTTTTGTCATTACATCTCTGAAAAGTTCATTCTCTTCTCCCCACATGGAGGAGATGATTTCTTTGGGTATTCTTCACTGTCGTAACGACTACTTATCTAGCCATGTCCCTTCACACCTCCCTAGATGTTTTCACTCATGATGGTATGACGACTATTAAAAAACGTCTCCGACCTTCGGTAAACCTCAAGTGCAGAAATAGTAAGGTTCCAGTCCAACAATGACAACACCTCCAATTCCATCAATTGATATCTCCTAATGTGAACCAAGAAAGGCGGTGATTGAACCGCATATAGCTGTGCTTCTCCCAGTCTTTGTTTATTCGATAGTCATCATCTAGATATTTCGCAGTGATGATCAGACTTGCAAGGAAAATCCGGTGTGCAGTACATCTAAGCATTTCCCTAGTAGACCCGAGCTTGGGCTTTAGACGGTCTAGATATACCGTCGTCGCTATCCACGTGAGGATGGGGACGTTTACTTCCCGAGACAGGTGAGAAATAAAGTTGCGTAGTGGCGGCGGCGTGGCTGAGCCTATTGGTTGGACTGATGTATTCAGCCGAGCGTTTCGGGGTATTGCGTTATACGTCTTCTGCACCAAGTAGTCAAGAATAGAGTCGCTGAATGGCATGTACATCATTCTTCTGAGCATTATAACTTGGACACCTGGTTCATGCTGAGGTCTCGCTAGCCGCGACAGTCCAGGTTTTCGGTGGCTTTCATTTGGATATTGCGATAATGTTCGAGCAGTAGTCAGTGTCCTTGGGGTATTGGCGATCGGTTTCATCATGCTCAGTCAGGGGTTCTACTGTATGGAGCTCAGCTTGGTGGGATGGAGCAAAACAGCAACTCGTCAAAGAGAGCCATCGGTGCTGTACATATGTATAAACGATCACTTCGTAACAACTCCCCATGCTATACGGATCCAGAAGCGGCGGTTCAAAGGACGCACGGACTTCTGGAGTGGCAGATATTTCTTGACCGTCCTTACATCCTGTTCCAATATAGGCTCAAGATCTGTTTCTGGCTCTGTTGGCAACTACTCGCAGAGTGCTAGAGCGGAAACCGGCTCGTGGTATGACATTCATAGCCACGAATTAATTTAAAGGCGAAGAAATTCTGACTTCGCGGCACACTTCGACTGATCTTTTCTTACTTTGCTCCTGCTCAAGTTGTCTTAGCTTATTGAACTCAAATGGCGGATAGCCTAAAAAGCGTTGCAGGTGTTGCTACTTTGCCGCCCAGAAGAAGGCGTAACTTGTATATCAAGATGCTGATCGAGAACGACCAATCTGTGGATTGGTATTACGCCATCTCACCCAAGGTGCTCAACTGGACTTTGTTGGCAGGCTACTTCGTTCTCCCTTCCACGTTCACGACCGTGAATCGCTCCGAAGCTTTCAACACCATGATGGAAGACAATGAGGTTGTGCTAAAGGCATTTCAGAATCCTCCTTTACTTGGACTTGCACTGTTCTTGTTTATTGTTTCTCTGATAGGGTTGACTTGTATATGGTGGGTCTGGAAGTGCAATTATATCTGGACTCTTAACAACATCATCACGCAAGTCCATCATACGTTCGTTTTGACGTTAGATTGTAACCGTTCTAATGACAGAATAGACCACTGCTCACAAACTCACTACTCGGCTTCAGCACGACCTTGCTAAATGTATACGTAGTCTGCTAGATTGAAGCCCACCAGTATTGGATTCACTCCAGATGCTAGAGCGGCATCGAACCAATCATCTGACGCAAAAATACTGGTCCAAATTATGATGTGCTCTTCCAGCGCATTTGTTAGAGGCACAATCAATGCTTTAGCTGCTTTTCGGAGTGCATAGGGTGGAATTCTTTCCGCAACTCGTAGCTGTATTTCATCTGAAAGGTCGCCTAGTGAGAATAAAGATTCCATTCTGATCAATTCGGCGGCTTTTCCGCAGCTGCAATACAAGAGTACTTCCATATCGAGGAAATCAGACCGGATATTATGCGCAAAAGCATGACCTCATCAACATTGAGAAGCTCCCGCTCCCTGTCTTGAATTTTGTTATTTTTGTCGTAATTATCGAAATTGTAGACAATTGGGTTATCAATGTGATATTGATACCACTCTTCAATCAATTTCAACGTCGCTTCGTTGATCGAGTGCAGTGGTATTGGCTTTCCTTGTTCGACCTCTCTGGGGATAGTTTCGAGTAGACCACGAAGAAGACCTGAACATTTGGCGATTGTGCGAGGCATGTGGACGAGTATACCCTCGCTGCTCTGAAGCAATATTTCATTCGTTGACTGTACCATCGCAGAAGGCTATATGACAACAAAAGTTTAGGACTGAAAGAAATGTCAACTTGCATTAGCAAACTATCTATACTTATATATCACTGAATACAGTAGCCTAAATGCCTTTATTGACTTCCATAATTCGTATTTCTTGCGTTTTCTCTTGTGTCCAGTATTGGCCATTAAACTATAAGTTTCTATGTACTGTACAGTCGATAACGAAAACGCCTTCCTCATTAGGGGCAAGAATTTGTTTCTCATGAGAGCCGTTTTTAGATCCAGAATTGTAAGATCAAGAAATGAAACAAGCTAACTCGTTCGGGCATACCGAAGTGGAAAAGTCCGATATGGACGCTATCATCCGATGAGCAACATTCCAGTCACCTCGACACTGAAGGGGTCGGCTAGGTTTATGGTGAGGTAGCTCGTGACTATCATAATCTCGTCGTCGGGATTGCATAAGCTACCAAGGCGTTGGTCGATTAGCAGAACCAGCTAAGTATAGTATTGGTGCAATAGATTGCGACAGGGGCAGGGGTCCAAAAAGGCGATAACGTGGTGGAGGTGCTGAAAAGTGGCAGCGTATTCTCCGAGATCATGCAGGAACACTGGCGGCATCAGCTGCTCAACACGAAAATGTCACGTTCTGGGGAGCGGAAGATAACGTGAGTTGTCCAGACAATATGATATACACGCACTATCATCTAAAGATAGCCCGCTAACTAACGAAATTGTTTAGATCGTTCCGCCAGAACGTGCACGATTCGGCTTGCCGGGCGATCGGGAGAATGTGGTCAAGCTGAACGCAGACCAAAGTAGTGTGTGCCAGTTCGGGGCGGACCAGACGAGCTAAGATAACTTAAAGCTGGTAAGGCGCAACGACTTAGACATATACCGGAATGCACTTAAGACGCGTGAGTTTGAGTTGCCTGCCATATCTTCTGCAATGGAGAAGGGAAGTGACGCCGCCGATACCGTATTACGAAAACGGTTTGCTAGTTTGCAAGGGATTAATATATGATGCTAAATTGGAAGAAAATAATGACGAGGGTTTATAAACCATTTTAGGGAATCGAAAAGTTTGTGCTGATATGAATCTAGGCGAAGTACGATTTAGTGAAAGCAGAATGAGCAATCGGCGCCACTGCTATATTCTTCCTCGGAACCTCAAGTTCACCGGACGAAGTGATGTGCTTAAACGACCCCAGAAAAAGCTTTTCATTCAGCAGGACTGCCAGAAGCTTACAGTGCTAGACCTGGATGGCGTGGGTAACCGCAGGTAGCGCCGCAGTTTGCATATTGGTTTAAGAGCGTCAGCCGGACTGCTCTGCTTTGTGAGTTCCGGCGTAAAGCCGTATGAGTTTCGACCAGCCATAGATAGAAATCGCGAAGCGCCTAGATATACGATCGAACGATAAGGACCAAGACCCCGAGGGAGCTGGTACGACGGGCACCTAGAGCCGGAAGAGAGCGGCAAGTGGTTTCTTGTTGTCGATAATGTTGACGATGTAGAGATCCGGTACGGGTCGTTTGACCCGGAGTCCGTTACTGGCTGTGAGCATGGCATACACCAGTACCTGCCAGAGAGCGAGAACTGCGTACGTCTCTTCGTACGCGGTCGTCAGACGTGGCCCTTGAGGTAGCGGGCCTTGACGTAGTCGACTTAAAAGAAATGGGCTCTGAGGAAGCTGTCAGCCTTTTGGAGAAGTCGCTAAGCCGGCAACAGCTTCTCGGAGACAAGCAAATTGTTGCAGAGCTTCTGGAAGAACTTGCGCACCTCCCGCTAGCCATCGCCCAGGCTGTTGCTTATCTCAATCGAAACCGGCAGGCGTTCATGAGTAGTTATCGCAAGCTATTGCGCGGCTCCGAGAAAGATATGGTCGGCCTGCTAAGCCGGGAGTTTCGTGATGGCTCTCCTTTCCAGGCATCGCAGCGGTCGGTGGCAACGACCTGGCTAGTGTCCTTTGACCAGATCTCTGTTTCGGATAAGGATGCCACGAGACTGCTCTCGTTTATATCATGCATCGAATTCAAAGCCATTCTTCGCTCGCTTTTGCCACGGATGGAGACGGCAGAAGTGATGGAACACGCGATCGGCACGCTTTGTGGGAATGCATTTCTGGTGAGTAGAGATGATGGAGAGATGTTAAATGCATCGGCTAGTGCATATGGCGACGAAGATCTGGAACCCGCGACATAATCGGGTAAAAGAGGCGACATTAGGTGCTATTCATTAGCTAAATAGAGTATTCCCATCGAGCGATAAGGCCAATCGAGAACGGTGGAGGACATATCTGCCACATGCCGTACGGGCGCTCCACGAGAGTGGAGAGCACCGCATTCAGGAGAGGCACGACTTGTTCTATCGAGTTGGCCAATGCTTTTTTAAGGACAGGCGGTTCAAAGAAGCGGTAAAGGCTTTAGAGGAGACATCTGGCTTGAGGAGAGATCAGATGTCTGATACAGCTTCGGCGCGACTAACCTCAGAGTACGAACTTACGAGGGCATACCTAGATGACAGGCGGATCAAGGACATGATTGTGATATACGAGCGTGCGGTGGCGGTTCGTGAGCAGACGCTAGACGAGCGGGATCACGATCGACTTGGCGTCACAACACGCACGCTGACGGCCGAATTGAACGGCGTACCAGCGTCCCAGAAGAAATTGCCCACAGAAGATCTGCGAGTTTTTCGCCCGTATGCACCCGGATTGCGATGCTCGTAGTCAATGACCAACCTAAGATAACTAATCTTAGAGCGGGGTACTGCGTTTTAGCCCAGAAATGCCCAGCCAGAAGTTTTATCCGCCGACGCAGCCAGCCTATTGTACGTAGACTGAGAGAAGGACTATCCAACTTGGAAATAATCACAATCAATGAATCTTTGAAGATGGTTAGAGATGGACTTCGACAATCAGATCGTGTGCATAAGCCGCTTACAAAGACTGGAAAAACGAAAACATGTGCGAAGAGCTTACCAAATCGGCGGGTGGAGGACCTTGAAGCGAACAATATTCAAGTAAATACGTCAACACCACAACCAATACGACAAACAACCACAAGACCAGCAACGAACAGCGGCACTGGTGACGCTCGAAATGACGGCCAGGTATTGCAAGAAGCCGTGAATTCAATAGCCCACAGCCTGAAGGATGAATTACGGAAGGTCCAGCTGGAGAAAGAACGTCTCAAGGAAGGATTGTTGAAAACGAAGAATCAACTCGTCGCTGAACTCATTCGCACAAAGGAGCAAATTTCCAAAGAGCTGCAAGTAACATTTCAGCAAATCCATCAATCCCAGAACAATCCCCCAAGGCTACAAGAGGTATCGCAGCCGCTTGAAGAGTTTGGAGAGCCTCAGACTAATGAGCGTGAGCGTCTGCAACAGACGAGTAATGACCAGCCGGAAGAGGGTCAGATTGATGAGTGTGTTGAACCAAGTCTCCCTAGCCAGGCGATTTCGAAACCTCATGACAATCAAGACATTGCCCATATCCATAATCAAATGGAGAGGACCAAGACACGCAGATCAGGGCCTTCTCTCAAGCGGAAGACAATAGGGCTGGGCGAGACCGGCAAGGTGTTTTCTGCAGTTGTATTTTACAATCCTACGCATTGCGAGATGGAAGCCGCCATGTATCTTCCTCCAGGTCAGCCTATGCCAGATCTCAACCAGTTGGTATTGGTCCTTTTCGAAACTTGCTCGCTATAATGACTGACAATGAAATAGTTCCGAGACTTGGCTGGCGGCCGCATTTCTGCATCGCAGCAACCTCGTACTATACAGACAGAATGTCTATCTGGCAGGCCCATGAAGCGCAGTAAAATCTCAGGCCGAGCTGTGCCGAGAATACATCTAGAACAACCGCTAAATGACAATCCCGAAAACGAGCAGCAAGGAAAGCAATTTAGTTCGGCAGATAGTTTTGTCAACGAGAAGAACTCAGTAGATGAGACGCCAATGCCTCGTAACTTGGAGATTGGCCCAGTTGCACTGTATCCGAACGAATCTGCCTCACCAAATCATCAACAGTTTAGGGACGTCATCTGTCAGGCAGGAGCTAACCTAACGGCAGGATCTCTAGAACCTTCTAGTCCTAAGAGGTACAACTATGACACTGCGGCAGAGATCACACTAGCAAGGGCTGCTAATCGAGCGCGGCCAAAGCCAGCGCCGGCGGTGAGTTCCACACTTGTAACAGTCTCGAGGTTCGCTTGCACTGACATGGAGGGTAGAAGCACATAGCGTCGTGCCTAGGACCGGCTACCCAGAGGATTCCGGACATCGACCAGCCAATATACGATCGCATCAGCAAAGCTGTACTTAAACCTTTTGCCGTGGTAGATGAACCACTGGTTAACGATTCATGGCAACTGCAGAAGCATAGAGATATCATAAGAGATTACACAGACGTACATCCCGACGAAAAGGAGTACATATATGTATGGGACGCTTTTGCCCAAGCGCATAAAGCAAATAACGCGCCATACTTTGATGATATATATCTGGAGTTCATCGAGGAGAAGGCTTCATGGCTGGTTGCCTTGCAAACCCGCACCAATGAAGCCATGAAGCACTTGCTCTACTTGAATGCGAGAGACGCGCTAAACAAAAGCACGGTTAGCAACGCCCTGAGCATTCTGAGAAATGCGAGGTCCCAAGCCCGTCCTGCGCTAGTTGAGGCCGAAAGTGCCTGTGCGGGATCTGACACTTATTTCTCGAAATCTGGATGCGCAATTTGTGGTCAACCATTTGCAGGCCCACGTCAAGTCATATGCGCAAATTTGGTGAGCAGCTCCGTACGTACATTAACGTATCAACATTATTGACGGCCATGCAGGACTGTGACGATCCGTTCTACCATGACGATTGTGTAAGAAATAAGGCAAAAATGCCAGTGGACAGTCGTGATTGGCGATGTAATGGATGCTGTGAGGTACCAGCATCATAATATGAGCTCCTAATTAATAACAAACACCGAAGCATCATGCACAATAGTTGTACGATGGTCGAAGACAGCATATACATTTCGCATCTTTGTGATGTACAGAACGTTCTTCATGGACGACGACACTACCACAAGCACTAAATCATAGCCGTCGATCAGCTCTTCGTAGACCGATTCAACAGCTCCCTTACAAATGCATTCATTTCCCGTCCTCGGTCTTTCGGTAAATCTACAACAGATCACACTCAGAGCCTATCTCCTGTAAAAACACACGGCAGTCTTGCTTTCACATCCATATCTTTGATATTTGCAGCGTCATCTATCTCTGCTGGTGCCAAGATCATCGTTTTCGCGAAATAGACAACTGCAAGAGCCGTTGCGAATGCAGATGATTCATCCGCGGCTCTTGACGCTCAGTTGTCTACCACCATTGTTGGGCAAAATCACTGGAACCAAGTGACGTTCATATCCACAATCGAAACTCTTGCTAGGATGCCAACTCGTCCGAAGTCGACTCTTTTGTCACAGCCCTGTCGTCACAGCTTTGTCGTCATTTTTGCTAACTGTAAATATTTCCTAGGTCGAGATACAGTCATTCACGCAACCTTCCTGTGACCTCAAATTCCTTCCTTTCCCCTCTTATCATTTTGGTCCCATGCAACCAGCAAGACTTGCTCCTATCATTCTTCGATGCCAGCATACACCCATTCCGATCTAAAAACCGTGTTTCAATATTCTTCCCTCATTCACTCTTGGTAGTGACACTGACTAGACCATACTATCTCTGCGTCTGTACGTATATCGTCGAAAAGAAAACTTTGAACTGACTATCGCAGCCACCGAGTCATCTCAATCTACTCAGTATTTCCCAACTTGCCAAATCTGCCATCGTCGAAGCCTGGCAAGCAATGCTCCTCCTCTACCTCAAAGACCATCAACGAAACCATAACACACAAATACCACGCCGGCTACCTGCTGTCATTATTTGACAAGACATCAGCGTTGTATCAGCGTGCCTTGTGTCTCGTCGACAATTGGGCACAAACCAAAGCTAACCGAACAAAGAAACTTGGTCATTGACCTAACGTATGATTAGGGACAGAAATACACCAGTTTCAGATAAGACACTTCCTATAAGCATTCATGCTACCTGTGCTTATCTGCTAACAGGAGATCGAACCGCTGATTTTTGTCTTCCTCTAATATTTCTAGTATTAACCTGCAAACTGGGCATGTCATCCGAACAATTTTTAGAGTTGATTGAGTTGCATATAGTTCCAGTGTCTAATGCTAAACCGCCATTTCGGTCTTCAGCTGAGTGGAGCCTGCCATGACGCTCGCACTAATACTGGAAAGCCTGGACCTTTCTCATCGACTTTTGTCTTCTCAGACATCGTCCCAATACGCTTCAACTAATTCCTCGTCCTCCGAACGGACATTCTTTTCCTCTTCCCAATTCTCGTATACATCACACTGTCCGAGTCCGATTGCCTCGCGCCGTACTAGAAAGAAACAAGTGTCACCTTGCCATTTCGACGACAGGATTTGAGTGATAGGAAGATGGGTTTGTTGAATCTCCATATATTCTGAGCGGCCTTGTTGCAACTCTGAACCAATGGGACCGGAGACATTTGCTGGATCTGTACTTCTTGCCTCCCCAGTCGGTTGCAGCATCGGTGGAGCATGTCGACTCAAGCAAGTTACCGATGTTTCGTTTCCCAAAATGTTGGGATGCGATGACGTAGACGTCGAGGATTCTAAGCTGCTCAGATTATCCAGTTGTTGCTCACGCTCATAGGACTCCTGGAGTCGCGGTTGACTCTGAAGAACTTTTGTGGCAGCTCGCGTCAGGTGTTTCCTGCGCTGTGCGGACGACTTTGCCGGGTCTTTTGTTTGTAAAGTACGTGGTTGCGATGATGCAGAGGCATGGCCGCCAACTAATTTCTCAAACTGATCTACCATTAGTAACTCCGACAAAGAATAGGAGACAGCCTTTACCAAGTCCTTGAGATCTGGCAAGGCCTGACCTGCAGGCAGATACATAGCAGCTTCCATTTCACAAGACGTAGGATCGTAATAGACGACTGCAGAAAAGACCTTGCCCTTCTTGCCTAGACTTATCGTCTTGCGTTTTAGGGAAGGTCCTGATCGGCGTGCCTTGACCTTTTCCGTTCTGTTATGTATGTGGACGATATCCTGTCCATCAACCCCTGCCGGCGGTTGAAATGAAAAGTTTTCTTGGGCGCTTTGATATCCGTCGCTGTCTTCTGGAGCTTCGTCATGCACCGGTTTCTGGCCCTGGGTAGTGTCTATCCCCAGCTTTGCTGGGTCCCTATGGATATCGAGAGGGTCCGGGGAGTCGTCTTGGAATCTGCTCACGCCTGTCAAAGTCCAGTTTAAATCTGCCAAGATCTGGGCCTTGGTGCTGACAAGCTCAGCAACAAGTTGGTTCTTCGTCTCTAGTAATTCTTTCTCGAGCTTGTCTTTGTAGAGTTGAAGTGTTTGCAATTCCGTTACTAGATCACAGACGAGCGGGTTCAAGACGTCTTGCGACATTTTATAGTGTTCAAATGTTATTTGTGTTGGTGAGAGGCATTCGCTTAATGCTCAAGGATGAGTCTTCTTGAAGTGTTGCTGTCAGTAACCGAGTTCCGGTTATGTCAAGATCGTGTCCTGGGCATTGCGAAGACAGGGGAATTCAGGTAGTAACCCACTAATCTAAGTCGCTCTAGCATGCTGGGTCCACATGGTCCGAAATACTAGCGTAAAAAATATTGCAGTGCTACCTTGACGGTACCCGTAATGGTCTGTCATAACAATTAAGATCTATTTTGAAGGACAAGAAAAGGTGTTTAGCTTCCACACTGATCAAAAATAGCAACAAAAAAAGGTGCTAAGGCTTCATTGTGCAGACCTCTGAGGTGGTCACCAATGCGTTAAGGAATCTCGGTCTTTCCACAAGAAATAATGTTTGCGGGTTGACGGCTAGTGATTAGTTCGTGCGTGAACATTCTTCTGACTCGGCTTTCGCAGCATGTAGAATCGAACTGGCATCATTCACCACTAACTCCAGGATGCAGTGTCGTGCATTGCGACAGAGATTCACGCTCATCGCAACCGTATTCGAGTCACGTGATCGTCCTTAATTTCAAGCGTTTTTGTACAGAAGTTTAGGGTATCCCCCTTTGCTCAAAGGTCGAATGCCACACATGACATAACTTTATCCTGACTGGACTCACTGATCCCGAAGCGGCTCATCAATTGGTTGAGACTTTCCGGACGAGGGCCGATGGTTATGATTGTGTATCACGCCGCCCTTATTGTCCTCCATTGTTGCGCATTACTTGGAGACAACATGCACCAGTCAGATGCCATATCCATCTCCACCTTCTACTCCAGACGATCGCTCCAATAATCAGGTTCGAATCGATCGGTACAGTTTTCGAAGTCATTCATCCGTTCGGTATCAATCGGTAGGCTTGTGAAGCGATCGGAATTGGTATAGGTGACCTGACCAAAATGGTCGCCATCCCTGCTTGTAATGGTATGATGACTGAGGACTGGGGATTCAGGAATGCGATAGCTTTCGGCGCTGTTCATGGACTATGTTCAGCCTGACCTCTAATGTCGGTTCTTACCAACCAGGCTTCCACTGAAAAGGGATCAGAAAGGGGCGTCGTAGAGAGCGACCAAAGTGTATTCGCAGCAGATCTCGTCACAGACTCAATTGCTCGTTCTTGCGACACATCTTGGACCATGACATGTACAGCTTTCGTCGCTCGCTGCAGGTTTGTCATTTTAGAGCCGCATCTGGCTCGTCGCTGTTGTGTCTGTGACAAACCGGGGGTGTATACTGTGAGGCACGAAAACAAGTCTCAAGTTCCCCGGCAGATTGTGGAGACAGCCCCGAGTAGCCGATTTCGTCCCTTTCACAATCGTGTCCTCGACCCTCCTCCGGTGGTGCCCGCTATTGCACCAATACGGAGCTGTTTCTGCTCCATAAAAACATGAATCAGAATGACCGCATCCAAAATGAGCCAAGGGACATTGTTCAACAGATGATATACAGTATGCAATATGTAGTTTTCCGGTATGCTCATTCTTGGGCGGTCGACAGCATGGACCCATGGTGGGCGTGTACCGTACTTTGACCTAGTGGTGGCGGTTTCTGGGAGGGTCAGTTCTGCCGCGTGGGGCTTGTCGCGCTATTTTCGACTCGACCTACTTGGGTATAGTGCTGATCACTATCGGTCGCGTCAGTGCTCGAGTCATTTTTTTTTCTGATACCAGAACAACAACCCGTACGATGTGCTCCTCTTCTGTAATCACTATCGAATATGGACTTGCTCGAAAGTGACCATGGACGAAAGCATGATTCAAAACTAGGCCTATCTAGCCGCACAAACGAATCGCGACAATCCAGTTGTGACCGGACGAGAAGAAGCGCATCCAACTCATCGGACGAGTCTACAATAACGGCGCGCAACCCCTTCAGTTTTCATGTCATGACTGGACATGATTTTCACCCTTGTCTCTGGCATGTCCAAAGCTGACCTCAGATGCTATTTTTGGTCCTCTTCGCCATACAGTCCCCAGTTTTCGTCGGACGAGTATTGTATTGGCGATGCCGCTACAGCAGGGATGTTGGTGTGTCATTTGCAGCAGAATTTACAAGGCAGATACGCTCAAACTCGAAAACGGAGCGAGTCTTTTATGAGTGTTGGATGGTAACATAGTGCACATAGAGTCCTCTACTATATGACCTTATATGCACCAGATGGTCCTTCCTGTTCAATAGATACCGAATCGTACATGATCCATGCGTTGGTCTGTATGCTCGCGAGTCGAGTTCCGCAGAGGCTCGGACACTCACACTGCCTTCGCCAACTTATCAAGAGCAGAGTGAAGCTCAAGTTATTCATACAGCCCCTAAACGATCATCCCATCCGACTGACGAGTCCTTGATGGATTCCACCACTAAAACAGAGCTGGAGTCTTGGGTGATGAAGCTGAACGAGATCTTCGAGCCAGAACAGGAATAGTTCATGGTCCCTGCCCTGTTCCTAGAGGACGCGTCCAGTTCGTCTGTGTCACTGAGAGTCCCACGCAAAGACAACATGATGTACATTACACACGCGCTACTTTTCCATCAGACCTGCATTACACCACATCCATGCTCGTAACATCATCATTTTCTATACCGACCGAGCCATACAGAGCAGAATCATAGCAGCTAATCATCGCACGCAAGACGTCAGATTTGTACCACTAGCCCTGATTTTCCCACGGTTCTGCTTTGATGACTTCCGCAGCCAGCTGTAAATAGGCTATAGCACGCGAGATACGGACTACGGCTTCTCGAACTGCCAAACACTGTGGATTTTCTCCAGCAAAACTCCTAAGATTTTCCAAAAGGGCAAGCGTATCAGTGATACGTGCGCGGATCCTTTCATTGGCAGCGGGACTTGTAGTTGCTCCTACAATGTAAGTTCTTCATGAAGTTATGGTATTCCATTGCCATGACCTGGATTTGCGTAATTGTCGCGTTGCCTCTGCTAGCGGCACCTATCGAGACTGGGAATTGTGGTATGGGAACAGTGAAAGGAACACACTCCACTAGAACGGATTTGATGCTTTTGTCTTTGCTATGGATGATCTTGTTCTCGTGCTCTGATAAAGGCTGGAGAAGCTGAGACAATAAACGGCGCCAGTGGACACTGTCTGCTCTATTAGGCGGAGATTTACCAACCGCCAAGTGAAACGAGAATATCAAAATGTTGAGGCCGCAGTCGAAATCGTTTGTCTGACACCAAGGTGCAGTGACTGAGATATTGGCGTTGTTGCAATCTCCAAAGGATTTCTTGTACCACTTTAGAATCTTTTCTCGACACTTCCTTGATCATCTAGGAGTGGATAAGAGTCGTAGACATCAATCTCTTCACGAAACTCTTTGATATGTGCCAATACCCAGTGTTCTGTTTTTGGAAGATGAATTAGAACAAGGATTCGTGCAGACCCAAAGTCTGTTGTGACATGGTCTGATGCATCAACAGACAAGGAATCCACAGATCGAAGTCGTTCACATCCCACGGCTTGTTGCAAAACTTGCAAGACAGCACAAATCACGGCATCGTCGAGTTTCCCCTGAGAGTCTTCGACCCTGCTGAGCGACGTTTTTGGTATCGAAAATAAAGGTCGCAATGAACAAATGGCGGAAGCCTCCCTGTCGGGGACTTCACCATCCGACAACTCGATAGCAAGAATTGGCGAGGTCTGGCGTTCCATTGCGTGCTCTTCAAACATGTCATGGTAGAGATTGTGTGCCTGATTTGCATGACTGCTCAATTCCTGCTGGGACTGGTTGTCCTCTTCATCGTGGTCGTCACTGAGATGTACTTCGATCGTGTCGCTTGGACTGAACGGTTGTTGTGGTTGTTCTGCTTGCAACGGTTAGCACTAGGTTTGTACAATTGATTTTTTTAATTTAAAAATTGAACGGACGGTCTTCGATCACAGGCACCACAGTTTCGGGCCGCACGCGCTTCGGGCTTTTGGTGATCGGAGATAGCGCGCGTTCTCTCTTCCGCCTAGCTCTGCCTTTCATCGGTGTGCCGTTGTCCGTTGGTTCTGTGTGTTTACTAGTGAGCGCTGTAAGTTCGGAAAGTTGTCTAGTCCGATCTTTGTGAATGTGGAGATCGTAATCAGCCAATTCGCGTTGCAACTCTGTCATTTTCGTCTGTGTTGTCATCTTTGGTACACTAGCAGAGGATCGTTGTGGAGAATAATCGGGCATGTTTAAGGTGTAAATTGATCTCGTGGAGTACGAATAGCCACATGCAAGCCACCACAGCCACACGCCAAGTGACGTCTAGAAATCAGTTTTCCAGAATCTGCTGTGGTCCACGACGACTCTCGAGCGACGAAATGAAAAAGGCATTGTTTCAACAGTTGTTGCTGGTACTGGTGCCAACTGGTCGAGCTCATGTGGAGCTTGTCGCCATTTTCGGCACGCCCCATTCATTTAGGGATAATTTTGGCCACTGTCGGTCGCGTCCAGCGCGCGCAACTACTAGCAGCAACGGCCCAAACAATGCCTTTGTCCTCTTGAGTGCTATCCAAACTGGACTTGGTCGGAATGTTGTCATGACCGAAAGAAGACTCTGGGATACCAACTCCCAGACCTGACCCCGCCGCCGATTAGGCTCAATACTGAACACTGCTTGGCATTGTTGATTCGAAAGCTGGCGCAAAATGGCTGTACGAAGCATGATGGTTAAATGTCCAGAAGTAGTCTCCCATCAAGCAAACGAACGAACGAACGAACATGTATCCTCGCCATCGGGGTACTGCCAGAACCGATTGGCGTGAATCCCCGCGGCCCAGTCCACCGTTACTTGTAGACTATAATAACACTCTTTCGTAACAATGGTGATGAGGTTATGTTCATCGTCGCCAGAGGCTTGTTCCTTGTCATATGACAAATAGCACATCCTAGAGCGCCGATCATGTGAGCTTACTGTTTGGCTTTCTGTGTCTTCCACGTCTTTCGTCTCTTCCATGAGATCGATTAGGCTGACAGCGAACTTACATTAGCCGACAACCGTGGTAAGTCCATGATACGTGAAGCTACGCGGTGCGTTGCCATGAGATTGGTGCATGGACGAGGACGGGCACCACAAAGTTAGCCACCCGTCTGCCATGTTTGAAGCTGACGTCTTGAGTTTAATACGGATCAGGGGCTGCCCAAAGCCTCCTACTAGCACTGACAAAGAAAACCACAAATCACATGTGCGTGTCTCCGTTCTTTGAATATCAATGCTCTAGTGGTATTCGAAATGATTATTTGAGCATATAATAACTTCACAAGTTATCGAGAGCCAAGATCAAAGCATATGTCAGCACAATCATAGTGTCTCCGTCATTCAGAGAGCTCGCCAAGACCGAGAGGGACAACCACAAGAAGACATTCCCGGACCATACATATTCCAGGTGGAGAGCAAAAGGCCGCTATGCGAGATCCACAAGCAAGATATAAATATATTGACAGTCAAATACCGTTCTCTTCGTCTACCGTCACTTGTTCATTGTTGACCAGCAAAAGTGAGATGGTGGAGTGCTGATTCATTCGCTTATCTATATGTACTGCGGATCAAGTCAAACCCAATTCATGAATCCCCTTGTCGAAAGACGCCATTTACTATATACGGCCACTCGGACACGCCATGATGATGCTGTTGAGAGGTGTTTCCAAAGTTGATTTGAGGTAATTGTGGCAAAAGAAGACCATCTGTTGGGCTCGCCCAAGCCCTGTTGCACGGCATGGAACCACCCATGTCCGCTGGATTGAACAGCGACGGTGGGTTGAGAAGTTGCAGTTCGGTGGAGGTTGTGAGACCGCTATGATCGACACATGAAATAGAGCCTTGAGACAACGACCCATTCGTAACTCTATTCGCCACTACAAACCGATTCGTTTGCTCGAAATATAAGTCTGGAATCCTCAAAGGAGCAGTGCGTTCCAACACGTTCCATGCTCCATCTGTCTCTTGCTGGATTTCTCCAGCAACTTGTAGATTTGTTTGACGAGCTTGCCGTTCTGCTCCTAGTTCGGCTAAGCCCGTCTCATCTTGGGGTAAAGGAGTGTGAACGGACAAAGGAGATCCGGGTCGAACACATCCAAGTAGAGTGGCGATATTGTGAACAAGGGGTCGGCCTTGATCGTTGATTTCCGGCTCGCCGAGATCCCACGACTTTCCATTTCTCACCATGGAATAGAGTTCATGAATTGTGTTGACTAAGGTGAGTTGACTGTTTTCCAAAGCTTCGGCGTAGCTGTTTACACGCTAGTCAGAGTTCGCGCTTCAACGAGCTGGCTGCCCACTTACCCTGCAGGTACTTGTTTGTACTTGGTCGTGTTCGGTCTTGATGTCACACACATATAGTTGTGGTCCTTGCACTTCTTGCAAGGTAAAGTTCCATCACATCTGGTCTTATTTTGCCTGCACTTCTCACAAGCTCTCTGGATTCTGCTCTTCCGGGTATAAGGGTATGGCTTTTCTTGTTCGGAATATTGTTGCGTTGTTGTCTTTCCAGTAGTCATAAGCGAAGAAGTAGTTGTTTTCATCTTCGTACTTTTGGAAGATGAATTGCAAAGGGATTTCTGACAGCTCGTGATGAACTTGTAATGTCAGGGAACCTTCAAGTAATAGAAGAAAAGCCGTTGTCCGCCCGCACTTACTAAAAGACATTGTGGTTCATATATAGTAGTACCTGGTATTAAAAAGGAGCCGCAACACGGACGTTGCCAATTGCCATATGAGACTCAGGAACGACTTTTGTGGTAATAGAACACTGTTGTGTAACAAGGTCAAGATCGCGCTCGTAATCTGTCTCGGAGCCATTCTTGTATCCATGCTCAGGTGCACGACACATAAGTTGTGCCGACCCACACGGATGCAGTCCAGTAATGCATCATGGTGGGTCCAAATTCTGCACTGGTCGCTACGCCTGTATCTCCCTCGAGCTCATGTCGCTACAACTTACTCATAGTTTCATCATATCATACCGTTTAATATGCCGATGCATCAGATTTGGGACAACCAGCAGCACAAGACGCATATCTGCACCTTCCGCCCGCCGTGTCAACCTCGTGCCTCTTCGTCTGAACCCTACTGCTGCCTGCCTGTTGTTATTCATCAGAAGGAACACTACAACTCCAAATGTCTCGCATTATTACCTTTGGTTCTCTGGCGGTGAAGCGTCGAAAGTAAGAGAACAATCTTGCTTCACCAAATTGGATGCTCAGCAAACAAGAACTGGCCTCGGAGTATTGAAGTGTACACTCTATAATTATGGCCTGTGTCCGCAATGGGAGGGGGTGTGGAAGTGGTTCATCAAGAATGTCAATGGTGTACCCACAGCTGCTAGACGTGACAAAACAATCTCCACGTAATGGGCAAGGATTTATTCACCATAAGGGTCATGATTTTGAGCTATCCGGAACAGGTAATGCAATTCGAGATTGGGAAAAGCCTAGACTGACTGTTCTCAGTCTGAATGTGCGTTTATCGCTGCAAGAGCATGCCCCGTGCACCATAAGCCGTTTCTGGCTCACTACGATAAATACTTGCCTCAATACACAGTTCCGGATCAGTGACGGGCGAAAATGAGAATAAAAGCTAACCTAGTATGGCAATGAAATGCCGTATCCAGCAATGAGATCCGCGTTCTGATTAGATGGCGGAGTTAAAAGCACTTTTGCCCGCTGGACCCACTTGGCCTCCGAACTACGATCTGGTCGTCATTTGGGGTATGAATCCACTTTGGCCACTCCTGATCGCCCTTGACCTTTTTGACCTCCTGAATCTCTAATAGTGTCATACAGTACTTGAGTAAGTGGAGCAAAATTCAATTTTGCCTTCCGGAAACTGCATATAGCAGAACTACCTATTTGTTGGTTGCGAGCCCTGAAAGCGGTTGGCTTGCGGGCCAAGAAACGGTTTGTCCGCCCTACCAGGAGTCCGTTCTTTCATTTTGACCGGGGGCTCAAAATCGGCTAGCCCAGCTTGAGTATTGGCACCACCTTTCGCGAGGTCAAGTCTGTGACGAATTTCGTACCTGATAATAAGCACACCAGTTGCATGTGGACAAACATAGACAAAAAGAGACAGAGGCGGCTTATTGCGTAGACATGATTGAGGAAAGCTGGGGGCCGTGGGAGAAGGACATAATGCAACCAAATCTCGTGTCGACCCCCAGTCACTGTGTGATGGTACGTGGAGAAGATAAGAAGGATGCAATCAATTGAGCGCGGAGCTGTGTGTTTATGGCCACCAATGGCATGAGCAGTCACGAGCAGCCATGCACAAATCCCTGGTGTCTCCACTATTACGATGCAGTGCTCTTGAATTGGCATAAGAAGACGCTCGGCTGCCCTGGCATTCTTCCCTTAGCTTACCAGACTGTCGGGTCACAGCTGGCGATGAGAGCAAACAACGAATGGACGACCAAGCCGCCAACCACCGACCAGCTATGCAGCCCCACCAATGACAAACTCGTCTCCAGCCTCACAGGTTCAGTAAGTTAATACTAGAAGATTGGGATACTGCATCACCATCTGTCCGCGCGTGTCGGACTCTTTGGACCAGAAAAGATGTTATCTTCGAAACGAACGCGCCTTGACGCAAGTACAATTTCTGTTGCCCAAACAGTCAACTCATGGCTTAAAGCAGTGTTTCTGGACGACTACGCCAGATGACTAAAGCAGGTTGAAAATGGAGCTGGAATTGTGGACGAGAGATCATGCCAAGCCTTGGCAAGTAGATGACAATCTACCTGATCTATCTATATCTACATGTAGACTACATCTACAGTATCTATCTACCTGCCCATTCATGACTAAGCATCTATATCTATCTATTGAAGGTTTTGGTAGATAGATATAGATAAATTCTCCACCCTGTTTGTGTCATTATGTACATGCCTAGGAATCTTTATCATAAAGTCTCGTTGCCATCAAAGTACACATAACGACCTGCGCGGGACCCCGCAGAGCTGCCGGCCCTCGTGACTTGGACAAGAACGGGTGCCGTTGAAGGTTAGTCTTTATTCGATATTACCTTCGCCTGGAAGACTCACGCTGGAAGGAGGCAACTCCCTGTCCAATGTGATCGCCAATACGAGTGACCGTCTCCCGCCTATCTAAGCGAGGCGAAAGAGAAAATAAAGTCTTGTTAGACCGTACTTGTCGTGTCAGACAGAGAGTCGTGGCAACATGAGCATTAGTGTATCCAGGTTTCCTAGAATGGGAGGCTTGCATTAAAAGCAAAGACATACTTGGAAGCATTAAAGAGAAGGAAAGAGTTATAGAGAAAATCAAGGATATTCTGCAGGATTGGACACGTACGTGTTGACAAGTATCTGACGATACTTTCACGACAAATTAATGAGTAGAAGTATCTTTTGTTGTTGTGAGGATGAACGATTGACAGGGCCGGGTGAAGCTCGGCATAACTCCAATGTAGCTGCCTAGCAACGTTTCATTGATTTACTTCCAACTGCACTAATTAGCGTCAAATGATTATGACGAGAGAAAGGCATCTAAATAAACACGATAGACTTTGTTTCATTCAGTAACTTCAATGGCATTCGCAACTACAAACAACTCGATATGATTACGTCCCAGACAAATGACCTTCGAGACGTGTCGAAGAGGCTGAGCGGCGCGCTGACAAGGCCGAACGTGAACAACGCGACGAGAAGCGACGTGTTGATGAAGCGAGCGTGCACGACGCGATGAGAAGCGACATACTGACGAGCCAAACGTGAACAACGCGACGAGAAGCGACGTGCTGATGAAGCCGTGAACGACGCGATGCCGAGAATCGAGAGCGCGATGAGAAGCGACGTGCCGATGAAGCCGAGAAACGACAACAAGAGGCTGAACTGTTGACGCGAAGGACAACTTCGGACGAATACATTGCCCGACTTTCTCGAGCAGCAGCGAACCACTCTAGGGGCCCTCTACGGCACCTTCCCGGTCTCTGATCGGCGTTTCGAGTCTCGGGCTTTTTGACGGGCCTCGGCCAGCGGATTGCCGAGCGACCGATATCTTGCGAAAAGACCTCGAATATTTCCTGCACAACAGCGTCGAAGATCCAGTGCGAGAGATTTTCGATCAATTGCGGGACGTGGACCAAGTGCGGCACGAGTTCGGGATCGGTAACGGCATTGTCTTTGAGAACCACCCAATGTGATCAGCGATGTTGCGGAGAAGGTTGTCGACCGGCAGGCCTCATCGATACCACCACAGACGCCCGATCAAGGGGAAGATCCGGGATGCATCTGGCCCAACCAGATATGCGTATACCGGTTTGACGACGAGCTCTCCACACGGCGTACCATGCTGTATGTGTCCGAATACAAGGCCCCGCACAAGCGGACCGCTCCACACCTGCGCGTCGGTCTGCATCCCATGGATATCTTCAAAGACGTGGTCAATCGGAAAACAATACCTGCCGCGGCCGATCCCGACGGTCGATTCCAGTATCATGCCGAGAGGCTCACCGCTGCGGCTATCACACAGACCTACAACTACATGATCGAAGGGGGTCTCGAATACGGGTTGCTGACTACTGGCGAGACCAAAAGCGGGCTCTGCTAGATGGTACAAGAGTGTGCCGGGTTCTTGCCAGTCTACTCGCAAGAATACAATGAGGTGGCAGCGCAATCGGGGGAACACCACGCTTGCACCGCAGTTGGCCAGTACCTGGCATTCAGCCTGATGGCTCTCGGCCCGCCAGGGAACCCACCCAATGTTCGATCGCAGGATGAGCGGCAGCGAGTGATCTTGGGGCTGAGGCGATGGGCAGAGGACTTGGAGACGACATTGCGATATATTCCCCGAGACGAGCGATACGCTCCGAGCGGCTCAAGCTCCGGCTCGCTGTATGCGCCGACGACTTATGCAGGCATCAGCCGGTCACCGCGCGTGCCTCGAACAAGACCCAGTTGGGCTCAGGAAGAGGACCGTCCAGATGTGCAGCCAAGATGTAGGGACCGGGACGACGAGTCTTCGTCGGATAAGTCCTCGGCTCCGATGCCGGACACCCCGACACCGTCTGAGCCGCGGTCGAGTAGTCAGAGCCAAGGCCCACGGCGCAGCCAGCGCATTCTGGGCCGAGCGCCACGCGAGGAAACTTCACAAGAGCGACAGTACTGCACACAGCGATGTCTTCTAGGACTGGTCAGAAGAGGTCGGCTTGATGCATAGTGTCCCAACGTTCTCTTGCACCGGCAGGCTAACTGACGCTGGACGCCCAGGCACGGTACGGCTTGTGCGTCGAAGGGATTCACTTCATAGTCGGCTCTGCGCCGCAATCAGGCTCTGGTCGTCGAACCGCAACGAAGATATCGTTGAGCGGGCGGCGCGGCTTCGCGGCCAATCTTCCATTGAGCCTTACGGCGCGCCGTATGGAAGGTATCTGACTGTCGTCGTCCTCGGGCTTAGCGGCCAAGCGCCGGGCAAGACGTCGGAAGCAGTCCGCAAGCCGGCTTGATGTTTGGTGGGGATGTATGAACTTGGCTGTAGCACGTCCTAGACCTTCCGCCAAGGCGCGTGGGTGGTGGTGGCTCTTGCACCATTGTTGAATCCAAAGCTGGCCCTCAATGGCCCTCCGAAACGATGCCACCCAACCCCCAGAAGCCATCTCTTGTCGAACGAACGAAAGGTACGAAACCAACGAAGCGGACGCAGGCGCATATAGTCACAACGACATCTAAGTGCTCGCATTACTGAGGGAGCACAAATGTTACGGCTATCGATCTGGCCAACCACATGCGGCACCCATTTGATTTCTACAGAATGAGGTTGAACAAAAACACATGAGCTTGCGAAAGGCAGCTTATGGACATTTCAATTGTATGCACTATGTAGATATTCTATGTAGGCCATGGACCAAGATCCAGGAATTGCGTCTCTGCATCGGCTCTGCTCCGTTTGGAGCAGGTTCGTAGCTGGCACCACGTACAGGTTGCAGAATCCGTCTTTGCCGACCTCATCCCAGCGATTATGTCCGGGGGAAGCGGTTGGTAACGCTGACCTGCCACAACGGAGTTCATCCCAGCAATTATGTCCGGGGGAAGCGGGTGGTAACGCTGACCTGCCACAGCGGAGTTCATCTTAGAATGTGATTGCTTTCGAAGGATGCGTCGTTTCTAAACTAGAGACCTTTTCTTCTCGGCAAGGTTGGGCGATGCGCAGATGTAACTACAACCGCTGTGTATCCACTTTCTTCAATAATCTCCAATGTCTGTCAGTTTCCACTAATAAATATGCTTTCATTAGGACATGCCAGTAGCGTGACCATGTCCTCGTGCCTGATAACCATGGACTTCCTGCACATCTTATCACGTCCGACGTACCTGCACTCACTTTCATCCCAAAACACCTGTACGGGAAACCCATCTCCATGTGGCCGCACCCAAACGGAGACCCAGGGCAGACTTGCCAATACGCAGCTCCCAAGTTCCTCCAGAGTCCAAAGCTCACCATTCTCACTAGACCACTGCTGGCTTCGACGTTTCCAGTGAAAAACATTTTGGAGGTCAGCCACCCTGAACTCTATCGTTTCCATATGAACATGAACGTTGCACCAAGCCCTCTTCTTTGGCTTGTTCTTTGGCTTGTTCTCGGCGGCAGTCTTCCGTCGCTTTGCTCTGTCGTTCTCTGACGTGCTCTCGTCGATTACGTCGTCGACACCCCTCTTGGCAGCAGTGATGCTGCTTTGAAAACGTTGAGTCTGTCCATTTCCGTCACCATTCGAACTGCCATGAGAGTTGTCGACACAAAGGTTGTTGCCAACAATATTCGAGCCAACACCTGGCTTTAGACAAGATGTAAACTCTGCCGGCTGGTCGCCACTGCTTTTGAGGGACGAATGCCCGTTGTTGCTCACGTCCGGGCTGTCGACCGACCCGGTACAATCCTGTTCCAGCATGGGCGGTGGCCAGTGCGTGACGATATCGGTATTCGGCAGGGAATCGAATAAATATGCTTCCAAGTCGAAAAAGAGCTCTGGAGTCTGATCAATCCTCCATGGCAAATAGGGGCTCGCAGCCTCTTCTGCCCCAAACATGCTGCCACTGTGTTGTGGATATGTTGTCTCGTCGACCGCTGTCATAGTCTTTTCCTCGGTTGCGCTGAAGTCAATCCAATAGACAGGATCAAGCAAACCCGTATCCATGTTATTGTTGTTGTTTTTGTTGTTGTTGCTGCTGCTGTTGCTTGATGGAGAGGTGAAATGGGCGACAAGACGGAGATGCATGTCAAGTCGGCAGAGTTAGTGGAAAGAAGAAGAAAAGAACGAAGCCAGCGAGGAAAGGTCGGCGGCGTCCCATTTATATCCAGAGGGCCCTCCTCATTTTCAACCTTGCTAAGAGTCAAGCTCGGTGCACTGCTATGTTGCCCGTCTAGTTGCTGACCCGTCCTCCTTTGGATATGCTCCTCTTTGGCGCGAAGAGGTCGTGTCCACCCAAGAGAGCTCTCAGACGCGATTGGTCGTTTGTTTGTCTACCTGTCAGGTGAGTCGGTGGTAGAAAAGGCGTCATTGGCATGAATGCCTGTGGTGGAGCTGAGATGATCTGAAGTCACTGATGTGGTGCCATCAGCCGAAGTATTTTCCGACGGTCGCTGTGACCTAGATTGAGACGAAAGAGCCTTAGTCTCGCGTATTAGCCGGTGAGAGAAGATTGAAGAAGAATTGCCACCAGTGGTTGGAGATGAAGCTGATGGGATGGCCAGGAGGAGCCGACTGGTAGGGTTCGATGGCGCAGCTACAACGATTTTGCTATCCTTAGTCATTGTGACGGATACTCCCCAAGATGTGCATCGTGTTCGAGAAGAACAGTGACAGATATTGCAAACGAGATTGGTATCAACGCCGAGGACTGAGTCTGGATCGACTCTAAAGTATGCGACGTGAGCTCGACGAAATGGTTGGCAGCCAGAACTTCGCCAGAAAGCATAGAGGTAGTGGATTTGGTAGCTCATTAGTACTTAGCAGCATCATTGTTCACTTCATACAACTCGACATATTCTTCCGAAGCTTCCTTATACCCCGACATTAGCTACGCAGACTGTAGGCGATTGTAGAGCAGACCACGCCTCCGAGGAAAACTTCCGAGGTAATCCAGGACCACGTTTCCTCTTCGTCCCAGATATCGTAGAGAGCTGCTGATGTTTGGGAGCTGCTCGGAGGATAGCGCGGTCAGAGTCAATGAGCATGACACGACGGCACACCTGCGGACTGCAATTCCTTCCGTAACTTGATCTGAATATGTGTATTCGTGCCCAATGGCCCGCCATCAACGCTTACTACCGTTTGACGGACATCCCATCTGCTTCATTTGGCGCACAGCTTTTGATGGCTGCCATAAACTGGACCATGCAGACAACCGTGCAGTGCACTTCTCAGCATGCTCCTTTCCTTTCTCATACCAATATGGAGGGCGTCGTACCAACATCGGGGATAATGCAAGGAGAACACAAGGGAGTGGAAGACTTGTACATGTCTTGTTGGGATGGGAATGATTTTATGGATCTGGACTTCCTCAATTGAATCATATCTTTTTTTTTCCCTAGGATCCTTGTCTCCACTTGTAGCATCTCGTAGCTGCTCACTTCGTACTTTCACACAAAAACCCTGAAGAGTCACGCTCGCGCACGACTGGAAAACCGGACGCTCAGAATACGAGTAAGAATAGGGCGAGGATTTGCTTGACCAGGTACAAGAGCTGGTGACTTGGCGTGGCTCTGTATTCGTACATCATGTCGTATTTTTCGCCCATTTGTTGAATTCGATCAATAAGCTCACCGAATCGTTTATCGTAACAATTGGCTAACTTTTGATTCTTCCCACGTGCTAGTTGGATTACAGAAAAGTCACAAAGACCCTCGTCTGTGATAGATAACGCCGCTTCCCCTGCATTGATCCATCGTCGTCACGTGGTCCAATTATCAAGGTCCAATCATTTTCGTGACAGTCCCGGTGGGGGCTAGCGATTGGCTACCTACCCGCCGAACGGGTCCCCACTAAATATACCTGTCAGTGGTGTGTATAAGCTAGACTGTCCGCCACTTGTAAAGGCGATTTCGAAACGTAGGTTTGCACCATTGCCGTATCGCAGGATCGCACCTTCGCATCTTCGCACTTGTATTTCTTTCGCAACTTCGCGTTTTGCTAGAGGCGCATTTGACTTTCTGGTCAATTAGGAAAGAAGATGACCAGAAATCAGTATCTTCCCAGTTTTGGACACTTACCGTCATGTGGAGCTGTACCACATAGTCCGATCGGTACGGAAACGGATCGCAGACGGCTTGAACATCAACATCGGCCCATCTTTGGGCCAACAAAAGCAGTTGCTCGTACCAAACCGTTCTCCGCTACCCAGGTACGAATTCGGCCATGACCTTGATAGGATACTGTGCTGTACAGAACCGTATCACTTTTTGGTGCCTTGGACGAACGGCAGTACAGTAAAGTACTCATTGGTCAACTGGTTTGCTGGTACGGTAAGCAACACGTGGATGCTCTCTTCTTAGTTGTGCTGGTAGCGTGATGGGTTCATGGAAGGGTGTCCTTGGAGTCTTTGGTAGAGAACATTTTCCATCTTACGTTCTTCTTTTCCACCTTTCTTTCTATCTTCTCACTCTTTGCTTGCTTTGCTCTGCATCACCTCCATTCTCCCTTGTCGTCTTCATCATCGATGCGCATCCCCATGTCTAACTTTCCACAAAGTCCGGACCTCTTGACTTGGTCACCACACGATCCGGTCTCCGCCGGAACTGACGACGCTGACACCATTGCCAAGTCAATGTTCTACCATGAGTAATTCTCTTTACTCTTGTCACAAGTTGTTACAGCGGTGACAGTTATGCAGTACCGAGATCGTTATCAGACCTCTGCTCCGAAAGGTCAAAAGGATGTCGTTCAAGACCATGAACCAAACGAAACTTCTGAAGAGGAATATTAAAGAGTGAGTGCTCCTCTGTCCTTTCTCAGCGACCGAGTAGTAGCAACTGAATAAATGTTCCTGTTTTCCACAGGGTCAGAGCATTGTACGTATGAGATGTGCCGAGAACTAGCGTCAGTCGGCATTGGCTAAGATTACAACGATACCTACCAACCAGACGGGACAAGATTGTCGAATCGTAAGTCTGTGACCAGAACTTTCTGCTGAAACTCTACAAAATGACTGATGCGAAAGGGAAAAAGTGTTGAGAAGCAAAAGAGCTTGTTGGATGAATCGGCCGAGCTGTTGAGGCTGTTATACAGCTCTCACCCGGGAGAGCAAAACGACCCTTCCTACTAGCCTTATGATAGCGATGATTTGACACAATACGCAAATCCTGGTGCATTGCATTGTTTGTAAACTGACGGATGAAGCTGACCGATCCCACGCTGACCCCGGCTTCAGATTACCTCGATTTCCGGGTGGACTTGACCATGAGACCGAGGTAGGCAGGCCAACCTGTAAGGTGCTATCGTAGGTACATACGAAAGTATAAAAACTGAGCCAGTTCCATTCGAACAAACCCAAGTTCATCCTCCTCCACAGACCATTCTCTTCTTTTCCCAAACACGACAGTAATCTTCGTATGCTGCCTAATGAAGCCTTTTGTGGGAAGATAGCCATGATGGCTTCCGTTAAACAGGGGCTATGCATTAGCCTGATACGTAGTTCTATCAACGCCTCATTGAACCAGGACAATAAATGTGTATCTCAATTATTGGATCGTGGGTGGCTACAGGAAATAGGTAGACCTATGAGTAGTCGTCGTGCTGACGCGGGACCACAACCAAAACATGACCTTAAATATGTCCGGTCCGCATAGAACTTCAGTCTGATAGAGCACGAAAACGCAAACCAATGATACCTTGGACCTCTGCTCACCATCCCTCAAAACGCCGAACGCCGAAACGGAAGCCAGCGGAAGGAGATCGATGGCACTGCGTGGCCCATGCCATAGCTGACCCATAGTGAACCTTGCGCGTCATACTTCATCCTAAACTGTTCCATTTCGGCTAAGCCACAGTGCCTATCATGGATATGTCACTCGGTAGGACCGGCGCTTACATGTTGCCCTTGGCCAGTGGATGTTGATTAATCTTGTATATATCTGCTACGCACCGCCACCTAATTTTATTCATACTCGACAAACTATCCTCTATAAATCTTGTTCCTTACGACCTGACTTGTAGTCATGGCGGATTGTATGCCTATCGAAAGGAATCGGTCCAGTTCACTATTCCCAGAAACATCCGCGAACGATTGGAAATGGCGTCATTTTCCAAAAGATACTCAACAATACTTCACTGAAGAACAATTTCACTTTGTCGGCCAGATAAATAATGATCTGGATCAGTATGCGATAATGTCCTGCGACGAACCTTACAGTCTCTCAGACCAGAACGTGTCTGAACCATTTTGGCCAATACCATCATTTTTTCTACCAGAATTTCGGATCCAGGCAGTATTAGGGTTGCTCCGCCATGGGCGGAGGTTGGGCGAGCTCTACCGCAAGCATCCGATGTATCCCCATGTGGACGCTCAGATTGAAACAATGATGCTAGTGGATGATATCAGTGTAAGCTAACATTTGACCTGCAAGGCCAACACCTTACTAACAGCACTGGAGACATCACCTGAGCACGTTCGCAAGGAATTTACTCAGTACATGGTTCAGGCTGGTTTCCTAGTAGACCCTGTCATCGACAGTGACATAATACTCCTCGACGTAATGAACATCGAACAAGAGCTTGTTCGCCGCGCGTGGCAATGCATGGATATAACGTTGGAAGATTGCTCTCTGATCATTATGTTACGCGAGTTATTGGTAAAGTCGGGAGGGAGAACAGACAGCTGGATCAAGGGAAAGCATTACGATACCTGGTCTACTCCAGCAATGCGTCTGGCAATCCTCAGATCAGCGATTGGGATTTGTGGCTCAATTGAAGGTCGTGAGCTCGACAGGTCTAACCGGTTGTGTTACCTGCAATATTGCAGGGTATTTCGAGATGACTGGACAGTGAGGGCCATCGACAATCGGGACAAAGATTTACGTGATTTGTTAGTGCAAACTACAGACGTGGTAAGATTGTCGTTATCGTATCGACGTACTCGCTGATTTCCATAGGATCTGCCATTAGTCGTACTGCTAGACCATGATTGGACAAAGTATCTCGACTTCAAGCGTCTCCTCCTCGTCAACATACAAGAGGAATTGTACGACGCAGAGCTATATGTCGCCTGGAGGGCCGGATTTGAGCCCTCCATTGCCTACAACTTCCTACGTTCAGGGCCAGGAACAGATTTGTTCTGTACACAGCCTCATAAGCGTATGCAATTCGTGTCTTCTGCAGTTGACTTTGCTTTAAATTTGTTGACCATCAGTTGGTATTCTTACTATTTCTATGCTGATGGAGCAGGTAAGTTTCAGACCCGAGAGAGGAGCGATTGTTGCAATATTTCGACGGTAGAAGAGGGGCTCACTCAAGATCAGACTATTCCCCTACTAAGATGCTCATCTCTTTGGCACGGATAGCCAAACTGCCAACGTGTGTAATAGATCTTATTCAGCATCACTGTAATTTGATCAACGCACAACACATTCAGACTGATGGAGAAACCGATACATATTGGAGAAGTCGTCTATCAGCGGAGGACCTAAAATAAGATGCCACATCGCAACTTTTGTGGCTGACAGACATGGTACAGGTCGATCGCTCGGCCCTTTTTTGATGATGTGTCTTGCAGTGATCGGTGATTGAGCACGTTTGTCGCGCCTCCGTCGACGGGGTTGGCGATCGGCAGGAGTGCCTCGAGAATTCGCAGGTCTGTTGACTTGAGCAGCAGTGTATGGTTAAGTTTGCCGGACGGCTGCTCTTGAAGCATTGCGTATCGCCAATCTTCGCGACCGCCGCTAAGGAGAAGACCAGTCCATAGGGATCAGAGCGCGAAATCGATCGAACCGATCGATCTAAGGGTACCTCTCGATCGAATCGATGTGTTCAGGACATACGTTCGATCGTTGTCGAGTCGAACGGTGTGCTGCTCGAGTCGAATCGAATCGAGCAGCCTTGGGTTCGAAAGATCGATATCAAATCGATCGAGCGTCTTATCCGCTACCTCTATTTACCACTAAATCTTGCTCTCCTAAATTTTCATGACATTCACACCACATGCATTTTGGACTATGCTTTAGCCAAGTAGAAGTTTCCACTGTTTCCAATCCTGATCCACGAAGTAGGCATGAACACCAAGAAACGACGTGTTTCTGCGCGAGGTCCAGCCATCGAAGGTTATGTGGATCGTGCCTCTAGCTGTACCCTAGCAACTGGCGGACAAGGGGGGCAGCCTTCTGATACTCATTGACGAGCAGATTGACGAGCGTGTTATCCGACGGCACCTGGGCGCAAGGGTTCAGACACCATACAACACGCTTGAATCGTTCAGAGAGGACAATCCGAAACGGGAGGTTGTCATGGACGATCCAGTCCATTAACAGAAGCCAGAAGAGCTCCTCGTTATGTAACTGCTGAACCTTCGAAACGAGATCTTGATGAGCCGGATTATCCATGTCACAACCCAGCAGCTGCGCCACAGTAGGCGGCTTCGTCGATCGTTCGGGCTGTTCCCTATCAGGATCCTGCGAGACAGCTCGCACAGGCGATCGTTTGCGATGAATTCGTCTGAGATGTTTGACTATTGATTTGGACGTACTCGAGACGAACGTGTACGTGTCGGTGGGTCGTGGTATCGATTTGGCAACGCATATAGAACACACCCAGATGTGTTTCGGGACTCGAGACTGTTGTTGATCAATCGGTAACCATGAGCCCACCACCAGACGCGCATTCTTAACGTTGAAGTCTAACTCGCAACTAGGAAATCGGCACCACCACTCCCTGCACCAAAGTTGATAGTCGGGGAATGCATCGTTCTGAGAAGCCGGTGTTGTGAGAGTTTGTGTTGGTGTATCAGCAGGCTCTTCGACCGGTACCAGCTGCGACAAAGGATTCGGAGTATTGGTGTGAGGATGCTACAGAGGGCGTTGCTGGTTGGCAACGTGGAATAAGCTCTTGAGGTGTCAAAAACTGGTCATGTCGGTAGTCTTTGGCCCAGCAGACAATAATACATTTGTACAACCGGTTTTGCCAGCGGTGGCCCGCGAATCAATCAATGGAGACTAAAGATTGGATTGATCCAGGAATGGTACGGGCTACTCAAATGATGCGTACGCGAGTGCACGGCTCAGTGTTTGGTCGTTGACCTGTGTCAAAAGTTCGACTGCCGAGTAAGAGCCCACTGTAATTTGAAGTCGAACCAATCAAGCGCTTCGGGATAGTTTGCGACAATTCCGATTGGTTCCTGACTAATAATTCGCTCCATTGTGGGCCTTGGACAGTTTACTGGGTCGACCGAAATCGACCGCCTCGATCTTCAGCTCCTCGCTCGGTCTCGAATCGAATCAACCCAGCAACGGATCGAATGATTCATTTCGAACGACAGGAGGTGTATGATTCGATTCGAACGGGGTCGATTGCTTAGTCATCCATCGATTCGATCGAACGCTCGATCGATTTCGCGCTCTGATAGGGATCGAGTTGCAGGGCAAGCAAGATAAAATTAGGGAGAAAGGGACAGCGGGGTTGCCACGACGAGTGACTCGGAACGTAGCAGTGTCGTGAGATCGTCGCTGAAATACAGATGTCCTCGGTGTACAATGTGAGATGGGAAGACAGTAGTAGGTAGAATATAGGCAGTCGAAGAACTGCATCTCAGATTTTGGGAGCAATCAGATGATGAAAGTAGAAAGCTGGAGCAAAGGCGCAACCCGAGGCGAAGAGACAAATTATTGTATTAAAAGAGAGATGGAAAGCATGTGGATGGCCTCGTCATGGTGGCCGTTGGATCAAGTCTCGCAGACATGCAGTCTAGCTCATGGGGCCAGATCGATCACTAAACCGGTCGGACTGACAAGCCCAGAGTGATGATTATGTGAGTTCTGCACTGATTGGCAAGTGGCTAAGCCCAGTACGCATTTGGTAACATGACGTGCTGCAAGCAGGGAAGCCGAAAATAAATTCCATACCTGTACAATACTGTACTGCACGTAAGGATCCACTATTCATGAAATATATTTCTGGTATCCTAGACCGGCCCCACATGGATCGATTGATGTGGGCCCATTGGCGGCACATGGCTTGACAGGATGAACAAGGGCAAGAGGATCCGCTTCTTGCTGTAACGGCCTACCGTGACAGACAGTATCGGATCATGACTGACTACAGTATCAAAACATGCCCAGCTGTCCAGGAGACTTTTCCCGACCATGCCCGGCAGATGAACAAACGCAAGTCCAAGTCCAAGTCCTGCCACCCACAGCATAAAGAAAATATGAGCCAAGACAAGATGACCCTTGATAAACGAATATATAAGCCCATGACTGAAGACAGAGATACCGTCAGTTGTGGGTCTGATGTTCCAGAAATCTACAGATTGTCCCGTGACTCCTGTAGCCTCTGTCCCCATTTCTCCGTCTTCTGAAATCTTCATGCCCATAGCATAGTCTCGGAGGGCCCACAGACTTATTTTCAGCATGGCTGCGGTTTTCTGGCGGCTGGATGAGATAGCATAACCGCTCAGGAGAGACTCTCATGGAATTTCATCCTGCCAAGAAAACTGCAACGTCTTTTCAATGTGCTGCAGCAATGTCCTCTTATCGAAATTGCAGATTGAACAACATCCTGACAGGAAATGTGTTGATCATGGATTGCGGGCCAAGCTTGAGCGGCGTGAAGCTTCAACCTCATGCTCAGGGCCAATTGTTTGGTTGTTGAGCCATATGGGCTTGAGTCGAACGGTGACCGATTGCGACGTGCTTTGGAGTCATTGCGAAGTGTGCCATCCCTCAGACTTTCCCACCCTGTCGCGAAGCCACTAGTCTCATCCCGAGCGGTGGCTGCAGGGTTCGACATCTCTGACATGCTCCCCGATGATCGGCAATCTTTTTCAGTAAAGTCTTGACGACGAGGCGATCTAGGCTCGTGTATCTCAGAGATAGGGCTGGCCGATGCTGGCGATTCGTCACGAGTACTTGTTACCATGCTGATCGTATATTCATTCGGAGAGGCCTTTTGATTGTTCTGGGAGCTGGTGGCATTATTCACGTCGTCTTTTGGATGTTTCGTGTGGATATCTTGCTTTGTTCTTAGCCACCGCTCAAACTCATGTCCGATGGGCTCTACTCCAGGAGGATTTGGCGGTAGAAGCTCATCGTGGAAGTCCTCCCTTTTACGTTTTTTTTCTGTGAAAATCGTGAAGACTTGGCTGATTGGAAGAGCTCTCGCGTACATGTCGTTTGGCTTTGGACGGATCCGGATGGAAGATGTTATGTGCTTTGCTTAGGTAGCCTTCAATATTCCAAGTATTGGATGAGACATACGTCTTTGGCTTGTGCGCTCTCTGCAAAATGAATGGCAGCATAGCCAATTGGATGGTCCAGGTTTCTCAGTAGTCAAACAGACTGTACCTCAGGAAGCACTGAAAATATGAGTCGAACAATGGTGCATCTTGTCAGGGCTATAATTCGTTTTACTCGTGTCACCATAGAGCTGGTCGTGTCCCTAGCTTGTACATCGTAGCCATGGGCCCAGAACCAGCCAGTAGCGGACCCTTTTCTGATCGCAAGGATCCAACGACTACCTATTCAGCAACATGCATTATAAATCCCTTTGACGCCCTTAGTCTTGATAATGGTCAATACACAGACAAAGACATCCGTGAAACGTATCATTGTGCATCGCTTCGATGCCACCCCAATAGACGACTAGGGCTCTCAACACTATACAGAACCCACGGATGGATACACTACATCGGCAAATTCTCGAATCTACCCGCTACATCGTAACGGTCAGATCGCCCCTTGGATTCCGCAGATCTTCGAAGCGGGAAGAATTATGAGATTGCTGCATCCCATATACACAATGGAATGGATGGCTATTCGACTCCCGCTTGACTGCGGATATCGTGTTAATGTTGTTTGATGATAAACAACAAGAAATTCCCTTGAAATCTCCACAATGAGGCTTTTTGACTAGGTTTCAACATAGTTTCCTTCGCAGATGGCTCATGCGCACAGTCACAGCTAAGAGGAGCAGCCAGGCAAATTGAAAATTGCTTATTATGGGGCATTTGCAGGCTTGTCATGGACCACACAGTGCTAATGTGCAGATAGTCTTGTACATGGACGAGGGGTGAGAAGTACACATCAATCTTACCTGAGGAAATCATCATAAAGAACCAAAATAAATATAATACTGCAAAAGTCTCGCTGACAATGATGTTAAAAGACAGAATGGTGATACAATTTGTGTATAGTACATATAGACGCCAAGTAGTTTCGCAAGAGTCCAGATTCTGCTGTACTGTACCTGCAGCGACAGTGATCATGTTTTCCAAAAGGACGTACGGTAAGGAGTGTACTGAATGGCAGACAGAGCTTCATGTATATAGTCCAGAATCGCGACTTCGGCAAAGTCGATTGACAATGCGAGAGGGGTGATCTTCCGCTAGCATCGTCAACCGGATCTTTACCACGTGCTCCAGCAGTTCGAACGACTTTCCCACCTGTCCGTTGGCTTCATATGCCATTGCCAACGCTTGTTGAGATCCCAGTAGATAGGGGTGATCTTCCGCTAGCATCGTCAAACGGATCTTTACCACGTGTTCCAGTAGTTCGACTGCCTTTCCCACCTGTCCATTAGCTTGATATGTCATTGCCAAGGCGTGTTGAGATCCCAGTCGATCAGGGTGATCTTCCGCCAGCGTCGTCGAGTTGATCTCGACCACGTGCTCCAGCAGTTCGACCGCCTTTCCTACCTGTCCATTGGCTCGATATGCCACTGCCAACATGTGTTGTGATGCCAGTCGATCAGGATGATCCTCCGCCAGCGTCGTCGACCGGATCTCGACCACATGCTCCAGCAGTTCGATCGCCTTTCCCACCTTTCCGTTGGCTTGATATGCCATTGCCAACGTGTGTTGAGATCCCAGTCGATCAGGGTGATCTTCCGCCAGTGTCGTCGACCGGATCTCGACCACATGCTCTAGCAGTTCGATCGCCTGTCCCACCTGTCCGTTGGCTTGATATGCCACTGCCAACATGTGTTGACATGCCAGTCGATCAGGGTGATCTTTCGCCAGTGTCGTCGACCGGATCTTTACCACGTGATCTAGCAGTTCGATCGCCTGTTCCACCTGTCCGTTGGCTTGATATGCCATTGCCAAGGCGTGTTGAGATCCCAGTCGATCAGGGTGATCTTCCGCCAGCGTCGTCAACCGGGTCTCGACCACATGCTCCAGCAGTTCGACCGCCTTCCCCACCTGTCCGTTGGCTCGATATGCTACTGCCAACATGTGTTGCGATGTTAGTCGATAGGGGTGATCTTCCGCTAGCATCGTCGACCAGGTCTTTACCACGTGCTCTAGCAGTTCGATCGCCTGTCCCACCTGTCCATTGGCTTGATATGCTACTGCCAACATGTGTTGAGATCCCAGTCGATCAGGGTGATCTTCCGCCAGCGTCGTCAACCGGGTCTCGACCACATGCTCCAGCAGTTCGATTGCTTTTCTCACCTGTCCATTAGCTTGATATGTCATTGCCAAGGCGTGTTGAGATCCCAGTCGATCAGGGTGATCTTCCGCCAGCGTCGTCAACCGGGTCTCGACCACATGCTCCAGCAGTTCGATTGCCTTTCTCTCCTGTCCGTTGGCCTGATATGCCATTGCCAACGCCTGCTGAGATCCCAGTCGATCAGGGTGATCCTCCGCCAGTGTCGTCAACCGGATCTCTACCACATGCTCTAGCAGTTCGATCGCCTTTCCCACCTGTCCGTTGGCTTGATATGTTGTTGCCAACGCCTGTTGACATGCCAGTCGATCAGGGTGATCTTTTGCCAGTGTCGTCGACTGGATCTTTACAACGTGCTCTAGCAGTTCGACTGCCTGTCCCACCTGTCCGTTGGCTTGAAACGGCCGTGGCGAGATACGCCCTATAGCGAATGAATTATCAGTTGACGGACGATCAAATGGTTCTCTCACTGACGCTTGGGCAGCCCATCAAGTTCAGCCACAGGTTCTACCAGCCTTATAGGTCTGGCAATAAAACCATCCACAAATTTCTGGATTCGCCTTCTGTTCTCCATCAAGTAGTTGCTCGTATGCGCAGAGATCTGGCTTGTTTTTTGCCAATCCGCCAGTGTGATATCTTCCAAGCCGCGCTCGACGTTGAACCGATAATAGCAGCCGCTATCACCGTAGCGATTATCGAGATTTGTTGCCACCTTTTTCGATGTTGTTGCCATGTTCTTCAAGGCTTTGAGGATGGACACTCTTGAATCTTTGATCGTAACAACGTCCCCAAGACCGGTGCCAACACTCAGGACCTGTAGACGACGGCGTGTGGGATATTGGCGTCGTGCCTCGTCGATAAGAACCTCGCACGGATTGTTATAGCCAAAACCTGCATCGATGAACTCAATTTTATCCCGACCGAGATTGATAGGCTTAAAGAAGGTTGTCGCAGCGGACGTCGCGCGGGCGATTTCCCAGATAGTACAGTCTTTAAAGGCAGCTGTTGTGTCGTAGGTAGTGAAGAGCGTAGGCGGCGCATCGACATTATCTTTTGTTATGGCTAGAACAACACTTCAAGGTGTCAGTCAACCTAGTATCCTCAGCAGAGTCCAACTCCTGTAGACATACGTCTTCGTGCATGATTGATCGCGGAACGTTGCGTCGCCGTGCTGGCAAGTCGTGACTGTTGACTGACCTCGACTCCGTTGGTCGATACACGAAGACTCCACGCAATACTCCCGGACTACTTCTTTGATAGCACCTTCAAGAGCTTTAGCGGAATAGGCACCTTGGGGTGGGGCAAAAGAAAGTCCTCCCCGTTTCGGTGTGAAAGCAGTCCGTCCAACTTTGTCATATGCTTGTATACACTGATCCACGGTCATGCCTAATCTCCCGAGCATGACCGCGATGATCCTACGAAGATTGTCAGCAGGGGTGCGGTGCAGCGGAGCGTGTATGACTTACCCGCCGGTGCTGGTGCCCCCGATTATATCAAACCAGTCGCATGGTCTGGGAACTTCATCGAGACCTTGAGATTCGCGGATCTGTTCCATAATTGTCTCCAGAATCAAGAGACTAGATTTGCCGCGGATTCCTCCCCCATCTAGAGGATTAGCGCAACAGGCTAGGTCAGAGACAGGCCAAGCTTACCAAGAGAGAGGATCCTCAGTGGTGGGTCTGCATCCCCAGACATATTCGTTCTGAATATCGGCTCAAAACTCCGGAGCGGCCATTGTCGATATGCACGAGATTTCGATGCAAGACTCTCCCCTGGACTTCAAGTCTCATCAGGGCAGGAATGAATATATGCGGGGTAGCTGGTAGCTGGCCCGAGCGCCCAGCTTATGTCACGTGCTGCCAGAAGGCATGGGAAGGTGCCAAGGTACATTAGTACAGTGACACATAAGTAGCTCGTATGCTTGGTTTCAGTGACTCATCGTCTTACTTTCAAACCAAGCAAACACCTTGAGACCACAGCAGCATCCTGGTCCGGCTTCGCTGGGTGGGTTGCAGAGGTCCATGTCAGACGAATCGATCAAGGAACTATCTGTTTGTATGGGTGTGGCAGTACTAACACGTATTTGGGAATAGCGCGGTACTTGCCCCACTGCGGGGTTTTCGGCTTGCCACCATAGTATCGTTCTTAAGGGAAGCTTATTGACCACCGTAAGTAAGCCCATTGAAGTTATGCATCAACAGTTACCATATTGATCTTAGATATTGGATGTATTTATATAATGGTAATATTAGATCAACGTAGAAGAGTTCGGTGAATAATGCGACCAAATCTAATTTTGCCCCTGTCCCTGGCAACGCGTGGGTCTGTCTCCAGTACCTCATTTGACTGCTAGTCCTTTTTATGGATGCATCTGTGGGGCTTAATACAGACAGACTATTATCAAAATTGATGCATACTTTATATATTGTGATAAGCCCCTGCCTGTTGGTGGCACTGATGTAGGTATAGTCAGTGCTAGGAGTGTCATGGAAATCTCTGACATGTTCCTAGTTTACTACATTTTACTTTTCGTCCGGGCTTGTGTCGAGGTCAACAGACGCCGGAAGGGCTGTCGTGTCCATGAGCTTGCCATGGTTATGATTGAGAATGGCCAAGCTCCGATAGGGAATACATCTCTAGCGAAAGGTTCGGCAGCATATCCGAAAGTGAGGGCAGCCTGTTTGTCGTTCCAGAAAGAATTTTGCGTGCGTGGAAGGTACGGAGAAAGGTCTTGGTTTGGGCCTAGCATTCAATTTTGATACGGCATGGGTCAAGCAATGGCAGGATCTAGCTAAACTTCAGATCCACTCGGCAGTTGTTAATCAACTTCTGATTGGCTGTCTCTGTCCAAAATTCAACGATGCCGAGAAATGCTAGGTGCGGTTCGTTCCTGACAATCGGGGCCAATTGGAAGCCTGTGAAGAAATTTCTATTGACGGTGCTGTACTATTTGTCTAGCTTGCTTTGACTTTCCAATAAACTAACATGTACGGGATGGTAGAGACCTCTCCGCTGTTTGGAGGAACTGTACAGACTTGCGAAGCGTACGGGTACCTAGGTAGAATGAACCAAGTCATTAGCTGCCCACTGTGAATATCAAGCCGTTGACTAGATGGAAAATAGTCTGATTTTCTTGAGAAAAAAAACCTCTTGGCACCCTTAGGATGATGTGTCCTGTTAACTATGTCAATCTCCTCGTATTAGGCTCTCAGTAAGATAATCGTGAATGGAATGTCAAACGGAGTGAATAACCGCCGAGACTCATTACGGAGGTTCTGTGTGACGCGCGAAGAACCATGATAGGTGCATTGATACCATGACACTTTAAGAACTTAAACTGCACCTATGATGGCTTTGACCCTAGCAGCGACCTCACCGTCGGCTGCAACTCATCACTACCCCGAAGAAAGCAAAGAACACAGGAAGAGTTACACTCCAGCGAGCTGCTCTTCAAGGATGTTGTATACGACAAATTTGGCCTGTATTGAATTTAGATTGCAGTGAACAGAGTCTATCTACAAATCCAATGCCGCCTCCCATGCATCCAGGCAACTTGACGTGGCCATTAGCCTCACATTCTCGAAAGATCATTACACTTTCTATCCCTGGCTGATTTGTTGCCGGAAAGGCGCCAACACCCTGAGACGACATTTTCAAGCATAGAATGGAGCAGCGAACAGAGCAGACGCCTTTGGTTAGCAACCAGCACATGCAGAAGGAAATGCAGACAAAACCCTGGCGCACCCTTAGCTGGCATGTTGCACCCTACTTCGGGCTTGCGTTCTTCTCTTTTTGCCTCAACTTCGCACCACTTGCGCTCTACCATCCTTACTTTCAGGAGAAGAACTGGTCCGAGAAGGACTTTATCGTCATCCGATTTGCTTTCCTTTTGCTTCCTGGCTTTTTACAGAAATCCCTCTGGGCACCGGTCGCGCTGGTCGCTAATGATATAGCGTTCCTCGATGTACATGGCTAGCCGCAGAAACAGCAGAGGAAAGCAATCCGCAAATCGGATTCTCTTGACTCTGTTACTCGGGCATGGGTCCTCAAAGTCTTTCCGACAGGCTTTACGACATTCTGCGCTTTGTATAATGCAGAACTCGGTTTTTGGCTGGCGCTGAGCGCCGCTATCACATTTATCGCTGTGATCTTCAGCTATCAAAATGGATATTTCTACCATTAGCCAAACATGTACAACGATGCAAAAGCGAAAAGGATGACGCCGTGTGAGTCGGCCCCAAGGTTCAACAAGTTTTAGAAACTAATTGAGAAGTAGAGAAGACGAAGCTTTTGAAACGGACGTGCGAAATGACAAGCAGGAGAAGTATTTGAGAGCGAAATCGATACAAGACCTAGTGCAATGGGCTTGGAGCATACTACTGGCAAGCTTAGTACTCGTAGTTTGGTTCTCAGGGGCGACTCGCGATAACCACGCGATGCTATTCAGATTGGGCCATCAAGTTCGTTCAACCGATGAAGCATTTGAGAAATACGTGGAGAGCAGCCCAAAGGCCGCCAGTATCTGTCGAGAAGAGCAGGATCATGTATCGCTCAAAGACTTTTTCGCAAAGTTGTTTTGCCTGCCCTAGAGTATGGAATGCGCAGTACAAACTTGTGACGACACACTTACTGCAGATGAGTGAGTTCGATCAAGTCCCCTTCCGCAGGTCTGGGCTCGCTAACCATATATAAGAGCATGAAGTGTCTAGATGATATGGAGCTGTCCTAAACATTATGTTCCATGCACTAGTATCCACGAAATCCTGCTTTGGAGCCCAAGTTGATCAGAAGTACAATACATCTCTGCTCTTCTAGTTTTGTATCAGACCCAACGTCCCTATAATCTTCTAAGATTCACTGCCCAAAATCTCTAAGTATACCGTATTCTTTACGTGACCTAACGATCGCTCCGTTTTTCTCCCTTCCATCGCTCGCTGGCAATGTAGTACCGACGCACCAATTGCTTATGTTTGTGTGTATATCCGATTGTCAGCCGCGAGTGTCCAGTTGCATCATTGTAACGCTGCTGCCACTACCCGAATCCAGCATCAATTAAGATCCGTACAATTTGTCGTACCTTGGTGGTTTCACATAATCAATGGCATTGAAACATTAAATATTGAAGAGCTCCACACTCCCTTGCTTGATCGGCTTATCCTTTGGCGACTTGCATGTGCCTCGAAATGGGCCGCACTTTGTCGCACGCTCTACTGATGACAGGCAGTTATTTCCTGAGCACCAACTACCGGTGCTTGAATCACACTTAGTTCAAGCTCCCTTGCAGATCATGACATCGACGTCAGAATCTGTGGGCTATGGATTACTCTACACCAGCTTCCACTCATGTATATATAGATTCTCATGTCCTCCATGGGATACAAGACATCACGATTGAGATGATGGACGCACAAGTCCCCAAAAAGACGTCAGAAGCGCATCCAAAGACGGTCCCCACGTTCAATTTAAACAAACAATACGATAAAACGCGGTTGAATACTATATAAGTAAACCAAAAAGGTGAGCACTAGGCAAGGCCTGACAGTTCAGATGGATACTTCCAGCCATCAAAGTAATGAATTGCTGCAAATACATTAGCACGATTTACAGGAGTACGGAGAGGCAGGCGACATTGCCGCATGCTTGACCAGAACCACTGCGGCTTCTGGCTGTGAGAGGCGCTGTCGATGTATGTTTCAATTGACTATCCTATTGACGAGCATCTAAAGCTTGAAAAAGAATAGAAACACAATCTTCCATCCATATGATGGCACAATTTGTAGTTGCAAATTCGCCACTTCGCCAGTCCGTCGAAACCTTATTGCTTGGGAAAGTGCACGCCGGCAGCCATGCCTATAAGCTAGTCGGGTTTGAGCTTCATGGTCGCGCTCATGGTTGAAGGCTTTAGCTGACAACTGATACACGGCCCATAGCCCGTAACAGTTTCAAGAACAGCGTTCCAGAGTAGGTTATGTTCCAGAATAGGGTGTGTTCCAGAATAGGGGTTGAGGATATCGTTAGAGGGTGGATCTGGCTTGAGGGCGAATAAAGGGGTCTTGGCTTCTGAAACAGCGTTGCTTTAGCCCTACGACGATACTATCGTAGCAGACACTGGGAACTGTACAGGCGTTGGTTGTATTTATAGTGGGAAAATTCCCCTGAAAGAGGAGAGGGACAGAGTTCAGTCTTGCAGCTAATATCACCTATACTACCTATCTACGCTGCGATTACGAATCTCTTACCTGTCTTATAGTCTTTCACTCTGCTGTAGAACTGATCTGACATCACCTTTCGTACCACCAGCGATTGTCTATCTCGAACTAGATCGAGGACGCTTCACGCAACTTGGATAGAGAGTCCATTTATATGAAACAAGGCTTACTGGTGAGAGAAAGACACACTTCGTCAGCATATTGAGAACTTCAAGTTCCTGCAAGTAAAAAAACTCGAGCCGTACAGTTTCGCTTCAGCACATCTGTAACGCTCGAGATGAGGTCTTCGTGTGGCATCACCCAATCAAGGTCTATGGATCACGGTGAACAGAAATGAACTCAATCTTGATACGTACACCACACCTGCCGCAAGCAGATCAAACCTGTCATTGCCAATCATTGCTTATCTCAAGGGATGCCCGCCGTGTACAATATACCCCATCACGGCATGGTACCGTCAAATCGCAGCCGACTAGCAGACGCTGCCAGCTCGGGGCTCACATGCACACCATCCTCGGGCATGAGGACAAGCACGTGCCCTGGCTTGGATATGGCCACCTCGTAGCATGCTTCAGGAAGCAGAGGCCGCATGTCGACAGAGAAGGGCCGCAGGCGATGTGCCATCCATGTCGCAGCCACATGTTCGACTTTGGATCGATCGTTGCTTGTCACCTGCAAGACCACTATCCAGTCACTGCCTTGGCGAGACACGAAGGTGATTACGGGATTGTGCGCCGCCTGCCTGCCGATGATGCAACGACCCATTAAGTATTTTGGGAAGAACGCTTGCACGACAGCCTTTTGTCGTCCCAATGAGCTTAGGACAGAGAAACAGGCAGAAACGAGGATGCCGTGCCGCTAAACTAAACAGGCAAAATTCGATTCGTAGATGGCGTCTACGGATCCTCTCATTTGCCCGATACAGTCGAACCTAAGTGGACTCGGGCAATCTTGTCTGCATGCTCTGGTTGACAGGGTCTCGGCATCGCCGAAGTGCGTCGATCGCATACACACGATGATGCCTTGTAACCATACGCGGGACTCCTTCAATATTGAGTCGATGTAGGCCATCGAGCCACGTACTTCGGAGGGGATCCAAGCACTTCTTTTCTGCACATAACAAGACACAAACATAATATTATCCTAGATCGTTTTTGGAAGGCTCTAGGTCTTGCTATAGGGATCGATCCTGTCCACGTTACGCTGAAACCCACTTCGGAAAGACTATCAATCTCCTTTTCAGGTCAGCACGTCCATGTGCAGCATATTTGTGTTTTCCTAAAAGGTAACTCCTTGCGCTTGTCTAAGCAGCTCCACGGAGCTCTTATCGATGGCTGACTTTCCAGCGCCATGGCTGATCCGACTATCGCTGAGATTGCGCTTCGTGTAGAACCATCTACAGCCTGTAGATCAAACCGCTGGATGTTATTTCCAGTACACGATCCAAGCAGAAAATAATGGTTGATCCTTGAGATCTGCTTCGTGATTTCCAGGCCTCTCTTTTGTTTTGCGACTGGTTGCCTTAGCAAAAATATCACTTATCACAGAAGCAGTCTGGAGGATTTGTTCGCCAAAGACTCAGGTACTTCGATCCGTCCTTGAAGCAGATTGCGATCTTACCGGCACACCTTATCCCTTGAATGGCTAGCACAAAGACCACAAATGGATGAAACTGGAGCCGCCCAACATGTAATAGCTTATAAGGGATTGCTAAGTCGGGCAACTTGGGAATTCTCAAACGGCAGTAGACGGAATCGATCCCCGATTGGCACCTATTCTCGTCGTAATGTTCAAGACCGGATCTGTGACGGCAATGCTGACCCTGGCACATAGAGTGATATCAGCAAATTATGTAGTCTAACATAACAAGCTTGTGAGGGAAGTGGCCGGGGGGCCAACAGATTCTTAGCCCCTGCTCAATTGCGGAAACCTCAGAGCCAGCTGCGACCCTCTCGAGTGCGTAGCCCATCACCGAACATATCCGACCTTGATGTGGCCAAAATGTGTTGTTCTCAATGCAGGTAAAAACGCCTCATGTTATCTGCATCCTATTTGAGCATTGGGTCGACGTAGCCCGCTGGGGCGTAGCAAATGATTGCTTTCCACTCTCTTCTTTCAGTACCTCGATAGGACCGATCACTTCGTGTTTCCGCGTACTAGGCAATAGATGTCTCCTCATTTCAGATCGTTCCCCAGGGCCCTAGCTATAGTCCAGCACAATATTGTGCAGGTTGGGTTGAAAGCTGTGGGGATCGTTGCCTGTTTAGTAGAGTCAGACCCTTCCTTTCCCAATAACCAGGACCGTAGGAAGATCCAACGTTTCCCGAGTAGGGCAACTCTTCCGGTTGTTCTCACGGTCCACACAATCGGACTTATTGCGTCTGCCTTACCATCGTCTTCATGACCTCGGCGACGGAGACAGGAATAAGCAGGAGCACTTTCAGACTGATCTCTGATCTCGTGCCATCCTGCAGTTCGGCTTCTCAGTGGAGAGAGAATGATAGACTGCAATGACAACGCTACCTGCGCTCAACGTGCCTAGACCGCTAACCCTACTGATACAGAGCCTGGCTGAGCCTCGGCAGCCAGAGCGGGACCTTCCCGTTTCGGCTGGCTACGAGGTACACTACTTCAGCTACAGCCAAAGGCGGAGCGCCAGCACCTGCCGCCACACCCTTCTCGACCCACGCAGCCAGTCTACGCGCCGGCATGTCGGGCCCATCGTAAGCTTCGTGGATTTCGGTCCGTTTCTTGCTGCCATGCTCGAAGTTGGTTTCGACACTACCAGGCTCGACGATACAGATATTGACTAGGTATAAAGATAGAATCTGTCTCTTCCTAATCCTGGTAGCTGCGACATGAGATCATGATCAAAAACTCACTGTTCCAGTCCGGATGTAACTCCCTCGCAAAGGACTCCGACCAACACTCCACAGCAAATTTGCTTGCGTGATAGAATGACTGGCCGGGAAAAGCGGCCACGCCGCCAAGGGAAGAGATGTTGAACACGATGCCACCACGGCCAGACTGTCACCTCATGATTCTGACTGCATTCGTCGCCATGCGCACGGTGCCGAAGAAGTTGGTCTCGAGCTGATGGTGCATTTCCTCCTCCGAAGCAGCCTCCGTGTCGCCTGCGAGCCCGTATCCGGCGTTGTTGACGAGGGCATCGATGCGGAACTCGTCGCCAAAATGGGCTGCTGCATCCAGGAAAGCCTGGGCGACTGAGGTGGGTAAAATGACACCTAAATATCGGTCGAGAAATCGTTTAGCGGGGTGCGCCGTAAGAGTCCCGACAAATAACCACTCGCTGGGTATCATCGGGAGACGCACCGTGTCGGGCACCTACAAGGCCGAGGCGGCTTCTTGGCGGCGGGGCAGCCGTTGTTATGTCGTGTTGAGGCGCTGGCACGCCACGCTCTGCAAACGGCACGGATCAAGATGGCGACCACCATCCGCCGACCACCGTGGTGGGATCTGTGGCCTGGGCTGCCGCCAAAGCTAAGTTAGACAGGTCACCATCGAGATAAGTGGGAGTCGGCCTCGCATTGCGAACAAAGGTGCGACTGAACGTTCTTGGTGCTATGGGGTCGAGGACGGAGAAAAGTAGGACAGAAATGATTGTGGAACGTGGGTGGCTTGGTCTGTGTGTTCTGCGGGTGACACTTAAATACAAATATGTACCCGAATCGTGTGTCAGATCTTCTATTGATACAATATCCATGACAAGTCATAAGCCTACAGTGGTTGTCTGGCACGGATTGGTCTTCGCCATACCACAGTAGTCGGATAGTGGGTCCCGCGGGATCCCGTATACTAAATGCGGAAAGCAGAAAATAAACACAGCGTGCAACTTGAATATTTTGTTATCGTCGATACCAGCGACAAATTGATAGATAGGGCGCTCGACCATGCCTAACTAAAATCAAAACATCCACTAACAGCACCGAATCACGAAAGGAATCCGGATTTCCCGGTCGGAAGGGCCGATATGCCGTGATGGGAGTCCCCTATAATCTCTCTCCCCCTCGCCCCCTCTTCCCCTTCCCCGCCCCCCTTTGCGGGGGGAGCATTGGCTCTATTGGGCGCAAGCACTAAAGGAACTGCACCCGGAACTTCCGGCAGCTGCTGACGATGCAAACGCGTTTGTGTCTTGCTTGGCGCGTTTAGGACGATGTATGTGGGTGTCACGTATAATCTTAAAAGATCGCAGAGCGGGGAAATGTTGTTCCAAAGATTAGATACTATTTAGGGCTCATCAGCCGATCCCTTTTGTAGCTTACACCGAGAGAATCAGACCTATTTACAGTGCTCTCACGATCAGCTGAATTGTGACAGTAGGCCATAAGACACAGTCGACAACACAACGAAAGCGCTGCCAGAAGCCTATGCTGTATTACATCGTGAAATCGACGCACCCACCATGTTGAAACCACAGCAATCGTCAACAAGACAACTTGTCACGCTGGATGGCATTTGGAACTTTTCTCTGTCGTCAGGACAGGACACGGAAGCAGAAAAGATATGGACAAACATAATCCCACCAACGCTACAAGCGCCAGTTCCTTCCAGCTATAACGACATTTTCGTCGATGCTAATATTCGCGATCATGTTGGCTGGGTGTATTACCAGCGACAGGTAGTAGTTTGCCATGGCGACGGGGCGATTACAATTGACAGTGAGGGAAGCGAGCAGTTCAACACAATAGAAACAAAATCATGTACAACAGTGGAGACATCTCTAAAACATACTAACCCAGCAGGTCGCGCTTCAGTCGCCGAGGATAGGACTCTGAACACTTGGAGGAGTCAACTTCAAGCAGAAATGCTGTATACTAACCACTAACAGTATCATACAGGGATGTCATGAAAGAGAAATGGATAGAGATGGAAACGGATTAGTCCTTGAGTATGGGCTTAAGTCGGAACCATGACGGAAACTTCAGAAATGGTCGTGTACTATAGAGTTAGTTGCCCTCTAGGGGAATAGCCCGGGCGTAATAAACGTGTGTGTGTGTGTGTGTGTGTGTAAGGAGAAACTGCCGGAGAGAAGATGCATATGGTCAGATCCGTGACAAGTGGGTGAGCAACAACAGCCGTAGTATGAGGCGTGGACGACGTTTCCGTTTAGGCTGACTAACGCAATCTACGCGCAGCTTTAATATGTCTAGAGGGCAAATGATTGCTCACTAACGTTGCTCAAGAAAGAAATTTGTGTTCTGGCCTAATCTGGCCCCAAGCTGCGCTTACAAAATTCTACTAAGTATGCTTAATACCCTCCAGGGCGGGCATTTACGCTAACCCAATCTACGATCTAAGAGGGACGCGATGGTCTTTTTGCGTCCCTGTGACATGGAGCACTTTGCGCCACTTGGTAAAGGGCAGAAGTATGCTACATGTGCCAGCCCAGGCCTAAACTACGTGGCTTCGCGGGGGCTATTGGTGGCTGATTTGTCATTTTCTGCGAGCTCTAAGTCTGTTGCTTTGAGGTTCCGCGCCTCAGACAGAGATTCTTTGTTTCACAGATCCCAAGGCAGATCCCAGCCTGATCCATCTCTTTACCTCTGCAATGGATCAACAAGTTAGCGAGGATATGCGCTCCCAGTTGGAGCACTGTATCTTAAGGATTTGTTACTGGCGGCAAGGTGACTTCGCCCGGCTTATTGGGAGAGCTCTGTAGGCTAACTGCCAGTTTGACTTTGTACAATGCCTTCTGCCTCGGCCTGAGCCTCTACAAGGTGCCTCCACACAAACGACATCATGCGTAAGCCCTCTTTGTACTGAGCCTCCTCAACCTCTTCCAGTTTGCGATACGGTGCATCTTTTTCTCGTTCCTTCAATCGACTATCTCTTACCGAAGCTTCGCCAGGTCCCCTGCTTTTCAACATATACAGAAACATAGATAACCCGAAGGATGCAGGCTAGGAAAGAAATTTAGTCCCATAATTGTGTTTCGGTGTGTTACACGATGAGGGAATTATCCTGCTGTGGGACACTTGCACGGCAGCCTGTGCGCACGAATGAGAGACCACGATGTTGGAAGGCTAATGCACAAGGTACTGGTTGATGCTACAAACCACACATGAAGAAATTAATAAATGACTGTTGGCAATTCAATTGGCGAATCGGACCTACCCCCTTATTGTTAGGTTAGCTTGAATTTAGCTTTACATTTAGTTGTAATTCGCACAGGAATGCATGTTCGAGCTCTGCATGTAATTTTGTGGTAAGGCAACAGAAGGCAGCCGTGCTAACACGAAATAGGTAATCGTCCTCTTGACCAAGAGCAGCGTCGTGGAAGGCAGCTCCAGAGTAGTACCGGCATATATCTGCAAACTCCCTCTTATAGCTACAGTAACCTCAAAGCCTTTCTCTAAAGTAAAGTTAGAAACTGTCATTCAACCCTTTACGTTGCAACAAAATGCCGAGTTATAATGGTGGCGGCTTTTACAAATACCGTTGCAAGTATTTTTCCACGTATAAGTGCGCTCATTGGGTTTACGTCAAACACTCACCTTGTCCCTCGTGTTGTGTAAGTAACTAGAGCTAAGCATTGTGGAAAGATCGATACTAGCAATTGCGTTAGGCTCAAGGTCGCGACAATCCAGCTGCATACTTAGGAGATTCGGAAACACCTTCGGTGCAGGTACTCGTGCCATTTGTTAAGGATGGGAGGCTAGAGTATGTCATGATGACTATGGACGATACGAACGGTAATACGTAATGCTTTCAATAAAGGAGTTGAAAACCTTCCACCTTAACGCGACGAATTCTGAAGCTAGTCGGGTAGTCAATTATCGGTACTTGTGGGCGGAACATTGAGGCTCTAGCCTCATCCTCCTCTTCCTCCATACCGTCCATTACATGTGCATGACCTTCATTCATCAGACACGTGCAGTAAGGTGATTATGAACAATGGAACTAAGGCTATCTATCTGCATCGGGATTAGGCAGTTGAAATAGTTTCTAATTCGAGATTGTGTTTTAATGGTTGTCTGGAGCTTTCGAATTTGCTCATAGCAGCGTATATCTAAACTCTCCATTTTAGCTCCAATTCAGAGGACCTTACGTATGTATTCTTACGCTTGAAGAGCTGACCATCATTTTTACCAGCTCTGTCCGCTCTTTTGTTTCAACAACAAACTCACAGAGACTATCAAGTATCAGAAGAGACTATATTGTTGGACTTCTAGTTTGCGATTCGAGTCGTCAGTCCATCTTGCATTTTCGAGCATGCCCATTCTCTGGGATGGATAATATCCCGACTGTGAATGTCGGCTTCGCGCCACCTAGGCATCAGCACGATCCCGGTCCCAGGCAAACACTCACACAAACGCCAGCGTCCAGGACATGGAATAAAGGCCCGATGTTTGTCAGTTACGTCTTACGAAGTTCCTCGCTGGTACGGTGGGTGCCGCGCTGCCCTTGTGCTGCCCTCGTCACTCGTAGAGAGACATACTGTGTTCGGAGCCCGAGGACTTTGCGCGCAAGAGACCCGAGGGCGGCTGTGACCTGCCGTGTGAGCGCCGGCTGCAGGCATGCGGTCATCGACGTCAGGCCCAATGTCACTCCGACATGATACACGAAGCAGTAGACTGCTCCCAGCTGTTCCAGCGCCTTCACACAACCTGCGAGCATACCTGCCCTAAACTCTGCGGCCAAGACTGTGGGCGATGTTTGGTTTAAGTCGAAAGCGTGGAGCTTCCATGCGGGTATGTCAAGCGCAACGTCGCTTGTTACCATGCGATTGATCTCGGAAGCATCAAATGTCAGACAAAGGTGTCCAGAACTGTTTCAGGATGTAAACACGTGATCGTGGCAGAATGCTACAGAAACGTGAAGTCCAAAGCCTTCCGCTGCCCAACCCCATGTGGCGAGCTACTGCAGTGCAGCCACCCATGCCCAGGAACATGCGGTTCCTATCGAGCGGGGGTGATAATGGACTTGTTGTTTTCGGGCATCCAAAATGCAGCAAAGTGTGCGACCATCCTTATAGTATCTGCAATCATTGATGCCCAAAGCAGTGTCACAGCGAGCAGCCGTGCGGAAGCTGTTTGAAGTCCTGCGAGGTAAGAGACTTTCGGTGTTTGCGTCCAACAAAGACTTCACTTATGGCTTAACTTCAGGCGCCTAAGACTGACTAACATACCTGTGGCATAGGTCCGATGTCCTCACTCTGGTTACGATCTGCTGTGCAATCAACCATGCACTCCCTGTATCGAGCAATGTGCCTGGGCATGTGACCACCACGGGAGCTGCTCCATGCCGTGCGCCGCGCCATGTGATCGCCTCCCTTGCGAAGAGCGCTGCACCATGAGCCTCGTCAGTGACCATTAGTGCCCCAGCTACTGCGGTGAGGTCTGCCCAGACGGGTACTGCTGAGAATGCGGTGACCAAGAGGAACAGCGCGTAGATATGCTTGAGTTCAAGAAGCACTCAGAGATCGATGTCGAAGAGACGCCTATTGTCGCCCTCGGCTGCGGTCACTTCTTTACTGGTGAGACACTCGACGGTATGGTCGACCTTAGAGAAGTTTATGCCACGAGCGGCACTGGCGAAGCCGTGGGGCTTCGGGATATTTCGAGGCTCCCAGCTCCTCTTCCATCCCGAATTTAAGCGCCCCAGGTCTTTCCGGATCCTCGATGGCACAGGCTGCCTAGCGCCAGTCGTTTCTCTTTTAAAGCTGCAAGTTTCTGTTCTTCCCTCAACGAAGTGTTCATAAAGATTACAACAACAGCATTGAGTTGAATGATAAAACATCACGTGGACATAATGGCGGTACCAGACGAGTCCGATCAAAGCAGGTCGGCTGGCCCAGTTTTGGAAGGCATGACTTTAGATGAAGTCCCAAACCAGTCAACGGATCGCGCCTTTGACGCTGTACCATCCATGGCACAGAGTTCACGAGCCACGATTACATTGTTGATCGTATGCGCAAATACTATCCAGGTGAGAGTCTGGTCGTTGAAGTGCACCACACCTGTTATTGACAAATCTCTTCGTGCCAGTTCATTTCAAACTCCATAACCTTTACGGGAGGTCTTTCAATCACTCAAGATCTCGGCGGAAAGGCTGGACCCGGCCAGGCGAACTGGATGCCTGCATCTTATCCGTAAGCCCCAATGATGCCATTTAAAACAGAGCAACTAGATTAGTAGACTGATCACCACAGTCTCACTCAGAGTGCATTCGTGCTCATAACTGGACGACTCGGAGCGATTTATGGTCACAAACGTCTTACCATCCTTGGTTGCTGCATATTTGGTGTCTTCTCCTTGGTGAATGCTTTCTGCACCAATTACGAAGCTTTCATAGCGGCTCGAGCTCTCACTGGGGTGGGCGGCGGCATCTTCATGCCGAATGCGGTGTCCATGATCACCGTTATGATCCCCCCAGGTCGATCGCGCAACCTGTTCCTCGGTTTCTTTGCGGCGTCTCCTCCTCTTGGGGGCTCGCTTGGGGCCATGCTCACTGGTGTATTCATCGACTCAGTTGGTTGGAAATGGCTCTTTGTTCTGATGTGAGTAACTGCCTTGAAGTCATCCTGTCATATTAATAAATCGCCGAAGTGGAATATTGACAGCCATAATAACTGTATGGCTTATGCTCATCACGCCTAAAGAGACTCCTATCGATGAGCAAGGCAGGATCGACTACATTGGCGCATTTTCCGGACTGGGTAGCCTGTTGATTTTTAATATTGTGTGCAAGTAAGTCTGGGACGAATCGGATTAAACATAATGCACAAACAATAATTGACCATGTCTTCCAGTCAAGCGCCATCAGTCGGTTGGTCAGCACCATCCGTGATAGGCTGCCTCTCTGCGACGGCGGTCTTATTTGGCGCGTTTCTCATCTGGGAGAAGAAGTTTTTAAAGGAACCAATTATGCCTCTTAGCATATTTAAAGCCCCATCTTTCTCGGCACTGCTATGCGTTGTCTTGCTTAGCTACATGGGTTTTGGCATAGCAATCTGGTACTCGATATCCTGGATGCAGGTTTTCAGAAACACGTCCGTTCTTCAGACGGGGATCAACTTCATCCCCTTTGGAATTGCTTCACTCATAGCCGTGTTCCTCACGGCCTGGCTTGTATCCCGAGTATCTGCTCAATGGATCATGGCCGTTGGTGTGGGTGTGATTCTCGTGGCCAGCATCCTTCTTGCGACAATGCCAGAACAACAAACATATTGGGCGCAAGTCTTCCCAGCCATGGTGCTAACGGGGTTTTGTCCTGATCTAGTCTTCGTAGCAGCGCAGGTTATCGCCAGCAATAGCGTGAACCGTCGCCAGCAAGGTGTGGCCAGTAGTTTGGTGGGCACCTTGAATCTGTACGGCAATAGTCTAGGGCTTGGGATTGCTGCCATTATCGAGACGGAGGTTGATAAAAAAGGCGCAGAAGCAACCAGCGGCTACAGAGCTGCCTTATATTTCTCCGCAGGAATTGCACTCGTCGGCTTGTGTTTAGATATTTGCTTTGTGAGGGTGCCAAAAATTGATCACAATGGCTGGGACGATGATGGAGTTGCAGAAACCGAAGGAAATAGGTTAGAGGCGACCTCTACGGCTCTTTCGCTGTAGACGAGGTTCCTGAGACACTTTTTTATTTTTGGTGGGGGAGGGGGGACAGAGTCTCACAGAAAACGATAATAATTGGGTTTGTACCGAATCATATTGTAAACGCAATGTATGACGTGCTCATTCCCAAAGCAGTGTTTGCGGACCTCTAGTAGAAATATAAGACCACTTCCCCAATGCTCTTGCTAATATGGCACTTCTGCCTGTCAAAATTTTGACTACCACCACCCCCCCCCCCCCCCCCCCCCCCCCCCCCCCAAATGTCTCAAGACGGGAAAATTCAATGGCTCACCATGATCGAGCGACTAGTAGGTAAACAAGCAATGTTCGATGAACAAGCGCATAGACAGAGATTTCGGCTTGCTCTTAAGCTTTAGCCGGGTTTGTAGGCAGGATTATCGGCGACACCCGTGGTTAAGACCATATATTGACTGCTGTTCTTCAATCCTCATTCGTAGTGGTCCATAACTCACGGTCGTATGGCTCGAGTCTCGGGGGAAGGTGATGGGATAAGGCAGACTAATTATTACATCTTGATTCACTCAAGAAACACATTAAATCTGACGGCAAGTCCAGCGATCGCTATTTGGAGCCCTTCATGAATCAGATATATACGCAAGACCTTCGGCTAACGGCTCATTTCAGTGGCATTTATTGTTTGTGTGTGCAGTGCTGGCGGTGTACGTGGCAGAGGCGGTCCTGATCCCGTCGACTATCCAGCATCTGACCGTGTCCAAGCGCGGAAATCACTAGATTTCGATCCCACCACGTGTCATATGATAGTTCCTACTATGATCAGCCGGCAGCAGACCTCGAGACCTACTCGAAGTTCCTCCTCTATATAATGTATTCCCGCCAAGGAAATGTCAGCTGAGAGCATTGGCAACACCAGGGTCCATGGTAATGAATACCAGAGCTGCCACTCATTCGCCCGCTGCGCATTTCCCGGCCCCAGCCATAGTGATGAAGTATTTCAAGAACCGAAAACACCCTGACTTTGCCGCACACTTCGAGAGGTCTTTCCTTACTTGTTCCTTCTCAAGTTGTCTTAACTCATTGAACTCAATGGCGGACAGTATAAAAAGCTTTGCACATGTTGCTACTTTGCCACCCAGAAGAAGGCAGAATTTTTGTATCAAGATGCTGATCGAGAATGACCAATCTGTGGATTGGTATTACACCATCTCACCCAACGTGCTCAACTGGACTTTGTTGGCAGGTTACATCGTTCTCCCTTCCACGTTCACGACTATGAATCGCTCCGAAGCTTTCAACATCATGTGGAAGACAACGAACTTGCGCTGAAAGTATTTCAGAATCCTCCTTTACTTGGACTTGCACTGTTCTTGTTTATTGTTTCTCTGCTAGGGTTAACGTATATATGGTGGGTCTGGAAGCGCAATTATATCTGGAGCCTCAACAATATCATCACGCAAGTCCATCAGAGACTCTTTTGAGGTTAGATAGTAACCTTTCTAACGACTGAAGGTTAGGCCACTCCTCACAAACTCATTACTTGGCTTCAGCACGACCTTGCTAAACGTATACGCTGTACAGGATGGTACATGGTCGGCCATCGCCATAGCTTCCATAAGTGCAACGAGCTTCTGCTTACTCACAGCCATTGTTGGGTATACAATCTATAGTATATGGCTTTTGAAACCAATCAGAGCAGCTCAAGCCGCCCAGGCCGCTGAAGGCTGTAGCACGGCCGACACCGCGACTCACGGGAAAAGAGTGACGTGAAATATGATCAATCCTTCCGACAAAGCATCGCCTGGTAAATCAACTTTCGTGTTTCACGCATGGAGGAGTTACAAGGCGATCAGCATATGGATGACAAAAGCCAGCATGATCACACTGACCCATTACCCAAGAAATATAACCACTGGCTCAAACCGTAATTAAATTGCGCACAAGATTGTTAGGTACGGCAGGTGTCAGGGCGAAGACGTTGGCTTGGCGAAATGACACGGTTATTACTATCCTATGCACTACGTATGAAGTACAAGACAAGGACGAAGGAGAAAAGAGAGAACAGTTCATAACACCGAGACAATCTCGGTGTTTCATAATCGAAAATATAATTCCACCGGTTTCCATTCCATTCTATGATATTGGCTGTTCGTGATGTCTGCTAGTTCCATAGCACAACCTTAGATGTCCACGGAAGTTCCCAGGACAGATTGTGGCAACCGATAAAGTGTAGCATTGGAGTAAATATTGCATAAATTCGAGATTTCTGACCTAGTCTATATCAAGATGCTCGGCGCACCCATGCTTGCCGTATCAAGTCAGTTCAAGAAAGTGCAATCTCTGGAAAGTGTTCATTGCTATCTCTCCTTTATGATGATTCTATTGGAATCTCGTCCCATGAACATCGAGACACAGAATCGTCCTCAGAACTGTAATGTAGGAGTCTTCCTAGTTCCAAACATGCGGCTTCATTTTCCTTATCCAACTTCGTTACTTCTTGGATTCCGGCTAGCTCGAACGCATAGACAGCCTTGCAAGCACATGCACTTCCAAAGAATCTGAGTGCAATGAAGACAGCGTCCACCATGGAGATGAAGATCAACCCTGATAAAACAAGAGATCCAAATAGGATATGCAACACTGTGCCCACATACAATAGCCACACCCATAAACGACCGCGTTCTGTTCCTGTACTCCATTTCAACGTCCAATTGGCCTGAAGTTTAGAAAGCACCAACTCTCGTCTCACATCAAGGAATACCCATCGCAAGGTCGTTCCGTCTGCAATTACTTGCACCTTCCGATGAAGAGCAAAGACGCCAGCAAAATGAACAAGCACAGCAAGAGACACCCACAGTGCGGGCAGTCCTTCAAACCCAAGAGAAAATACAGTAACTGCCCAGATGCAGAGTTGGTAAGCCAGTATTGCAACATTAACCGCGGCACCTAGCGCCACAAGGTACTGGGCCAATAATATAAAACTTGTGGACCATACTGGCAAAGATAGTACTCTTTTGTCAGCGCCCACCCGCTTCTCTAAAGCTTCATCGTATTCAGTATTACGAAGGGATACGGCGGTTGGAGAACCGGCAGCCAGCAACATCGCTAGAATCGGGCGTCGGAGGCCTAGCAGGCCCTGTTCCACAGTAGATGGGCCTAGCTGGGAGAGAATAACTGGAAGAAGACCCAGGAGCACTGAAGCAGCAGCCATCTCCGATTTGCGGTACTCAGGAAATGATTCGAGGAGACATCGCACTGTTGAATATGGTCTCCACGTTGTTGCATGCAAATCCGCTTGGAACTGTGCTGAACAGTCTGTATCACCTGCTGCCGGTGTCCCCACCAACATATTTCGCAGCATATCATTCCAGCTAGGGAAGAAACGGTCCATTTGATGTGTAGTCCAAGTTCCTCGTTTGCCGTTCAGTGCCTGGTGGTCTAGAGAAATGGCCCAAACGGGCGAGATGAATATGACTATAAAAGCCAGCCGGGCCATTATGCGGTTAGGCAAGCCATTCAGAAGTAGATTTATCATTATGGGTTTCAACGCTGGTATCGTTCTCGACGGAAGAAAGGGTAGAAAATAAAACGAAAATCAAAATACGTGAAGAGAAGATGTCTCGATCATCTTTATAATTAGAACAGCGTTAATGCTTTTGTTGTGGGAAATACTGGAGCAAAACAGGCTGGCGATGGCTTGAAGCGCTTTAGCTCACTAAATCGCTGAATATCTATCTGGTGACCCATAATCAAGCAGCAGACAGCCGAAGTGGAACTCGTGAAGTGCGGAAGTCTCCATCGCCAGGGTGCCCAAGCCCCCTTGTGATCTGACTAAATTACTAGGTTTGCATAGAGCCACCGCGTAATCTACGGTGGGTCAGGAATTTCTCTGTCATATTCGAGCTAAAGCGTTCCTATAATAGATAAAACTAAACGGTAGAGCTTGGCTTTCATAAAGTCTTTAAGTGAAATCCGTGTTGGGTTGCTCGAGAAGATGCAAGTGTCGCATCGCTTGCATTGCTCAGGATAAGCAATAGCACACGGCACAGCAGCTAGCCTGGAGTAGAGCCATCCGTACTTCTACCAGTGATATCGTTTTGCGGGATTGCAAATTGTCTTTCACTAGGGTCATACTAAAGAACAGGTTATGTAAACATTAAAGTTTGAAGTGCGCGTCTGTATTTTTGTCGTCTCGTTTTCTTTCACAAACCGTAAAACAGTGCTTGGGAGGTCTTGCAAGGTACCAGAACCTAATTTGTGCTCCGAGCGCTCCATCAAAAGCGGGTATCTCGGGAAAGAAGCGTAGCTACTATATGCGAGGGCCTTTTCACTAAAGTGGAGACTCTTGGAAAGCCCGGATTAAGGTCTCCGTAGTTTTAGTGGCATTATCTTACGCGAACCCTTTTTAGGGCATATTACTTTGTTAGGAAGGCTTATCGTTGTTACATTGATTGCGTATTCTACTCGCTTGCCTGGCTAGAAAGTGCTTCGATCATAGGGATTGGGATCCAAGCGCTTCTGTAGACGGTAGACCAAGGTCGGGGGTTGAGATAAAGTATTTGCCGAAGACCGCGGCAATATCGTACTGTTCATATTCGATCAATGGCTTCGATCGCCGAGTCCAAACAAAAACCTCCGGCAACCAAGACAGGAGATCTGTTGTCCCAAATCAGCAGCATGCACTCGATGTCTTCCGCTTTTCCGACATTTGTTGTGTTGTTAGCTTGAGATTGGACAATATGCATATATGCCAGCTTGTAGTGCTTGAGTTCTTTGCCAAGGTGCGAGAATTGTGGCACCGGGTCCTTCATCCTCATTGCCTGGAACGTGTTCCAAGGACTTAACCGAAAACCCACGCAACAAGCTGTGTCCAAAGAATCTACGCCCATGGCGCGACTTTCTCGAGCAGCAGCGAACCACTCTAGGGGCCCTCTACGGCACCTTCCCGGTCTCTGATCGGCGTTTCGAATCTCGGGGCTTTTTGACGGGCCTCGGCCAGCGAATTGCCAAGCGACCGATATCTTGCGAAAAGACGCTCGAATATTTCCTGCACAACAGCGTCGAAGATCCAGTGCGAGAGATTTTCGATCAATTGCGGGATGTGGACCAAGTGCGGCACGAGTTTGGGATCGGTAACGGCATTGTCTTTGAGAACCACCCCAATGTGATCAGCGATGTTGCGGAGGAGGTTGTCGACCGGCAGGCCTCTTCGATACCGCCACAGACGCCCGATCAAGGGAAAGATCCGGGACGCATCCGGCCCGACCAGATATGCGTATACCGGTTTGACGACGAGCTCTCCACACGGCGTACCATGCTGTATGTGTCCGAATACAAGGCCCCGCACAAGCTGACCGCTCCACACCTGCGCGTCGGTCTGCATCCCATGAATATCTTCAAAGACGTGGTCAATCGGAAAACAATACCTACCGCGGCCGATCCCGACGGTCGATTCCAGTACCATGCCGAGAGGCTCACCGCTGCGGCCATCACACAGACCTACAACTACATGATCGAGGGAGGTCTCGAGTACGGGTTGCTGACTACCGGCGAGACCATTGTATTCCTGCGAGTAGACGGGCGAGAACCCGGCACACTCTTGTACCATCTAGCAGAGCCCGCTTTTGAGGTGGCAGCGCAATCGGGGGAACACCACGCTTGCACCGCAGTTGGCCAGTACCTGGCATTCAGCCTGATGGCTCTCGGCCCGCCAGGGAACCCACCCAATGTTCGATCGCAGGATGAGCGGCAGCGTGTGATCTTGGGGCTGAGGCGATGGGCAGAGGACTTTGAGACGACATTACGATCTATTCCCCGAGACGAGCGATACGCTCCGAGCGGCTCAAGCTACGGCTCGCTGTATGCGCCGACGACTTATGCAGGCATCAGCCGGTCACCGCGCGTGCCTCGAACAAGACCGAAACGTTGGGCTCAGGAAGAGGACCGTCCAGGTGTGCAGCCAAGATTTAGAGACCGGGACGACGAGTCTTCGTCGGATGAGTCCTTGCCTCCGATGCCGGACACGCCGACACCGTCTGAGCCGCGGTCGAGTAGTCAGAGCCAAGGCCCACGGCGCAGCCAGCGCATTCTGGGCCGAGCGCCGCGCGGGGAAGCTTCACAAGAGCGACAGTACTGCACACAGCGATGTCTTCTAGGACTGGTCAGAAGAGGTCGGCTTGACGCAAAGTGTCCCAACGTTCTCTTGCACCGGCAGGCTAACCTTGCAGCTGCTGATCATCTGATCGACCGTGACGAGTTCCTCCGGCTCCTATTTCAGCAGCTGCAGGAGTCTCTTGACCACGGGATCAGTCGTCTAGATGTAGGCGGATCTCGCGGCGTGCTGTTCAAAGTAAGTCTGATGGCCTACGGCTACACTTTCGTCGCCAAGGGCACGGTATCTGCTTTCATTCGCGACCTAGAACACGAAACAGCCATCTACAAACACCTCGAAGGACTTCAGGGGTCTCAGGTGCCGGTCTGCCTGGGCGCGATAGATCTTCGCGACATGGGCAGGATTTATTACTACGACCATCGGGTCTACATCGAATACCTGTTGCTTCTCTCGCATGGCAGTCCGATTGACGAAGCGGTTCGTGCTGGTGAGGTCAAACGTTGTCTGAGGGCGATACATCGGGCGTGCGTGGTGCATCGGGATGTGCGTCGTACCAATGTGCTACGCAATACCGACACAGGGGAGCTCATGCTGATTGACTTTGAGCGTTCTGTCGTCAAGGCAGGACGGAAGCCGCTGGGCAATATCGTGCCTAACAAGCGATCGTGGAATGGGCAAAGGAAGGGGCCTACGGCGTCAATGTACAGTCATGTTCCGGGAGACGCCAATTACGAAGAAGATGTACTGCAGGCAGGGGTCGAGTTCCCTGAGAAAGACGTCTTTGCAGTGCCCGCGGCATGTGCCTACAAGCCACGAAAGACGCATGTCGCTGCTGGCATGGCTGCTTCATTCAAAACTGTACCCACGTCTGGATGATACAGGAACATTTCATGTTTGAGTCAAAGCAGAGACGATGCATAACGTAGCATACGGTCCATCTGCAACATCAAAAGGCGGCGTCCACTGTGGTACTTGAGTGCCTAAATTGGCTAGGAGCGCCAGCTCTTGCCCATTAGTGACGTTCAACACCTGTTCTGGCATTGGGACGTGGGCCGGGTATGGAACGAGGTGACATCGACGCAGCTGCTCCAATGCGATCTAGCATTTTGCTAGCTCTTGGCTGATGAGACGATGCTCTCGGTGTTTGAGCAAGATTTTGTGGCTGAATTCCAGCTCAATGGCTCCCCTTTCACGATTTAACAGGGATAACATTTGGGTGCTGGTGGTTGCGTCGAAGGTGCAGATATGCGTCTTGTGCTTCTGTTGTCCCAGATCTAATGCAACGGCATCTTATACAGTATGATATGATGAAACTGAGGGTAAGTTTGTAGCGACATGAGCTCGAGGCAGAATTTGGACCCACCATGATTGAATACTGGACTACCACATCTGTGTTGGTCGGCACAACTTTGCACTTGAGCATGTGCAGAATGGCTACCAGACAGATTACGAGCGCGATCTTGACCTTGTTACAGAACAGTGTTTTCTTACCACAAGAGTCTCGAGTTTCATATGGCAATTTGCAACGTCCGTAAGCAATATTGGAAACCAGCAGACAGTGGACCGTGATCCAAACAATACAATACATCCCATTTTGAGTCTATGAGGTAGAAGGAAATCATGCAAGTTGTAAGAAGAAGCACCGTTAGGTGAGGATGATGTACATAGTACAAATTATAGCTCAGAAGTGTGAGCTTGATGTGCCTAAACCATGATTGAACAGCTCTAGCCTCCAAGCACTGAAGCCGGTTCGATGCTTGAACACTGATTCCAAGCCTGCAGACGGAAATTATTGCTTCACATTCCTGCGACTAATCAACACTTCTGTTAGCTGTAATACCTAGAGCTGAAAGATATTTTCAGTTTCCAAGTCAGCGAAATGCTCTCTGCATAGGCAGGTTCAAAATTGGTTTCCACTCTTCGCCTCTCTTCTAAATTTGAGCACAGACAGACCACTTTTGGTTCTTACCTGAAAGTAGTTTCTTGAGTAAAACCTATTCCAGACTCATTAAATCCAATTTACGTTCTAGAACAACATCGATCACTTATAGACGGAATATATCGAGAAAGAACCGTTCGACCTCATGAATCTCGGGTAGCCTTCAACTCCGATCCTGCTTCCAAGTCGTAGGAACTTGAGGCTGGCGGGCATTTGCGTCATGATTGTTTCGTCCGCACAAACCTTGTCTATTATCTGTCATCTCCGTCATCTCCGTCCTATACGTTATTCGTTGGTCCTATTCGTCATCTCTTGTTTGCTCGCCTGACTGACTTGGTACCCTTGCCATTGAAGTGGCTGGTATATTTGATGTGACCTATCAAGGGACTGTAATGGTGACGCCAAAAATCTGTTCCGGCATGTTTTCGTTTATGCCTCCAAACAGGTCAACCTAAAACTCGGAAATGCCATGGCATGGATCGATACTGGAATAGAGCGATGATATTCGTCCGGATCCCAATGTGGCTTGGATTTACTTCAATCGTGCAAGGCTAAGACACTGGCCGCACGAGTGGATACCAGCAGGAGGTAGTGGGCCGAATACTGGCAACACCTTGACAGTCTTCACAGTCTTGTGTCGACCGGTCTAATCCCGCCAAGGAAGCGAGAAGACAGGCTGGGAATGACGGCAATTGTCATAGATTCCGATGCCGACGCACTTATCATCAATCTGCCATTTTGCGCCCGTCACACCTGCTCGACACCCCTAATGCTCGTAGCTGGGGTCCCCCGACGCTCTCGTGTTCCTTCATGCTCTTACATTCCTTGATGCTTTACGTTCTTTGATGCTTTACGTTCCTTGATGCTCGTAAGTACCGACTTCTCCCTTTCCACACAAGAAATCGGCCATCCATATCGTTAGTATGTCAGTATATGAGGTGTCTCCCAGCTTAAGCTATAACGTGGGAATAGTCGGTGGTTGGCGGCTTGGTCGTCCATCCGTTGTTTGCTCTCATCGCCAGTTGTGACCCGACAGTCTGGTAAGCTAAGAGGAGGAATGCCAGGGCAGTCGAGCGTCTTTTATGCCAATCCAGAGCACTGCCTCGTAATAGTGGAGACCCCAGCGATATTTACATGGCTGCTCATGTCATTGGTGGCCATAACACACTGCTCCGCAATCTATTGATTGCAGTCCTTCTTATGTTATCCACGTACCATCACACGTGAGTCTAGTTCCCTGCGGGAGTCACTGGGGCGAACACGAGATCTGGTTGCATTATGTCCTTCTCCCCCGGCCCCCAGCTTTCCTCGACCGATTTTCTCGGTCAAGATAATGTACAGTATTGACAGCATCCATTCTCCCACGGCCCCAGGTTATCGGTCATGTCTATGCAATAAGCTGCCTCTTTATTTTTTTCTTTTTCTTTTTGTCTTTGTCCTTTTTCCATATGCAACCGGGCGTGCTCTTTATGAGGTACAAAATTCGTGTTCAGACTTGGCCTTGCCAAAGGTCGTGCCGATATCAAACTGGGCTAGCCAATTTTGAGCCCTGGTCAGAATAAAATAGCGGACTCATGGTGGGGCGGACATACCGTGTCTTGGCCCGCAAGCCAACCGCTTTCAGGGCTCAGGCAGGTCGCAACCCAACAAACACGTGGTTCTACTGTATGGCATGCTCCACTTACACTTCAATGCCTGCCTGCCTGCCTGCCTGCCTCTGGAGTGGGAATGGTAGTTTCGTCCCGTGGAAATCAGAACAGCCCAGCAGGATGCACTAGCTCGGAAGCCAAGTGGACCAAGCGGGCAAAAAGTGCTTAACTCCGCCATCTAATCAGAACACGGATCTCATTGCCCTTTCTGGGGCGGATGAGCTTGAGGAGGTTAGCCACGCATTTTATACTCACGTCTCACTGATTTAGAACTGTGTATTCAGGTGGATAATATCCTGCTCCTGAATGAATGAGGCAACTATTTGTCGTAGTGGGCTAGAAACGGCTTATGGTGCACGAAGCCATGCTCTTGCTGCGACAAACACACTTTCAGACTGAGAACAGCCAGTCTAGGCTTTTCCCAATTTCGAATTGTATTACCTGGTCCGGATAGCTCAAAACCATGACCCTTGTGGTGACCAAATCCTTGCCCATTACGTGGAGATCATTTTGTCACGTCTAGCAGCTGTGGGTACACTATTGACATTCTTGATGAACCACCTCCACAGCACATCCCATTGCGGACACAGGCCATAATTATAGAGTGTACACTTCAATACTCCGAGGCCAGTTCATGTTTGCTGAGCATCTACTTTGTTTCATAGCTGGCAGGACAATCTCAAATGTCTTTATAGATACTGTAGCCATTTCCAAATCGATTGCGGGAAACTCGTCATCTGTCTTGTTTACAGTCATTCATACTTGAACAGCATCACATAACCATCAAGGTGCCTAGGTCAGACTACGAACGGGACAACCAACATGCATACCAGGCCGCAGAAAATCAAGATTAGCAGAAGTGGCCCATCGCTTAAGCGTAAGGCCAAAGCCCTTGGCGAGAAGGCGAATGTTCTCAGTGTGCTCATGTACCACAACGCCATTGATAACCGGATGGAAATGGAGGTACATGTGCCTAAAGACCTGAAAAAGTTACCGGATTTCAATAAACTTGTTTGTATCCGTCCCTTCATATTTCATGGTCGAACGAGAATTCTGACATTTTCAGGTCCAAAGAGCCATCCGTGGTAAGGACCGAAAAGCTCAAGCTCACGCTCGGGCTCTTGCTACACCACAGCCAACAAGCCAAACTCGCTCACGTACTGCCGACAGCGGACCCAGCGAGGAGAGAGCTCAAGCCGTTCCGCTATCGATCTACGACATCATACCCGACGATGACGGAGACACTGTGTTCACGATCCATCTTCTGCTGCAGGCCGGCAAGCGCATCCGGGCCCCTCTTCAGGCTCAGGTAAGCACTCCCACAATCTAATCGGGGTAGAGCGATGGTCCAATCAACTGACCATAGCCCAACAGACGCTACAGGAAGCCCGGACAGCAGATACCAACGTTATTCACGCAGAAGAGAATCGAGCACGACGATTAGAGACGGGACAGATGATGATTTACTGTGTTACCAAGTCGGACAGAATAGCGCTTCGACACGGAAAGGCGAGATAAGACAACATAGTATAGGTCGGGCTGGACAGCCTCAATATCCGTCAGGGCGAGTCACGAAGCAGCCAGTGAGAGGCCGTGCACGGCCTCAAGCTTTGGAGACACATACATCGGCTGAGGGTCTCAGCGTGCACCGTGCTCAAGTGGGGAGACAATCTATGGCCAGTAAGGTCTTGCGGCTGTTGGCAGAGCTTGCAGGAAAGTCGCATAGAAACGTGCTAGAGAAAAGTCAACACGTTTGAGGGATGCATAGGATATCTAGGCCCGTATCCTGCAAAAAAAAAGATATACCCCCACGGACTTTGCATCCGACACCTCCTAGACCACTCTTGATCTGTTCCAGTCGATTTACTTGACTTTCTTTATGGCATCTTTCAGTTCCTCGAGTACTTCCTGAACCTTGTCCAACGCTGCAACAAGATATGCTAAACTTCCAACTGGCTCGTACGTCTCATCACCCACCGCGGAAGGAGAGCCTTCCTGGCTTCCACCAGACGAGGTTACCCTGTCGTCCTGGCTATTATCGTCAAAATAGGATCACTGTCCTCCGACGAAGAAGCGATAAACTTCCTCAAGCTATTTAGGCTATCCGAACCATCCGTCGAGGGTTCTGATAGCTCAGATTCCGTATTTCCATCGCCCTCACCGTTTCATCAGAGACTCGTTGTCACAGTTAGTATACGAAGTATAGCGAGCTATATTCAGGTTCACCTACCACCATAGTGATATGGTTCTGGTATTGGTGCTATGATCGAACCTGTTGCATTCGAGTTCTTCCTCGTATGATCATTGTTTTTACTTTAGTTCTCCTTGACCTGTACAGTATACAGCCTAGAGGACAAAAATGGAAAGGAAGGGTGACACAAGTGAGCATGTCACTGCAACAGACATGGTTAAAGTTGCCAATAAATTCTCAAGATTATGCTAGCGGGCAAAGCTTCAGGAGGAGTTGAGCTAATCAGCCTGGAGCAAGATACAAGTACCGTATTCAGGCTACATCCTGTTGTATAATACATGGTGTTTGATTTTGTTGTGGGCTTCAAAAGTGCATCAGGAATCATGAATTCTGTTTGTACTCGAAAACATACAGTGAGTAACGAAATCGGCTTCCGCTCATTGGGCAAAAATCAATATTCTCGAGAGCCATTTTTGGATCCTTTTCGAAAGTGACAGGTTTAATTCTAGCGCTTACTCAGATAGGCATTACTTGGTTGACATGAATTTGTCACATTGCTTTCCTGGAAACGTCTTGCAATTAAACATTCTTGTTCTCTATGTATGGAACAGGCCATTCAGATCGATAGTGTAGATTCTAAGACTTCAGCCAGTTCCCAGTCTTACGCTGTCCACACTATGGACACATACGGATCGTTACCCGACAAGTTAAGACCAATGTATTTATCATTCCACAATGCTCGATTCAGAAACGGCTCTCGCGAGAAACAAATTCTTGCTCTTAATGCGGAAGCCGATTTCGTTACTGACTGTAGCATGTAATAATGACTAGAGTATTGTACTCCTAGTCTAATGGAGTTGGAATCTCTCAGGTCCTTCGTACATATATTGCTTTCCTACAAGCTTCCGCCTTAGGACCTCGGAAATCCGTGTCATCTGCCGCCGGTTCTGGAGCTATGTGTCCGATATGCTTGTGACCCAATTTAGAACCTAGCTGTCTCTCTGACAAGCTTGAGCGGTACAATAATTGGAAGACATCCTGTGTTGGATGTCAAAACTGAGGGGCTTGAATGTCAAGCTTTGGAGTACGAGAACAAACCAGATCCTGTTTTGCATTCGAAAAGTAGCATAAGAAGACCATCTCGACTGCGCCCAATGCTGATATGAAATCCTATGCCAGTAAATCGAACGGTCTCTCGATCTACATGATGCTGAATAACATACTTGGTATCCTCAACTCGACATTGTCTCTCTTTTATCCCCTACTTGCCACATTCAAGGCACTAAAAACGTCGAACACGGAGGAACTAAGAGAATGGTTGATGTACTGGTCCATCCTTTCTACCGTGACGTTCATCGAGTCGCTTTCACATTCCGTCTTATAGCTGATTCCGGTATATGCATCGACGAGACTCGTCTTTATCCTTTACCTTCTCCTTCCCAAGGCGAGGGGCCATCGTCAGTTGTTTGAGTCATTTCTACGGCCCCTGCTCGATTCTCAAGAGAAGCCGATCGAGAGCATGCTTCGATTTGCCGATGATGGAGTCCAGAAAGTGGGGTGCTTGCAACAAGTTTGGAAGTTGTTAGCTACTCAGTGGCGCAACAAGCAGGCCGACAAGAGTGGATAATATGGACCAAGAAGCGACGTTACTATATGGTAGCCGCAGTCAGGGCTAACCTCATCACATTCTGATTTACGTAGAGTTCCACATGACGGTAGGAGTCCAAAACTGAGAGTACATGACACCTGCCATCTTTTTTTCCAGAATCGGACCGGCAGGTCCAGATGCAACTCTAGCCAAAACACGAAAGACCATAGCTCGGTCACATGAATCATATGAATCACATGACTCGATCCACCCAGACTCATCTATATAAGCTTGTCCTCGCCCAGATTGTCTTGAACTTTTCTTTCCTTTCTTCTTCACACTCGTGTCCATCTGGCAGTTAACCATGCCCTACCAGATGTAAAACTCTCTTCGCTGTGGCAGGCCAGCGTTACCAACCGCTTCCCCGGGACATAATCGCTGGGATGAACTCCGCTGTGGCAGGTCAGCGTTACCACACGCTTCCCCCGGACATAATCGCTGGGATGAACTTCTCGCTGTGGCAGGTCAGCGTTACCACCCGCTTCCCCCGGACATAATTGCTGGGATGAACTTCGCTGTGGCAGGCCAGCGTTACCAACCGCTTCCCCCGGACATAATTGCTGGGATGAACTTCGCTGTGGCAGGTCAGCGTTACCACCCGCTTCCCCCGGACATAATCGCTGGGATGAACTCCGCTGTGGCAGGTCAGCGTTACCACCCGCTTCCCCCGGACATAATCGCTGGGATGAGGTCGGCGAAGACGGATTCTGCAACCTGTACGCGGTGCCGGCTACGAACCTGCTCCAAACGGAGTAGAGCCGATGCAGAGACGCAATTCCTGGATCTTGGTCTATGGCCTACATAGAATATCTACATAGTGCATACAATTGAAATGTCTATACATAATCTGCCTTTCGCAAGCTCCACGTGTTTTTGTTCAACCTCAGTCTGTAGAACTCAACTGGGTGCCGCATGTGGTTGGCCAGATCGATAGCCGTAACATTTGTGCTCCTTCAGTAATGCGAGCAATTACATGTCGTTGTGACTATATGCGCCCGCGTCCGCTTCGTTGGTTTCATACTTTTCGTTCGTTCGACAGGAGATGGCTTCTGGGGGTTGGGTGACATCGTTTCGGACGGCCATTGAGAGCCAGCTTTGGTTTCAACAATGGCAAGCAGTAGTCAGCATTGAGCCCAATCAATGGCGGATCGGATCTGGAAACCGGTATTTCAGATTCTGCTTTTGTTCATGACAGCTTCCAAGCACGTCCAGTTATCGACAGCATCGAGAGGGAGAAGGCATTGTTCGGACCGTTGCTGCTGTGTAGTGGTGAAAAGTGGTCATGCGATTGCGCGCATTTGACGCGACCGACAAGTCGCTAAGGTTAACACCATTCCCCAATTTGGTGGTGCTGAAAATGGACAGGCTCCAAGCGGCTCAAAATGACATGGGTTCGATAACCGGGACAGATTAAAGAGCGGACCGATGGCCAGGCCCGCAAAACTTTTCAGGCCAGCAAGCACAACTAACCAAAACGTAGTACTGCTATGCAGTTTCTGGAAAGTCAATTCTGACACATGGAAGTTGGGACCGGATAGTTTTGCGCTGGCGGGGTCAGAAGTGGTCAGTGTGGATTCATACCCCAAATGAGAACCTATTGTGGATGGCCACTTTCGAGCTAGTCCATTCCCATTTCGACTGGTGAGTAAGCGCATCGGTCGGATTGTTGATGACAGCCACGACTATTTTTATTTTCGAAGCCCTTGCAGCGGTCTAATAATTCATCAGAAAGTGGACCAGAGGTTATCAACGCAGCGTGGCTATGTCCGGGGCTGAATTGGAGCCATTGATTACAGAAGGTGCAGGGACAATGAGCTTCTCAGTTCTTCGTCACATTCACGTAGGTTAACTCATTACAACTCGATGAGTCTCTACTTCCCGCCCCCTTCTTCTCTCAGATTTTATAATCGTTTACCATCAATATATGAGCAACGGCGCTAGATGACAATCAAGCCCTTTCACACCGTACATGTACTTTCCACCAAGCCATTTCATTTGTTTCTTCGGCGGTCATGAACCTTCTTGCAGACGAAATCTTACTCCTGATCATTGGTGAACTGGCACACCACGAGGTCTTATCATGTCGGCGGGTCTGCAGGAAGCTCATGCGCGTCTGCAATTACTTTTCCTTCAAGTACCTCAACGTAGGACCTAACTATCTCGCATTCGGCCAAGAAACAATGTGGGAGCGATTTCTGATGCACGCCGCACCGTTGGCGACCTTGTTGGACAGATACCAGAGCCTGGGCCATGTACAGATATCCCAGTCGTATGCCCACCATCCTGAAGACAAGCCTGACGGCAGAAATTCAATGAACGGTGCAATCAGATGTTCCTGTCTATAGTCAACGGGCTTGCATTATCTCGAACTAAGATTCGGGAGATGACACTCAAGGATATCAACCCACTTTATCATTATTCAAGTGACCATGGGTTCGCCAACAGGTTCGCCAATGCTCTGCTAAGAACACAGCACTCATCTACAAGGCGGCATTTCAGGAGCTAAAGGTTCTTAATATGACACTCGCATCAATGCTTGAGAATCTCGGATGCATTGCGGCTTTGCTACAAACTATGTTTCTGGTCATTGCGATGATGACGACCAAATCCTTGCCCACCACGCGGGGATCATTTTTGTACGTCAAGCAGCTGTACGGTACACTATTGAACTGCTTGATGGACTACCTTCTGCGTCCCACCCCAGTCCGCGTACACGCGGCAATTATGGAGTGTACACTTCCGTAATCTGAGGCCATCCGACCAGTTTAGTGATCGATCTGGCCCCATGAGCTAGACTGCATGTCTGCGAGACTTGATCTAACGGCCACACCGGACAGCTATCTGCGTAGGGGCAATTCATCCACTTTTAAGTGAACACAAAGCAGTTGCTCGTACCAAACCGTTCTCCGCTACCAACCAACTTTTGTTCCATATTCGCTGCGTGGTACATATTTGGCCATGACCTTGAGGGTGCTGGACTGTACAGTACTGTACATGTATCACTTTTTGGTCCTTTGGACGAACGGTGCAGTACAGCAAAGCATCCAGTGGTCAAATGAGTACAGTATGCTGGTACTGTACTGCAAGCAACAACTTAGGTGCGCTCTTCTTGGTTGTGCTGGTAGCCTGATGGGTTCATGGAAAAGTGTCCTTGAAGTATTTCGTAGAGAAACATTTTCCATCTTACGTTCTGTCTTTCCTCCTTCCGTTATCGTCTTCACCATCGATGCGCATCCCCATGTCTAACTTTCCACAAAGTCAGGACCTCCTGACTTGGTCGCCACACGATGCGGTCTCATTGACTACACTGACATCATTGGCAAGTCAATGTTCTACGATGAGTATGTCTCTTTACTCTTGTAACAAGTTGTTACATCGTTGACAGTTATGCAGCACCGAGATAGCTATCAGACCTCTGCTCCGAAAGGTCAAAAGGATGTCGTTCAAGACCAGGAACCAAACGAAACTTCTGAAGAGAAATATTAAAGAGTGAGTGCTCCTCTGTCTTTTCTCAACAACCGAGTAGTAGCAACTGAATAAACGTTCCTGTTTTCCACAGGACCAGAGCATTGTACGTATGATATGTGCCGAGAACTAGCATCAGTCGGCATTGGCTAAGATTATAACGATACCTACCCACCAGAGGGGACAAGATTGTCGAATCGTGAGTCTGTGACCAGAAATTTCTGCTTCAACTCTAGACAACTACTAATGCGAAAGAGAAAAAAGTTTTGAGAAGGCTGCTATACAGCTCTCACTGGGGAGAGCAGAGCGATCCTTCCTACTAGCCTGGAGAATGTCTCACCAAGGCACTAGATTTCAATAAATTCAGTATGACAGCGATGATTTGACACAATACGCAAATCCTGGTGCACTGGATTATCTGTGAACCGATGGATGAAGCTGACTCTAAGGTCGCACCCGATCCCACGCTGACCGCGGCTTCGGATAGTCTCGATTTCCGGGTTGACTTGACCATGAGACCGAGCCAGGCAGGCCCAGCCTGTAAGGTGCTATCGTAGGTACATACGAAAGTATAAAAGCTGAGCCAGTCCCATTCTGACAAACCCAAGTTCCTCCTCCTCCACAAACCATTCTCTTCTTTTCCCCAAACAATTAATCTGCCATGTCTACGTCTAGTGATATTAGCGAGCTTCTCAGGCCTGTTCTTCGCCCCATGGCTGAGGGACAGCTTCAAGCATTGACATGCGAACAGCATGAGGTTATGTATAAGTGACCATGCAGACGCTGCGGTTTTCGCATCGCATGTTGCAGCCTATTACAAGACAAGGCCGACAGAAGTCGTGGAGCATCTGAGGGTGGCGGTCTTGAAAGTGCTTGAAAGCATCTTTGATGAGATTGCACAAGGCCTTCGACCAAAGAATACAACTTTATATGAGGGACAGTGTGGCTCTTGTCGGAGAGAATTTACGAACCCCGATCTCCACATATATCAGGCATGTGGTTGCGTAAGTCGATACTGTCCGTATTTGACGCCTTGACTGATCGTCAGCCAGCTTGTATGCTCGCGATGCGCCTCTCTTCCGGGCAATAGACCCTGCATCACAGGTAGCCATTATAGATTCGGACGGCAGCAAGTTTTGTCAGTTTATGGTCTGGATGAACCCTGCCAGATCTGCTGAGACCCACTCGAGAAGCCAGCCAGACCTCGATGTTGTAGTGAGTTTCCCATAACGCTACTTCTGGACGCAAGTCTCTTGCGCAAGGCCAGGCCACATATTTTGCAATGCATGTCTGGAAGCAGCCAGAATAGGCGAGAATTTGAAATGTCCTATGTGTCGAAGCAAATGCTGCGAGCGATCACGGTGCAAGGATAGTTGTCTTCAGGCCTTCCTACCTGTTAAGTTAAAGCATTCGGCATAGATGAACGATGGACATAAGTCTGAGCGCAGTCCAATCTTGGTCGAGCACTTTTATCTTCAGATCTATTTGAATCAATGCGGCTCGCCGGACGTGACCATGTAAGGTGTCTCTACCCTGCTGAAGAACTGGGTGGGACACAGTCTTTGGTAGTATAGTCCAACCAGAAACAAAATCAGCACTGCTGTAAATCTATATTGCAAATATATATATCGAAAGTCGCCTCTGACTTCAGCAGGTAAAATATGATCGAAACGGATGTCGTGTAGCTTTATTTAAAAGTTGGTATACTAGTCACTAGGAACCGTTTCGGCATCTAGCGAGTCGTCCCTCACTGTCGTCCATCTTGTCGTCTGTCTAACGTAATATTTTCCTCGATCGGTTTGGCTTCATTTGGGGTATATTTCATCAATTTCTTTGAGTCGACAATTGAATCAATGGACTTATCAAAGAGCAGGACATCGTGGAGTGTCACTGCCCCTTCATTCCAGACATCGCCATTGCCAAAATATTCGGTAACGGTTCATTCAATACACATAGTGACACTCTTCCTGGTGGAGAATAAAATCAAAACTCCATGGAGCACGATCAGCGTCGCCGGTTGGATTTTAACGAACAACTGGGGAGCTAGTGGCCTTGTCATGCAGGCACATGCAGGCACAGTAATGGATAGGCATACACGTAGCCAGCTGGGGCAGCTGCACACAATCGACCCAACCACTTTAGGGATTGGTGCACTCAATTGGGCCATTGCTGGCGAGGCACTACATGACGCCCTGGTCGACAATCGGAACCGAAACCGTACCAACAACAGCGTCTGCACGAGCACAAATCCCATCCAACACCATTGACAGTGGCCCCGTCGGGGCCTGCAGGTCGCAGTCTCCTGATGCGGGGTTGTTTGACCGACGACTGTGCGCCTTCAGCCGCCCGAGGCTCCCGACGTGTCCTAGACGACAACGACGACAACGACAACGACAACGACAACGACAACGACAACGACAACGACATGACCTGCCCGATTGGACGGCGCGAACCACCGAAGCCAGTATTGGTATTATTCACTCAGAGCCATCGCATACGAGACGACTCCTGATCGCGAATTGGGAGCAACACAGAGAGGCTACAGAGCCGGGCAGGCACCCTCGACCCGAAAGCCGGCACGGTGGCTTGCATCGCCTCTGTTGATACTGAAGCCTAAATGGCTCTTTATATGCTAGACGAGCGACATACCGGCGGTTCGCATGGGCCGAGGTGACGACTATGTGTTCCACGCAGGCAGCATGTGCGGGCACAACATCGTCGTAGTGACGCTATCGGCAGGCCAGGACTATGGGACAGGATCGGCGGCTGCGCTTCCCTAATCGCTGGTTTGGGCTGCCTGACCTGTCGCGAAGGCCGGCGCGCGACATCAGGCTGGGGGACGTGCTGGTCGGTCTTCCGGAGCGACAGTCCATTTCCGGCCTGACGAGAAGCAGACACGACTCGTTCCCGACCGATTGTACAGAAATGGTGGGCGACCCCCCGAGGTTTCGCGTCATGACTGGACATGATTCAGGATCAGCCTGTTTCTAGCATGTTCAGGCAGCCTGAGATGCCAATTCTGGGCCCGCTCTCTCCACAGCCTGGATGTCGATGTTCGTCTGGAACTGTCGATAAGCAGTAGACCGGGTACGAATGTGCTCCTCTACCGAATGCGTCCCTCGATCGACTTCATGCTTCAAGTCATAACGTTACAATACTGTCTGTACAGTGACAATACCGTACCGAAAGACGACACATTCAGTCGCAGGCAGGATCCAGAGATAGGCACCAAGATGGGCAGCAGGAGCAGAAGCAGGCAGATACACCGTATACACTGATATGGTTGATCCTGCGCAGGACTCACTGATACAGTAGCAGATCACACATCAGTCTTGTCATGGTCACAGACACGGAAACGTTACGAAGTGAGCATGACAAACTCGACAAACTAGATAAGGATGTATGGCAACGACACAAGATGAGGCTGTGCATATTCTGGGTACTGCAAGTTCTGTAGTGGAATCTCTGTAGTGACATGTCTGTAGTGGAGGGCGGTACATATTTGGCCACGGCTTTGGATGGGGTACTGTGCTGCATCCCTTTTTGGTCCTTAGACGAAATGGTGCAGTGCCGTACAGTATAGTAACATCCGGTGGTCTAATGAGTATGCTGGTAGGCAACCACTTGGATGGGTTCTTCCTGGTTATGCTGGTACTGTACAGTAGGATGATGGGTAATGGAAGCGTGTCCTTGGGGGCTTTGGTAGAGAACAGCCGACAGAAGTGGTGGAGCATTTGAGGCTGGCGATCTTGATTCGCAACCAGTTGTGCACCCTCGAATGTCAATTGTCCAGATAGCGTTACGTTACAGTATAGGATGACGTGTGTGTGTCAGCACACTTCAATGAGGCTGGCTGTTTCTAGTTGTTGGTACAAAGCACTTTGGGTTGTGCACTGAAATTGGCCATCAAAGCCAATACTAGCGTGGGAAGTGAAAGAGCCGCTTGCTGTTCTGGTCGACACTGGAGCGGGACCCAAACCGAACCCTTGTCCGAATAGAAGCCCAAATTGATCCTAGGACATCCATGCCATCAGAATTTGACTGCGGTCAGTATTCATCCATTCGCAGTCTACTCGATTGTCCAGATTCTGCTACGTTACAGGATGACGTATGTGAGTCCTTTCATGTGGCTGAGACTGAAGCCGCTTCTGCAAATCGGTGCCATTCATTCGTTGACGACATGCGCTCACGACAGAGCGAAAAAGAAACAAGACAGGAAATGGCCTCGTGGACGAAGGCTGCCGATGAGGGTCACGAAATGGCTACGTCCTTTTTCAGCACAATGGGCCTCATCGCGGCGGGCTTCTTCACTTCAGGACCTCCCAGCTGGGGACTGGTGCTGGTGTCCAGACCAGTCCATGGTCAAGCTCCAGGTTCCACTTTGTCTCGATCACGAACGTGCTGTTTCCGCACCCTCTGGCCAGATGCAGGATTGATCACCTCACTAAAAGTAGCCCGGCATGGCATGAGGCCTGTTTCTGGGCCTACTTTTCTCGTGCTGTACTCACGAGACCACTGTTCTTAAACTAACAATGAGGGACTTGCTAGCTACAGGACAAGAGGTGCTCGCAGCGTATATGGAAATGAAGAAAATATGTTCACTAACCCTGATTTCAAGGTCTTTCGGATACGAAATTCTAATATCAAGCGATTTTATTACTGACTATGAGCTATCTAAGAATAACCACAATAGTCGGCTTTGCACTGGTTGAAACAATTTCTGCAGTTGCGCACTCAGGACTTATTATAACCAAGTCTGATTAGTACTAAGTCTGGTAACATCTTTTCGCCTCTGAATAATATCCGGAAGCAATGGTGGTGGCAGGGCAGATGGAGACGGCGGTCTCGAGTCTTCTGAGCATGGCAGTTCTGAGGGTTCCTGGATCATAATTGATGGCAGTAGTTTTGACGGTCCACCTTTATCAGCTGCATGGAGTTTATAGTTTTCGAGATACGGTACAAATCCATTTTTGGTTCAATGATCGCTGAACGGTACATTTCTGGAGACTTTCACTGAGCTCGAAGACAATCGAATACGACCCATAGCGCCAGAGCTCGATCACAATGTCCTGAGCTATTGGTGGATTGAATCTGTTGTCTACAGCAAGAGTAATGATACCTTGCGTAATTGACGGTTGGAGTACAGACAAGATCAAACCCGGCTTCCTCCTTTTGTCTCTCTCTTTTCTTCTCTCAGCACAGACGACCCATTTCTGGCTCTGACCTGTACGTATACCCTAAGTACTCTTTTGGACCGTATCAGTTCTGATTCCAAGAGCGTGAGCTTTAACCAGGCTCTTTCGCACTTATTGATACGCAGACAACTACACATCAATTGTACGTCATCGAAGATAGATTTTGGGCACCGAATATATGCGTTCAGGGCCGAAAAGGGCATATTCTCAAATTCCATTGTACGACAGAGGTTCAAAAGTGTACTTCCGAGTGGGAGCCAGAACTGGACTGTCCGTGCTCAAAGAGAAGAGAATAGAGAGAAAGATAGGAAGCCGATTTTGATTCTGTCTGTATAGTGTGAGAAGTTTCCATTTTGTTATTTTGGGACGTCCAGAGACGGATATTGCCATCCAGGTCCGTAATTCCCTTGAGCTGTGCCCACTGGTTCTCCTGGATAGAAAAGAATGTTACAGACAAGGTCAAAACAGGCTTCCTCCTTTTGTCTCTCTCTTTTCTTCTCTAAGCACAGACGATCCATTTCTGGCTCTGACCTGTACGTATACCCTAAGTACACTTTTGGACCATATCGATTCTGATTCCAAGAGCGTGAGCTTTTACCGTGCTCTTTCGTACTTATTGATACACCCACTACTACACATCAATTGTACGTTATCGAATATTCATTTTGGGCACTGAATATATGCGTTCAAGGCCGAAAAGGGCATATTTTCAAGTTGCATGGTACGACAGAGGTTCCAAAGTGTACTTCCGAGTGGGAGCCAGAACTGGACTATCCGTGCTCAAAGAGAAGAGAAGAGAGAGAATGAGAGGAAGCCGATTCTGATTCTGTCAGCAGGAGGTAGTGGGCCGAATTGATTGATTGATTGTATTTAACGTGGGGACCGTCCCTTACTAGGGCAAACCACGCCTCCCAGAGCCATACATCGCAGGGTTTTGGAGGTATCAGTATCTACATACATTCCAGCCTGCGCACGTGCCAGTCCACGCTATTGCAGGACCTGAGTGAGAACACTCACTCAGTCCGTCAATTCAAACGGCCCTTCATCTCGGGCATGTCCTTGTGAAAAAGTTACTCCTCTCTACAAAACGCGCCCACTGCGCACTCTTCTCCCCCAAATATTGTGTATAAGCCGCCCTTGGCGTGTGCCTCGGGAGCAGTCGGTGTCCTTGCAATTTCCTACAGAAGAAAATATGCTCTGGTGTCTTTCTCTCTCCGCAACTGCAGTGGTTATTGGAGTCCGTATGCCCGAATCGTTCATGATATGCTGCAAAGTCGCCGTGGCCAGATCTTGCCGCCAGGAGCCTGTGCAGCGTAGCCCTTTTGAATGAGACGAGGTTCTTTGACACCGCCGCATATGAATGCACATCTTCATATCTGGCTTCGTCTTGCGCCGCCCACCAGCGGGCAAAATCGTCTTTTCTCTTTCCTTTGAGATGTCGCCGTACCCATGCAACCGTAGGCAGACTGTCTATCCTCGTCTCGAGCATTGCGCCTTCCTTGGCAAGTTTATCAGCAGCTTCGTTTCCTTCGATGTCTTGATGTCCCGGGATCCACTTGACCGTCACCCCAGGACTGTGCCCTGATGCAAGCTCCTGGAAACGTAGAAAGATGGCTTGCGACGATTCCGGTGGTGATCCATTTAGCCCGTCCACCACGGATGTGTTGTCCAGACAGACAAACAGTCGTTTATTCGGCCCGATCGTCCTCGCCGCTGCGAGTCCCTGCAACGCTCCGTGCACTTCGGCGTCGAAGACCTCTGCCCGGTGCAGCCTGCCTCGGTTTCGGTACACTTCTTCGGTGGTACCGCCTTTCCTAATGGTAAACCCCCAGCCTGTGCGCTTGTGTCCCTTTTCCTGTAACTGCGAGCCGTCCGAGTACACGATCAGCTCTTCTTCCTCATTTCTCTCCCGGAGCCATTCTTTGAGCAGCTCAGCTTCTCCATCCTTGCCTCCCCGATGTGGTGGTTTCTTGAAAGATGGCCGGACCAATTCTGGCCTCGGAAATATGGGGACTAGCTGATGGCATCTCTGGAGTCTTGTGGGGTCCTTTCGCGCTTGTAGTGGCAGCCGCCGCACTAGTGGATGCTCTTTGTCGACCCGCCCAAGCCGGAAACCGTGGCGTCGGCGGATGGACTCTGCCAGTATCTCAGCCGGCGGCATCTGCGACTCGAAATGCAGAATATGGCTTGGGTGCGTTCTCCACACAGGCAGAATGGCTCTCATTGCCGTTCGTAGAACGGACTGCATCTGCTGGAGCTGTTTCTTGACACGGCATGACGAAGTCGTGTTATCCTGCCTCGTCCTTTCCCGTCCTGGGTACCAGACCTCAAGGCCGTGCGTGAGGACCGGGATCACACAGGACGTGACGGCTTTCCTTGTCGACGCTACCGGAAGACCTCTGACGGTGTTGCATAGACTGCGGATGTGGTTCGCCACTCGGCTTGCCTTGCCCGTCCAGTGCTTGACATGGTCTCTGAAAGTCAGTTTCCTGTCGAGGAATACTCCAAGCCAGCGCATCGAAGGCTCTGCCCTCTTTCGGGCGGTGCCATGGGTGACGATAGGATTGTTGGTGTCTCTTTTCCTGGAAAAGTGCATAATCTCGGTCTTGGCAGGGTCAAATTCCACGCCATTGTCTTGTCCCCAGTCGATGAGCTCTCTCAGTTGTTCTGTCGCCTCGACGGCCGTTTCTTGGAGTGTCGTCCCGACGTTGAGGATCCCAATGTCGTCTGCATATCCAAATCGCCGCCGTCTTGTACCCAGTTTTCCGCAGATGGGTTCCGTGTAGAGCATGTACAGTATGGGAGACGTTGGTGAGCCTTGTGGCAGACCGCAGTGGAGCGGTTCGACCTCGGTCAGGGTATCCTCAAACCGCACCCTGGCAGAACGCTCTGTCATAAACGACTCTGTCCATCTGATCAGAAAGTGGGGCCAACCCTGCTCCCTCATCCGCACAACCAGTCGACCCACGAGGGCTGCATCGAAGGCACCTTTGACGTCCGCTGTTACTAGTGTGGCAACTAAGCCTTGGTCGAGAGCTTGTTCAATATCATGGACGAGTGCTGCTACTAGATCGGTCGCTGCACGCTTCGGCAAGGCCCCGAAGTGTTGTGGTGCCAAGATGCCGCGTTCAATCACTGTCCATGCTAGCCTTTTGCCGACTAGTCTTTCAAGCCCCTTCCCAAGACATGATAGGAGAGAGATGGGCCGATAGGTCCTGGGGTCAGAGTAGTCCTTCTTCCCTGGCTTGGGGATCATGACCACCTCGGCTACCTTGAATGGCTTCGGGTGGTACCCGACCATCAAGCACCTTTGAAAGAGGTCCGTTACATGCTTCCCAATGATAGGCCAGCATGCCTTGAGTATCTTCACGGTAAGACCATCCACCCCAGGCGAGGTGCTGCTAACCCCGACCGTGCATGCCTCGGCCTCCTCTAGCGATACGTGCTTTTCGAAGGGGATGGGTGTCCGCTGTCGCACTGGAACTGACCAAGGATTGGGAATGTCGTTTTCCCCGTTGTTTCGCTCTAGCGTGGCCCTTCGCAGTGCGTTCGCCTTGTCTAGCTGTGTCTCAAAGATTCTGTTACCGGTTATGATCGGGGGCGCGCTCAGACCTGCTGTCATCTTGTGCCAGGATATGATTTTGAACAGATCACTCGGGCTTTTGGCTCCGTCAATCACACCCCGCCAATACTCCCTCTTAGCCTTCCTCACAACCTGGCGGAAAACTTTCCTTGCGGTTTTCTTGTCCCCTTGACTCGTATTACTTTTTGCTGCGTTTCTGTATTCTTCAACCGCGGTTCTGCATTCATCATTCCACCAAACCGTAGATCGGAATCGTGACGTCCTCCGACCAGCTATTTTGATGCAGCTAGAGATAATCTCACCCAGGGTCTGAGCGTAGCCGTCTAGCTCCTCCCCAGTATAACCTAGCGATGGAAGTTCGTGCAGCCTGTCATGGACCATTTCCACCAGCTCAGGTATGTTGTCAACTGGTACGGTCCATCTACATGGCCTTGTCACCCGTTCCAGATCCCTAGAAATTGGTACCACGACCCGGAGTGTTTCATGGTCCGACGTCGAGTGGAGTGCCTCGCTGACTGCCGCCTCTGCCATTGGAATGTCGGAGAACACCAGGTCCAATACATGGCCATCGTCGTGCGTCGGCACATCGGGCTCGGAGATCAAGTCTAGGCCATGTGCAGACATGATGTTACCCAGCATCTCCCCTCCATGGTAGTTATGGTTACCCGATTCCCAAGAGGCGTCGCCGGCATTAAAGTCGCCCGCAACGACACATCCAGACGGTGGAATCCACTCTTCCAAAATCCTGTCGACTTGCTGCGGGTCTGTGGTTGACCTGTATACGCTAACAAAAGTAATACCTCGCACCTTGACCCACGTCACGTCCCTGGTCTGGTAAGGCCGGAGCTGTTGGGCTTGAAGGTGCTTCCTCACATAGACCAGCGACCTCGGCCGCGTTGTATCACTGTCCCAGTTATCTACCGGGGAAAACACGTTGTAGTTGGGATGCGCCTTGACCATCATTCTCCTGCCTGGTGGGACGCCGATCCACGGCTCCTGCATCAGAATAATGTCCGCCCTCTCTCCTTCGTAGTCGGCCAGGTTAAGAGCTAGTTCAGTCGGATCAATGCTCCTCTGCCCCCCTGCCGCATTCACGCAGTGCACAACAAGGTGTCCGCGTCGTGTCTGTGTCTGATTCCTAGTTGCATTTACGGGCATACGATAATCGTCTCCTCATTGTTGTCCTGTTGGCTCTCGTGAGCCGTGCCTGTTTCATCTTCGACTTGCATCGCATCAGCGCTCTGCCTGTCATCCCTGGCTTCGGTCCTGCCGCTTCCTGGAGCGACAGTACTCTCTTTTGCAGAGCTAAATGCCTGAGACCTCGCACGGTCGCCTGCCTGCCTTATCTCGCGTAATTGCTCCGCGCCTGGTCTGCGAATAATTCCTTTCACCACTTTCGGCCGTGCCGGGCACTTCTCAAAAGTGGCAGCATGCGGGCCGTGACAGTTGACGCATTTGGGGATTGGCTTGCTACAGTTGCCTTCGTGCACTGGTTTGGCACAGGTTCCGCAAATTATCTTTCCACAACGGTAATTTCTGCCATGAAAGGAGAAGCAATCTCCACACTGGGGAACTCGGGGTTCCCGGCGTAGACGGTACGACGTCATGGAGTGTGCAAAGAGCCTGAATGGCCGATTGATTTCCCCCGTAAAGGAGACGAGCCAGTCTGTCTCTGCGTCACCATCAGATGTATGCTTAGACAAGACACACCTCACAGGCCTTACGCCTGTCTGAAGTTCTGCCTCGTTGGCAACAGCCGTTTCGTCGATCTCGACTGTAAGCCCCTCCGCTGTCATGACTTTTCGTGGACAGCCCCGCAGCTTGTAGTGGTGCCACACGACATGTTCTTCAATTTTCTGTGCTTTGAGAATGTCGATAATCTCGCTCTGGAGGGCCAGGAGTTTTGCCTGGGTTGGCTTGTCCCGTGGGTGCAGCGTAAAGCCGGAAGCGCACCGGGTCACCTCGCGGAGTTCCAGATAGTCGAGTCCGAGTCTTCGCACGAGGGTGGACTTGACGCCATATGGTTCGAGTCGGGAGTTATCCATGCGCACAAATATGCGGTTGTCTTCTTGCTCCTTGCGGCGTGGCCGGTCCGTACGGTCCATGCGGTCCATGCCTCTTTCATCAGCTGCTGTATTTCGCTGAGCTCTGTGCGATGGAGCCGAAGTGTTCTTCGAGGCAGCTACTTGGGCGTAGGATGGTTTGACATGTTCTCCTGTCGGCGCTGCAGCATTGGCCTTCCGCCGTGCCGACCTATGTTCTGTAAGCCAATCATCGAGGCGGTTAGCGAAGAAGGAGCAGAACTCCATTGCATCGAGGTAAAGGTCGGTGCCTGCTTTTTGGAGGACTTGATCAATTGCATGCGCACAGTCCTGAAACAGCTTTATCTTTTCTTGCTGGATGCGCAGGTCGCGTTCAAGAACTGCAGCGACCTGATTCTGACAGTTGCCAGGGCTCGTTCTGCGCTCATCATCGTCGGCAGTGTATCTTCTGTCGTTGACTTCAACGGTGATGTCTTCAATCCGTGGTCGCTTAGCTCCGATGATGCTGTTGATCTTGCCAGTACCGCCTCTGGTGTTGAGGGGGGAGGATGGTGTGTAGTCGGTTTCAGTAACCTGTGACGGGCTGCTAGCAATGTCGCTAAGTAGGACTTGGCGGAGCCTGCTCGGGGTAGTGGGGCCGCATGGCTTCCTTGGGGTGCGAGGGAGAGAGGCTCCATCGCTTATAGTCCCCGGGCTGGAAGCGGGTGTGCCAGGCGGCTGGTCTATAGGGGTTGTCATTCAGGTCAAAAAGAATTTTTCGAATGCCAAGAGATATTAAGGGTGTACTCCAGTGGTGCCACTAAACTAGCGTAGTTGCCTTGTCACGCCCTAACAGCGGGGCGCCAAGAAAAATAGTTGTAAAAGTTCGTTGATGTAGTGGGCCGAATATTGGCAACACCTTGACAGTCTTGCACAGACTTGTGTCGACGTCCCTTTTCCGGTTCTCTGGAGTCTTGAGTCGATGGGTCATACATAGCCTGGGATGCGTCATAGGCAGTAGCAGTACCGCCAAGACTATGGATCTGAATGTCGACCAGTGTCGGAGGGGTCGGCGGTTGAGACAATCGAGGCTCTTCCTGGGACGTCGTCTGATTAGATGGCGGAGTTAAGCACTTTTTGCCCGTTTGGTCCACTTGGCTTCCGAGCTAGTGCATCCTGCTGGGCACATCGGAACCGGCTGTGGTGTAGCAAGAGCCCGAGCGTGAGCTTTTCGGTCCTTACCACGGATGGCTCTTTGGACCTGAAAATGTCATAATTCTCGTTCGACCATGAAATATGAAGGGACGGATACAAACAAGTTTATTGAAATCCGGTAACTTTTTCAGGTCTTTAGGCACATGTACCTCCATTTCCATCCGGTTATCAATGGCATTGTGGTACATGAGCACGCTGAGAACATTCGCCTTCACGCCAAGGGCTTTGGCCTTACGCTTAAGCGATGGGCCACTTCTGCTAATCTTGATTTTCTGCGGCCTGGTATGCATGTTGGTTGTCCCGTTTGTAGTCTGACCTAGGCACTTTGATGGTTATGTGATGCTGTTCAAGTATGAATGACTGTAAACAAGGCAGATGACGAGTTTCCCGCATTCGATTTGGAAATGGCTATCTATAAAGACATTTGGGATTGTTCTGCCAACTCAGAAACAAAGTGGATGCTCAGCAAACATGAACTGGCCTCGGAGTATTGAAGTGTACACTCTATAATTATGGCCTGTGTCCACAATGGGATGGGGTGTGGAAGTGGTTCATCAGGAATGTCAATAGTGTACCCTTCAGCTGCTAGACGTGACAAAATGATCTCCACGTAATGGGCAAGGATTTGGTCACCACAAGGGTCAGGATTTTGAGCTATCCGGAACAGGTAATGCAATTCGAGATTGGGAAAAGCCTAGACTGACTGTTCTCAGTCTGAATGTGCGTTTGTCGCTGCAAGAGCATGCCCCGTGCACCTTAAGCCGTTTCTGGCTCACTACGATAAATACTTGCCTCATTCAGGAGCAGGATATTATCCACCTGAATACACAGTTCCGGATCAGTGACGGGCGAAAATGAAAATAAAAGCTAACCTAGTATGGCAATGAAATGCCGTTGTTAACCTGATTAGATGGCGGAGTTAAGCACTTTTGCCCGCTGGACCCACTTGGCCTCCGAGCTACGATCTGGTCGTCATTTGGGGGGTATAAATCCACTTTGGCCATTCCTGACCACTCCTGACCGCCCTTGACCTTTTTTGACCTCCTGAATCTCTAATAGTGTCATACAGTACTTGAGTAAGTGGAGCAAAATTCAATGTTGCCTTCCGGAAACTGCATATAGCAGAACTACCTATTTGTTGGTTGCGAGCCCTGAAAGCGGTTGGCTTGCGGGCCAAGAAACGGTTTGTCCGCCCTACCAGGAGTCCGTTCTTTCATTTTGACCGGGGGCTGAGTATTGGCACCACCTTTCGCGAGGTCAAGTCTGAACACGAATTTCGTACCTGATAATGAGCTTGTGGACAAACATAGACAAAAAGAGACAGAGGCGGCTTATTGCGTAGACATGATTGAGGAAAGCTGGGGGCCGTGGGAGAAGGACATAATGCAACCAAATCTCGTGTCGACCCCCAGTCACTGTGTGATGGTACGTGGAGAAGATAAGAAGGATGCAATCAATTGAGCGCGGAGCTGTGTGTTATGGCCACAAATGACATGAGCAGTCACGAGCAGCCATGCACATATCCCTGGTGTCTCCACTATTACGATGCAGTGCTCTTGGATTGGCATAAGAAGACGCTCGACTGCCCTGGCATTCTTCCCTTAGCTTACCAGACTGTCGGGTCACAACTGGCGATGAGAACAAACAACGGATGGACGACCAGGCCGCCAACCACCGACTATTCCCACGTTATAGCTTAAGCTGGGAGACCCATATACTGACATACTAACGATATGGATGGTCGATTTCTTGTGTGGAAAGGGAGAAGTCGGTACATAGGAGCATCGAGGAACGTAAAGCATCAAGGGCACAAGAGCATCGAGGAACTAGAGAAGCATTTGAAGGACTCATAGATATCTAGGTCCGTATAAGAAAGATGTCCGGCAAAACATCCCCTCCCCCACGAACTTACAATCTGACACCTCCTAGACCATTCTCGGTCTCTTCCAGTCGATCGTACTTGACTCTTTCCACGGCCTCTTTCAGTGCCTCGAGTGCTTCCTGAATCTTGTCCAGCGCTGCAACGACACATGCTAGACTTCCAAGTGGCTCGTACTTCTTATCACCCGCGGCGGAAAGAGAGCCTCTCTGGCTCCCACCAGATGATGTTACGCTGTCATCCTGGCTGTTGCGGTCAAAGTCAGGATCACTGTCCTGCGATGAAGAAGCGATAAACTTCCTCAAGCTTCTTGGGCTATCCGAACCGTCCGTCGAAGGTTCTGATAGCTCGAATTCCGCATTTTGATCGCTATCACCAGCGTCGTCGGACGCTTGTCGTTATCATCAGCATAATGAAGATGACCAGCTATCTTCAACAACACTCACCATCAAAGTCATATGGTTCTGGTGATGGTGATGGTGATCGAACTTGTCGCATTCGGGTTCTTCCTGGTGTAATCATTGCTTTTACTGTAGCTTTTCTTGACCTATATACAACCCAGTATGATGGGGATGGAGTCTATAGAGTCTGTCATATATATATCGGTCCCGTACGAGCCTCCATCTTAGGACACGGGTATTCGTGTCATCCGCCGCCGTTTCTGGAGCTAGAAGTTTCTGATAGGCTTGATCCAAGATAAGATTCAACTGCTTCTGCGACACAAAATTGAGCAAAATTGGAGGATATCCTATGCTGGACGTCCCAGTTGGAGAAACTTAATTGTCAAGATTTGAAGAGCGTGAGCTTTAACCAGTGTCTTTCTCACTTATTGATACACCCACTTATACACATTAATTGGACGTTATCGAAGATAGATTTTGGGCACCAAATATGTGCGTTCAGGGCCGAAAGGGGCATATTTCAGTTCTATGGTACAGACAGAATCAAAATCGGCTTCCTCTCTTTCTCTCTATTCTCTTCTCTTTGAGCACGGACAGTCCAGTTCTGGCTGCCACTCGGAAGTGCACTTTTGAACCTCTGTCGTACAATGGAATTTGAGAATATGCCCTTTTCGGCCCTGAACGCATATATTCGGTGCCCAAAATCTATCTTCGATGACTTCCAATTGATGTGTAGTAGTCTACGTATCAATAAGTGCGAAAGAGCCTGGTTAAAGCTCACGCTCTTGGAATCAGAACTGATACGGTCCAAAAGAGTACTTAGGGTATACGTACAGATCAGAGCCAGAAATGGGTCGTCTGTGCTGAGAAGAAAAGAGAGAGACAAAAGGAGGAAGCCGGGTTTGATCTTGTCTGTACCTCATATAGTGCATAGGATAGCAATATCAGTGTCATTTCGCCAAAACAACGTCTTCGTCCGCACAATGCTCCATATATCATATAATGAGTCGGCATCATCAAAAGTGGATGATGAGCGCTGCATGTAGGCTTTACAGCTAGAAAGAGGATGTCTTCAGCCATCGCGGTACTCCAGAGGTTCAAAAGTATACTTCTGGGTAAGAGCCAGAAGTGGACTGTCCGTGCTTAAAGAGAAGAGAAGAGAGACAAAAAGAGGAAGCCGACTTTGATTCAGTCTGTATAATCCATTGTGTAATGTATGTAAGTACATACAGTACCAGTAAAGAGCTCGATTCGTGAGATGTCAGGATGTGAGCCATTTGTGGTTACAGGGTTCTCTCGAATTCCCCAGTCCTACCGACACAGAAGAGCACTTCCCAAGCCAAGATCTAGAAAGCCTTTTTAGTAAAAAGTTACTGTATCTACGTTCGACCATCGACAAACTCCACAACAAGGGCCTACCGACATTCAGAGAATATGTACATAGTATAAATAGAAATCAGTGGAAGAGCTGAAATATTGAGCACCAAAGACCCAGGCGAGACTCAAAGAAGCACGACTAACTAGCCATCATCAACGACTTCATCATGGCCACACCGACTCATAGACCCATAGCCTCTCATCTACTCATGGTGCCTATGTCTGCTCATCACCTGGTGATCCAAGACTTCGCCGGCCATCTGTATCATTATCAAGCGTATATGAAGGAAGTTCAAGACAATAATACCCGCCTCCAACAAGTAATTGATCAGTTAAATAAGAAGATCGACGAAATGTTTGCTTGTCAGCAGAATCGAGAAAGAGTCATAGAAGCACAAAGAGAACGTATTCGTTTCTTAGAGTCTGCGCAAGCCGCACTCAGTCCGCTCGAGTTGACGCCAACCGAATACGTTTCGACGTACAATACCGAGCTACAAATGTCGTGCAATACCACACCAAGTCACGCTCCAGCGGTAGAAACGCTAAAAGAGGATGGTTTCTATGAGCAGAGCTTGTTAGCCTTAGTAGAGTCCTACGGAAATACCGAGGAGGTCATTGCGAAGAGTTCGAAGAGAACAGCCGCAAATGAGTTGGAGGGTGAAGCCGAGCGACAGACGGATGGAGAATCAGCGAATAGTGGTGAGGCTCAGTGAAATGGAGAAGATTTGGTAGTGAAACAGTAATCGTCACTCACTACAGTTATTACTTCATGTATGGCGATGTCAACTGAGATGGATCGAGGAAATGAATAGCATCGACAGTGAGTTTAAATTTCAGGCGTCGAAGACGTTCCCCGTCCTCGAACTGAGACGAGTCGTACGTGTTTCATGCCAAACGCGTTCCAATCGTGTAGCGTGTGGAATCTATACAGCGAATTCTCATCTGCAGGTGTGAGTAGTAAAATGATGCCATCAGACTGGCTGCTAGATCTTGAGACCAATACTGGACTGCACGACGACCTTCGGTCGCTCTTCAAGTATGTATGACATTCTTGAGTCACATCTGGCTCATCGCTAGTCCTGTTGTTTGTGGTCGCGTCAAATGAGCGCAATCCGCGTGACCACTTTTCACCACTACCAGCAGCACCTGCCGAAACCATGCCTTCTTCCTCTTGCTACCGTCGAACCAGATTTGCATATTAAGATGCTGATCGAGAACGACCAATCTGTGGGTTGGTATTACGTCATCTCACCCAAGGTGCTCAACTAGACTTTGTTGGCAGGCTACATCGTTCCCCTTCCACGTTCACGACCATGAATTGCTCCGAAGCTTTGAACACCATGATGGAAGACAATGGGGTTGCGCTGAAGGCATTTCAGGATCCTCCTTTACTTGGACTGGGTTGTTATGGGTGGAAAGATACTACCCGGTGGATTGGTTCACGAACGGAAAAATTGACGACGAGAAATACTTCGAAGTCGCTTCCATGACAGACAAGAGGAAGGAGCGAATTCTTTGGCTAGGATGTCGCCTCGCCAGTCGCCGAAGAGGACTAGTATACAACAAAGAATCTCACCATTTTGCGGTTCTCTCCACGTTTGAAAAGGACATCAGCTCTCTGTCGAAAGACAAGGTCCTGATGATGTAGATATGATTAACGTTGCTGAAGCATAGTGGAGGAGAAGAGGATGATGAGCTGTTTGTAATTACTGATATCTATTAAAGCTTCACTACTAAGCTCTTTCCAATCCTAATCATCAAAAAATAACAATATCTAAGTCCCCGTCCCTATTCTGATATTTGATACCTTGCCGGCAGTTCTGTAGCTGTCATAGCAGGGCGATTCACTCTGGTGCGCTTGTATACTCCTATGAAAATCAATCGTGAGACACTCTTGGGGAGTCATGCAATGAGAGAGTTACCTGTTGTCTGCTGGTCTGAATCGTTGTCCTCATAGCACCTTTTGGTGGATCAGGCAAAATACTAGGTCTGTAGCAGATATCATTTTGGATGATAGACAGATCGTGAAGTTGATGTCTATCAATCACAGATCGTTCGCAGAAAGAAGTCCCAACCTTTTGCAGCGGAGAGATATGAGAACTTCCCTGCGCGAGGCGTTGTCGTTTTCGGTCTAGCCTTGCCAACCAGCCTAGATTCTGTACAGAGGATGCATACTGGTTATATCTCAGATGCGGAAAGTCAATATTTCGAACTCTACGGAGAGCCGGTACCTTAGGTGGATCCATAATTAGGCAATGAATTGAGGGAGGGGAATTGGGAATGATCGAAATAAAGTAACCTAAAACTTCGAGGTAAGGACCGCGGATGTAGTGCCTTTATATAAGTAATAGTGAGAGATAGAACAATTGGGAAATAGAGTACGATTATGTACGGTACACATGAATCCCTTGCATGTCTCTACTTCATTATTTCGTCCCGTTGCATCTCAATAGACCTGAGCTTATATGTTAACTCCGACACCTCAATTCCAAAGGCGTCTTTGGCCTTCCCCGCATTGATCAAACTGCTTTTCAGTCTGTTCATACTCATGTCTAGCTGCTGTCGAAGCTTAATCTCACTCTCTTCTAGAACACATCCGTCTGGTATTTCGATTCTTTTACTTTGACCTCCGTTTTCCTATAAGCTGTCTATAAATTACACTAAGTCACCTAGAAGCTTGACTGTTGTCTGCCTATGAAGGATGTATATCATTTGGATCTTGGTTTCCAATGCTTGATTCGAGTGTTCGAGCTCCGATATTTGCATACCTAGATCTTCCTCTGGTGGTTCGATACTGCCACAGACGCCCAATCATGGGAAAGATCCGGGACGCATCCGCCCCGACCAGATATGCGTATACCGGTTTGACGACGAGCTCTTCACACGGCGTACCATGCTGTATGTGTCCGGATACAAGGCCCCGCACAAGCTGACCGCTCCACACCTGCGCGTCGGTCTGCATCCATGGATATCTTCAAAGATGTGGTCAAGCGGAAACAATACCTACCGCGGCCGATCCCGAGGGTCGATTCCAGTACCATGCCGAGAGGCTCACGGCTGCGGCCATCACACAGACCTACAACTACATGATCGTGGGGGGTCTCGAGTACGGGTTACTGACTACCGGCCACCATGCTTGCACCGCAGTTGGCCAGTACCTGGCATTCAGCCTGATGGCTCTCGGCCCGCCAGGGAACCCACCCAATGCTCGATCGCAGGATGAGCGGCAGCGTGTGATGTTGGGGCTGAGGCGTTGGTCAGAGGACTTTGAGACGACATTGCGATCTATTCCCCGAGACGAGCGATACGCTCCGAACGGCTCAAGCTCCGGCTCGCTGTATGCGCCGACGACTTATGCAGGCATCAGCCGGTCACCACGCGTGCCTCGAACAAGACGCAAACGCTGGGCGCAGGAAGAGGACCGTCCAGATTTGAGACACTGTGACCGAAGAAAATCTCGTGCAGTGCAAATCCATCTGTCGGGCCCTTTTCTAGTTGCGTGCATATCACTTTGGTCGTCCTGGGGCACTAACGTCAGACAATTATCTTGCAAAACGAGGGCACTGGAAGTGGATATTACCACTTGGGAATGTTGGCAAGTAGGAAGGCTGGCAGACTTAATCCTCACTATTGGCAGAAACTAACTGGAAGTATTTTTAACAGGCTTATAAGAATTAAGTTAATTTGAAGTTGATAACGAAGTGACGCATTATTTGATAGTTGATGAAATAGTCCAGATAGTCCTGTAAAGCTGATGTATAAACACTTGCACCCATGTGTAGATATTGACAATTTAATACTGTAGCCCAGCATTCTACACTAATGATTCCCCCGGAGGGAGAGGCAAGACTACGATGACTCCCTACAGGCGAAGCCTGTGCCGAGCGAAGCGAAGGTGTACTGTTGCAGACAAACAGTGACAATAGAACCTGTAAACACATTGAAAACTGCACTCATGAACAACCATTGTCAATCAAGTGCACCAACAATCCTTTGAAAGGGCAGGAACAGAGGTTTTTGGTTCATTTTTGGCTGGGACAGACAAAAGCCTGTTAGTGTTCTCTTAGGGCGCCCAGCGGGATTGTTTGTACACTAAAAGCGGAGCGAGCCCACGGAGCCCCAGGATTGGGCCAGCTCCCTTGGTAGCCTGGAGGCTAGCAAACAGCACTTTACACACCGGCCTGCGGCCCACCCTTAAGTAGAGGGTGCATTCCATTCCACTGCATGACGGTGCCTGTCACTTCGCTCCATTGCATTCCTGCCATCAACACTGGGGACAGTGTTCGCTACAGCCGCATCGCTGACGCTTCCCTTTTGCACTTCATCTCGATTGAAGGCGGCGCGGAGGCTGCCCCCTACTGACAGGCACTAAGTGTGCTTGTTGATCCCGGAGGAGAGAGCAGTTGGTCTCGACGTCACCGCTTGACGACGGAAAAGGACTGCCTTTTCTTTCAGAGTCTGTGTAGTGCACAGTGATCATGGAGGAGCTTTTGTGGTGGTCCATGCGCGGCGACCCTACCGTGGCCCAGCAGAGTGCGGCTGCATATTTGTACGACCGGGGGTCTTGTGTATTGACGAAGATGGTGGCGACTGGCATGGGGTTGTTGGCGAAGAATGGCAATTCTCTCGACCCTAGGGGCACGGGATACGTGCTGACGATGTTCTACGTGGACGACAAGGCGGCAGCAGAGTCCATGAAGACGATTGTGCAGAGCATGGAAGGCGCGAAGGGGGCACTGCGGTACTGGCACAGGGTTGATCTCTATCAGTTCTTTTCGAACAAATCCGGGTCGGTCCTTGTCGTGTTCGGCTGTTCTTATGGACGTCTCTTGCCTCTGTGCGAGCATATTGTCAACAGTGACGGGAAGTCACTTATTCGGAATGGCCAGGCTACGATGCGGTTTGGCATGCAGGAGCAGGTGTGGAAGGATTGTATGGAGAGACTGGGAGGCTCGTGGGAAGACTTATGAGACCTTGCTGGTCGTCTGTGGTGTCTGGCTTCTTGCAGTTCTTGTCTCTGTTTTAACCTGTATCTCTGCGCCGGAGGTGGGAGGACAGTTGACGATGGAGTGAATGGCATTGTGCCATGATCCCCTTTTGACCCAGTTGCTGTGACAATAGAGCGTAGTGCATTGTACAACAACACAAGCATTGTAGACTGCATGCACCCAACAAACAATCTACTTAAACCCCAGATACTGTCACCACCAACCAACATCGTCAATAGACACTGTAGCCCAGTACTCCAAATACAACCTAACCGCCGGAGGCTCAGGCAAGACTACGATGACTCCCTACAGGCGAAGCCTGTGCCGAGCGAAGCGAAGGTGAACATGTGGAAGAGAAACAAGAAGAATCCAGTTAATGAACAACAATTGTCAAGTGCACGCCAGACAAAACACTCACAATCTAACCATCTCCACCCTCTTTCTGAATGCACTCCCTTCCCGAACGCCGACATTAAAGAACTCCGATACAGGTCTACTTGCAGAATTTTCATCCACAACACCATCCTTATCAGAATCGTTAGATTTCTTCACCATGCCTAGAGCAAGTGAACGCGACATTCAAGAGGCAATTGATTTCTTGTATTCACTACTCGACTATCTACTGCGTCTCTGCATTGACTCTGTCATCCTGTCAAGACTACCAAACAGAGTCTCGGCCAGGACAAACAGGTTCGTAGCCAGCACCACGGACAGGTTGCAGAGGCCGCCTTCGCTGGCCGGTACACAGGGTTGGGACATCTGTGACCCCCCGCAGGAAACCTAGGGAGATAGGACGTCTGCGGGAAAGGAGGGAGTAATCCATCACCCCATGTAGGTTTCATCTTGCTTCTGTCAGGGATCTAAATCCGGATATACGGGCGAGACGGGAATCAATTTACTCCCTCCTATCAGAATGCCTAGATCGGCTAAGCGCAGTTTGAGGTAGGCGCAGGAAGCCACGATCCAGGAGCTGTACTTTCACTTTGCTTACCAACGCCTGCGTCTGCTCCGCTGCAAGCTTCTACAAGGAGCTTAGTGTGCGAGGAAGATTATTAAACATACCGGCGTATTTCTGCAAGAAGTCGGTCAGCACAAGCAAGCAGACTTAGATCATGACAAAGCCCTTTCCAGACCAATTAGGCTCTTGAAAGAAGAAAGGTAGAATAGAGCTAGTATGAAAAGAAGAACCAAATAGCCAAGCTGAAGACTACAGAACAAGTAGCAGCATGCCACACTCCTGCAGGTTCTGGGATCTCCTATTTTGTTGATCCGTCCTGGTTTGCTCTGATGCTAGTAGCATGTCGAACTTCGAACGAGAAGAGTCCATGGGCACAACTACATATTCTAACAAGACATGATGTGATAGCCAGACAATAATATACAGCTGGAACGTAGACCTGACAAAGATGCAGAGAGATATACGACCATACTTCTCTTCCTCGAGGACCTTGTATTCCTGAGAGAAGATCAAGCTCGCATAAGTGGTCCATCACTTTGCCGTCTCAAAGGAGATAATCTTTTTATTGATAGTTCTAAGCCGTTTTAGGGTACTGGGGTCCAGTACCTTAATACGGCATAGCTCTGGAAAGACAAGCTTCGGACTCCATAACTCCACAACCTGCTTTGCTGACCCTACGACAACCAATAACTGCACACAAAAATCCATGATCCATGCTGAATTTACCCCTTCTCAGACGTCGTTTTTAATATCATCAACGTAGATTCTCGGACGATTTCAAATGCGCCTGTTCACGATGACCCAGTAAGTACGTTAAGTATTTGTCTATGAATATGCTCTTAATCGAGGTCTTGTTTATGAAAGTCGTAGTCAGATCTACTCCTTATTGGACCAGAAGCTCCGCCATTTCGGGCTTCGGTGGCCGGCCTGTCAGATATACACCCTCAAGGCTATTGCAAAGGGCGAAAGCTGCGAAGATAATTTGTCGCATGATAGGAGGGCTAGGCTCATGAGGGTCACGTGAGCTGCCTCCATGGGTACCCGTGCGTGTATCGGGCGGAACTCTCACTGATAAAGGTCTGACCCACTCCACCATAATCTCGGCTCACTGGCGGGTTGCTAGTCAGCTAAAGTCAAGGATACTAAAATCTCGATCTGTGACCATAAACCTTATTCATACCGTACGTGCCCCGCCCCCAAAGCGCGAGGTCAAAACACGCGTTAAGCCCCTCAATAATTTTCCACAACGATTCATTGCTAAGATATTAGAGGATTTCAAAGATGAGCGGAAGGACAGAGTTGGCGCGTGAATTAGCCGCATATGACCTCTACGTCAAGGAAACCAAGGCTGCACGACTTTCCGATCTTAAAGCGCTCACTAGTAGACAGGAAAAACCGATGGACGACAGCACACTCATGCAAGGCAGATCTAAGCGGCAGAGAGTACGCGCGCCATCTCCACCCAGCAAGCGCGCGCGGCGCAAAATTAAAGACCGTCTGTTTTCTTCCCGATTGTGCAAGCCTGGTACTAATCGTTGCAAGCAGAACAACCACAAGTACACCTCAGTGACGACGACTGCGATGAAGCTGAGCTAGATCGAGCAGAATTCAGGAAGAATGACGGAGGTGACGACATGGTCGAAGAGCAAGCAATGCAATACCCAATCGCTACTATTGAGTTATCGGATAATGAAGACCTCTGCAGGGATGCTTTCCCCATTCCTTCATCACGGCCTTTATTTTCGATCACAAAAACGTCGCTCAGCAGGGTCGAGGATCCTCAGGGAAAACTCGACGATGCTGCTATTTGTGGCGCCTTAGAAGTTCTACAACAAGTCGTAGGACGTGACCGACTCCGGTATGTGGATTCTTTGCATGTTGATGCATCGGACCATATTATGACAGACTTTGCGTCTGCACGGATCCTCATTCCGATCCATCTTCCGAAGACAGATCACTGGGCATTGGCATTTATTAAAGAGTTTCGTGAAGAAATCGATGTCTACGACTCATATCCGCTCCTAGATGATCAACGTAGCGTTCAGGAAAAGATTCTAAAGTGGTACAAGATATCCTTTGGAGATCACAACAATACGGATGTCACAGTCACTGCACCTTGGTGTCAGACAGATAATTTCGATTGCGGCCTCAACATTTTGATTTTCTCGTTTTACTTGGCGGGTGGTAAATCTCCGCCCAGTAGAGCAGACAGTATACACTGGCGCCGTCTATTGTCTCAGCTTCTTCAGCCTTTATCAGAGCAAGAGAACGAGATCGTCCACAGCAAAGACAAGAGCATTAAATCTGTTCCAGTAGAATGTGTTCCCTTCATTATGCCCATACCACAATTTCCAACCTCGACAGAAGTCTCTAGCAGAGGCAGCGCGACAATTGCCCAGATCCAGGTCATGGCAACGGAATACCATAACTTCATGAAGAATTTACCCTCGATTGTAGGAGCAACCACCAGACCCACTACCAATAAAAGAATCCACGCACGTATCATTGATACGCTTGCTCTTTTGAGAAATCTTATGAGTTTTGCTGGGGAAGATCCACAGTGTTTGGCAGTTCGGGAAGCTGTAGTCCGTATCTCGCGTGCTATAGCCTATTTACAGCAGGCTGCGGAAATCATCAAAGCAGAACCGTGGAAAACTCAGGGCTAGTGGTACAACGGTATTGAAATATTATTAGAGCTCAGGTACCAACAATCACAAGTCATCGTTCGTGTGGTTTTAGCGTTCCAAGTATTCAGGGCTCATATTCAAGTGGCAATTGGGCAAGCTCGGGATACAATACTTCCACACACTATTGTCCCACACCACGGCCTAGAACGGTCCCGATAGCAAGATCTTCGCAGAACAAGATCGCAAATTGAGCTATGCTACTTCTCGCATTTTTTGCCATATTAAAAGAACTGTTTGATTGATATTGTGCCCCATAGTTAATCTGAAAAAAGAAATACCGCATCGGAAGGTGATGATGCATTTTATTGAGGAGAATGCAACATACGTGTAGGTCAGAGCTAGAAGCGGACCGTCTGTACTTAGAGAAGAAGGCAGGGTTGATTCTCTCTGTACAGAGCTATTGTGTATGTATGGTGGTGCTGTAAGCAACTGTTTTCGTTTATGCCTCCAAACAGGTCAACCTGAAACTCGGAAATGCCATGGCATGGATCGATACTGGAATAGAGCGATGATATTCGTCCGGATCCCAATGTGGCTTGGATTTACTTCAATCGTGCAAGGCTACGACACTGGCCGCACGAGTGGATACCAGCAGGAGGTAGTGGGCCGAATACTGGCAACACCTTGACAGTCTTGCACAGTCTTGTGTCCACCGGTCTAATCCTGCCAAGGAAGCGAGAAGACAGGCTAGGAATGACGGCGCTCGTCATGGATTCCGATGCCAATGCACTTACCATCAATCTGCCCTTCTGCGTCCGTCAAACCCTGCTCGACACTCCTGGTGCTCGTAGCTGGTGTTTCTCAATGCTCTTATGTACCGACTTCTCCCTTTCCACACAAGAAATCAACCATCCATATCGTTAGTATGTCAGTATATGAGGTGTCTCCCAGCTTAAGCTATAACGTGGGAATACTCGGTGCTTGGCGGCCTGGTCATCCCCATCCGTTGTTTGCTCTCATTGCCAGTTGTGACCCGACAGTCTGGTAAGCTAAGAGGAGGAATGCCAGGGCAGTCGAGCGTCTTTTATGCCAATCCAGAGCACTGCCTCGTAATAGTGGAGACCCCAGGGATATCTACATGGCTGCTCATGTCATTGGTGGCCATACTGTAACACACAGCTCCGCAATCTATTGATTGCAGTCCTTCTTATGTTATCAGTCACTGGGGTGAACACGAGATGTGGTTGCATTATGTCCTTCTCCCCCGGCCCCCAGCTTTCCTCGACCGATTTTCTCGGTCAAGATAATGTACAGTATTGACAGCATCCATCTCCCACGGCCCCAGCTTTCCTCAATCATGTCTACGCAATAAGCCGCCTCTGTCTCTTTTTCTTTTTCTTTTTGTCTATGTTTTCTCCACATGCAACTGTGCGTGCTCATTATCAGGTACGAAATTCGTGTTCAAACTTGACCTCGCGAAAGGTGGTGCCAATACTCAAGCTGGGCTAGCCAATTTTGAGCCCTGCTCAGAATAAAGGAGCGGACTCATGGTGGGGCGGACATACCGTGTCTTGGCCCGCAAGCCAACCGCTTTCAGGGCTCAGCCAGGTCGCAACCCAACAAACACGTGGTTCTGCTGTATGCAGTTTCCGGAAGGGGCCAACATTTGATTTTTTATCCAATACACAAGTACTGTATGACACTATTAGATTTTTAGAGGTTGGGCAGACCAAGGGAGATCAAGGGAGGTCACGGGCGGTCAGGAGTGGTCAGGAGTGGCCAAAGTGGGATTCATACCCCAAATGACGACCAGATCGTAGCTCGGAGGCCAAGTGGGTCTAGCGGGCAAAAGTGCTTAACTCCGCCATCTAATCAGAACGCGGATCTCATTGCCGGATGAGCTTGAGGAGGTTAACAACGGCATTTCATTGCCATACTAGGTTAGCTTTTATTCTCATTTTCGCCCGTCACCGATCCGGAACTGTGTATTCAGGTGGATAATATCCTGCTCCTGAATGAGGCAAGTATTTATCCTAGTGAGCCAGAAACGGCTTATGGTGCACGGAGCATGCTCTTGCTGCGACAAACGCACATTCAGACTGAGAACAGTCAGTCTAGGTTTTTCCAAATCTCGAATTGTATTGCCTGACCCGGAGAGCCCAAAATGATGACCTTTGTGTTCGGGTAGAAATATGGAGCCCTCCAGATGCAGCCAACCACAGACACGTCGGGTCCTCATAGCGACAGAGCACTAGTTGTGAGATTCTTTCTCTTTCGAAAGAGAAACCGGGTAGCATACGCTAGATTTGCTTTCTACACAAGTCTTACTCAATGGTTGTGATTACCGGGTTTTATTAGCTCCAAATATAAACTCCTTTCGAAAACTCCAAACCAGCGACGATTCCCATCACAATGTCACGCGGAAACCATGCTGGAAATTCCACCAGCGAGGATCAGCTGGGCATCAGGGTCACGGACAACAACAATGAGATTCTGTTCAAGATCAAGAAGTCCACTCCGCTCGATAATGTCATGCAAGCGTTCTGTGGACGTCAAGGCAAGAAAGTCAACGTGGTCCGGTTCTTGTTTGAAGGACAGCGTGTTCAACCGACTGATAGTCCCGATAGCGTAAGTGCAAAGGCCATTGCAAAGTGTATCCGCCTGATTGAGTGTTTCTGTTCCTCGCCCATATACTAATACTTGCCTTCTCCAGCTCGGAATGGTTGATGGCGATTCTCTCTCGGTCCACCAGGAGCAGGTTGGGGGCTTCTATGGCCAACATTTGTGAGGATCTCTTAGAGTACTCCGTTAATAGATAGATATGTATATATATATACATATATATATTGCTCTAGAGCTCGAAGTAGAATAAGTATCATCGTTGCTAGCTAATGGGAGTGGATCCAGTTGGACCTGTTCAGGCTGCTCTCAACAGCCACAAGTCTTTATAGTTCTTTGGGCAGGTTAAGTGTCCTAGAAAATTGGGTGGCGCAGAATGTGACCGTCAATCGCAGAGCAGTGTCTCTCTCCGAATACATTATTTCTTTGCTCCCTTCTACTCTTTGAGAGGCTAGCGACTCTAGTATCAACTTTCCAATAGCGTGCAATGGAATAGATGCAGGCTGGGGGTTAAACGTACATTGACGACTCCAATACCTGCGATATATGGGTCTCGAGGCACGTGGTTCAAATACAATCGATCACTCCACATGTTCAGAAGTCTTGTTTAGCGGAGCACAACTTTCGCTGAGTACTTTTGCCATTAAAACTCCGTGCAGCTTATCCTTGACTGCTTATTTAGCCAAATCCCTCCACCAGAGATCTCAGGTCATGATATTATGACGAATATTGAAAAAAGGTTCTGATTTTCGGTAGTTGCAAAATCATTCTCCTCGTCGTTGCACACGCTGATAAGACGCTTGTTGAAACGAACACGATCGATTGGCAGGGCTTCTTCTGCCAGGCCTAGGATGAAGTCCGCAGATTGCACAGTCCTTCGCCCTTTAGCTCGACCCATCTCTGCGACGATCGTTCTGGCGTACTTTCCTTTACTAAGCCCAAACTGTGTTGTCATCCCCGTGTCTCCGTCGGTGGTCATGAAGTGTGACTTCTTGAAATCGGCCTGGAGTGTTTCCATGCAGCAACAGCTCTTTTCATTCCCCACTAGTCACAGCTCTGTCAGTCTCAACGCTAGCGCTCACTAGCTTTGAGGGTTAATTCAGTGCACAACACCAACCTTGAGTGTGCCAACCCATATATGTCGTCTTGTAACGTAGATCAATTTAGAGCTGATAGTCGACATTGCACACCATTGGCTGCGGCTAAATCGATCATGACCGCAGTCTTGTTTGTCGTATTTCTTGCATTTGTCACCTTTTGACTCTTAGGCCGCTGTAGTTCCTCCAGCATGTGGACAAGGCACAGTTCAGTCCACTACCGATCGCCACAGCAGAAAGGGACTGTAATGGGCTGCTCTTTTTCGGTCTTTTCCACCAGCAAGTGTCTGAAGATCAATTCAGTCTCGACCTGAACGGTCCCCAGCCCAGGTGAGGACTTTTACTGGTCTTTCCCAAAGCCAACCATACCCGTTACGCTACCTTGCATGAGACTGCATGTCAATTAGACGATGATGTAGATCAGTTGGAGGCTTCGTGCCTAAGCACAACATAACGCTAGTCAAGCTTACAGCTGGGGAATTTTTCCAAAACTTCGCATCGAGCCTAGACATCAAGGCGCAATCACATTTCCCCCCTTATTCGAGTATATTTAGACTCCTGTGTCCAGCTGCCTCGCCTGACATTCACAATCATTAACCATAATCCATCGCAATGAAAACCCCGATTCATAATACTTCTTCTGCGCTTGGGCAGATGTCTGGGCTCGGTACTTCCTACACCAACCGCAATGAACAGTACCTTTTGGACACGCTCCGGATCATTCGCTTTGCGAAAAGACCACTGACAACGTTTGAGCTGCAGGGTGCCATGGATACACTGAAGTGTCACCGTAACATAGGCAAACTCAGGGACCCGTCAATGAGTACGAAGGAATTTCTAAGAGATTACGCGGATCTGATAACAATCACCACGGACCGTGAGAAGGGAAGGATTGTGCGACTATCTTCCAGAGAGGCATTTCAGCATTGTCTACTACAGGCAGCACGGCAGAATTATGATGGCCAGCCTCTCATGACAGATGTCTGTTTGGATGCATTGCTGTCAGATAAACGCACTACATATCATGAAGGTTCTCCCCAGGCATTGTTCGTGGACTATGCCGCAACGTACTGGCCATATCATTTATCAGGCTGTCCATCAGATTACAACTACAACCACAAGGCAGTGCTAGCAGTTCCTTGGGACAGGCCCGAAAAGTTATCTATGTGGAAAGATAAACTTCATTCTGAGTGTGCTGGAATACCTTCCAAAGAAGCCATTTATGCACAAGTACTTGGCCTTGACCTTTTCTGGTCTTTTGTGAAAAGGACGGCGGAGATTTTTGCAACGGACGAAATAGGGCGGGAGGAGGGCGAGGAACCGGAGGATTTCATGGACGAAACCTTATTTGAGTAGACTGTAATCAGTCGTCGCGGCCATACCGTGCACTGCGGATGCGGTCATTCAGGGTATTAGATCTCGATAATGTTGATGGGATTGTACGAGGACGAGTTTTGGTCAAGATTTTGTAAGATTATTGAATTGCTAGGTAGAGACGGACGGCACAGCAGAGGAGAAATCGACTCTCTAAGATGGAGATCAAATAGAAGATATAAGACGATAATTCGGGTCCGTTCACGATATATCCTGGTTTCCTTATGGACCCCAATTCGAGGTGTAGATGAGTTCGTATGAGGTAGTCCGAGTATTTGGGTTGTCTGACTCTGTCTCAACTGTGTTACGGAAGCGACAGGTACTGTCCTTCGATTTGTCCGACAAGAAGTATGTGTGGTCATTGTGGACGACGAACATACACTCGGGGAAAACCACAGACACATGCCCAGGACTCATTGTCATGTGACTGCCCTATTACCAATGGGCATACAATACACGGAGTCTCACGATCGCATCTAGTGGGCGTTCGAGCACTCGACCTGGTTCTACAACGAGACGGAAAAGGTCATGTACTACGCCATGGTGTCCAACTCGGTTCGGAAACCCAGCAGGTGTGGATCAGAGCTGGGTCCACTGGACACTCCGGGAGCTTTCCTTCAGGATCCTAGCGCCGTACTTGTTCACCACCGTAGATCTTGAAGTGGTAAGCTCGCAATATTCTATCAGTCTATTGAATTATTATGGATTAATTCTCTCTGTGTTGGTACCGAAGTGACAAGGAATGACGCAAAAATCGCTGGGCCCATCTGATTTTCAGTCCGGCCTACTTATTCCACACGACCGGATCAATTTTACCTGGGAGTATAGTGACTTGACAACATCGAATTTTGTCTCATGGTCCATTCGAAGTAGTACGAGTATGTCGTATGCGAAGTTATATGACAGACGCAATACTGGTGAAATATAATGCCCGAATAGCGGTTTACATTGTAGTGTGGAGAATGTATGACGGTGTAGTGTCCCGACGGTATGCCTGAGTTCTAGACGCAGCATTTGGCAGTCGACGCACAAAAAATTTCTTTCTGCTTAATCGTACTGGGATATGTTACGTCGCCCTGATCTAGTAAGTCAGGCCTATATCTAATGTATTTGGTGTATATTTCGAAGTAGCATGATGTTTGTTTGAGCTAGCCCACGAACTACGGTTAGACAATGCAGGTACGTATGTACATGGCACGTGCTAGCTGCGCCATGATTAGCTGAGTTAGCTCTGTAGCGCCGCGGGCTTGAGCTAAGCTGCACAACACTGGACGGCTTGTTCAACGTGACAGCTCTAATGGCAAGAAATTCAAAGCCCTGCGAATATGACACAACAGTGTTTGGCATGATGCAAAGCGATGCATCACGCCGACATGAGATCCCAATAGTTCGCCAGTTGCTGGTAGACTTGAGTGCCGAAGCCCTACGAGCGATCCCGACCAGAAGCTGCCCCTACTGCCCCTTGTGAACTGTTCAGAACAACGAGCCTAGAACCCACGACCGAATATTGAACGAAACACCGCAAAAGGTACCACATATCATACATGGCCGAGGTTCTGAGCGACTTTCGTCAAGGTTCTCTTTGTTCCTGTACACACACACACACACACAGAATGTCTTCCAAGTATGGAAGCAGCCACCGCCCTGTTCTTATCGAAGCACCACTCCATTCCCAGATCTGCTGCGGATGCATTCTCGTCGCTTTTACCGGTACAGCCTCTTTCTGATCTCATCTATTTCCCGCCCTGTCTCCTCTGTTTTCACCATGGCCAATTTGGTTGACGCTCACAGACAGTCAAGATAGTCAAGATAGTCGAGTACGGTCCAGACAGAATCAAAATCGGCTTCCTCTATTTGTCTGACGATAATTTCGAATGGAACATAACAGTTCAGTGTCTAAAGCGCAAAGATTTGGCTGAACCATGCATGGTCCGCATTCCCTTATGCCTGAGTTCTGTGTATGCGGTTTCACTTTGGTTAGACAACGGCTACAACGGAAAGGATTAAAGCAGAAGACGAAAAAGTTTACACCTGATTTCTGGTTCTCACGTGCGTCGAATGGGTCATCGCCACACAGCTCAGGGACAGGCTGGCGCGGTCTCCTATGCGGAGACGAATACACTAAGACAGGCCATATCCGCAGGACTCACCGCAACACCGCCGAAGACCTCTGCCCGATGCAGTCTGCCTCGGTTTCGGTACACTTCTTGGGTGGTACCGCCTTTCCTAATGGTGAACCCCCAGCCTGTGCGATTGTGTCCCATTTCCTGTAACTGCGAACCGTCCGAGTACACGATCAGCTCCACCGCGCGACGACGGTATAATGAGGCCTTCGCGCAGCCAGTTACCTACACATTCAACTTTTTCAAGATTAGTGCATGACATCCTTTCACGATTCCATGATAAAGTACGCCTTCCTCCACTAAACGCTGATTCTGGATCAGCTGATCCCGGAGGAACAGACAATATGTCGATGGCCATTCGCTTAAGACGCGGATATGTCCGAACCCCTGGCACCACCAAATAAGGACAGAGCCCTCAACTTTTGATCGTCTGCATGCGAATAAAGTTGTCGAAGTCATCGACATCTCGAGTAATAATCTTCAGCAACCATCATTTCATCCAGAAGTCGATCAAAGTCATTTGGGTGTCCCACCTGCGAGCCGCCTGCTTCGTTCGGCTGCTGCACAGGCCCGAGGGCTGGCGCCATCTTGTATTCCTCCTCCCATATTGCTCGTCCATATCGAACGGCAGCGGCTACCCATTCCTCACTCCAGTGTGTTTCAAGGTATCGTGCTCGCTTCGACGGATCGAGGAGGAGGGCAGTGACGTAGATTGGTGACTCCTGCTCATAATGGCGGAGCAGGATGTCCTAATCATGAGGTTTTGGGAGAGCGTCGTTGTCGCGCCTTGGGCCCACAAGGTGGCGGATGTGAAAGGTTGGAGGAACGCGTGTGTCTTCTCTAGGTAATTCCAATCTGATGAGGTAATAATGTTATCTCCCAGAGACCCATCATGGTCAAGCAAAAATTGCTTCACTTGCTGCTTTTTTCTGATAAGATTGTCTATCATCCTATACCATGAGTTCCAGCGCGTATTATTGCCAATACCGAGCCGTAACGCCATGCGCTCATCCCATGCAACACTGTGGATAGCAGAGTTGCGTAACCATAGCCCAATCCGGTGTAATTTGCGCAGGGCAGGTATCATGATCCAGCCGTTCCTATCGGCAGCCTTGTTGGATTTCTTATCCGGCGTCGATGTAAGATTGCCGGCTTGAGCAGAAGTCGAGATACGGCGCCACCAGAGCGTCGCGTCCGAGCTTCCGCCCGACGTGACTGGTGTGGCGCATCGTCACCACTCACCTCATGCAGGATGTGGTGGAACCGCTCGTAGAGTTCATCCCCAGTGACAGAAAGGGGTTGGGCTGTCGCCAGTGCTGATGCTTTTCTGGATATCAGAAAACCTTGGTCTAGGCGTCATGGATCAAGAGCTCGCGATACCTTAAAAAAAGTATAAAAATAAATGTCTTAAGCGATGAAGGGATGGTGTTGATATTTCAGGGGTAGAATTGGGGGCGATTGGAATAGGGCGGCAACTCCCCGTCTATGATAGTAGAAAAGGTGCGCAGAATCAGTGGCTGACGGAGGCTTCCCAGTCCTGTGTTTGCATATGTAAGTGCAATGCAGGTTCGCTGTCAAAAACCCCCTTCATTATTTTAGTTTTCAAGTCCCCACCAAGTACCTGACTTGTCTATCTTCAGCTCGAAGCCGGATGTAATCTAGGCCCATTGTTGCTTGCCTGCTGTTTTAGTGACACACGTCGGTAACGCCGAACGAAAACCTCTGAAGTAGAAGTTGTTGTATGAACGGACTGATTCGTAAGGAGAAGTTGGATAGAATTGATACTGTCCACTGCACTCCAAATGATAGGATATCCTGGACTTGTAAGCCCAAATAACTAGGCAGACAAATGCAGAAAAAGCGATTTCACTTCATCGAGTCTAGATTTGGGTGGCCTGAAAAACCTAAATTACGATCGGTGCGCCCCAGGTCCATGCAGCCCCCCTCCAATTCATGACAGAAGGAAAACTTGGAAGGAAACTGGCGCGCTCCCCTGCTTCCAGAAGCAAAATGACATAGTCCTTAGCTCATTTGTATTGAAAAGCCCGTAGCCTCACTTTTCTCCCTCCAGGAGATAAAGCCTTATATACCTGAGACATGTGGTAGCACACCGAGAAGCATCCTGGCAGTATTGTGGAACATGCAGAGCTGTGATGATGGTCTGCATGCTCAGATCACAAATATTGACTTCAAGGGAGTAGGGATGCTCGAGGACATAGTTGGACGTGGAGGAAAGACGTAGGCGATGCATCCCTGTCGCAGGGCCATCATTGCGCATCCAGCAAAACTCCTTTGTCTGCATCGCGAAAAGTCCCATGGACTGCAAATGAGAACCTGGAGTTTAAAGCAATAACACACTATACGAAAGGCCCACGATGGGCACGCGTAGAGAATGCTATGCCCTCGGGCATAGCAGCCAAGTACGCGTTTGGGCTCAGTTCAATACCCTAGAATCAAGCTGAAGCAGTCGGGGGCAAATACTACACAATATTTAAGAGCGGCTTACGGATGGATTGGTAGTCTATTGATGCGAAATCGGAACTGTTCTTTCAGCACTATGCCGTAAATAGGCACACATGTTCATGTTGCCTTGTTTATGGCGCTATCATGCTTGTCTATTGCAAAAGTTTCGGTGAGATACTTGTTGTGGATGTTTATTCATTAAATCTATTACATTTAATTGATGTGTTGTTCCATTCTGGGGCGAGTAATCCCTGATTGTGCATAGACTTGATGTGCCGCAACTAGTGCAGGGTGGAATCAGTATTTCAGGATATCTATCCCTACGGAACGTCCAATATCCATGTAAGTGTCAGGGAAGCAGAAGAAGTATCGGCTACAAGCCAATCTACGTTATTGCAGGACCTGAATTAGAACTCCCAGTCTCTGTCAGTTTAAACAACCCTTCATCTTGGGCATATCCTAATAAAAAAGCAGCTACCCTTCACCAATTACGCCCACTGTGCACTCTTCTCCCTAAATACTGTGTATAAGCCGCCATTGGTGCGTGCCTCGGAAGCAGTGTGTGTCCACGCAGTTTCCCACGTGCTCTGGTGTCTATCTCTCTCGGCAACTACAGTGATTGTCGAGTCTGTGTGTCCGAATCTTTTGTGATATGGTGCCAAGTCGCCGTGGCCGGATCTTGCTGCCAAAAGCCTGTGCAGCGTAGCTCTTACAGTAGCATACTGAGTATGTTACGAGCGTGAGCGGCGCATCAAGGGGGCCTGAGTGGTGTGTGGAGTGTGACCCCCCCCCCCCCCCCCCCCCAAAACTGTACCTACTACACCGATTTGACGACTTTCGGGAACTGGAATTGCTTCGCCTGTAGATTCGTTGTAGCCGGGCGTCGTCTTTCGCAAGCAAGCCAAAAATGAGATTCTAGACTCGAACAAGGACGCATGTTACACAGGCAAAGTGACCCCATCTCAATTGTAATTTTCTTGAAACCCCGCAATTTTTGTACATTAGCATTCCGCTATCCACGCATCCATACCACACTGCATCGCAGCTCATCATGTCCTCTTATATCTGTAAACTTCATTTCCCTTAGCGGTATCACCTCACGCCACTCATGCAATAGCTTCTAGTTGTGGATTAGAAATCCTTGGTTGAAGCAGACAGGTTATCTGGACGTCAGCACCGGTTTGTTCGAACCCATCGACGCGTAGCTGATACAGATGAATCGGCATGACATGTCGCCCAGGTCGTAATACTCTGCATGTACCTACTTGTTCCGGCGAGACTGTCGCGAAATTATTGACCGGATTGAGGTGGAATCTTTTGAAACCCGATAGCTCTTGAAATCGAGAGTATTGGAGGATGTGCTGGGTATAGTTGATTATATATTGCACCTCGCACTTATGGAAGCTGTTATGTCCATCTCGCTGGAAGTGTCACGATTCTGGTCAATAACGTCACGGAGACCACAGCACCACCAATTGAGAGTAGTTACTAGCCCAGTGGGAGAAACATTGAGCTACGTGGTTATCTCTGTATCTTTTCAAATACAGTGCCTGCGAATCTCCCTGGTCGAGAGGCTGTGCTGGGGCGGATCACGCAGCCGACTCGAAAAAAAGGGTCTGGCAGTAGTTTGCGATAATAATGTCGTTCTCTGCATGGTGACCCTGTAAAATTTGACGGTACTCTCACATATTGTCCTCAATGCTGGAGCGTGCGTGATACATGGCTTGGTTAGGATTTGGCTTCGTTTTAGCCTGGTTCTGGCTATAAACACATTGTTGCCCACCAGTACAAGCTTACCTGAGTATCAAAGTCGGTACGAACCAGCTTCCACGGCAAACAATCTGAAATGCAATCATTCTTTACACAAGTTAAACATGGCTTTCGGTCGCCACAAACTTTGCGAAGTAGTGGTGTCCAATTGCAATAATAGCGTGTGGCATTGAGAAGAGGAAAGCGCAAGAAACGACCGCAGGGATTTAGTTACTTCTGTGTACGTGTGTTAAGGTACTGTACTTCTCTTAGACATGGACTGTTACATTAACTTCAATCAATATGTCCAAAAGCCGCACAGAATCTGGTGGGTCAAACTTCTGGTGCATTAGCGCCATACTGAACGCTGAAAAATAGCTCTTTCCACGCTGTCTGGTCACTGGTTTGTTTTGAATTAGTCCAACTGATCTCGCTACCTGTCAGATGCATCATCAGGGCGTTAGAGCTGATGATGTTATCCAGGGATCAGCATACAAGCACTCCCTCGGGATCAATTAATGATGGATGAACTCCTGGTACCGTTCTCGGTGGGTAGGAGTCGAGCAGTCTTCACACGACGGGGTCGCTATAGGTCTGGCAGAAAATACTAGAGCACATGTTACCTGCTAGGTGTGTCCTCCATAAAAAAACGACTTGCCACCGTTGTCGAAGATAGCTATGGAGGTTACGGATATGACAAGTCCACGGACGATATAAAAAGGACACCGGATCACAGTACCGGTGCGCTCGCTCCTGCTGTTGTCGTACCGCAACGACATCTTGTATTCGACCGGTCCAATATCAGAGGGGGTCAACGGCGGCCGAAAAGATCCAGCGCCGCAGCATACAACATATGACATGACCATAAGTCGTACGATACGCATGCAACCTGCGAAATGCTTCCAAGACTAAATCATCTTTAGCTTACGGTCTACCAGAACTTACACTCACCAAGATATGAATGGGCAGCCAAATACCTCCGGTGCGACGAGCCTGCCCAGACCTGTGAGTACTGCTAGTCATGCATTCTCCCACTCATGCTGAATGTTCGTAGCGCAAGCGCCGTTATAGTAGCACCTCTCCCAAAGCAAGCCTTCCCGTCGGTACCGCAGCGTCAAACGTTTCCCACAACTCCAACCGTTCAAACACAGGAGAATCTTCGGACGATGTCATCCAACAACGCGTGGAAGTGCTAGACGCACACATACAGGAAGCAGAACAACTCAACGCTCTTCTGAAGTCATTGGTGGATGTATATCGCCGATTGGTCGATGAAAATCGCTCGAAGACTCCCATCTTAGATGAAATGCTTCGATTGAATGAACTGGTGCTTGAGCTGATTGATAAGATATCGCAATTGGCTAAGAAGTTGGCGGACTTAGAATACCTCTATGTGATGGATCTTTAGACATATGTGCCAGATAAACAAGCACAGTAACATGCCTACAACAATTGACTATCCTATATGACGAGTATTGCGAGCTTAAGGAATAAAATTGTCTAGCATACAGGATCAAGATTCACTTATATAGTGGGGAAAAGCAATTCATAAGGCGGAGTGGCAACGCGAAGTTTCGATGGATCTCTTGGCTGAGGGCATCGCCGAATGCCACTATACAGGCCCATAGCCTATGACACTTCCTTCGTACGACATCCTATATCGTCTAATACACAAACTTGGAATAACCTTGTACTCCCTTGAGACTGGTGCTGCATGTCTCTATGGACTTCCCCCCTTGGCCCTAGATACTTATGGTGCTTCAGATCAGCTTGTGAATTCGTCGTCTAGACCAGTCTCTGGAGAGCCATCGTTCAGAGCCACGAAATGTCCTGATCAAACCAGAGTCCTCATCGTATGATATATTACATTCGCAGTTCAATCCGTTTGGCTGATCAATCATTGTTGCGACATGTACTGTTCGTTCAGATGATCCATCCAAGTCTTGTTCGTCGCCCGAATAGAGGACTTAACTTCAAGTGCGACACCAAACAGACTGTACCTCAAGAAAGTACTGAAATATCTGTCGAACAATGGTGCATCTTTTCAGGGCTATAATTCGCTTTACTGGTGTCACCATAGAGCTGGTCGTTGTACTTTCAGCAAAGTCTACAATTACCGTCAACCTCAAGGCATACTTACAGGCGTAACAATCATGCCGTATTTCGCGGCTGCATACCAGGAAGATTTTGAAGGATGGACCACGTTCCAGTTCGGGCACGCCGCACGACCTTTGCGTACCATGATCGAGAGACTTGAAAAAGGAGGATACCATTTCCCAAGCGGCCTTACGCAAGACAAACAGCTCGTACACCCGCTTGGAAACTCCGAGGCTGTCAGAACACCTCGTGTATCACCCCGTACGAGCACCCTTACACCCGGACCAAGTCGTACGAACGAATTGCCTCCAGAACGTATCGAGGATAACCCCGATCAACACCAAAGGACCGAACAGCAGTCGTACGCACCAGATGGCGTACGACAAACAGTCGAGGCCCCCGTAGCAAGCAACCGACCGCAAAGGGATAGTAGGGAACGGTCGAACGACACCCAGGAAGTACCCGATCGTACGACTCGCTTCCCATCACGCCCTGCTCATGCATACCAAGAAGAACAACCACGGGCGTACGACCAGGACTACGGCTATGGCAATGTCCCACCGGGAGTACCATTTACGATGGAAAGTCAGGGATTTCCATTCGCACGAGTAGCAACAGTTGGTCCAGAGAATCCAAACGACCCGTACGCGCTTCCACCACCCAAAAGAATATATAACAGCACGTGTAGCCTATCCCAGATCCAGGCCTTCGCCAAGGTTTGGAGAAAAGAGTTGAACTATACAGGGAAGCCGTACGATATCCTATACGACAAAATCCGGATGTTTATAGCTGCGTGTAGGAAGATCGGAATCACCGAGGACCAATTCCACGCAGTATGGTCATATATCTTATCGGATCGTGCGTTAGACTTTTATGTCAACCATATCGGTCCCGACAAGATCTGGTATGATATCTATCGTGCGATGGATTTGCATTTCAACCACAGGGTGAACCACAACCAGTACTGGGCAGACTGGAGCTCGTTGACTTTCGTACGGATGCGAAAAGAACATACCGACAAGACCAATTCAGAGGTCCTAGAGATGCTGCTAGACAAGATGCAGTTAACCCAGCGTGCATTAGGAGCTGGATATCAAGGAGAGATCCAACTTCGTACGGCTGTTGAAAGAGCATGTGAAGGCGTTCCAGAGCTAGAACCAGCTCTGATTCAACAAAGGCAGTCGTGCGAAGAGCTATTCTCAGATATGAGAGCAGCCATCACTGTAGCGTCGGACCGTGAGCCGACTATATACCTGTCACAACTAGACTCGTATATAACCAGGTATCTCACCGACCGTACGTATACCCGTAACCCGACACAACCGTACGAGCAGAAAAGGTCAGATGCTATCGTACGAAGACCATTCCGGGACAGAAAGTTTGGATCACGACCTCAGGGTCGTACGGACAAGAAATGCTTCGTATGTAAGAAGGAAGGATGTTGGTCCACAAACCACACTCCGGAAGAGAGAGCAAAGTCTCGTACGAGATACTTGACAGCATGCGATGACCAAGACATCGAGCCTCTATCTCGGGACGATTTTGCATCGTACGTACAAGATTACGAGGACAAGACCCTGACCTAGAGGATACGTACGACTCCGAAGAGGAACAGGGACAGAAGGTTGTCCAATACCTCCTATCCGCGTCGTATATCCATCGTGCGACAGGTACAAGTGTATACGACATGCCGTACGATCAACCATTCTCGGAAGCATTTGTCCTAGAGAACCAGTATTCGCACGAGTACCAAGGTGAGCTCTGGGATACTGGAGCATCACAACTTTCTACAGTCGGCAAATCACAAGCCCTCGCATGGCTACGTGATAACCCTCGTACGAAGGTCAAATGGGGTCCTTCATCTAACACATTTAACTTTGGAGGAGGAGAACCCTTACACGCGATTGGTACGATAACGAAAGCTAATCCCCTTGGTGAGGTTACGTACTATATCCTAGAGGTAGACACCCCATTCCTGTTATCATTAAACGATGCGGACCGCCTCGGGGCATACTTTGATAACACTACAAACCGTATCGTACGAAAGGAAGATGGTATCTCACTTCCGGTCGTACGAAAATGGGGACACCCGTTCTTTAACCTGTCTCGTACGGAGGCATCCATGTTCTTAACAGAACAAGAGCTAAGGCGCCTACACCGTCGATTCGGACACGCGCACGCAGACCGACTCTACCGGTTACTTCGGAAAGCCGGTATCGAGGATGTTGATCACTCCGTACTAGAGGGAATACAAAAGGTGTGCCACCATTGCCAATCGCACGACCAAGCACCCAAAAGATTCAAGTTTACGTTAAAGGACGACCACAACTTTAACTACGAGATCTTTGTAGATATCGTACACTTATCCGACGGGAATGCCCTCCACGTAATCGACGCTTCGACGTCGTACCAGGCCGCTGAGTTCCTAGAAAAGGAAGACGCACGAAGCGTGTGGGATGCGTTATGCCGATGCTGGATCTTCGTATACCTCGGGCCGCCAGATATTATCTCGCACGACCCGGGTACCAACTTCGCATCCAAGGAGTTTAGGAGCAGCGCACGTATAATGGGCTGTACGTGTAAGGAGGCACCCATCGAGGCTCACTGGGCAATCGGAAAGATTGAACGCGCCCATCCACCCTTACGGAGGTCGTACGACATCCTGAAGAAAGAGCTCGGCCATAGTACCGACAACCGTACGATCCTCCAAATGGCAGTTAAGGCCCTGAACGATACCGCCGGACCAGACGGCATCCAATCGAGTCGTGCAGACTGTCTTTTTGGGTCGGCAAGAGAACAGGCAGAAGACGTGGACAGCAGAATGATCGAGCAACAGCTCACTGACGATACTGCCCAGGCAATGGGATCAAGCACTAGGCTCCGCTCCGAAGGAATCTGGCCAAGGAGACAGAAAGCCAGCCAATTCCCAGCACTCCCTGCCCGAAGACAATCAGCTCGATATGAACCATCTCCCAAGCAGACCGGAAACCTATCACAGCTGGCAGAAGCAGCTCTTCATCTCAGCTCATGAATAGTAGTGGATTTGCACCGAGACGGTCCGGTCAAGGTCTTCCATACGGCGAAAAAGTTCAGGAATTAGACGATCTTGATCACTCCATCGAAATTGCTGTTGGCCCTCAGTGAATATCGGTAAGTCAGGGGAACCACACTCCAGTCGCCTCGCCGCTTCACTTCCAGTCGAGAAGTGAGCCTCAATCATGCCGCAACTCATATCCGTCTTGGGTTGCTCTGCTTTCTGCATTATGTCGAAGATCAATTTATCGGTTTCCTTGCCATGCATATCGAGCATTTTGCTCTGCCCAAGTTTCTCTTCCAGCTCGGTAAGGGCTCGGTCACGATAGCTCTTGTCGGCCCCCTGATTGTATAGCGGCCTGAGCATCTCAATCACCTCTGCAAGGACACGTACGCGGCCCTGCTTTCTGGTACTGTTTCGAACACATCATGGCGTTTCTCGATTCCGGCCCCGTGCCACGCGATGGTTATGACGACCGTGCCCCGTGCGTCGGCAAATTTCCCCATTGCGGCGATAGAGAGACCTACGGTAGGTATCTTAATGACCCTAAGTCACAGGAGTTGCTAGGGGTCGAAGGCTGGAACTTCAGCTCCAGCAATTCTGACATGAACGAGCGCTGGCTGGCCAGCAAGGATGCATTTCTACCAACAACACGAGAGTTGAGGTGAATTCTGGACGAGTCATTTACGAAAGTCCTAGTTCTCAATGGGAACAATGACATTGGCGTGTAAGTCAGCCTTTATCACTTTGTTTTTGATTGCCCTATTGCTGCTATTGAACTTGTCTGGTTACGGAAGTTAAATCTTGAAGCACAGAAGATAAGAGAAGCCATACGGCATGTGGCGAAAGCATTCCCAAATGACAAATATGAAAATCGGGACGTGTAGAGAGAATACCCTCCCCATGCTTTTCGGCTGCTTAACAGGGATGAAGGGGACGGTATAGAGGAGAGGTATGAGCTGGGTTACTGGGTCGGACGATGTTTGCAAGTGGATGGGCGAATCAAAGAAGCAGTTCGATACTTGGAAGAGAGTTGCCGATGGAGGGGAAGTCATTTTCCAGGAGAGCACCGTTCTCGACTGGCGTCACAGTACTCGCTCGGAAAGGCATATCAAGCAGACGGACAGGTGAAGAAGGCGGTCAAGCTGCTTAAACACGTTGACTATGTGCTGGACAGTCAAGCGCAGATACGGCCGTCATATCTATAATTGACCAGATAATTGAGTCTGGCATTGTCAGGGGCAAGATAGTCGTTGATACCACTACAGTCCATCCGGACACGACAAAAAGCATCGCTGCAAAAAAGACGCGTACAGAAGAGCACCCTTTCTACGCGGAAGCTTTGTCATACGCTATCCTGACATCCCCCTCTCAGGCCCGGAACCCGACGGGGACACTGTCAAGTTCTTACCGGACAATCCTGCCTGGGTTCAGGGCCTACCCTGGGTGTCTGGCGTCCCGCCGAAAATCAACAGTCGCGGAATCTCAGTACGCCTCGAGGCCATCGATGCCCTTGAGACGCACTACCAGGACAAGCATGGCAAGAACAAGCTCCAGGAGCTCCATTTAGCCAATGCGGCCCGCGACGAGCTGCTGAGCCAGCTCGGATTCACCAATGTGAAGTTCTTGGACAACTCGCCCAACAAGGTCGCCTCCGCGAACCACGACAGCTTGCCTGGGTATGTGCTGTCTAACGGAATTGATGCAAACGGGCGTTTGATCGGCTTCGTCTACGCAGTGGCCCGGCGCAGATGGGTCGACTCTCACCGTCGACGAGGCGGTTGTGGATAGATCGGTCAACGCGAAGCTACTTGCCAACGGGCTCGCATACCCAGCCTTCTATGGTACCTTGCCGGCCGCGTTGCGTGAGCATCTTGCGACCAAGTCGGGAGCGGCCCGGACGGCTCAGAGGGGACTGTGGCCGCGGTCGACCGCCGATAAGGAGACAGCCGCGGAGGAGGTCAGCCCCACGAACCTGCAAAGCTTCGTCATATGGCCGAAGCTGTTCCGCCGAGTTGTGGAATATTTCGCCGATGGAAATGACGACTTTGACAATTTCAACGCTTGGCTGCTCCGCGACGCTGTGAACCGCGACGACGAATCTTCCGCCTCGACACCCAAGAATCCGGGCATTTGCATGATGTGGTGACTGCCGCAGGCAACAGCATCCAGCTGACCATCTGGCCGGAGGACTTCGTTATCAAGCCCGACCCTGCCCCCATCGATTAGATTGGGTCCATGTAGCAAGTGGCACACTCATCCCATGCACACTTCCTCCACGCCGGTGCCTAAAATGCTCGAAAGCAAGGTTGAGAACCTTCAGTGAGTTCACGGGGAGTATCTACCACCTAATAAAAAGGCCGCACATAGACGGCTTGGAATAAGATGGATTATTGTTACTGTCCAAAAGTATGCTGCTTCGTGGTCTTTTGACACCAGATTGGTTCAAGCAAGGCAAACAAATTTTCATGCAGAAGTGCATCACACAGAGTGAAGGCGTCGATCAACAGCTCCAAAGGATAAATAAGTGCTACAGAACTGATGGTTAAATTCAAACCTCTCCAAACATTGCTTACCCCTGTCACCTTGCTCCGTGTGACTGCCGTGCACCTATGAGGTGTTCCCTTGAAAAATATCAAGTTGCGAAGTCGTTCAATGGCCCTCGCCACAGGGAACAAGCGGCCAAGAGATCCCACAGCGGTTTTATGCACCAGTCGACTCATTCTGTGACGTACTTGGAATCTGCTTCTCAGAGTTGACGGAGTGGCGGGGGTTGTCCTTGAGGTCCGGTCACCCTGTGTCTGCGGTTGGGAATGACCTCTTGACATTGTTGGCGGTGTTCCCCATCGGCGGTGGCGCCCATGCGCGCTGTCGCGCATGCATAGGTTTCGACAGTCCGCAATTGGTGCTGGAATCAATTTTTCCAGTTTCCAGCTCCCAGCTCTGACAGCACGTGTGTGGCGGTGGCCCCCATGTGCGCTGTTACCACTCGGCGGTGGCCCCCATGCGCGCCGTCACCCCATTCACAGCTTTTACAGCCCGCATTTGGTGCTGGTGCTGGAACCAAATTTTCCGGTTCCCAGCTCCCAGCTCTGACGGGCACTTGTGTGGCGGTGGTGGTCAGACATTTCTAGTGCTGATGTCCTGGAACGGATTTTATGGGGTTTTATAGCTGTTTGTGACCTTCTGTCGAAGCGACGTGCTGATGAAGCCGAACGTGAACGACGCGATGAGAAGCGACGTGCTGATGAAGCCGAGAAACGACAAGAAGAGGCTGAACTGTTGACGCGACGGACAACTTTGGACGAATACATTGCCGCAACTCATGACCTCGTAGCCAGCCACTTCGCCGTCGAGACCGACAAGGAGCTCACCTCGAAAGGGCCCATCACAAACCCGCTCAACAAGCTGTGTCTAAAGAACCTACGCCCATGGCCCGACTTTCTCGAGCAGCAGCGAACCACTCTAGGGGCCCTTTACGGCACCTTCCCGGTCTCTGATCGGCGTTTCGAATATCGGGGCTTTTTGACGAGCCTCGGCCAGCGAATTGCCAAGCGACCGATATCTTGCGAAAAGACGCTCGAATATTTCCTGCACAACAGCGTCGAAGATCCAGTGCGAGAGATTTTCGATCAATTGCGGGATGTGGACCAAGTGCGGCACGAGTTTGGGGATCGGTAACGGCATTGTCTTTGAGAACCACCCCAATGTGATCAGCGATGTTGCGGAGGAGGTTGTCGACCGGCAGGCCTCATCGATACCGCCACAGACGCCCGATCAAGGGAAACATCCGGGACGCATCCGCCCCAATCAGTCATGCGTATACCAGTTTGACGACGAGCTCTCCACACGGCGTACCATGCTGTATGTGTCCAAATACAAGGCCCCGCACAAGCTGACCGCTCCATACCTGCGTGTCGGTCTGCATCCCATGGATATCTTCAAAGACGTGGTCAATCGGACAACAATACCTACCGCGGCCGATCCCGACGGTCGATTCCAGACCCTGCCGAGAGGCTCACCGCTGCGGCCATCACACAGACCTACAACTACATGATCGAGGGGGGTCTCGAGTACGGGTTGCTGACTACTGGCGAGACCATTGTATTCTTGCGAGTAGACTGGCGAGAACCCGGCACACTCTTGTACCCATCTAGCAGAGCCCGCTTTTGAGGTGGCAGCGCAATCGGGGGAACACCACGCTTGCACCGCAGTTGGCCAGTACCTGGCATTCAGCCTGATGGCTCTCGGCCCGCCAGGGAACCCACCCAATGTTCGATCGCAGGATGAGCGGCAGCGTGTAATCTTGGGGCTGAGGCGATGGGCGGAGGACTTTGAGACGACATTGCGATCTATTCCCCGAGACGAGCGATACGCTCCGAGCAGCTCAAGCTCCGGCTCGCTGTATGCGCCGACGACTTATGCAGGCATCAGCCGGTCACCGCGCGTGCCTCGAACAAGACCCAAACGTTGGGCTCAGGAAGAGGACTGTCCAGATGTGCAGCCAAGATTTAGGGACCGGGACGACGAGTCTTCGTCGGATGAGTCCTTGCCTCCGATGCCGGACACGCCGACACAGTAGTCAGAGCCAAGGCCCCCGGCGCAGCCAGCGCATTCTGGCCGAGCGCCGCGCGGGGAAGCTTCACAAGAGCGACAGTACTGCACACAGCGATGTCATCTAGGACTGGTCAGAAGAGGTCGGCTTGACGCAAATTGTCCCAACGTTCTCTTGCACTGGCAGGCTAACCTTGCAGCTGCTGATCATCTGATCGACCGTGACGAGTTCCTCCGGCTCCTATTTCAGCAGCTGCAGGAGTCTCTCGACCACGGGATCAGTCGTCTAGATGTGGGCGGATCTCGCGGCGTGCTGTTCAAAGTAAGTCTGATGGCTTACGGCTACACTTTCGTCGCCAAGGGCACGGTATCTGCTTTAGATCTTCGCGACATGGGCAGGATTTATTACTACGACCATCGGGTTTACATCGAATACCTGTTGCTTCTCTCGCATGGCAGTCCGATTGACGAAGCGGTTCGTGCTGGTGAGGTCAAACGTTGTCTGCGGGCGATACATCGGGTGTGCGTGGTGCATCGGGACGTGCGTCGTACCAATGTGCTACGCAATACCGACACAGGGGAGCTCATGCTGATTGACTTTGAGTGTTCTGTCGTCAAGGCAGGACGGAAGCCGCTGGGCAATATCGTGCCTAACAAGCGATCGTGGAATGGGCAAAGGAAGGGGACTACGGCGTCAATGTACAGTCATGTTCCGGGAGACGACAAGTAAGAAGATATACTGCAGGCAGGGGTCGAGTTCCCTGAGAAAGACGTCTTGCAGTGCCCGCGGCATGTGCCTACAAGCCACGAAAGACGCATGTCCCTGCTGGCATGGCTGCTTCATTCAAAGCTGTACCCACGTCTGGATGATACAGGAACATTTCAGGTTTGAGTCAAAGCAAAGACGATGCATAACGTAGCATACGGTCCATCTGAAACATCAAAAAGCGGCGTCCACTGTGGTACTTGAGTGCCTAAATTGGCTAGGAACGCCGGCTCTTGCCCATTAGTGACGTTCAACACTTGTTCTGGCATTGGGACGTGGGCCGGGTATGGAACTAGGTGATATCGACGCAGCTGCTCCAATGCGATCTGGCATTTTGCTAGCTCTTGGCTGATGAGACAATGCTCTCGGTGTTTGAACAAGATTTCGTGACTAAATTCCAGCTCAATGGCTCCCCTTGCACGATTTAACCGGGATAACATTTGGGGCGCTGGTGGTTGCGTCGCCGACACTTCCTCCTTTCTCGTCAGTGCTATCTCCTCTCATTTGGTGAAGCAAGATTGTTCTCTAACTTTCGAATTCCCGTCAGATTGTGGAGACAGCCAGAGTAAGCCGATTTCGTTCCTCTCCCAATCGTGTCTTCGACCCTCCTCCGGTGCATGAACGCATCCAAAACGAGCCACGGGACATTGTTCAACAGATGATGTACAGTATGCAATGGTTTTCCGATATGCTCATTCTTGGGCGGTCGACGGCATGGACCGGTAGTGGGCGTGTACTGTATGTGACCTAATGGTGGCCCAAATGCGGTTTCTGGGAGGGTCATGTAGAGTACCGACATTCGAAACTGCCGTTCATCTGCATCAGATCTGAAGCTTATATGGTTGGGGGACGAAAGACGCTGCATTTCCATGCCCGTTTCGAGCTTCGTTCTGAGCAGATGTTACACCCGCCATTCTTCTGCCGCGTGGGGCTTGTCGCGACATTTTCGGCTCGTCCTATTCAGGTATAGTGGCGATCACTATCGGTCACGTCAGTGCTCGGAGTCGCGTACAGTCACCACTTTTCTTGGATACTAGGAACAACAATCCGCATGTGAGCGGACGAGAAGAATCGGATACAACTGATCGGAAGTCTACAATAACGGCGCGCAACCCCTCAGTTTTCAAGTCATGACTGGGCACATTCGGCTATACTGCACCTAGCTATTGCCCGGTAGGTAGCACCCGGAATCCCTCGACGGAAGGGCCCGAATCATCGGACCTCCTTGAACTGAATCGATTATATGTGACTATATAGACCGATAGGAAACATCAAATCATCAAATATTTTCAATATCAAATATCGTAACCAATCAGACGATCTCGTCGGCTCTGCGAGTTGAATGCACACGATGACTGCCAAGCTCTGGAAGAGAGGAAGCATAGAACAGTGCCTATTTCCGCGAATGATTGCAGTACAGTAAACGCAGAGGAGATCCCATTGAAAGGTTAAGAAGTAAAAAAGGCAGCTAAGTACAAGATCCTTGATACATCCTGGCAAATATGCCTAGCAGAGGAGCAGACATTCTGGCCGTGTTTCTCGATCAAGGTCGCCTTGCGGCATCAACTACACCAACTCTCTCGACGCCTCCTGAAAAAAAGGCCCCGGCAGACTCTCTACCAATTCGAGAACTTTGTGCTCAGTTAATGCTGTCATGAACCGGTGAAGACGAGCGTTTATTCTCTCGATTGAGTGCATTTCCTCGGTTGTCGCAGCCCAGCCCATGCCGACGATGAACCTCAACCTGTACTCGGTCATAATATCATCCTCTGACCGGGACAGTTTTGGCCGTCCTGAGCGCGCCCATTCCATTGCACACTATTTCAGAGTCGATACTAGAGCCCCTAGTCTCCGTTAAAAGCGTGGAAGGAAGCAGAGAAATAGTGCGTTCCTCCTGGCCCTGTGTGCCTTTGTAGTAGTCCCATAGTCGCCAGAAGTCCGTGTATTTCGCTAAGAATGGTCCAGGTATATCACGCACTGGCGATTTCGAGTTCAGATATACTGTTCGAATCACGAGGAATGTTATGCCCAGGCCAACCAAGGACAGTGACATCGCAAAGAACTGCATCTTCGTTGTTCCGTAAGACCGATCACGACTTGTTCAGTCAAAAATCAAATGTAAGAATCGTTGGCTCGAACCATTATTCTGTGCAGTCAGCTGCCTTTTATATTTCACGTTCACCAAGTCTAGTCCCGGCCTTTTCGGTTCATATGTTCACTACCCAGAACGGTACACTACTGTACTCTGACAGATTCGGGGATTCAAAGCCTCTTCCTGATTCTGGTCTGACCCAAAACAACACAGTTGTCCTCAAAACTAGAACCAAACTCGCCTAGTTCAGCTAGTGACATTGTATGTTCAGAAACTTGGCCACAGCACAAACTCTACTTGGAATACAATACAATACAATATCTCTATCTGTGCATCTAAAGTGTCCGTTTCCGTACCGAGACTAGATATGGCTAAGGCTAGGTATACTCAAGTGTGGCCCAAAGCTAGCTAGTATAGTTGCGCGGAAGGACGTTTATGAACATTGTCCACTTACCCTTAAACGCAATACGCAGCGACTAAGGACCTATCCCATGTACCTAAGCATCGGTACATTTACTATGTCCAATCTTGACCCCATCTACACTGCAGATACAACCCTCACGACAGCGAAGAATACCAAGTGATCGAATCGAAAGACTCTTGTCGGGACGACGGGATGAGCTAATGATACGAACGACGACGACTACGGCAGCAGCAACGAGAACTACAGGGCGAGATGCAGCTACCGCTCAGCTAAGCGCAAATTAATACCAGGCTTGTTTGTTGTGTTCGCTGTATTTGAGTCTGAGATGAGGCGTAATTGAATGGAGCGCGATCCGCATCACGGCAACGCGGTTTTTGCCCATTACTGCACGCTAGTGAGCTAGTCCTGTATGCACATGCAGTCTCATGCAAGTCAGCGTAGTAGGTATGGCCGGCTTCAAGATAGACCACTAAAAGTCCTCACTTGGGCTGGGGACTACAGCACCTTTCTGCTGGGGTGATCGGTAGTGGGCTTGGAACTGAACCGTGCCTTGCCACATACTGGAATAATACTGGCCTCAGAGTCAAAAGGTGACAAATGCAAGAAATATGACAAACAAGACTACGGTCATGATCGATCCGGTCGCAGCCAATTGTGTGCAATGTCGACTATCAGCTCCCGAATTGGTCTACATTATAGGACGAAATCCCAAAAGCCACTTCCGTATCGTGCATTGAATTGACCCTGAAAGCCAGTGAGCGCTAGCGGTGAGACTGAGAGAGTCGCGACTAGTGGAGAATGAAAAGAGCCACTGCTGTCCTGCGCACAAAGACCAATGTACACCGTATCCTTGTTCGGATGAGAGCTCAAATGGACCTTACGGCATCCTACTCAATTGGCCCTAGCATGCGACGAAAGTGGCTGGAGTCATTATTGATCCTCGTCAACGGGCGCATCGTTGTGTTACGGCATGTCTGTGTAAGATAGCTTGTGACCATCGTAGCTATACAGTATCTTTTTGTCCATCCCAAGGCGGGGAAGCGGCCGATGTTCAAAACATGCCTCCATGGCAGTTAGTTGGCGTTGAGCTCCGCTTGATCACATCTGGTCTTGGTACAGAAGCGGACACTCTTGATGTCATTGTTTCGTTCTCAGTGCCGTGACCAGTGGGGCGGACCACTTTGGTAACATACCAGAGCTGTGCTTACTTGTCCATATGTAAACGTGATCGTCTGACTGTTTGCTGTTCTTTCAATCATTCACGAAAAATGGGACTTGGCGGTAGCATAAACGCCCTACATGGTGCATAGAACTGTCACTCTGGGTTCAGGCACTACTCTAGATAGACAAAATCGAGCAGTTCATGATCATTTGCCGAAAGTGAAGCAGAATTACGGGAAGGCCTAGCCGCCATTGGCCTGGAGTCGCCTCACCAAAGTTCTTCCAGCCAGGTATTTAAAAAACGATCTCACTACAATCTTCATTCTTTCGATATCCCATGTTACCAATGCAAGAAGAAGTTCTTTTTCGACATCTTTACACTCTGTTTTCCGTGTTGCACATGCTCCTAGCTAATATAGAGGAAGGCGACATGAATACGTTTGAAGGATTCTCCTCAGATATCGACTCAGGCACTCCAAGTAAGTGTCCTCGGCTGGTGGGGTCTATTGCTTATTGCAATATGCTAAATTTCTCATCTTAGGTTGTTCTGGGTCGGATGATTCTTTGCATTCCGCTCCCGATCTTGTCGGAGCCGAGGCCGAGTCACTGATGCACCGGGGTCTCACGACAGAGGCAACGACGCTTCAACATTCATCTGGAAACGAAATGGTTATAATCGATCGGGACTATCCCTGCAAGATCATCGGAGAGAAACAGATGAGAGGGCAGATCTGGTATGTAATCGAGTGGGAGCCAACAATAGAACCCGCGGAGAACGTTGGTTGGGCCGCAATCAAAGATTGGCAGAAGAAGAAGAAACACGAGAGACAACCAAGAGCACGATACGCAAATGCAAGAAGATAGTGAATCCGGCTGTGGTCACCTGAGCTCGACCCCTAGCATCTTCTTTCGGGCATATAGAGGCACAGTTTGAATGGAACGATTCATCAATGTCTAGGGATTGGAGTCAAGAGAGATGTCAATTAGTCATAATCTATAGCAGGAATCAAATAGACAAGACCTGCTGCAAATCTATGATTCTAGTAGTTTTTGTTGTTAGCCGTTACGATGGGTTATATCTGATATGGCTGGTAACCAATAGTCTCTAGGTTCATTGCACCATCATGTGGTGGACTCCTTAATGTCATCACATCAACACCATTGATGAGGCGCTACTCCGAGCGAAGATCTAGGAATATTGCGATCGTATTCCATTCTGTGGTTCCGAGTGGGGTATAACATGTAAATGTTTTGCCTTTGGCGTTCGGTCTTTTCACGGCAAGTGTATGAAAGCAATATGAGAGAATGTCGAGACCCATATACAGCATACTTATGCTCTGCAACCCATTCCCCCAAGAGTGATACAGTCTGCCAAGAATATCCAGGACCGTTCGTGCATCTAACGTTGAATCTCACAGAGCAATCTCTCATTTGCTGTCGTATGTTCTGAGTCTTCCCCTCATCAACGAATGCGAGGGGGTACTGGAGGAGGCTGAGCCCACTTGCCTGCCATCAGGGATTGTGGCAGTGATGATGGAGTCCGGACATGCTGCACTGTTGGCTCCTGATGCGGTTCTGGCGGATTAGGTCGTTGCGGTTGAGGGTTTCGTAGTGCAGGATGAATTTCTGATGGCGGGTGGATTTCCGACGGTGGTTGGACGCTTATCGTGGGTGGTCGAAGCGGAGGCGCCTCATAGTTGTTGTTATTCATGTAAGACTCAAAATTGCCACAGGTCGCGTCCGTGGTTTGCTGATAAACTACATCATGAGCAGCAAAGCTTCGGTCATTTCGGTGTCGCAACTTTTCGAAAAGGCACACGACGAGATATGTGCCGATCAGCAGCACGAGGATTGCAATCCCAATCACCAGTCCTATGAGTAGTCCGGTAACGATGTTTTCGTTATTTACATTGCCCATCAAGGTGGTAGGGTAATACGAAAGAACCGGCATCCCCGTCTCATTGCGTTCTGTCGTAGATACACACACACACACACACACACAAGTTTATTACGCCCGGGCTATTCCCCTAGAGGGCAACTAACACTACCGTCGTAGATACAGTCCCTAGCGAAATCAGTCTCCTAACCTACTCTCTTTCATACCTCACTTTCGGACCCACTCTAGTGGAGCCGAAAATGATCATATGTACCTAGTCAGGCTAACAAGTACTGCGCCCATTCTGGACTTGCTTTCGGCACTTTTTATGTATGCACAATTGACTAGCTCACAGTGTTCTTGTCCATTCAGCCACCGATCCTCTTTAACACCGGTGGCGCGTCGAGGCGAATAATGCTGTGCTTTCCCTAATCTGGAGTTTTAATAGATATGTACTATACCGACGCTACTGTACGTCAAATTGTATAGAAACAGATTGATATTATAGCGAAGTTGTCAATGACCATCGGATTAATTCGTTTACTGTCTCCGCATGACGTCACCACACCCACTGTGGCAAGAGGCAAGCTACCGGAGGCGTCACATTATGATTATTAAACGTGATGATTCTAGAATATGCCACTATAGCCGAAATGTTAACTATGCGACTGATATTTCTCAAGATAAATGAACGGAACACCCTAGGACCCTCCTGTGCAAAGGGATTTGAACAAAGAGGTTACCTAAATCGCATGATTAAGACACCACCGGCCGAGGTACCAATAACAATGGTATAGCCAGATATGGCTAATTGACCGGGACGATACTGGGAAGGTAACCACAAAAGATTCTTCTCGCCAAACACGATCCAGGGTGGATTTTGACTGATACTGAAGCCATCATGTTGCCTAGATGGTATTGGCACATTATTCGTCTTATGTTTATGCAGAACGTTGTTATGACCCCGCATAGACGTATTCTCGTCGGGTCGTGCAATAGTAAATGTTCCCATACTCGTGAGAAGTCGTGTTCCACCAAGGTCAAACTGCAGGTTGTCCACAGAACCAATATCTAGCACCTGCCGCTCTGCGCCGGTCTCGATGTCCCAGATCCGCACCGTCCTGTCGTACGACCCCGACGCCGCGAACTGGCCGTCGGGCGAGATCGCCACCGAGTGGACGGCGTCCGTATGGCCCTCGAGCACCTGCCGCTCTGCGCCGGTCTCGACGTCCCAGATCCGCACCGTCCCGTCCTCCGACGCCGACGCCGTGAACTGGCCGTCGGGCGAGATCGCCACTGAACTAACCCATCCCGTATGGCCCTCGAGCACCTGCCGCTCTGCGCCGGTCCCGACGTCCCAGATCCGCACCGTCCGGTCCCCCGACGCCGACGCTGCGAACTGGCCGTCGGGCGAGATCGCCACCGAATTGACGGCGTCCGTATGGCCCTCGAGCACCTGCCGCTCTGCGCCGGTCCCGACGTCCCAGATCCGCACCGTCCCGTCCCCCGACCCCGACGCCGCGAACTGGCCGTCGGGCGAGATCGCCACTGAACTAACCCATCCCGTATGGCCCTCGAGCACCTGCCGCTCTGCGCCGGTCTCGACGTCCCAGATCCGCACCGTCCGGTCCCCCGACGCCGACGCCGCGAACTGGCCGTCGGGCGAGATCGCCACTGAATGGACGGCGTCCGTATGACCCTCGAGGACCTGCCGCTCTGCGCCCGTCTCGACGTCCCAGATCCGCACCGTCCTGTCGTACGACCCCGACGCCGCGAACTGGCCGTCGGGCGAGATCGCCACCGAATGGACGGCGTCCGTATGGCCCTCGAGCACCTGCCGCTCTGCGCCGGTCTCGACGTCCCAGATCCGCACCGTCCGGTCGTACGACCCCGACGCCGTGAACTGGCCGTCGGGCGAGATCGCCACGGAACTAACCCGACCCGTATGGCCCTCGAGGACCTGCCGCTCTGCGCCCGTCTCAACGTCCCAGATCCGCACCGTCCCGTCCCCCGACCCCGACGCTGCGAACTGGCCGTCGGGCGAGATCGCCACCGAAGTAACCCGACCCGTATGGCCCTTGAGGACCTGCCGCTCTGCGGCGGTCCCGACGTCCCAGATCCGCACCGTCCCGTCGTCCGACGCCGACGCCGCGAACTGGCCGTCGGGCGAGATCGCCACGGAAGTAACCCGACCCGTATGGCCCTCGAGCACCTGCCGCTCTGCGCCGGTCCCGACGTCCCAGATCCGCACCGTCCGGTCCCCCGACGCCGACGCTGCGAACTGGCCGTCGGGCGAGATCGCCACTGAATGGACGGCGTCCGTATGACCCTCGAGCACCTGCCGCTCTGCGCCCGTCTCGACATCCCAGATCCGCACCGTCCGGTCCCCCGACGCCGACGCCGCGAACTGGCCGTCGGGCGAGATCGCCACTGAAGTAACCCGACCCGTATGGCCCTCGAGGACCTGCCGCTCTGCGCCGGTCTCGACGTCCCAGATCCGCACCGTCCTGTCGTACGACCCCGACGCCACGAACTGGCCGTCGGGCGAGATTGCCACCGAATTGACGCCACCCGTATGGCCTTCGAGTGTTTGTAAATGGGCACTCCACTGAGTGTCAATCCTCGGCTTTAATGCCAGCCATGCCGGCTCTTCTTCACAAAATCTTTGTCGCACTAAACTACTGGTAGGACTGAAAACAAGTGCTGATGCGTACACTTGAAGTGGATACTGAGCAATCACAGCCCTATTGTATTTAAAAAATCGTGCAGCATCAGATAGCCAATCTTCCAGATCCTTCATCTCGTCACCACCCTGCACTATGTTAGATCTGGGCAAAACAAGGATAAAGATATGTACCTTTGCATAATTGTGAAGCTTCGTGACCGAGGCAATCCCGAGCGCTGTCGCACCTAATAAACTTAAGGCTTCTAGCCAGTAAAGATACTTTTGATGCAGAAGTTCCTTAGCTACCGACACTGTTTTTCCGCAATCTTGCTGGCTATCGTGAGACCGTCCATCGATGAAATGGTCAACCCAGTACACACAACTATATCGTAATGGAGCGAGCGTGTCTAATGCTGGTGGATCGATGTCCTCGACAAATGTACCGGGGTCTTGTAAATCGTATGGATCCCGTTTGAGATGTTGGGATAAAACCTTGATTGACAAGTCTGCTAAACCTCTGTGTTTCGAGGGAATACCTCCAGACGGAAACACGACATTCGTTACTTCTGTGGTTAGGAAGTCCTTCGCCGATTGATGAACGAAATAGACAAAATAGTCGCGAATGGTAAGAAAGGATCCACAGAGTTGTACAACCTCTTCCAAGTCTGATAAGTTATCGAAGGATTTGGGGTCGACTAATAAAGACAATTCTGCGAGGCTTACCGGCCGATAAGTGATTGACACTACGCTCAGAATCTCACGACAGAGCTCAGCATCAAGCGAATCGTGGATCGAGCCCAACATTCGTTGATAGAAAGGATCTAGGCCAGGCGGAAACTCGTACAGTTCGCGGAGAATGTTTCTAGCTCGTACTTTAGCATCCTTGAGTCGTTGGACAACCAAAGCTACCCAAAGAAATGTACTGTCTGCATTGGTGTTCATATAGTCGATAAGCTGGCTATACTTTTCATCGTCCAGGTTTTTTGCTACTCGTAGCTCCTCAGCTTTATGGCGGATATATACCTTAACAGCAGCAGTGACGGAATCCTGATTGAGTTCCAGGCTGAGCCGCACTTTTTCACTGGCCGCACTAAGCATGTCTTCGATTTGGGGCCAGTTACGACTCGAAACCAACCACTTCGCATTCCCCTTTGAGGACTGCTGTGCGATGAAGTTGATGAGTTTGGGCAGATCATCAGAGCATTCGTCAAGCGCATCAATGACGAATACCACTTCGTGCGACTGGCGATCTTGTAGCATCAAAGTCAAGATCCGCGTCAATGCATTCCATGCGTTGGCATCCTCAAACAGTCTTGACCCAGCCACTTTCCATTCTTCGTGTAGGTGTCTCGCCAAGGAACGATTTTGCCGGACAAGCATGTATATAAGACCGCGGAGCACAGCTGTGGCGTTGTTAAGGTTTCTGTCAGTAGCTTGGCAGAAAAAGTATGACAACATGGGCTGATTTGTTGATAGACCCTCCAATTCGTCCGTGATGCCGCAGAGTAGCATAGTCTTACCTTTGCCAGGGTCGCCCTTGATCCAGAGCAGAGAACTGTTTTTGTCGCTACGCCATTGCTTGAAGTCCGTGTTCTCGAGAATCCATCGGAACGAATCTTTTAGTAACCCGCCTTTCGTTGACAGAATGCGTGACTTGTCGTCTTGGGGATTCGAAACTCTGAGATCAGCTAAGCATTGGTTGATGCTTTCTTGAAGTTGTGCATCTTCGCTCAGGCGACCTTGGTCGACTGCTAGTTCCCTACACAGCCTCTTAAGAGCTCCCTCCTCTCCTTCTCCGTAGTTTGAGGGCATTGTGACACCTAAAATACCAAATAGACAATACGCCTTATCTTCACCTCTAGACGTAACTCGATTGTTCGCCCAAGACATGCGACTCTCGATATCGAATTCCTGAAGAAGACCTGGCTGTAGAGCACGGATGGGAATATGCGTAATTTCGTGTATTAGCTGCTCTAGTGTAGTCTTCTTGCCAAGAAACTGGCGTTCGGCAGAGAAGAACTCCACCACGCTAGGAGCGATGAGTTCTTGGAGCGTCCATCCACGAGTAAACCATCTGCTCTTCCGAAAACCAATCTTCCACGTCGATCGAGCCGGTTCGTCGGCTAAGCCATCGTTGTAGCAGACATCGGAAAGGTATGCATAGCATTTCTGAGCGTTTTGGTACCATCGAAACATCGAATTAATCGCTTCTGTAAGCTCGGCAGAACTAGATTTGTCAATACAGCAGGTATCTACCCAAAAGTATTCGAGACCATCGCGTCGAGCCTGTTTACCGCAGAACAAGATCTTCTGATAAGCAAGCCTATGGTCGTAGCATCTGTTGTTGATGTCCTGGAATGTGATTTCGTCCTCGTCTCCGCCCCAAGTGTGGGAGAGAATGGCGTATGGCGGAATATCATCAGCACGACGTTGGGTGAGGATCAGCTCGTTTCTGGCTCCAAGCTGAAGGAGACGCATGTTCAAACGTCTGCTTAAATCATTCGCATCGGAGTCTTAGTCGTAGCTATCGTCGAATCTATGACTGGGGTTGATGTTGGTGGGAGGAGATTGGTTCAGTCGGCGAAGGAGGAGCTGAATCACAAGACCTGGAGCCTGCGACAATGAGGCAGTGCAGACCAGCATCGGCAATAGTGCCAATGGAGCTGGCTGACCTTGTGAAAGCAAAGCATCATTTTGCGCGTCATATCAGAGAGACAAGGTGAGATATAAACAAATCTTGATTTACTGGTCCATTGCCAAAATATTTTGGCGGCGATATGGGATTAAATCGAGCACTGGTAGCTAAGAGATTTACGTTACAGGCGGTCAGTCCCCTAGCGCGTTCGGGGCTTGCATCTCCATAATCTTGGACTAAGATTCTTGGACCCTGAATATCCCCCAAGTTGACGCAGCTCAATTTTCACTCGATACTCCAAACCACCAAATAGAACACTTCGGGAGCGATTATTGGTGGTTTAGAGTATCGAGTGAAAATAGAGCTGTTGCTGGCTGTCGAACAGTCACATTAGAGCATTTCCTTGAGTGCGGCGTCGTGATCCACTCTACACGTCCTCGATCGATGCTTCGATAACACTAACGTACATGATGAAGCAACAATCGCTTCAAGAAACCCTGAGAATATGGTGTCGGCAGGGGCATAGACCCTCGAACATCCATTAGTTAGTAACGCTATAGTCGGAAGACTGGGTCAAGTACTCCGTCTTTTATTCCCTATAGCCACAACACGTCGGCTGATCGCTAACATACGCCAATGGCCATTCGCCTAGAATGGTGTTTTGCATCGACTGCCTGGAGTGATTTTTTCGTCTGTCCAAATCAGGCGCAGAATGAATGCGTGTCTTATTGTTGCATTCAATATTTGATAGACGATATTACAGTATTGTAACCAAAAATGAATTGCTCTTTGGCAGTTTCGGAAATATCAATAAAGGGCTGGAAGAAACCCCAAAGTGGACCGTGTGTACCGTAGAACGGAATGCACTCATAGGAAAGAACACTGTGAGCTAGTCAATTATGCATACATAAAAAGTACCGAAAGCAAGTCCAGAATGGGCGCAGTACTTGTTAGCCTGACTAGGTACATATGATCATTTTCGGCTCCACTAGAGTGGGTCCGAAAGTGAGGTATGAAAGAGAGTAGGTTAGGAGACTGATTTCGCTAGGGACTGTATGAATTCCATTATTTCCAGTGACAACCGTGATGAAATGAGAGCATAGTTTCGAATGTGTCATGCCAGCTATTTAAAGGTTCTCAGCTGACCTAAGAAGCATAAAAAACGGATTAGTATACAGATGATTAGAACAAATACCTCTTTTTCGGATCTTACAATTTCATGGTTGTTTTGTAGACTCGTGAGAGTTGTAATTTCTGGATCTGTCGAATTTGGTTCTCGCTGGAACACAGTGAATAATCTAAAGCGACTTCCTGGTTTTGCCGATTTTCTCTTCTCTTCAAGCCTAAGCGGAAAAATATGGACCGGGAATCAGAGACACTTTTTCGAACTTTTGGAGTACAGGAACAAAACGGTCTAAATGTGTAATTTCAACCACACAACTACTTTGGCATAACCAGCTCTCCCCCACCACAACTCATGCTCATACAAAGACAAACTTACCTTTAGAAACTGGACACATTCCAGGATATTCATGAAATGGGGGAACATTTGGGCACAGTATGGTACAGTGAATGGAATGTGTCTAGTCCAAAACATTTTGTACTCGGATATACCATGTGCATCGATAGTATGTACACTACTACAATATAGAACCGACTACTCGTACTGCCCGCAGTATTTTACTATCACAGAAGCTCGAATTCATTCCTTCATATGCATTTTTCCTGTTGCTATGCTATCTTTGAACAAATCAAGAAGGCTGCTTAATCCCAGCAAAGAACGGCTACATCCACTCAGGAGGACAAGCATACCCGCGAGTCGCCGTTGCAGAACAGTAACTTGACCCGGAACGAAGATATCCAGTCCATTATGCTAAAAATGCTACAGTAGGTGATATGCCTTTCAACGACCATATCTTTCATCATCTAACTTGAGCAGCAATGGATATGATGCCAAAACCTTGACTTTGATCATACTTACTGCAAGTCCCGGTTAACGATACAAAATGCTGTTGTTTCTAATCGCTGTGGTTAGCCAGTAACTTCATAGCCTTCGGCCGAAGATGAATTTCGATCACAAACAGCACTTATTGTGGCATGTAATTAAGATATCTTGCTCTATTACTCATGCCTTGAGGACAGCTTCTGGAATGGCGGTGGTAGACTATGCACGCCACCTAAAGTGGTTCAAGTACCTTATCCGCCAGCAGCAGCCCCTCTGTGACCTCATCATCATGATCACCATTATCATGTAGGGGATCTTCATACGCAAAACTCTGAAACGTTTTGACCAAGCTGAGCTCATTGCCGCTTAATGCTTCACTCCGCATGTAGATCTCGTCTTTCGCTTTTGCATCGCGTAATTCCGGGCTAGTCACCACAACATGTATTGTATCTTCTAATCTGCGATCCCAGTTGCCTTGATTTCTAGAAGCTAGGGACGTCGCTGGGTATCTCGGGACGGCTCGTGTATTTGCTGAGGTGGATTGGTGCCGTCCTGATTTGGGGTCCACCAATGGTGTGGCCGATGTGGCTTTGGGATAGTCGACGCATGAAACTTTTTTCGTTGACCCTCTCTGCTTCTTTTGTGAGGAAAATCGGCGTCGAACAGCTTGTGAAGAGAATATTTCTGACGTATCGCCTTTCTCTGACAGTCTTTTAGACCGTCTCAAAGCAGCCATTAGTGCGACGAAGAGACGGAAGATACTGTATAATCGTGGCTTTGTGGTGCTGTCTACAAATTGGAGAGAATTTTCTCCTTGCAGCAAGTTTTTCTTTTCCCTCCACCTCACTACTTCTTCTTGCTTCTGTGAATGGTGAGTTATGCTGCAAAGAGGGTCCAGTTCATCATTTTCCCAACAGAGCTTATTCTGGACAAAGCCTGAACGGACCTCATTTGCCGGTTCGGTACAAGTCGCATTGTGGCATCAAATTTATTGGTTTTAAACCACAACATGAGCACATTTGAATCAGTTGCAGCAGGAAAACATAAACAGTATTTGATCATCATATTCACCATGAGAAAAGGTCATATATAACACAAGCCCACGCGTCTCCTGCGACCACATCCGGTCCGCGCAACGCTTTGGACCTTGATTTGGGAAAATCCTGTAGGTCCAACATTACAATCAACCTGATGTCTCAGAGGTTCGCACCCTCAAGGACTTGGTACGTGTACAGACGGGCGGCAAGGTATGGACGGCCATGACGTACTTGAAGAATCCAGGGGTGATCAAGCTTGCTCCAAAGAATGCCAACTGGCATGGTAAGGTACTGACTGTAAATGTGTATACTGCTTCAACAGTTACAGTGGTGAACCAAACGATTGGAGTTTCGTAGAAAGCAATAGGGTATCGAGCACAATCTAACGTTATGGGACCATCTGGAAGGCTTTATCAAGAGACAAGCCCTGGATACTAGGGAGGCAAAATGGAAGGGTAATTCACGTGGAAAGAAATATAGTCCTTACAGAGAGAATCAAAACTGCCTTCCTCCTTTTGTCTCTCTCTTCTCTTCTCTAAGCACAGACGATCCGTTTCTGGCTCTGACCTATACGTACGCTGCAAGTACTCTTTTGGACCGTGTCAATTTTGATTCCACGAGCGTGAGCTTCAACCAGGCTCTTTCGCAGTTATTGATTATCTACTACTAGAAGGAAATTGAACGTTACCGAGGATAGATTTTTGACACTGAATATCTGCGTTTATGGCCATAAATGACTTGCTTCAAGTTCCATGGTACCAGTGAGGTTCAAAAGTGTACTCCTGCTTAGGAGCCAGAACTGGACTGTCCATGCTCAAATAGCAGAGAAGAGAGAAGGGGATAGGAAGCCGATTTTGATTCTCTCTGTAAACAAATATATGCTATGTCTCACTTACAGTTCGAGCAGCAAGGAGTGCTCATGTTGGTTGGGGGTGGTTGAGGATCGTGCACTTCTGGCCTCATTCTTTCTGGACGAAAGCCGAGGCCCACAACGGTACTTGCAAAGTCATCGACCAGATGGAGAGCCTGTATTCGCGTATCTCAGTTCCCTGGATACCTTTCCCATCGACAGCACCCTTCCCTGGACGGAATCTAATATGCCATGTTTTCTATTCTTATCTCACTACTATTATGCATGTATTGTATGCATTGGAACAGGTGTTCGCAACAGGCTTCATCGTTGATGATATCTCTCACTCGACAATCCCGATTTCTCCCGTTGATTTGTGCTAGTTAGTACAGAATGTCATCCCGCTCTTCACTAATCACCGCCGTCAATGCGGGGTCGAAGGTAGCGTCGCGATTATTGTCACTACCAATACTTTAGACGCTGTTTCTCTGAAATATCCAGATGGTTCTTGCCATTTCGAATTGTGTCTAACTTGGAGTATCCCGATTGAATCTAGTTCAATGCCACGGTGCGTGGTTGCATTTCTCGTAGTTTTGCAATCGTCAGCTGCTAGCTGGACTAGTGGCTTTTGGTAGTCTAAGCTCCTAAACTTGGCTACTGGAAATCGTCCAGTAGACTTACAGTAGCAACCCGCCCGTGAGCCGAGATTATGGTGGAGTGGACTAAGGTTAGACTAGTCTAGACTTTATCGGTGAGTTGCGCCCAATACACGCACGGGTACCCATGCAGGCAACTCACGTGACTCTCATGAGCCTTGCCCCCCTATCATGCAATAATTTATCTTCGCAGCTTTCTCTGTAGCAATAGACTTGAGGGAGCGCATCCAGTACCGATTTAATAGAGCTGCTAAATACGGAGTTCCTCAATAAGAAGGATGACCGTTGTAGTACTCTTCTCAATATATCTGATAGGCTAGCCACCGAGGTCCAATAAGGAGCTGTGACTTTTAACAACAAGACCTCAATTGAGAGCAGATTCTTAGAAAAATACTTAAAGTATCTCCTAGCTTTCCGTACTTTGAAATCATCAAATTGTTACTGAATTATGGACCGGAAGATAGACGATGAGGATAGGTTAATATATGATGTGTTATAGGATGAACCCCTAGCGATAAGACTCAGGGGCCACGGCCCCATCGTAGGACCCACAGAACCTACTAGACGCTACTAGAGGTTGTATAGAAGGAGGAAGGACAAGTATATAAGAGCATACATTCATACGATAGCTAAGAAGTTCCTTCTCTCCTCAGAGAAGTCTTCTTGTTCATAGAGATAATAGACGTCAGAGTGTAACATTCGGTCTAGACCCATTACAGAATGTATTATGTACCTATCTCTCTTGGGCCCCTTTACTACATTCAGATTGTTTCAAGGACCGAAGTTACATTACCCAAAGATTACTGAAGGCAGTGTGGTAAAACTCTGATCTGCTTGTTGGACAGCTCAGAGAGACAGCTCAGAGAGACGTATGGTCTCTCACAATCGAGAATAATCATCCAGTCACCTCCAGATCGTCGTGATCACCTTGAGGTAATAATTGGCAAGGGAATTCCAAGCAATTAGCGCCTCGCGATAACGGGCAAAGTGAAGTGCGTAAGGATTATTTCGCAGGAAGTATTTGGATCAGCCATTCAAATTCAGATCCCCAAATCCTCCACAAACTCTGCTAGTAACCAAATGTTTCCCGCTAGAACAGTGATCCTAACTGCTGACCACTTTCGCCTTCCGCGTTTTGCCGCAACTTGAATCTTCCTGACAATTATTCACCAAGTGCTCCAGCTTCTCATATATCGACTATTAATGAGCGTTCTAAAGCGGGTGCGTACCTTGGCCCAAGAGACTATAATGGCCGGCTGTTATTTGTCGAGAAATAATCGAGCTGTTTGAATGTACATGCGTCAGAACCTGGCTACTGGCTCTCTCTTCCTGGCTGGTTCTTCAGTGTATAGATGAGATCTTTTTGAGCTTGTATCAATTCACCCAGGAGTAATTGAGACGAGGAAAGCTCTTCTAACCGCTTGGATAGCTGATCTGCCTGGTCTTGTAGGCTGCCGCTGTCCCGCCAGACCCTCTCCGCACATATTTGCCATCTATAGAGTTGGGCTGAAACCTCCTGGACAGCTGCTTCGAAGACGCTGATTGGTATTAGGGACATAGAATAATATGTTGTGTCGAAATTGGATGTGGCCATGGCTACGTATCAGGTTTGTCAAGACTTGGAAACCAAAGCTGGTATGTACGTAGGTAAGCTCCTATTTATTAAGCGATTTATTACTACACCATCGTGTCCGCCTAACCACTTATGCGCTTGTAACACCATGCTTATTGCGGAGCGTGGTCACGGGATCCAGAAAATGACACTATGTCGGTGTAGGTATGACTGACGTCTTTCTATTCGGTGGTTAAGATCTGGTTATTTGGTCTGGTTTAGGCGCTAACAGCACGTCAATAGTGGCGTTCTGCGGACAACAAGAGATGAGACAGACAAAGCATTTTGCTTGACCACACCTATTCCAGTTCCCGATCTGACCTACGTGTAGCTTCCTATGTACTTAGAACACAGTACAGACATAATAAAAATCGGCTTCGTCTTTTTGTCTCTCTCTTCTCTTCTTCACACACAGACGATCTATTTCTGGCTCTGACCTATACGTATACCCCATGGAAGTCCTGGAGACTACACGTGATGTTCCTCGCTAGCATCTTCGGGTCCTGCGAGTGAAGCCTTCTGCTGTTGCTTCGCGCCGGCGGTTTGTGCCGTTTGCAAGTTTCTCCTGAAGCTTGCAGATGACCCCACGTGCAAGTCCTCGAGGCTACACGTGACGTTCCTCGCCAGCATCTTCGGGTCCTGCGAGCGAAGCCGTCCGCGACTTTGACTAGTCCGGATGTGTCATCTGGTAGGTTCTCTCGAGCCTGTCAGATGGTCCCCACCTGGAAAAGTGCTTCGAGCCTAGCAGGTGAAGTTCCTTGCGGGTGCCCTCGGATAACTAGCAAGTGAGAGCCGTTTGGTGAAGTGCCTTCGGGCCCACAAGCGATGCCTTCTGCAAGTGCCTCGAGCCTACAGACGATGCCAAGTGCCTCGAGCCTACAGACGATGCCAAGTGCCTCGAGCCTACAGACGATGCCAAGTGCCTCGAGACTACAGGTGATGGGATGAACTTCGCTGTGGCAGGCCAGCGTTACCACCCGCTTCCCCCGGACATAATCGCTGGGATGAGGTTGGCAAAGACGGATTCTGCAACCTGTACGTGGTGCCAGCTACGAACCTGCTCCAAACGGAGCAGAGCCGATGCAGAGACGCAATTCCTGGATCTTGGTCCATGGTCTACATAGAATATCTACATAGTGCATACAATTGAAATGTCCATAAGCTGCCTTTCGCAAGCTCCATGTGTTTTTATTCAACCTCATTCTGTAGAACTCAGATGGGTGCCGCATGTGACTGGCTAGATCAATAGCCGTATCATTTGCGCTCCCTTGGTAATGCGAGTAATTAGATGTCGTTGCGACTACATGCGCCTGCATCCACTTCGTTGGTTTCGTACTTTTTGTTCGTTCGACAGGAGACAGCTTCTGGGGGTTGGACGACATCGTTTCGGAGGGCCATTGAGGGCCAGCTTTGGATTCAACAATGGCAAGCAGTAGTCAGCATTGAGCCCAATCAATGGCGGATCGGATCTGGAAACCTGTATTTCAGATTCTGCTTGCGTTCATGACACAGCTTCCGAGCACGTCCAGTTTTCGACAGCATCGAGAGGGAGAAGGCATTGTTCGGACCGTGCTGCTGTGTAGTGGTGAAAAGTGGTCATGCGATTGCGCGCATTTGACGGGACCGACAAGTCGCTAACGCCATCCCCAATTTGGTGGTACTGAAAATGGCGACAGGCTCCATGCGGCTCAAAATGACATGGGTTCGATAACCGGGGACAGATTAAAGAGCGGACCGCTGGCCAGGCCCACAACACGTTTTTGGCTAGCAAGCACAACTGACCAAAACGTAGTACTGCTATGCAGTTTCTGGAATAGTTAATTCTGGCACATGGAAGTTGGGACCTGATAGTATTGCGCTAGAGGTGGTCAGTGTGGATTCATATCCCAAATGAGAACCTATCATGTAGCCACTTTCGAGCTTAGTCCATTTCCATTTTGAACACCGCGACACTTTTGAATTTCGGTACTGTACACCACAAAATCGGCAATCTAGCTGTCTCCACACTCTGGCGGGTAGTTTGAGACCCGTCTTCTGTATATGGACGTATATAGGAGTAGGCGAGTAGAAAATGCTCCTTCTACCCAGATTCGACACCTTTAGTCAACAGCAACTGTCCATGAAGTTTATTGTTCTGAGACATTGTCAACTGAACGATTGCCCTATGGATTACCTATTATATCTTCCCAAGTTAGGCACTTAGATTGCCTCCAAACAGCCTCAGGCACCCCCTCCAACACCTCATAAAAGGCATCTGGACTTTTGATGGTGGGCTCCTGAGCCAATCCATCTTAAATCGCTTTTAGCGTTTCCTCTACTTTCTCACCCTCGCCCACTCAACTTCCATCATTCACATCCACGTTGAGATGCTGCTTTTCAGCATTGATGCGAGGAAGTTGTCCTTCTCTATTTTCCCTAGACGACGAGCGCAATATTGTGGTATACATCAATTTTTGTCGTGTTACTTATATAGGTCAGGCCATCCCTGCTGAGGGAGGATACCAGGAAGGCTTCGGTCGAATTGCGCCTGAGTGCAATTGGGAGCGGGAAGTCGACGAGGAAGCTCGAGCTCTAATTTCTAGTTGTATTTGGCCACGACGGGTTCTATTAGCGAGCCGAACTCAGCCTTACCTGCCCTTCGCGCAGTTTGATTATTCGAAGACAGACGTGGTCGACGCGACAACGTTCCCCCCCACGGCCTTGCCTTCCCCATCTGCCGCACGCCTTGCGACTTGGAACCCTAGCAGAGACTAACTTCAAGATGACGACCGAACACCCGCGACCTATTTCCCATAAACTCCCTGCAGGGCTGGCGGGAGTTTTGAATCCTGAGGAGAACCGTGATTCTGCCTATTTTTCCAGTACCGATGCCTCGAGCAAAGGTTCAAGCGCCGTGGACGCGGCAGAGTATTAGCTCACAATATGATATAGACACTTCAGCCGCCTCAGGAACTGGTATTGATGCATAATTGCCAGGAAGAGTCCAAGAGGATGTCCGATGTTGTTAGCACCAGGGATGCGGGGCTTATGCAAACGGCATGGAAAGCCACTACCCATCAAGGGCCGGTTCCGTGAATGAATGGTGCAAAATAACACAGGTAGGTTCTTCCGCCCTGGAGGGGATGATTGAATTCAGATAAAAATTAGGTGTGATGATCTATCTGATGCGTTGACTGGTGGTTGAAGTGTTATACGCCAGTTGCCGACACTGGAACCCAATCGAGCGACCCAATTTACAGGACTAGTTCCGTTAATGAACCCCGATGAGTCAATGGCGTTTAAATGTGTTTCATCCCATCTCAATCATTCATGCTTTTCTTTCTTACTTTTGCCTCGCATAACACATATGAATACAACCGCACAATCTACGTAACGTCTAGGTTGCTGTCTGACACACTGACACAATAACTCTTTCCAATGTCCCCATTTGGTGTATTTTTTCAAGTAAGTTTTTCGTGCTCTTAAGAAAACAGAATGCGACAACCTAATGCTTCCGCGTGCCCCATCAGCTAGCGGAATCGTGGTGGCTCTTGGCATATCACGCTTGGGTAATGTCCGTCATCGTAGTGGCCCCTGGTGTCGAACTTCTGATCCATTATGATAGATGGCATCAATATGTAGTTGTATTTCTTCACTCCATCTGGCCGACTATGTGGACGTCTGATTGGCCGACTCTTTACTATGTCGATTGTTGGAACTGTCTCACTGTCGCACTGCAGCACCTCTCGTGGATCGCACTTTTAGGAGAATATCCAACCTTCTGCTCCCTTGTATGTTCTTGTCCAGATTCGAAATAACTTTGACTAATGCTTACAGGTGATTATTGGCATATCCGTTGTTCGAACGACACAGCCATGGGTCCGACACTCGGCATTACTGTCACCACCGTCGCAGCAATAGCTTGTCTCCCTGACTTCCCTCACAACCTCTAAGAGGTTTTCGCTCTCGAAGTTGTGACGACTGATGAAAAAAATGGCTCCGATCTTTGGTAGACATCAAGTTCAGAAATAGCAAGATTCCAGTCCAACAATGACAACATCTCCAATTCTATCAAGTTAATGTCCTTCAATGCTAGCCAAAAGTGACGGTGATTGAACTTCATATAGCTGTGCTTCTCCCAGTCATCATTTATTGGATAGCTGTCATCTAGGTATTTTGCAGTAATGATCAGAATTGAGAGAAACACCCGGTGTGCGGTACATCGTAGCAATTTTCTGATAGAGCCGAGCTTGGGCTTTAGACGATCTACATATACCGTCGCCGACATCCACGTGAGAATGGGGATATTTACTCTCCGGGATAGGTGAGCAATAAAGCTGCGTAGCGGTGAAGGCGTGGCTGAGCCTACTGGTTGGACTGATGTATTTAGCCGAGCGTTCTGGGGCATTGCGTCATATGTCTTCTGTACCAAGTAGTCAAGAATAGAGTTGCTGAATGGTATGTGCATCATTCTTCGGAGTATGACGACTTCGACACCTGGATGCTCGGTCTTCGCTATTCGCCTCGATTCAGGTTCTTGGTGGGTTTCGTTCGGATATTCTATTCTTTTAGCACGGACGATCCACTTATGGCTCCTACCCTAGAGTATAATACGAGTACTCTTTCGGACTATACCAGTCCTCAGCCCATGCTCATGATTTGGAACTAAGCTCTTCTGGCGTTTTTATGCTCCATATATCATATAATGAGTCGGTATCATCATAAGTGGACGATGAGCGCTGCATGTATGCTTTTATAGCTAGAAAGAGGATATATCCAGCCGTCACGGTACTCTAGAGGTTCAAGGATGGCGACTAGTTCTGAATGTGGGCCCCCCAGGATAGAATACTGGACTACAGCACGGGTAGCATGGAACGTGTGGGAATACAAAGCTCTGTCGTGGACTCGAGACTCATGTCTCGAACAAGGTAATCGGCCTGCACGAGCTAGTAACTCTACTAACCATTTTACCCCACTTATGCAAACCCCCCCTTTTGCAACACTATTTCCGGGGTTCCCGAAACTATACTTCTAACTTCGGATAACGTTTTCAAAGCAATTTCATAGTAACTCGATTATGATAATTAATCCTATCGTCTTCTACGTGCCTTTTTACGTGTAGATGGTGTCATTGTGACGAAAGAGTCAATAGGAAGCTGATCTTCGTGCGGCATTTCACGTAACCTCTTTTCCAACTTGTCTTGCGCTGATCGAATATCTGGCAAGCTACTGAACACCTTGTTGGGATCTTTTTCGACTGTTTGACGTTTATCTAGTTTGTATTTACCAAGTTCAGTATCGAGGATGAAGTTATCTTGGTGTGTTGTTGCTATTTCAACACTCATCAAGTCGATGGTTTTGACGCCTTTCTTGAGTAGCATGCTCACGTCCCTTGGTAGCCCTGGGTATTGACGTAATACGTGAGAGACTTTGATCCCTATATTCTTTCGAGGTTTCTGGTGTAAATGGAATCACTTTTACTTGATCTTTCGGTTGTGGTGGTGTGATAGGCCTTGAAGGAATGGTAGGAGGGAAGAGCTCTGTATCCTCAAGTACTTGTGAAGGATCTGGGGGCCATATACCAGTCTTCTTCCAACCTGATTGTATGATCTCCTCTGTAAAGGCATCTTGAACAGCCAAGCCATAAGCTTCTAGCATTCTTTGCTTTTGAATAGGTCCTGTTGCTTGCATTCCTTGATATTTGGCCAGTCGTTGATGATACCTCCATTTGAGGGACGAGAAACACGACTTATCGAGTGGTTGTAAAGCTTCACTGGTATGAGCTGGTAGGTATACAAGAGCGATACGCATCCTATACGCTAACAACATGAAACGGGGGGATACGTGGGTATTATGGCCATCGAGGATGAGCATCCGCCACGGTTTTGGACGGCGACTTGACTCTCGAGGTTTGGTTTCAGGACCGAATGTATCCTCTAGCCATTCACAAGCAATTGTGGTGTTTGTCCATCCTTTCGGACTTGCTGTGTATTCATGTTCTTCGAGATCTTGTGGTAGCCATTGTGCTTGAAGATGTGTGCCTTTCAATATATAGACCACGGTGCCATGAATACCCAACGCGCTTACGTAGTGTAGCGCGGTCATCCAACCAGTTTGTGGTGACTTCTTTATACGTGATCGACGAGATCTCGACGTTCCTACGACTGTTCCATTACGATTCTCTCCTTCTTGAACACCAGTTTCATCCCAATTGTATGTATCTTCGGGCTGTATATCGTAATAGGTTCGAGTACGGTCGACGTATAAATAAAAGTGTTTTATGGACTTGGAATTGATACCATCGATTCGATCAGCATCAACAATACGTCCTACTTTAGTCTTGAGGTTATGATGGCGATTCAAGAACTTATCTACCCAATTACGACCAATCTTCACAGCTTCGTCAACGGGTCTGAGCCCTGACGCGATCTCACAAGCGAATTCTCGCACGATTTTCTTAGCCGGAGCACGTCCGCAACGTTCTTCGTGTAATATCCATTCGGTAAGCTCTTGTTCTTGAAGATTTGAGAGTATTTGATCGCCTTCGTGGGCTCGTGAATGTGGTTGCGATCCTTTCCTTCTTCGTGATATAGTGGAAGCCACTACTCCAAAGCCGCGGGCTGCGCGACTCTGTATTTCGCCGTTTTCGACCAAATTAATTGCTTCTTGTAAGTCGCGTTCCTTTGTTTTACCCATATTGTGAATATAGTATCAATTGAACAAAAGGTGGTGAAGGAATCACGTAGTTACAGTTCAGAGGGAATCTTCGACTTCTCGGAAATTGCGTTGCAAAAGGGGGGGATTTGCATAAGTGGGGTAAAATGGTTAGCAGAGTCCGCTTTTGAGGTGGCATCACAATCGGGGGAACACCACGCTTGCATCGCAGTTAGCCAGCACCTAACATTCAGCCTCATGGCGCTCGGCCCGCCAAGGAACCCACCCAATGTTCGATCGCAGGATGAGCGGCAGCGTGTGATCTTGGGGCTGAGGCGATGGGCGGATGACTTTGAGACGACATGACGATTTATTCCCGGAGACGAGCGATACGCTCCGAGCGGCTCAAGCTCCGGCTCGCTGTATGCGCCGACGACTTATGCAGGCATCAGCCGGTCACCGCGCGTGCCTCGAACAAGACCCAAACGTTGGGCTCAGGAAGAGGACCGTCCAGATGTGCAGCCAAGATGTAGGGACCGGGACGACGAGTCTTCGTCGGATGAGTCCTCGCCTCCGATGGCGGACACGCCGACACCGTCTAAGCCGCGGTCGAGTAGTCAAAGCCAAGGCCCACGGCGCAGCCAGCGCATTCTGGGGCGCCACGCGAGGAAGCTTCACAAGAGCGACAGTACTGCACCCAGCGATGTCTTCTAGCACTGGTCAGAAGATGTGGGCTTGACGCATAGTGTCCCAACGTTCTCTTGCACCGGTAGGCTAACCTTGCAGCTGCTGATCATCTGATCGACCGTGACGAGTTCCTCCGGCTCCTATTCAGCAGCTGCAGGAGTCTCTCGACCACGGGGTCAGTCGTCTAGATGTGGGCGGATCTCGCGGCGTGCTGTTCAAAATGAGTCTGAGGCCTACAGCTACACTTTCGTCGCTAGAACACGAAACAGCCATTTACAAACACCTCGAAGGACTTCAGGGGTCTCAGGTGCCGGTCTGCCTGGGCGCGATAGATCTTCACGACATGGGCAGGATTCATTACTACGACCATCGGGTCTGCATTGAATACCTGTTGCTTCTCTCGCATGGCAGTCCGATTGACGAAGCGGTTCGTGCTGGTGAGGTCAAAAGTTGTCTGCGGGCGATACATCGGGCGTGCGTGGTGCATCGGGATGTGCGTCGTACCAATGTGCTACGCAATACCGACACAGGGGAGCTCATGCTGATTGACTTTGAGCGTTCTGTCGTCGAGGCAGGACAGAAGCCGATGGGCAATATCGTGCCTGACAAGCGATCATGGAATGGGCAAAGGAAGGGGACTACGGCGTCAATGTACAGTCATGTTCCGGGAGACGCCAAGTACGAAGAAGATATACTGCAGGCAGGGGTCGAGTTCCCGGGAAAAGACGTCTTTGCAGTGCCCGCAGCATATGCCTACAAGCCAAGGAAGACGCATGTCGCTGCTGGCATGGTTGCTTCATTCAAAACTGTACCCACGTCTGGATGATACAGGAACATACCATGTTTGCGTCAAAGCAAAGATGATGCATAGCGTAGCATACGGTCCATCTGCAACACCAAAAGGCGGCGTCCACTGTGGTACTTGAGTGCCTGAATCGGCTAGGAGCGCCGGCTCTTGCCCATTAGTGACGTTCAACCTTGCTGATTGGCTTGTTTCGTGTGGTGGAAGGCGCCCCTGCGGCAGCTTCGTCCGGTGTCCAAAGCGTTTTACCTTGCGTTGCTGGAGGTGCTCGTTTGTTGAAGGCTGAATCTGGGGGGCCTGTGGCAGCTATCGCCCTGGATCGACGGGTTGGACTTGATGGTCGCGATCTTTGCTGCTCAGACGACTTCAATAGCTTTGGGGATTTTCTGTCGTCTACAGGTTCCTGATAAGGAATGGCTTGCTGAGAGTGGGCGTCTTCAGCTACGGGTAGAGTCCTACTCGGGCCTGATTGGTCTCTGCCGAGAAGTGAGTTTTGTCCCCAAGTACTCTGTACAATTGATGGAGGACACGTACCCGCGTTCTCATGATGAACTGTCTCCCAGGGCTCTCCGCTGGAATTCCAAAAGAGCCTCCGAGACGGTGGTGCCACTGTTATCCAAGTACTCCTTATGCCGGTTGAGCAGATGAGTCCTGATGCGTTCCTCGGTGTTGGGGATATTTTCCGTGCAGCCCTCCACTGCACATGGGATCGAAATGCTACGCCTGCCTAGCAAGGGGCGAAAGGCGGCGCAAGATGAGAGGCCACCTTTATCGGAGCATGCCCACTAGACAGCCTCACTTACGCTTGAGATAGACAACTAAGAACCTTCTTTATAGTCTATCCTGCAATATCTGATGATCTAGAGTAGAAAGAGTAAGCTAGTTGGCAGTCAAACCCGTTAACCTGTTCTTGCCATCCCGACCGGGTCATATCGACGCTTTTTGCTGAATAGTATAGCCGTCGTCTCTACAAGTGTTTGCAAGAATTCAAGCGCTTAATATGGAAAGGCGGTAAACATGTACACTACCTCTCTTTCTCTATGTTCCTATATGAGTGGCATAGCGGCACAGCCTAGGTATTCATGCGCCCAGTGCTCCTCAATAATCGAACGTTTTGGAAGATAGACTTCAAGCACTGAATATATGCGTTCATAGCCATAATGACTTGCTTTCAAGTTCCATAGTACAGTCGGTAACGAAAATGGCTTCCGCATTGGGACCAGGAATTTCGTTCTCATAAGAGCCGTTTTTGGATCGAGTGTTATACAATGGATAAATAAATGATCTAGGCCGTTCGGGTAGTGATTCATAAGTGCTCATTCAGTCGATGACGCAAATTTGGAACTGGATAAAGTCCTTGAATGAACACCACGGCATATTAAGGGCCTGTTTTATAAATAAGGAACATGATTGGTTGTTGCAAGGCGTGTCTAGCGCAAGAAGACGTGACAGATTCATGTCATCCTGGTAGTGCCTAGTTGGGTAAGCGCCAGAATTAAGCTCTTATTTTCGAAAAGAATCCAGAAATGGCTCTCGAGAATATTGATTTTCGTCCACACGAGCGGAAGCCAACTTCGTTACTCACTGTACTAGTGAGATTCAAAAGTGTACTCCTGCTTAGGAGCCATTACTAGACTGTCCGTGCTCAAAGAGAAGAGACTTGACTCTGTCTGTGCAATACGTACTCATTAGACCACTGGATGTTATGTACAGTACTGTACTGTACTGCACTGCATTATTTCGTCTAAGGGACCTAAAAGGGATGCAGCACAGTATCCCATCCAAGGCCATAGCCAAATATGTACCGCCCAGCGAGAATGCAATGGAACAATGGCCCGGTGGGTAGCAGAGAACAGTTTTTGGTACAAACGACTCTTGTATTGGCCGAAGCTGCGTCGCTATTGATGTTCGAGCGGTCTGCGATCCATTTACGTACGGTACTCCAAAGGGTCGAAAGTGTCCTTCCGACTGGGAGCCAGAACTGGACTGTCCGTGTTCTAAAAGAAGAGAAGAGAGAGAAAAAGAGGAAGCCGAATTTGATTCTGTCGTACAGCACCAAAAGATGACTTCGAGTTTACTGATTGCTACACATTGCCGGCATTTTGATCTTTTGTACTCTATACAGTTCACAAACTGATTCTATCACTTTGCGAAGCTAATCTTACTATTCTCTACTGTTATGGAACAAGCAGACAACGTCTTCGCCCTGACATTTACGGAGTACAAGTTCACGTCATCATTTGCATGAACAATAGATAAGATTCGAGTACAGAGAGAATCAAAATCGGTTTCCTCTCGTCGTCTGTAATCTCTTGTCTTTGAGCACGGACGATCCACTTTTGGCGCTAACTTATACGTACCTATTCTAGGCCCATGCAGTACTGTCAGCTAGGGGTACTTAACTCACCCAAAATTGGCGCTTACCTAATGTATCATTTGGGCTGACGATACATAGCTAAACGTTGTCCATCACATTGACCCGGCATTCTTGGTGCGATACAGACCCTAGCGAAATCAGTGTCCTACCTACTTTCTTTCATACAAGCACTTTCAGACACACTCTAGGGGAGCCAAAGCCGACGCTATGTACTTAGACGGCGTAATCGAGAATAAGTATACTATTAAAATACAACTAATATGTTTTACGTTTTTCTTATAAGCCATTCGGTCTCTTCAAAGAGCTGGCCAGCGTCGACCTCCAAGGAAAATGGAATGTATTCCTTTCGCCGAGACTATCGTGCAACATCTCTTTTGCATAGGAAAATGAAAAAAGTGGCACGTGCTTGGCAATCTTGGCGAAGGAAATGCATTCATTTGCCTTAGAGGCCGAACGAGTCTGATGTTTTGACACGGTGGAGCTGGCTAAATGATAACGATATCAGCGTTTGATATCCTCAAACATATACGCACTCTCGATAAATTGCAGTTTCTTCGAATGCCAATAGCGTCTGTCGGTGTCTAGTATTAAAAGCCCGTTGCCTATAAAACAGCATGTTACGGCAATGCTTCTTATATTAGGGACTAAAATGCGCTCAGAATACGCAAAGAATTTAACAAAGCAAAAACAGCCAGGCCAAAAAACGTCTACTAAAAGCCTGCGAGTACTGTATCGATCGTACGTAACCATTTCACTTTGAGAAAATGCGTAAGGCTTTTTAAGGGCAATTCGGCGACTAATTTTCTGAACTTCCGTTGGCGCTATTGTATCTGCACCAATGATTGATACTGAATTTACAGGAGTCATGTTGTATAGGATTAGCTTACCCTATATTGCCTCATCTATATCCAATAGAGTATTTTGTAGTAACTGAACATCTTTATGCGAAGGTCCGAGCAGCACTTCAAGATCGTTATGAGCACGTTGATAGTATTCCTTGGCCTCGGCTAACTTGCCTTGATCCTCTAGCAAGGCACCTAGACCCCACGTAGTGTTGATTGCTGGCCGATATCTAGAGATATGTCGGGGATCTATCGCCTTCTCGAAACCTCGAAGCGCCCGCAGATACATGTCCTCGGCCTCGACCAGCTTGCCTTGGTCTTTGTAGAGGCCCGCTAGGTTATTGACCGTGGAGAGCGTTGACGTGTGATCCGGTCCCCACGCCTTCTCCTTCCCTCGAAGCGCCCGCAGATACATGTCCTCGGCCTCGACCAGCTTGCCTTGGTCGGCGTAGAGGTTCCCTAGGTTGTTGACCGTGGAGAGTGTTGACGTGTGATCCGGTCCCCACGCCTTCTCGCACCCTCGAAGCGCCCGCAGATACATGTCCTCGGCCTCGACCAGCTTGCCTTGGTCTTTGTAGAGGATCCCTAGGTTGTTGACCGTGTCGAGTGTTGACGTGTGATCCGGTCCCCACGCCTTCTCCTTCCCTCGAAGCGCCCGCAGATACATGTCCTCGGCCTCGACCAGCTTGCCTTGGTCGGCGTAGAGGCCCGCTAGGTTGTGGACCGTGGAGAGTGTTGACGTGTGATCCGGTCCCCACGCCTTCTCGTTCCCTCGAAGCGCCCGCAGATACATGTCCTCGGCCTCGACCAGCTTGCCTTGGTTTTTGTAGAGGTTCCCTAGGTTGTTGACCGTGTCGAGTGTTGACGTGTGATCCGGTCCCCACGCCTTCTCCTTCCCTCGAAGCGCCCGCAGATACATGTCCTCGGCCTCGACCAGCTTGCCTTGGTCTTTGTAGAGGATCCCTAGGTTGTTGACCGTGGAGAGTGTTGACGTGTGATCCGGTCCCCACGCCTTCTCGTTCCCTCGAAGCGCCCGCAGATACATATCCTCGGCCTCGATCAGCTTGCCTTGGTAGGCGTAGAGGTAGCCCAGGTTATAAAATGCGCAGGCTAAGTCTTGATCGCTATCTTGAATCGTAGCGCAAGATCGGATCGCATGTGATAGAAGCCGCCTTTGAAGTAGCCAGAACTGAGCCTCGTCCTGTAAAGGAACGCGTGCAGCTACGCACTTTACCGCAAGCTTAGCTAGGCGCACATCCCGGTCTTTATTGACTATGTGAATGGTCCAAGCGTGTACGCAGCTGTGAATACTGTATCCCCTTGACCCAACTAGATCTGGAGTTATGATGTGTAGCTCGACGAACCCGTAGTCATGTAGTGTACCCATAGCGCTGTTAAACTTCAGCTCGTCGGTCAGCTCATGTGTCCATGCTAGTGGCTGAGGGAGTTTCGCATCTCTGCGATCCTGGAGAGTTATATGTGAGCCAGTGATCCTTCTAGGGCGGAGAGCAGCTCGAAATCGTGTTTGGATTCTTCGAAGCGCTGATGGCTTCCTTGCTGGATCGAACCGACCTTCCCTATCGTCTATACCATTAGGCTGAAGAAGTTGAAACCATATATCTTCGTTATCAAAATATGCCCACCATCGCAGTAAATAAGCTGCGAGAGAGTTTTGCTTCTGGACTTGCTCATATGAGAGCTGCCACGTCGAGCAGAGTGTACGGTCTTGGTATGAACCAAGGCTTGGCGTGCTTACGTGAAGTCTTGCCCATGATTCCTTGTATATGCGAAGATAATCATCAAGACCGATTGCAACGCGCCTTAAATATGCGCCGGCCGTGGCAAGGGCAAGAGGAAGTCCATCAAGTTCCTTTACGAGCTTTCTGGCATCGGTATCTGTAGTATTGATTAGAAGGGCTTTGTTTAGGTTGCAGATTCTTACCATCTTGTAAGTTAGCTCGACCTGAAGTCGTTGAGAGGATTTCCAGGCCGTCGTTCATCGACTCAAGCTTCTTCGTTCGAATCGAATGACCAATATTGATCTGTGATGACCGTGATGTGATAATAATCGAGCCTTGGTGCGCTGTAGGGAGGAAGCGCTTGATATCGATCCCACCATGGTCCGTGCGATCGGCTGACTTTGGATTGTCATAGTTATCGTATACGAGAAGCCACCTATTGTTGCCCGGTAGACTTAACCACGCCTTAACGGCTTCGAATACCTCTTCGGCGTTCTGCTGAGGGTCCAGTCCACTCAAATGGCTAGCATCAGGATGTTGTTGTAAAATCTGCCTTGCGACTCTGCTGAAGCTCTGTTGTAGTGAGGTTTCGTCCTTGATATTGAACCAGAATATGGCGGAATACTCATTTCGATACCGTTTGGTGTATGCGACGGCGAGCTGCGTTTTACCAATGCCGCCGAGACCATGGAGGGTCACGATGCGGCGGCTTCCGTCCGAGCTCAGTGTTCTTCGCATCTCTGCTAATTCACCCTCTCTCGCGACGAAGTATTGTATTTCGGGAACGTCAGACAGACTAAGAGTAATAGAGAAACCCTCCCTTTGAGTTCCTAGATAGGCCAGGGTTTAGCACGCCGAGTCATCTGGAGTTAAAAACAATCCTCACCCTGAGTAGCCTTTTGAACCTCCTCTCGTAGCCGCTTTCGTGCGTTCTCTCGCCCTTCGCCATAGATAAGTGGCATGTACACGTCGAAGATCCCTAAAAGCGAATACGCCATGTCCTCTTCATATTTTGTTTGACGATTACCAGCCCACGCCTCTCGCTCCGAGACCGTAAAGTCGGATAACGGGGCACCTCGGAGAGTCTTTACAGGAATATTGGTAACATCGCAGATTTGGAGCTCTAGAGATCTTTTGTCACCTAGCCAAGACCCTTCCTTCGAGTAGAAATCGACTGTCTTCGGCGCGATGAGCTCCTGAAGTGTCCAACCACGAGTAAACCATCTGCTGTTTCGAAAGTCCGCCTCCCAAGGCGTCGTGCTTTGTCGTGGACCGGATACTACAGTCCTGGAGACGTCTGCGAGATAGACGTAGCATCGTTTCGCATCGCGATACCATCGGAACATGCTATTAATCGCAGTCTGTAGCTCGATGCTATCAGACTTGTCGATACAACAGGTATCCACCCAGAAGTACTGTATGCCATCCTGTCTCGCTTGCTTAGTACAGAACTCGATTTTTTCGTAGCCGTGTTTGTGCTGCCATTCGTCTTCTGGTCTCGCTAGGTCGCCGAAGACTACCTCGTTTGCTCCCCATGTGTGGGAAAGGATCGCGTAAGGGGGTACATCGCCGGCAGGGAGGTCTGGGGTGAGGCTATATTTGCCTGTGTCGTCGCGTTGTAGAAGCCGCATCGTAGACTCTCGGAATTGCAGATTCGTGTGAAGCAGCGTTTTATTAACAAAGAAGGGAGCGTATAAGGCCGCAAGACCTTGGTTAAGGGAATGAAAGCAGGCATCATTTCGCCGTTGCGAATGACACTGGTCAGTCAGTCTGGCATAAGGCTGCGGGTGCGGGGCATGGCTGGAGGCTCAGCCGCAATCTTGGGTTACACACAGAATAAAGAGAGCCCACTGGCGCAGCTGACTTGCTCAGGTCTTAGCGCGCGCTGTTGTTCTCGCATCGTAAGGCGTATCTAGCTCTAGAATGATGTGTGGTTGTGTTGTTGATTAGCCCTGGATTTTGCGTTTGCGAATTGTCTTGATTTAAGCTTGTAAGGAATCCAAGCGTTGAAATTCTCCCCACTGTTTGCCGTAAGTAGGTTAAAAGAGCCCAGGCCCACTCTGTTTCCACGTGCTCTTGCCGCAATTTCTCCCTCTTTAAGATTCAGTTCTGCTAATAGAAGAACACTATGGCCCCGAACTTGGCGACATCAAAACATCGACAGATACATGACATGATTTTGAGTAAAGAACTGACTGATAAGGAAATTACTCAGACGATCCCTTGTAGTACGCGTTCTATTCGCGCTATTCGTTCGAATCTGCGATGCTACGGAAGCACTCGAGCACCTACAAAGGCCGCTGGTCGGCCGCGAACTGTCTCTACGCCTATGCTGCATGCACTATGCGATTATCTTGTAATCAAGTCGAATCTATACCTCGATGAAATGGCCGTCTTCCTATATGACGAATTCAAGACCCTGGTACCCACGCAAAACATTAGACGAGCTTTAGCCTCAACGGGATGGACTAAAAAAGCTGCCCGACGTGTAGCACAACAGCGTAACGTAGATTTACGGGACTATTATCAGTATAAACTTTTGGAGTTCAAATCTTACCAGCTAGTCTGTGTAAACGAGTCGGGATGCGATGGACGAGTAGGACTACGGCGGACGGGCTGGTCACCTCAAGGCGTAACACCCATCCAAGTAACTAGGTTGCATCGAGGCCGTCGATATCAAATTCTCCCTGCATACACCCAAGAAGGGATCCTCCTTTGGCGGGTGCTACAGGGATCTATAAATGGTGCCGTTTTTGAGGACTTTATCGAGCAGCTCCTGCATCACTACGGAAGATGGCCCGAGCCGAGATCTGTGCTGATCATGGACAATGCTTCGATCCATCGCTCCGATAGAGTGGCGCAGATGTGTGCTACAGCCGGGGTCAAACTGCTTTACCTGCCCCCATATTCGCCCGATTTTAACCCAATAGAAGAGTTCTTTGCGGAGCTGAAGGCGTTCGTTAGGCGTAATTGGCAGATATTCATTAGCGGATCATTCCCTAGCTTTACAGAGTTTCTCGAATGGTGTATTAATACTGTGGGGCCAAGACAGATAAGCGCTGAAGGGCATTTCCGCCACGCTGGAATAACAGTTGAATATTCTAAAAGTAATCAGGAATGGCAAATCTACATGTAGTCTATACGCAAAATAAGCACTGGAAACAACAGTTTAAAAAGATATCTAGCCGTCTAACACAATTCCTCGCTAGGCATGCCTTTTTCCACCCATCCAGGAATGTCTTCTACGTAACTGCGTGCAATTCCAGGCTTGACACCTTGCTCGGTATAGAATGCGGGGTTCTGGTCCCTGTGTACTTGGTCGAGGGAAAATCCCGACTCAAGTGTCAGATCATTAGCCTTGCTGAATTCGCTCTTGAGGTTGGCCTGCCTGACTCTTGACTGGTGCTATATAGTATAGTACTGAAGAATATCTTCACGTAGACCAGGAATGTTCAAGCGTTCTACATTTTTTGGTCCTAATGGTTCTGTCGCCCATATGCCACTAGTGTCGGCAGCGTGCGGGCTTGAAGAAACGTTTATGTTGATTGGTGGGAGAGCTCGCACGGGCGATTCGTCACGCTTTCGCTTGTGGTTCGAAACATTCTGCGTTGTAGCTTTGAGTTGCTCCCGGATGATATGTGGGACATTACCATGTGTTTCAAGTTTCCTACCTTTCTGGGCGTATCTTACGAGATCTCTTATGTGGTGTTGTAATAACGGGTAATGCACTTGGTTATTATTATATTAATAATAACCGTTCGACTCTACGGCCGGTTGACAAGATGGATTGGGACACCTTATCAGGTTATACACGCGACTCCATTCACCAGTTTTGTTGACAGGATTTGCTGCCGTATTAATCTCCGTAGATCTTTCGGATAGCATTTGCTCTGTAGTAGAGTTTTTGTTGCGCCCACTCCGTCGTCGATCTCCGGCAGAGATATCGCCAACCTCGATATACTTGAACTCCATTGTGAGTCGGAGTCTTTTTCCAGCTCGAAACAGCCGACTCCAAGCTACAAGCTGGTTCTCGAGGACTGCCCAATCTATGTCGAGTCCGTCAAATCTCTTCGTGAGATCACGTTCGGCACGGTCTGATACGTGTACGGTAACGCTTGTTTCAGCGGCCCGATATGTTTTGTTAGATGACAGCTTAGTATCTACGATTTTCTGTAAATTAGGTCGGAGTGCTCGCATCCAGATGGCGCTTGGTGCGAGCACAACGTCTTGTTCCATATCCTTTGTGCGACTCCTTCCGTTTATTGTGAGCTTCCATTCTAGAGAATAGTGCACATATATGGGGGGTCTTTCGTCATAAATGTGGTCTTCTCTCCAATCGGCCAGCGTTAAAAGTGGGAGAAGACTTGAGGTGCTACGCTCTTGGCTGTTGTGGCTAAGAATTTCATCGTTCGAATCAAATGGATCGGGTGTGCCTTCAGAGAACAGTTCCGGTTGGGATTCGTTATCAAAATCTTGGGGCTCTCTTTGCCTAAAAGAGTCTTCGTCGTAACAAAGTTCGCTAGAGAAGCCATCCAGATACGAATCAACGAATTACATCTCGATAGTCAAGCTTCCGATTTCTAGTCTTAAGCTAGATGCTTTGAGTAAGGCTGAAGATGGCGAAGTCTGCAAGGTTCGTGGCAGTTGCCACGTGGAAAGGGCATTGAATGCACTGTCATTAGGCAACCAGCGCATTGACTTTCGATCCGATTCGACGAGATTCCATGGCTTGCAGGAAGCGGGTTTGAGCGACGCTAGCGCATGATTAGGCCTTGTAGGGCTGCTGCGATCCCCGTCTGATTTGATGGACGGATTACCATCTGTGACAGCGTCCATGGCATGCAGTCTTCCAAGAACTACTCATCGGCTGCGATATTATCATTTTTGAGACTGTCTTTGAACACGAAGCCGTCCCTTGATATTAACGTGTTAGTCAGGGAATTTTTAGTAATGCCTAGCGCACCACGGAACATTGCTGGCTTGCCAATCATTGGTTTTGTGTTTGAGTAGAATGATGGGTTATAAACCTTTTCTAGCACTATAATACCGTAAGTATCAAGAGGATCTAGAAGAGTTTTGAATCTCCCGAACGAAATACATATTATTCTAGTACAGTATATCGCACAAGATGAGATGCGATCTTATACCGTAAACGGGGAATGCAAGGATGCCAAGAATACCGGTTGCTGTAATGGATGTACTCAGCTATGCACTGTATCGTCAGCTTAAACAATACTTTAGAGCAAGGCCAGTTTTGGCTGACTGATGTACCCTTGGATGACAGTACTAGGTGGGTCTAAAATAAGTACATAGAGGTCAGCGCCAAAAGTGGACCGTCCGTGCTCAAAGACAAGAGAAGAGAGACAAAGAGAGGAAGCCGATTTTCAATCTCTCTGTACATGCTTAGCTTAACTTCTAAGATTCTTGGATCATCCGTGTATGTCTGATATCCATCATTCATCAGCATATCGAGCTATAATTCTGATACAGATGAGCAGTCGCCCTAAATGGCAAGATGTCAGAAAGAAATTTGTAGCCTACCTATACCATAACTGTTACCTATCTTGATATCCTCCAAAACCACGTGCTTGCCCAAACCGTGGACGCCGTCGAATTTAGATAGGCAAGGTTTTGCTACTATACCCTGGAATATTCCCGATATCGATCTCCAATCATTTGTTTCATAACATAATTCCCATAGGCATTTTCCCATTTATTTATTGGTCTTGTTCCACGCCATGTGTTTTAGGGATCGCACAGCCATCGTCCGTATGAGTCACCATAATCTGACATAACAAGAGGACTATTAGCTACACTAGGCCAGGATTCACATTACTGTTGCGGAAAAGTGAACCACGGGCTGTACTGATAGATCACAAACTAAACTATTGTTAAGCCATTTCCAAGTCTTCTCGTCCATCATCCGCGGAATCGTCCTCCACATATTTGATATCAAATTCTCTGGATCTATACATGACCATTCCCTCTAATTATCCCATATTGGAAACAGTTCGCGCATTTGTTCCTGAGTTCGTGCCGTGTGGATGCTGTCATACATCCGCGCAAAAAGCATGGACCGAAATGGTTGTCCTTCTTCACCTTTATTTTACGGTCTTTGATAAAAAATCCAGAAGAATCTTTCGCAGGACAACCACAAGAATGAGAAACAATGAAGGTCCAGCATTTGTCTACACTTGGTAGCTTTAGAGTAATACCGCCAACTATTGATACACGTTCCTCCATCACTAGCACGACGTGAAGATAAGTGTAAGCAGATGACAAGAATAGTATCTCCAGTGGAAAGAAGCGTGGATTGCTAGGTCCTCAGAGTGCTTCCGTATACAAAGATCGAAGGCTTACCGTTATCCCTTTGAGTTGCTTATTCACTTTTTGAACAAGCAAGCCAGGTAAGAATTTGGGTTATGATTATTGACTGGCAGAAATCGTTGTGTCGTGAGTAAATTGCAAAGAAAGAAAATAGAACCTTAGGATCATCACATGGGATATTTATTTTAATGCTTCCACATCCACAATAGGCATCAACTTACTCGCTTGATCTATATTTCTATTTTCTTTACCAATTAGTCACAAGCACATGGTGGCAGAGCCCGGCGACTAAGCCCTGGGCTTCAGGACCACTTCTTGTACCACTACATTGAATGATTTAAAATGTGGCCGGATAGTCCGTAACAGGACTTCTATGAGCCAGTTTCCGTGTTGCGTTCGATTTTTGTTCGATTCCAGTGGCAGGTTCAACATCTCCATAAACGCCTCTTTAGTGAATTGGAAGGCCTTCCTGGCTCGTGGTTTGATCAGTTTTTCCAACAATTCCAGTGTAACCTCGATAAGATGCAGCCTGAATGGCGATACCATATTGCCCTCCAGATAGATTAGGGTTGATGCCGATCTCAAGTAACATGTCTACAGTTCTGTCATACCCCTGATAGGCAGCTGCCTGTAGAGTCAATCCAGATATAGTCCTCGGAACTGACGCCAGCCTCATTTGTGGCGTCTGTCACTGCTCTTGTCGAAAGAACATGCTGCCACGTCTTGGGGAGGATCCAACATAGTGTTCAAGGATACTATAGCCGTTGTGGCTGCGCCATCGGACCCTGGCAATCGGCTCTTCCTGCCAAATCCATCAGTTTTATCTCCAACCAGTGGTGTGACCTCTTCGTCGAGTTTCTCTCACGGGCTGATAACTGAGAGCAAGGTTCTTTCGTTTCACTCCAGATCACAACTACCGTCGGGCAATCCTTCGACTGACGACAACGCATCAGTGACATCGACTCATCTCAGCTCAAGCACACACAGTCATGACAATGACGCCTTGTTTTTATTTTTTATTTTTCTTTTAGCACCAACTCGCCTGATAGGCAGACAAGCAGAGTGAAAGGACGAACTGCTGGCATTATTATCGGTGATATCACGGTCACGGGTGCTTTTGGGGCACTCACAATGCTGGTTGCATGGCGGCTGCAGCGGAAACGATTGAAACACAAGACGAAAAGGTTTATGAATCACAACTGAATGGAGCGCGATCCGCGTCATGATAATAATTGAATTTTCGCAAACTACTGCAAGCTAGTGACCTTGTCATGCAGGTACACGCAGCGCTATGCACTATGCCGTTCTTCTCCTCCCCTGTGATGTTCGCCATTATCTTGGTGCCCAGGTGTGTCTATGACACACTATGCTACCGGCGTTCGGCTGTTGTGAGGATTTCGGGTCCGGCCGGTTGGAATGGAGGATTTCTTGAGTTGTTATGGTGATTACAATCGTCACGGATGCCGGCGTTTACGGGCCGTGCTGGATGCGAGGAGATGCTGCAATAGGTGAAATCTTTTACATTCAAACTGGAGCTCAAGGAGAGAAGGTACAATCCCAGAGAGCATGGGCAAATGTTGATTATAGAGACGTTACGAAGGAGGAACAACTCGGCAAGCTCAAAGAGTTTCTTACGCCTTCGACGGTGAGCGGTAGCGGGCGGCGGCCCGTTGTTTCTGCAGTTATACTTGGGTCTTCAATCTGGAAAGATAAGCCTATCGACAGCAGTATCTTGCAGAAGACTGTCTACTGCTTGTGATACGGATTGAGCGTTCTGAGCCATTTGGTGCTAGCTTGGATTTAAGCTCTCTTCTCATGTGCCGTGAATGGAGCTCTACTCTAAGGAAGTACTTGGCTGGAGGCGGACCTCGTCGATCACGATCAAATTGTCGGTCCTCTTCGACTGGTGTTACCTCGTCGCGGCCATGTGAACGCGGTAGGCCACAAAGCCGCCAGACAATCCCTGGCTTTTCAGTAAGATGATAGACCTTTGCATCCCCAAGTGGGTGTCTAGGATCGAATGATATAGGAAAAAGCAAAAATCGATCTGGTGGGATGCGGAGGGCATTTAAGTCGCGATTAAGTAGGCCGGTAATATACTCTCTGGAGTCTTTCAAATGAGTAATAGTAGGCCATCTGTCTAGTTTTACATCGACTATACGCCGTCTGTCTGGATGGCAATGCAGGGATGCTTGTCTGAAAGCCTTCTCGATGTCCTTCTCAGAGTATTTTTGTTCCGCATCAAGCCCAAGAGCAATAAAAGGGCTATAATGAAAATCAAACTCTCGCATTCTCATCAAAGAGTGAGGATTGATGACTGAAGACTGAAGACTAAAGACTGAAGACCTGAAGACTGTAGACTGAAGACTGAAGATTGAGGATTGAAGACTGAAGACTGCGGATTGATGACTAAAGACTGAAGACTGTAGACTGAAGACTGAGGTTTGAAGACTGAAGACTGAGGATTGATGACTGAAGACTGAAGACTGAGGTTTGAAGACTGAAGACTGAGGATTGATGACTGAAGACTGAAGACTGAGGATTGAAGACTGAGGATTGATGACTGAAGACTGAGGATTGATGACTAAAGACTGAAGACTGAAGACTGAAGACTGAAGACTGAAGACTGAAGACTGAAGACTGAAGACTGAAGACTGAAGACTGTAGACTGTAGACTGAAGACTGAGGTTTGAGGATTGAAGAATGAGGATTGATGACAGAAGACTGAGGATTGATGGTTGAGGACTGAGGATTGAGGATTGAAGACTGAGGATTAAAGATGGAAGGATAAAGGATAAAGATTGGAGGATGGAGAATGGAGGAGAGGTGGAGTATTAATAAAAGACGGGGCTAGCTTTGTCCGAGCATAAGTAATAGAATGCAAGCTGGGGTGATTGGCAAGGATTATTCGTGCAACATGAATGCTAGTTTTCAAAGTATCGATACATGTTATTTTAAAACTTGTTTGTTTGTTTGTATTTAACGTGGGGACCGTCCCTTACTAGGGCAAAGCACGCCTCCCAGAGCCATACATCGCAGGGTTTTGGAGGTATCAGTATCTACATACATTCTAGCCTGCGCACATGCCCGTCCACGCTGTTGCAGGACCTCACCCCTGGCTTATAGCACACAATCAACTAAACGCAGTCGGATCGCACTAGGATATATAGCGTGGTCAGGAATATCCACATATGATCTAGCCATTGTGATATTGCTTCAATCATGCTGAAACGAGATACGCCTCCACCCAGCTCAGTGCTGCGGTCGAGCTATGTTCCTCTCAGGGGTATAACTCCCATATCCATGCTTTTGTGTCGAATAGTTAGGCTGTATAATAGATCGAACAAAATCGAGTGCTCGGTTGATTTGACGCTGACTGTTGGTTAAATTGGGCTGCGGCGATGGTGCAATGTTCGTGGGTTGCCCAGAACCCATGTCACATAAACCAGTATGGTTTTAAACTTGTAAAAGCATATCAGCACCATTGTTATCTAACTGGGTTGCGGTAAACTCAGTATCGATCATGCACAACCTCTCTAACCGGCTGACGTAGCGCGAAACAGACCAGGGTAGATTAACGCTACGATTTCCAATACATATAGCTGGGCTGATAATCGACAGCTGACATGTGAAAGGGACTAATGCAGTGGATTTGTGAAGTAGTAAAAAGCAAACACTCTCTCCTCTAACAAGGTTGCAGTAAACTGAATCACCTTTCCTCAGTCATGCACCACATCTGCAAACATTGCGCAAATTCTTTCTCTTATGGTCTGTCACTATACCAGGGTTTCAGCGCTAGCTATCACACTTATTGTCCCTTCCTACATCCTTGACCTTTTGCAAACTCATCACGCTCCTATCATTCATCCCAATGGCGGAGTTTGTAGCGATTCCAACGGTTATAAACGCCACTATCAATTCCATCAATATCGTCAAAACCTGGATCATTGAACTCTTAGCATTAGTAAGAGAAGTCCAGCAGGCAGGGGAGACGTTGCAACGAATGGAAACCGAGTGCACGGCATTTCGAGTCGACTTCGAATTGTGGGCAAAGATGTGGGAGATAGACCAGGACGTCTCCGGCAGATATCTATCCATGCTGTGGGGTGAACACAGTGGCATTTTGAAGCGAGAAATCGAATCAATCCGAGATGCGACTCAAGAAATCGAGCAGACAATTCGGCAGTTTTGGGAAGAGGGAACAAGTCAACCCTCATCGGCCGCTCAAATAACCGGAACACAACTGAGAGCCTTGCCGTCGGTAAACTTTGTATTACAGCAAGGCCCTCAAATGATCCAAAAGCTGGATAGGATCCAAAACCAGATGGCCACAGTGAAAAAGCTGTCCAAAACGGCATTTCAGGTCGTTCATCAAGTACAGCTCCAAGATGATATCATTCTCAGACGGGTACTGGAAGAGCCACAAGCGAAGCTTTTGTTTACGTCCGTGTATGAATCCAGACTGGTGTCCAATGCACTATACCAATCTTGCTTTAGAGCAAAGGAGGAATTTGGACGGAGCGATCTCAAACTTGAAATCGACGTTTTCCGACGAAGTCGTGACCTCGAATCTCCAGCCAAGACAGATACGCTTCAATTGCGTTACCAATTTCTTTTAGCTTTGAATTGTTCATTGTATGAGCTCTTAGTTGAAGGCCCTTTCTCTTTAGACGTAGTCGCGCAGTCCGACTTCTACCAAGCCTGCCTAGCAACAATGAATCAGAGCCAGGAGTTTCTGAGAATCTCGGAAGAAACTGACCAAAATGATCTCAGGCGGTTCAGCGCGCGTGCGCCTCCGATGCCTTGTCGCATTGCGAAGCGAGTGATCTCTCGAAGCCTCTGTGAGGATGAAGGACCATACAAATCACTAGTATCACTCTTGTATGACCTCGATGTGTTAATAGAGAGTGAGCCTATTGATAGATTTCCTCGCTCGGAGAGATTTAGGTTTGCCTTCAAGATTGCAGAATACGGACTATTTCTCTCCGGTACCTCCTGGTTTGTTGATTTGCGGTCTTCAAATATAAGATCCGCCCGGGATTCCGAATACAATCGTCACTTTCTATTGAAAACAAAAGCGTTCGAAGTAGGGTTCAACGACAGTCACTTTGAGCAGTTCGCTACGCACGCATATACTATTGGAATCTTGCTCGCCGAAATAGGAATCGGTCAACACATAGGGAATATCTTACGGCACTCCAATATTATGGGGTATATATTCCGCTTGTATCAAGCTGGAATCAACCTGTCATCAAGTTCTTCTGATGTACCTGAGCCCGTGGTGCTGAGAAAACTCCGCATTAACATGGGTGATAAATACACGCAGGTCGTGAAGACTTGTTTAGAGAGCAAAGAAAGTTGGAGACAAGCTAAGGGACACCCAGAGTCGGAGCGATTGAAAGTCTACCGAAAAATATTGGCAGAATACCATTCTGAAGTATATTCCCCGTAAGGCCCCTATTGAGCTGAGCGTAGCAATCCTCGGAGCTCGACTAACCTCGCCGCAGTCTGCGAAATCTTCAAGACCAAGTTGAGTCAGAATTCAGTTAAGAGTTTGGGTTTTTGTGAGTGAGTTCATGTGGTATATTGTAGTCCTAAGTCATGGGCAATACACATGGTTAATATATTCGTTTGAGTACGGAAATTCCAACTCTGGCTCAGGCGTAGAAGTAGCTTTTGGAACCCCTGAAGCATCATAGGGAACTGGGAACTCCCTTCCTAACCATATTGAGCATCTTCGCATTGCTCATCTAACATATATCCACGCATACTATAGTTGTTGGAGATAGATTAAACGAACCAAGAGGGCCTACATAGGTGTAGACGCAAGGCAGAGTGTAAAGCAGGTTAAATTCCCCACATGGCGGAAAGATTGACCTAGAGCGGTTCGTTGATGCTCCGTTGGTAGCGTTCTAAAGCCATGGTCCATCAACTGATTAGCCTGCTGCTTCCATCTCAATCATCACAATGTCAACGTCAACAGATAATGTAGTGCACGATCACAAAAAGTTTCTAGACCCGTTGAGTGCGATCCTCAGTATGTCTCTTTTCCGACGAAGGGAGGCGCGATTTAGATAATTAGTGGCTGCATGAACTGGCTCAGTAATTGCACAGGTTGGCGCAGCATCTGCATGAACTGGTTTAGTAGCTGCATATATAGCTCGAATAGCTGCCCAGGATTGCCGCTTTCAGCCACTTAAATCGATGTCAGTCACCGCTGATCCCTTACGTTGAATCATCCGGCAGGACGCCCGCACGGGAAGTGCAACAACTCTCACGCGAAAAAGAGGCCATTCCTGGACGGGAACCAAATCTCGCACCCAAGCAAAAAGAGCGGCCCTGCTTGAGCGATCGAACTTGTGGATCGGGTGGCGGTAATACTTCGTGTGTTCCCTATCGATTACCGCATAGTCATCATATATCCTCACAGTGAATACTACTGGGTTTCCTGTGAGAATAAGGTGATGCGTCTTTCATCTCCTTTGGAAGAGTTCACAATATTGTATCATCTATGGTAATATGACCATGAACTCGTGGCGCTGGCCCAAGCTTTAGAGATTAGCGCTTAGAAGCCAGAACCTGGAACTAATTTGACCTCATTATGATGGTTTTCTCCAAGGGGTACAAAAACGGATTGCGATTTTTGTAATATTGTCACCAGCTTTAAGAGAATAAGAACCTGATATAAGATTTATATAGCTTTTAGATATTGAATATATGATGAATCACACAAAAGTCGGTGTGTAGCACTCCGACGACTCGGAAAGCCCCGGTCCAATTATCTAGCTAGCCAAGAACTGTAACGACTGAGCTAGAAAGGGGAATCCGGATGGGCAAAAGTGGGAGTCCATATTCGGAAGCGAGCCGTTAATAACGAGGGATAAAAGCAAGGGATGGATCTCCTGCCATAAGTTTGACTTCTCTCTTCAATTCGCACTGGCGCTGCTCCTGGCATCCGTTTGTCACTTAGCTGCCCAAGCCTACAATTTCGAAGAAAGTTCCGACATTTCTGGCATTGATATTGAGGAACTCTCGAATACGACTCTAGAGTATCGAAGCTAAATCAAGAAATGAACTATAATGGCAACGCTGATGCCCACCGCACACTCACAACCTCTCCAGGAGTGCGAGTCTTGGACTAAAAAGGGAAATACCATTCCGAGTCTTCCCACAAGCCTTTTATTCCCTTCCCCCTCCCTTGCGTTGCCATGATTACAGATCCAGTAGGATGTTGTGATCCTTGCGTAGTGGAGACGTTAGTGTCGCGGCTACTCTCTACCAATCAACGTCGTTCGGCAACCGCGCCAGGCTGCCAAAATCGTCCAAGGAACGGCAGCGCAAAACCACTAGCAGAACAAGCGGTTGCCCATTCTCGATACTAGCAAAGGAAGCTCAGAACGGGACCTGGACCATTCGGCATCGTCCTGATAAACGATTCTCCGTTCATAAACACCAACCCAGTCAACGTCCATCTGCACATCGAACCCACCGAGCACTCTCTACACCGGATATAACGCAAATCCAAAACCTCAGGAATGTTGGCATAGCTCCCAGAGAATACAAGCTCAATTGCAACGCAGCAAGATATCTATAATCGTATCGCTGACGCTAAGCGGGATCTTTGCGAAGGTCAAAGCACTATTCATGCACTTGCGGACCAGCTATTCAAAGAAGGCTTCTGGAGTCAATTCCAGACAAATTCAGATGGCCGAGTTACAGCAGTTCTATCCGCCCACCCGCAATCATTAGGATATGTTCAGACTTATCCAGATATTCTGATCTTGGACTGTACATAAGACGAACAAATACGGAATGCTACTCCTGGACATTATTGGAGTTGACGCCTGCCAACGATCATTCTGCATTGCTTTTGCTTTTCTCGATGGTGAAGCTGAGTCGGATTTCTTTTGGGCCCTAGACCACCTCAAGTCACTTTACCAACTGTGTGATTAGCATGTATGAATGCTATTGGTACTTGCTTCCCAACCGCAAACTCGTTATTATGCGTTTGGCATACAAATAAGGCTGTTCTTCGGTACTGTAAGCCCACCTTTACGGAGAACGAAGAATGGAACGAGTTTTTCAATCATTGGCATGCAATTATTGGGTCGCCGGATGAAGAGGTTCAATGAACGTCTGCTCCAGCTCGAGAAGAAATATCTTCCCAGGCATCTTACGAAGTTGGATATATAAAGAAAACCCGGCATGGTTCTTACAAAGTGAAGCTTGTGAAAGCTTGGGTTAATCAGCACCCTCACTTCGACAACGTTGGTTTCTTCACGAGTTGAAGGTATCCATTGGCTCTTAAAGAGTCACCTAAAGGTGTCTACCTTAGATCTCTTTGACGCTTGGAGAGCTATTAAGTACGCATTACAAAACCAGCTCATAGAGCTGCAGGATAACCAAGCTAAACAACAGATTCGAACCCCTCTTGAACTCTCGGGAGTACTATATAGCACAGTACGTGGTTGGGTATCACATGAAGCCCTTCGAAAGGTCGAAGCACAGCGGAAAATATTATTCGAAAGCAATCCACCTCTTTCAACTATCTGTACTGGCTCCTTTACCCGATCTCAAGGGCTACTTTGTGCCCATAGGCTAGAAGGCTTATTGGCATACGATAAGGCCTTACAACTTGAAGACTTCCATCCACACTGGCGTTTAGCTCGTGAAGATACTCCTCGATTGCTGTTGGAGCCTCGCCAACGTATCAGTCCGATTGTTGCTTCTTCGTCTTTACCGCTGTCAGGTGTTAGGCGAGAGCTAAGTGGATTTGAAATTGTGCAACAAGCTACTACGTCATCAAAAGCACCACTCCTTTCACATGCCAAACCGATTCGACGGTAGTTGTTAAATAAGCAGGCCTCTTAAACCACGATTTTAGTATGCGTGAGGGCTTACTGTAACCCTGGCGTGTAAGTTAAACAGGAAAGTAATTTATAGGCTGTTAAAGTTAATAAACAGCCGTCCCCAAATTGCAACCGGTAATAGACAACTCTGCATCATGGTTAGCGTTGCCATTAGAGCCTACCAAAAGGCGCCTTCATAGAACGCAACCTTCTGCTGGATAAGGTATTCTTATCCAACTAGGGCAAACCTACAAGGCTGTGCGATCTCTTTTAGGCCGTACGTGACTAAGCAATGGCTGCTTTAAGATATGCGTAAACTGGGGTTTACAGTACAACGTTTATGTTCCCATCGTCGGATGCCTTTGCTCATGCAGAATGATATGGTACCCTTTCATGCTCTTTCGTAATCTTTGAAAAGTATGGTAATTGCCCAGCCCGGCGACCTAACAGCTTTTGGAATGGTGCCAGTGGTCCCTGCTCAAGTACTGGCAGAAAGATGTAATAATCCTAAACATGCTCGTTAGCCAAGGATCGAGTAAACACTCCCATTCTGGTCGTCCTGGGACACTCCCATTCTGGTCGTCCTGGGACACTCCCATTCTGGTCGTCCTGGGACACTCCCATTCTGGTCGTCCTGGGACACTCCCATTCTGGTCGTCCTGGGACACTCCCATTCTGGTCGTCCTGGGACACTCCCATTCTGGTCGTCCTGGGACACTCCCATTCTGGTCGTCCTGGGACACTCCCATTCTGGTCGTCCTGGGACACTCCCATTCTGGTCGTCCTGGGACACTCCCATTCTGGTCGTCCTGGGACACTCCCATTCTGGTCGTCCTGGGACACTCCCATTCTGGTCGTCCTGGGACACTCCCATTCTGGTCGTCCTGGGACACTCCCATTCTGGTCGTCCTGGGACACTCCCATTCTGGTCGTCCTGGGACACTCCCATTCTGGTCGTCCTGGGACACTCCCATTCTGGTCGTCCTGGGACACTCCCATTCTGGTCGTCCTGGGACACTCCCATTCTGGTCGTCCTGGGACACTCCCATTCTGGTCGTCCTGGGACACTCCCATTCTGGTCGTCCTGGGACACTCCCATTCTGGTCGTCCTGGGACACTCCCATTCTGGTCGTCCTGGGACACTCCCATTCTGGTCGTCCTGGGACACTCCCATTCTGGTCGTCCTGGGACACTCCCATTCTGGTCGTCCTGGGACACTCCCATTCTGGTCGTCCTGGGACACTCCCATTCTGGTCGTCCTGGGACACTCCCATTCTGGTCGTCCTGGGACACTCCCATTCTGGTCGTCCTGGGACACTCCCATTCTGGTCGTCCTGGGACACTCCCATTCTGGTCGTCCTGGGACACTCCCATTCTGGTCGTCCTGGGACACTCCCATTCTGGTCGTCCTGGGACACTCCCATTCTGGTCGTCCTGGGACACTCCCATTCTGGTCGTCCTGGGACACTCCCATTCTGGTCGTCCTGGGACACTCCCATTCTTTTTATGGATTGAGTCAGCGACCGAGCATCGACCCATTTGAGTCCATTTCCGATTGATCCGTAATTTGCAATTTCGTCCCGCAGGAATCATCCACCGACAAGGTGACGTTTCACAACATACCTTGCTAGTTCTTGCACTTCATGCATCCAATTTGAGCTATAGAGGCTGGTGACAGTTGTAGACTATCATTCCCGATCTAACTATCACCTCTGATGTCCTTGCATCATGAAACGTCGCCTGTGACAAACAAATTCTCGCAATCAAATGTGGAGGCAGATGCGGGGCTGTAGTGAGTTCGGCTCTACTACAATACCTGGGCAGTGGTGCCGAGTGTCTTCTTGGAAATCTTTCCTTGCCAAAATACTGCGAACATTCGGATACAGTAGTACTTGACCCAATGACGTACAGTATCACAAGTGACATTCAGATGGTGACCAAGTACATATACTTACCGACCTAGATCTTGTCGGTACATGTGAGCCACTAGCGTACGACGCAGTGCTATGAACTATCGAAACCACCGTGCTGGAGATGATCGTTATTTATAGAGTGTTACTGGGACGTGGCTGGGTTGTTCAAGTAATAGTAGCGTTAAAGGCCACAATCGAAATCCGCTATGAACCGGTCGCAGTACTCACAGATATCTACCTACAAAGCCGCATCCACGTAATCGGTCGAGTTTTGCACTAAGCAAAAGTCATCGCTATAATTTCAACCAACTCAAAGAGAGCATAAATGCATTTCTCAGGGCCAGTCTGCATCAAAATTTCTTCATCAGCCAGCCAGACTTTCGTCCTGTTTCATACTTTCGCTGGCTTAGACCAACAGATGGTACTCCGCTCATCTACCGCCCGACTGCGAACTTTGCGAGCTTCTTGGCCGCCAAACTCCATGATCATACTTGTTGCCATGTCGCATCGATGTCGAAACTTACTAACTTGCACTTCGGCATTACCCACCAATGCAATTTGACACGTCACGCCACACAGCTGTGGGATTACCAGTCTAGTGCTTAACAAAGCACAAATGTCCGTGAGTGTTGCTGGACAACCAAGCACTACCATAACCTGACACGGTCCGACTACCATGGTCTCGCCCCAGCAAGACCCGTCAGTGTCGCAGGCAGGATGGTCTGAGCCCAACGACGAGCTCATAGAACTTATTGACTTGACTGGATCGAACGATGACCGACTCTCGATAGACAAAATCATCTGCTAGTGAAAGTTATCGCGCAACCAGGATCAGAAATCCAGGTTTCCATTCTAGGAAGTGAGGATGAACTACGTGCGAAGTCAGAATCGTTAAGCAATGGTTGATACTCAGAGGGACCGCATATTTCAATGTAGTACAGATCACACCTAAGCTACCGCTCTCTTTCTTAGTACTTCTTTCGACTAATTCCTTCGCATTCTGCTCGTGTGCGTTGCACTGATCTGCCACAGAGACACAGTTTAGAATCCCAAACTCACATGCCTTTAAAATCAACAACGTATAGGAATAACTGTCAGGTGGATCGTTAGTAGCTGTCTAAACTGTGCTTGCCCTTGCGACGCTTTATGAGGAATTGATCCCGACCACCCTTAGATGCCCAGTACTCGTCGAGTAACTCCTTGGCGCAATTCTTCAGTTTCAATTCGTTTTCCCAGGTAATATTTGCTTCGTCACTCGGATATCCCACCCACTGAATTTTGAACTTGAAGGCCGATTGTTCTCTCTTATGCTCCAGAATCTTGTAAACCCAGTACTTTCTATAAGGCATCAACGGTGTTGAACCCTTGTCGAACAGCGCTGAATCTCGTCCGCCCTGTTTCTTCCAGTAGTCAAACAATGTTTCTGACGCGCCGTCCTGGATTTCCTCCTCCAGCTCCCAGGTAGCCCCGGGGTCATCAAGCCAATTCACTTGGAGTAGGATTCGGCCAAGATTTTGCTCTGAAACTTTGTGTGCCGTAAGCGACTTGATCTCATGTATGTTTTCTTCGATCTCCTGACCAGAATCCTTCTCTCCAGCATATTTCGGTCGGGCACGCTTATTTGCGGGAGTATCTTTGGCAGGCGTGCCTCTCGCTCGCGTCTCTTTAGCAAGTTTATCGGCAGCGGGTTCCTGTTCCGGGTCCTGCTGCTTCATGGGCAGCTCTGCATCAACATAGACGTTAGTCTAGTACCCCACAGGAGAACAAATCAATAACTAAGCAAACGTACCGGCGCGGCCCATGTCAGCCGTAGGGGCTCTCGCTGCAGGAGAGTCTACTACGTCACCATTGACCGGCGCATTCAATGGCCTTACACGCGCGACACCACCCACCGAAGACAGCCTTGTAATAATTGGCTGCCATTCTGCATGCATGCCGTCAGTATCTTCAATTCCACGCGACAGGAAATATGGTTACAATGCAGACATACTAGTCATTCCGGCTGATTGTCCCGACTTTGAATTGGATGGGGTGACACTCGAGTGCCGCGATCCGGTACGACCTGCCGGCGTCGCAGCTGATTGTTTGTCTTCTGTTTGGCACATTCGCGGTTAGCACTTACACTTCCTATGCAAACATCTCCCCAGGGGGCGTGGAGTAGAAATAGGAAAGAAAGGAAGACAAAGCTAACACATGTGCCATACCTGTGCCATTTAATGGATCGTTCGTCGTGACTGCGCGCTGCATGTTGTAGTCCGTCCTAGTAACTCCAGAAACTTGTTGTACACCCATTGTAGACTTTGTCCTGGTCTCCTTTTCTGGTGAACGGAATGGTGTATGGTCGACGATGTTTTTCATAAACGCGGACATGCTGCTCGGTAAATCTGGCAAGCTCTAGTTGCGAGACATTGACTTCGAACAGAACAATTTCCAGAACCACAAAATTCGTGACGCACTAGGTACGTAGATAAACGGAGGGATAGACAGAGAGTAAAACCCTGGTTGGGGGACAGGAAAAACAGGACCGCCCAAGAGGAAATGGAAAGTCGCGATGTCACTAAAAGTTCTCCTAACGGCGATAGCGGCAGCTTTTGCTCAGCAGAACATGTTGCTTGCCGGCCGATATATTGTGCTAGAGCGACAAAATGTTTGAAATATCGTTCGCAGGTCAGACATTCAGAGTTGAAGGCATATTTGGTGACGCGCCGGCCATCGCGCTAGGGATGTTATCTCAGCAATAAGTCCGAACAATTTGTAGTCTATCCGCTGCAAAACATTGGGCCTAAATTGCGCCTGAGATTAGAGCCCTGCTACACTTTCCACTCCCGCGTGGCATTTAGTGCTCCGTTGCTCCACTTCTCAAGAGGGCATGTGGTCTAGCGCCAGGTTCCGGAGTGCCTCGCTAATGTTGTCTGGCTCAAGTCAGTAGTCGCTATGTGCAAAGCCTGAAGTGAAGCTGCCCATGTGACAAAATAATTGACAAGGACCACTGAGAAGCACAGCAAGAGCGGATTCATCATGGTGCCTGGTTCAGACTTCTGCAGCAAGCACCATACCACCTTCTTGCCTACATACTGGCGGACAGTGTGCAATCTTGACCGCGTCCGGACCGTAAGATGATCAATTCTTATACCTTACCGCTGTGTACTTCTGTCACCCTATGTTCTTTGCAACGCCTTGCCAGACCTCGTAGTAGTTGCCTGCTCTGCTATCCTATGAACACACGAGCACGGGGAACTTGGCATATAATTTAATTGGATGGTCCAAGTCATATTTGAGCTCAGAAATAGTGTTGAGAAATCTAGACCCTGTTCCTCCTAAACTCTACCTTCCATCGTAATGAGTGGTACTTGCCCCTTGCCAGTCGCATTCAAGGAATGATTTCCTGCATTAAACCAAAACAAGTGGCAGGGAAGTGCTTGACCCCCATCGCCTAACTCGTGTTTGTAAGCGGTTTGTAACAAAGGCCCATTAACACTGGTATCCCAGCATGCAGCGCTGCGTGGTGTCATAAACGAAATCAGGTGAGAGCTCATCAGTCCAAACCGGGCTCCCTCCACGACCGATACGAGTAGCAAATCACAGCTAAAGCGCTTCTCTACTGGACTCTTTCGGTCCACAAACCGGACACAATATAAAGCTCGGTCAAAGGTGCTTCTTGGTTAGCATTCCAATAGCGAAGAATATCCCGGCATAGAGTTTACAAGTATGAGATTCATCCTCAGCTCTTCATTTCTCCGCGACACAGGCACTCTGTACATGTCTAGTGTTCAATACTGTCGATATCGTCGGTAGAGCTCTTCCACTTGAACTCATTCGGACGATTCCTGATTGAGAGCCAAATTGAGAGCACGACTTAGCCAGACCATTGTAGGGAACAAATTCGGCCATAAAGGAGCGTCCCGCACAGCGAAAAACAACAACTTCACGTCATCGTACTCGAGAGCCCGCTGGAAATATATTTCTTCTCGCGTAACAGCCACAGAAGAGCTGATACTAATTGGACGCTGATCTCTAGAACTAGTTTGCTTGAGTCAACCCCTGCGTCGAATGCTTAATCAAGCCACATAGGACTGACTTCTACCTTTTACAGCCCTTCGAGGTACATGACCCGTTTACCATTCCCAGGTTCACATGTGATTGATGGTCTCCTAGGCTTCGTCGACGGAGCAACGGGAGTAGTCCACAGTGCCTGGGCATGGCATTACATGGTGAAACCAAGTTCCCGATACATGTACGAGTCAACCGGACAATGGCAAAAGCACAGATCTAGAAGAGTTTCAGACGAGTTTTCTGCTGCATCCTCGTGCCGTTGAGCATAGCGCGGCTCTTCTTCGTCCTTGTCTGCAGCCGACGGAACGCCTCTTGAACGTGCCTGGTCTCAACAGGCGTTTTGCCCTCACTAGGCTGGCTAAACAAACCACCAGGAGCTAGCTTCCTCTTCTTGGAGTTGCTCTCCCCGCCAGGCCGCTCTTTCCACAGGTCCTCCTGCACTTTGATCTTTAGCGCTTCTTCCGTGAGGGTTTGCACCATCTCGAATGTCAGAAAACCGAGGATATCCACTATATCGTCCGAAGGTTTGCTGTCCGTTACGATGCCTTTTTGTCCGCTCGTCCGCCTTACGTAGTCGCTGCAGGGTGATGGAGTTGAGCTCGTCTTCCTCCTCATCCTCTTCCTCTTCGCGTTCTGGCACCTCTTGAGTGTAGAAACTGCTCGGCTCCCAGGGGAGCTTGACCTTGGCCTTCTTGTTCTTTTTGGCAGCCTCCTCAACCGGACCGGCGCCGGGTATGCCGCCGCTAGGGCCCGCGTCGTCGACGCCCAGCTCAACATCGCCTCCCTTTTCGTCGGAGTCTCGCACATTCTTGCGCACATCTTTCCAACTTAGAAAGGTGCGCAGGCGCGAGACCTTGAGCCCGTCGTCGCGGATCTGAAAGATCAGGTCGTTTATGGTGATTGAACGTGCCCCGCGGCGGGCGGCGAGCTCCGTACAGTTGCGCAGCATCTCGATGACTTGTTGCCGCACAATTTCCTCAATCATGGCGGTTACTTCGACGGAAGGCTCGCCTGTTTCACCAGAGACATACATCATCTGCTGAATCTCCTGCCGGTATTTAGACTGCTTATTATCTGCCATCACGGGCAATCGATTAACTATGCTCTGCTTGATATTATGGCATTGTATTGCTTCGCCGCCAAAGATGTTGTCAACGTACAGACCGTTTGGATTACTTTCGCATGCGTTGAGGGCGCTTTATGGGTGGGGCTAGTGGGTCTGTGTGGATTTTGCTCCTGGATCGTGACATCCTATGCCTGAAGCAAGGTAGTTACCATGCCACCAGTCTGTAGGCACGCTGAACTCCATCCAGCTGTAGGGTCGCGCCTGAGCTGTCGCCTTAGCGCGTCGTGCCATAATCATTAGATTTTGAAGGCGTGTTGGTGTAGACAAAGACATGATGAAAGCACGTCTGCTCAGTCGAAGGAAAACATGTTGCATAAAAGTGATGCTATTTATGTTTTTACTGCTTCGAACAACCTACTTTAGTGACAAGTTACTAGCAGACTGATTGTTTTACTATTCTTGGCACTATGCCTACTCATGGCTCATTTCTTGAGCCAGTGCTGGTAGCGGTGGCCAATCTTAATTTTGATAGACGCAATTGCGGCAAGTACGGCGGCATACGCAGCTGGTACCCCCCTCATCTCGCAATCTGATAGAAGCAATATGCTCATTCTATCTGGCATTCTTTAGCAAACGCAGACGGTCATGGATGGCAAACCTCTATTCCCGGACGACTTTAAACCCCTAGATCAATCAAACGCCGTAATGACAAAGAAAGAATACGATAATCATGATCGCGCTGAACCAGAAAGCGGGGCTCGAGAGACTCGGGCTCCACACGCCTGCTCGACAGCAACACTTACTTGCAGTGGCCCGTATGGCGCAGTGGGTAAGTGCGCCTGGCAGTCCTCTCGTTGTTGCGTTGGGCGACGAGAGCAAGTGGGCTCGAATCCCGCAACGGTCCCCTTAACCTGGCTCGTGCCAGTCGTCAACAGGCACATGACAGTGAGATGGGCTCTATCGCAGAGCCCGATGACCAAAGAGTCTTCCTCACATATCCAATTCTGGCGGGGTTTTCCACCACGGTGGAAGCAACATCACCTGCTTTCACCTTCATCAATTCGAAGGACATCGAACGGCTACTGGGACGATGTTCAAACCGGAGGACTGCGGACTGATGGGTCGGATAGCAATGGACGGGGATGTTTTCCGACGGAATCAAGGTTGGATATTGACTCATTCATCTGGCAGCGCCAACATGGTACCGCAACAGCGTGGATCTGCACATGAGCGGCTCTGGCATGTACATAGTTTCACTGACACCTCCACAACCCTGCGATGTATGGCTCTGGGAGGCGTGGTTTGCCCTAATAAGAGACGTTCCCCACGTTAAATACAATCAATCAATCAATCACATACTTGCAGGGCGCTGAGGATCACGGGCGCTACACCAATAGCGAAAAGAATAGGTCCGAAGAACCGAGCGAAGTACCCATAGTGATACTCTACTTGCTGGAAGTGTGATTTTTGAAGCAGTACGGAAAGTCGGATTCCGCCGTAGGCATAATGTCCTGAGACGTCACTGATTTTGATATTGGTAAAGCTAGAGGTGAAGTTGCAGAATGTTTCTAGGTGATGTTATCTGGGACTAAACAAAGGATAGGATCCTATGCGATGCGAAATTCCGACTCATACTAGATAGACATCAGTGAACATGGCAGCACAAAACGGACACCTAGATGTCGTCAAGTTCTTATTCGAAAAGAAAGCAGACATCATGGTTGCAAGCAAGGACGGATGGACACCAGTCCATAGTGCAGGGTTAGGAGGTCATTTAGATATTGTGAAGTTCTTATTCGAAAACAAAGCGGACATCACGGTCGCGAACGATAACGGGGCGACACAGTTCTATTCTGCTTCAACCCACGGACACATGCAACTCGTTAAGCTGCTTCTCGCGAAGGCTGCCGACCTGACTACCGTGGACAATGACGGATGGAGTCCGCTTAATACTGCTTCACCCAACGGCCGTATCCAGTTAGTTGAGCTATATGTTAACAAGGGCGCCAACGGGACAGTTGCCCATGGGTACATGCGATATCAACGCCCGCGACGTCAATGGTCTACTGCCCTTTATCGAGAAGGGTGCGGATGCTTCGATATCCGATCTATACGGTGCTACATATATTAACATAGCAACCAAAGAGGGATATCATGATGTAGTAAAAAAGCTGCTCCATCATCGCTCTGAATGGAACATGCCCGATATCTCTGGGTCAGATGCTCTCCAGTGTGCTAGCCTTGGAGGACATACCCATATAGAGCTTTCTTGCTCTCCATTAGGACTACTATCCCGGATGATATCTAAGGATTCAACGCTTTGTTCGGGGAATAAATGATACATCGCAATGCCTTCATTATCTAAGTTCAAAACGACGTAAATATACAAAACTGCCCCTTATATACTCAAGGATTGTACACAAAATGCACAGCCGACTAAGGATTTGCCGCAGTCGTGAAGGAGTTGTCCCGAGGATCCCTCCATATGGTTCTTTTTCACAGCAGCGCAACGCCGAAAGTATACCGCTCGGTGTTGTCACGTCACAGATCACCACTGCCTGCTTCAGCCTTTGAAGGCACAGCAGTTTGTCATGCATGGAATGGTTGAGCAACAAACAGGCGAACTGAAGTATGAGTAAGTGAAATAAAATCATGGTAGAGGGTTGAGAGGCACAGGATCAGCATGCTATAGGTGCCTCATTCCCAGTAAATCAATGTTTCTTGCTACTGATACATGTAGCGCTTTAGCTCTCAGAGTATTTGATCAGTAACAAGGGGAATATATGTTCTACTCGGGCGCTTACAAACATCTGCTAAGGTGGAAGTTGATCTTCTCATATGTCGCGTCACATCAACGGTCTCGGATGAGATGATGCCAAGTATGTAGGAGTATTAGTACAGCTATATAACTCAGCGCCTAACGATAGTGTGTACGAAGATCTTTTACAGTTGCAGTACATCACTCACCAGCAAAATGAACGAAGGGCATAAGAGGATAAGTAACACAGTCAACTATGGAACGGAGCAACTCAGAAGAGTGCTATACTCCAGGCGGAGACGTTGAATGCCCGTCTCCGCCAGAAAATACTTGTATAAATCCGCAAGTTGGGCACAGTCTTTCAATATTCAATAAAAGAGGGTTACTTCCAATAGCCATCGAAGCGTTGCAACTATGGCCATAACATTTATCCCATACCAAACAGCTGCTGCCCATATCACGTTCCTGATCGAGGCAGTTTTGAGTTTATGGAGTTGTTTCAACACATACTCAAACCGGCCACGTCGAGTCGAACAGCCACCATGGACTATGCGTGTTATGTATTGGCGCATATACGTGGTACTTGTCTTTTCAGTCTCTTTCCTGGGCATTTCCACTGCGTCCGTCTTTGTCATCCTTTCGTGGATTCGAGGTGAAGCATGGATAAGTTATCTGTTACATACTATTCCTTTGTGGAGTATGCTTCAAGAAGTGAGTATGTTGCCACCGATCTCGGTGAGAGCCCGCTGACTTGAGAAAAGACCTTGGTTGTGGCTGGGAGTTACAGTATGGACCAGAGATCATTTGCGCCTCTACCATTAGGGGTTGTATTTGTAACATCAGTCCTATCCTTCATTGCTGCAGTGGGCCTGGAGACTCTCCTCATTCCTTGGCACCGTGTCCTTTATCAATTGTCCACATCTCTCTTCCGTCTCTGGATGGCATGGGAATGGTTACGAATAGCATGGGATAGCTTACAAAATAGAACGCCGATGTTCACCCACTGCATCCTCCGTATTGCCGCTTTCGGAGTCAATATGGTGGCTTTGTCGGCTCAAACGACAAGTGAACAGCTCTTGGTGAGTGAACTTCTTTCCAGAAACTGGATCTCCTAACGTCACTTCAGATCATTTCTGTCACCTTTGCTTTGTACGATCTCGCAAATCCTATCCTTAGTAGAAGTGGTCGGTTTGTGCGACAGCTTTACCAGAGAAGGACGATAGGTAGTCGATCCATGTCACCGAGCTTCGCCATGGTATGACCAACACGACTGTGAACAGGCGTACACCACAAAAAGTACTCCGAAGCTGTCAACTGTCTCCAAAACTGCGATTCATTCATGGAAACTGCTATCATGTCCTGATGAGCATCGTCTCTTGCCACTCGCGTTGGTCGGACTCAAGCCCTCTGACTCATGGTCTCTGCGCCTTCGCTTCGCAAAAATAGAGCTCTCGTCAAACCCTAAATGTAACATGTTAATTCTTCTATTGTCCCTGTGACAGCTGGTTGTTTTCCTCTGCTTGCCAGAGACAATATGGCTTCTTCTCCGTCTTCTCGGAGGAGCCGGATGATAGAGCAGCGTTTTTATCGTCCATTTGTGCAACTGTTGATATATGGATGGCTGGATCGGCGAAGGGCATCTTGGCTGATAACGGATCAGACCTTACGGTCGCTGTGCTGCCTTCGCTTGTGCGGATGCTTGCATTCATCCGATAGGCCTAATCCAGGAGCGAGTGGTGACGAGAACGACTATTATCAGAGTTCCTGCTTGCTAATGCGTTACTCATGCTGCGCAATACGTACGGCCGCCTGATTTTCTACTCATGACCGGCTCATAAGATACACCCTACTCAACCGAAAAGCTCAGGAATCTTAACAACCAGGCCTACAAACACCAGCACGACAAGTCAAACTTCTGAGAAAAAACGAGGTTCAGCCGAGGTCACCTGCTTAGACTACTGATTGTATAGCATCAATTGCAGCGCAACCGTGGCCACAACTTACTGTCGAAGCACATCAAGCCACACAAGAGCGAGCTCGAGCAAAATCGGGTCTTCATGGATATAATGGAAGCACTGAAGACATTCGTGTCGAGACAAAGATGGTTGCCAAGTCAACGAGAAAGCTCGACTCATTGCCAAGCTTTATAATAACATATTATTTTATTCAAAGTGGGAACTGGACACGTCCATGTCAGCAAGTGCAGGATTAAGAAAGACTTGCTGGCCACTCTTCGAGTGCTGTTCGATGACTGCCTGTAACTTCGCGGCCCATTCCTGCAGCTTTTGGTCAAACAGCTCAAGCTTGAGCATTCACGACTTGAGGATACCTACCCATGATCCCAGATAGAGCAGGTATGCGCTAATCTGGGAGAAGGATATTGGGTACAATTGATTCAGAAAAGTATTGCCGGTATATCGTCCCACTTGTCCGGGATTTCGTAAGTCCGTACGTGGACTTATGGTTCCAACACGATAACGCTTCATCACATACTGTACAGCATTTTATACGCAATATGCTTTTCTCGAGATGATGATTATGGTCGTAAAATGGCCGCCGAATAGCCAAACCTTCATCCAATCGAGAATGTATGGCATTGGGTGAAGAGCTGGATCGAATGACAATACGAAAGCCAGTCTCTGAACGCAGTACATCTCCGGGCAGCTAAAACGGCAGCTTGGAGAGCTGTACCAGAAGGATGTCTGGAAACTCTGGCACGGTCGATGCCCGGCCGGCTACAAGAGGTTACCCGTACTGAAGGTGAAAGATTGAAATGCTAGAAGTAGATGTACTTATAGTCCTTAGATTACTGTACGTGACTGGATGTAGCTGTACATCTCCGCAGAATAGGTCAGTGCTCTACTGCCCTTTCCAAGGCACAGTTCAGTTCAGGTGCCGCTGATGGGGTCCCAGAGCCTGTGCATGGCCGGCCGCGGCTTTCCCGCCAGACTAATCTTAATTGCCTCGATGCCACGCAGCTCCCTATGTACTTTGCTTTCTTCGCATATGTGAGGTACACGCAAGCAATCTACGAGGATCTGAATGTCAAAGAGGCATGCATTTTATGTTTTACACCCAAGACGAGAGACTTTTGAGGGAGTCTGATCCTCTCGCTGCTTTTCTTCTCAAAAGGCATAATTTCTCATTACGCACGGAACAGTTCGACTGGCAGCCGACGGTGCGAAATCATCACTACTTGGCACCGGAACTGGGATAATACACCATGCTAGAAGACGTGGTCCTGCTTACACAGTTACCCTCGGACGCCTGGTTCGAGGGCTTCGCTCAGCGGCCAAACGGTCAGCTTCTCATCACAAGACTAGACCAGCCGGAGCTGTACACATTGGATGCGGAGGACCAGGACGCAGAGCCGCAGCTGCTGCACACATTCAACGATGCCAATTCGGCAATTAACCTGTGCCCAATAAAGGGGAAGAGCGATGAGTACGTCGTAATTACCGGCATGCTGGACCTGGCCACCGTTCATTTCTCAGATCACGTTGCATGGCACGTAACACTGGAGGATGGGCAGGATCCGAAGGTCCAGAGAATAGCCCAACTGAATGCTGCAGCGGCAATCGGGTTGGTTGCGGCGTCGGAGCGCGTGTTGTTGATCGCGGATTCACTTCGAGGGGCTATCCTGCGGTTTGACATTTTAAGCGGCGACACATCGGTACTAGTAGAAGAGGATGCGCTACGTCCTGTTGACGAGAGTCCCTATGGAATCAATCGGTTGCGACTAATTGACGATTTTCTCTGGTTCACGAACAACGGAGCCGGCACTTTGAATCGGTTCCCTCTCAGATACACGGAAGGCCAGATTGAGATGGCAGGGCCGATCGAGGTCATTTCAGATGACATACCTCATTGTGATGGACTGGCCGTTAGCCAGGATACAGAAACTGCGTATACCGCAAGCTACATGGACGGGTTGCTGTGGAAACTAGACATCGACTCAGGGAGCGGGAAGTCGGAGCGGAGCACCATTTTGGAGAACCTCGTGAGCCCGACAGCGGTGGAGATGATGGACAGCCACGGAAAGCAGAAAATATTTGTCGTGTGTAGCGGCGAGATCGAGGTCGGCTGGGTCAACTCGACTGACAAGACGTCATGGAGCGAGTTCCGGGACCTATCCCTGAACGCGCAAGTTTCGGTCACTGTAACAACAGAGGTGGTGGAAGATGCGTGACGGAGTCTTCTGACTACATATGATTCACAGCGAATCTGCCCATGTTACTAGCCCTTATTTAGTTCTACGATCAAACCGTCTCATTTGTCTTGTTACGTGATCTAAGCTTCTGGCCCATGTCTACAGAAAGTTCCGACCGCAGCGCTCTTCGGTGTATTTCCTCGTCGAGCATCATGCGATCTCGGCAACATTGCCGCAAACTGCAAAGAATATCCATGGATAGTTCGGCCGATGCAAAATGCCAACTGCCGAGAGCATTTTGCGCAAATGTGATCTCCCCTTGCCCCCCCCCCCCCCTTTTGACCAACAAAACTCACGTTGTTACAAGTTTCCACTAATAAGCACCTATCGCCCCACGGTCCCATCTCGCTGTTGCTGGGTCCCCTGCTGTTGGCGAGGACAACGCGTCGTCGACCCTTGTTTAGTCGACCGCACATACAGCGGAAACGTCTCATGTGGCATCCACATACAGTACAAAGCGACATTTGTGAAGAACTTTAATCCTTCACCGAAAGTTAGTCCCCCGAGCAGTGCTTCCATGGGTCAATTTAGAATTCGTCACACGTGCAGGCCCAGAAATCATCATAACCACCTAAGCCTGGCGGCCCCGCAAGCTGCATTGTGCGTTAGCTCAAAGTTCCAAAATTAGCTGTTCTAGAATCAAATTCGGCTCCACAAAAGCGGAAGCCAATAACGTTGTTCAGCGTAGTGCAGTGGTCAGTTGGGGGACATATGTAACGGTACTTGCGGGTATAAAGCGAGTCGGGCCGTTTGCCAGAAAGGTACAAAATCGGACCATGTTAATTGTCTCCTGTAACCAGACCCGCGACACCCGCCTTTTACTGTAACAAAGACATCTCTAACATACTCGGTCGTGCTCATTCTTGGACCATTGATAACATGCATCCATAGTGGTGTGTATTGAATTTGACCTATTCAGAAACAGAAATGGCGATAACGCAAAGGCGGTTCTGGGGTGGCTCAATTCGCGGATCGCTCCAAAATGATTTTCCATGATACCGAATTTCAATACTGTAGCGCCGTGGCGGATCTCAATCAGGATCCGAATAAGAATCAGAATTAGACCCGAAAGCCGTATTCATTTCTGCTACCAATCCGCCGGACGTAATCCACTTCCCCAAGACCATAAATGAAGCTTCAACAGCATTGAGTACTGAACATGTTTTCATGTTTTATTGGAGCTTCGAAGAGGTACTTTTTCAAGCGAGATCCAGATATGCTGGAAGACGCTTGTGGACGTTAATCCCCGTCCGGGTTAGGCTGACTCGGTGAACAAGCACAAGGGCCCATAAACAGTTTTCGGAACAGTCAATTCTATCACCTGGATGCATGAACCGTTTCCGTTGCTGGTCATGAACTGGCGTCTTCGCTCGCCATAGGTCTGCCTCTGATTTGTGTCGGGTGTCGAACAGATGTATGCCATTTTCAGTCGCATATGGATTGTCGCTATTTCCACTTCGACCTAATCAGATATAGCGTTGATCACTGCTCCCTTCTGTACGTACCGTAAATGGACTTGCTCGAAAGTGGTCATTGACGAAAGCACGATTCGGGTTACTCATCTTGAGGCACTGCCCTCGCCCGGGCTTGCTGTTGCTGCACAACTCGTCCAAAAGAGTAGCGACTACCATTTCTGCGTGATGAAGCTGACTAGATGCATGTGATTACAGTCCCTAGCGAAATCAGTCTCTTAGAGTTTCGGGTCCACTTTAGTGGAGCACAAGCTGACCTAAGTACGCTAGGACACTGATTACGCCCGGGTCATTCCCCTAGGACACAAAAACGCTTCTCATGTTCCCGTCTTGACTCCGAATCAAGCCCATACTGAAAGACAAGTCCCCTTCGTCTTAAACCATTCTTCGCCCATGACATCCCTGTATAATACTGTTAGTCTTTATAAAATAAATCGAGAACGGTTCCTAACGGAGGGAAGTGGATTTGAGTAGCCAATGAATGGCTAAACTTTCACCGCTGGTGGGTGCTGCGGGCAAGAAAAGGAAGAATTCCCCTTATGACCATGCGGTATGTAGGTTCAGTACTAGGGCAAACCATTGATCCTTCAACTGTGGTTCAATATCAGCCGTGTTGTCCCCATTATCGTAAGCGACCGCGGTGCCCAATTACGCTCCGTTCCTCACATTGCGTCTCGTGATGTCTTTATTTGATGTACTGTATGCATCAGAGTCTATCTCTTGCTGCATTCACTGTTCACTTTTGCAATCGCCAGACCTCTGGGACGTTCTCTCGTGATAGCGCCTCGACTCCACTAAGAAACCCACTTTGACAATGAAGAGCAGCAATGATTTTGAAAGCTATGCGCTCCTACTGTACCGCTCTAGCGTCGGGAATGCGGGATTACGGAATTGTACTCCACTTCCAACAAAAGAGGCCTAAACTAAAAGGTGTAACAGAGTAGCCACCACAAGGCAAACCTTTCCCGTTCGAACAGCACGTGAATCTTGCTTCATAACTATGTAGCCAACACAAACTGTCATGACACACGTACAGCGGACGAAAGTTCCACTAGTATTTCACCTGCCACAAAATGACGGACCCGAAGAAGCTGAGAGATCGCAAGACAAATAGCTGCATTTCGTGTGTCCAGCAAAAGTAAGGCACGTCTAGAGAGCACCGCATGGGCAGGAGACTGAATAAGCCACAGGAGACAATGCAACCGAGAACATCCATGCCAGCAATGCATCAAGCGTGACAAGCCGCGTGAGTGCGTATACCAACCTCACCGGCCTGTCCTAATCTCGAGGTCTCGGGACAAGCCGGGCTTTCAGAATTATCTTAGTCAGCTCGAGCAGCAACCCTATAGCCCCGAAAAACAATTGGGCTCGCCAAATGCACCCAACATTTACCAAGAGGATGGCGCGGAGCTGGAACATTACGTACGGCACCTAGTTTCTATGTCAGTTACGGATGGAGAGGACATAGTTGAGCTCATCCTCCCAAAGCTTCTTCAAACGGGAGACTTGGTTACTAGTAAGGAACCCACTCCTGTCTTAGTCATGTCTTACTCCTAACATAGTATAGGCATTCTTTTTGAAAGAAGTATTGTTCAAGAAGTATGATGTTTTTCAACCTTGCCAGCACAGCTGCTGATTTTCGAAGTGGAACAGTCTCCGCAAAGATCCAAGGGCAATGCCTCCATCCGTGGCCTTCTCCTTCCTGACTCTGGTTTATGGCTCGGTTGCCTTGACGGCACTGTACTGCATCCTTCTCGAGGAGTCGCTGCCAGGGAATATGGGTCCGGCGGAAATAATACTCAACATTTGCTTAACGAATTGCCTCCAGTGTTGGCAACACAGTGATCCTGACAGGCCCGGACAATACAAAGTGGAGGCCGCCATTGTTCGGCTCGCTGTCACGGTATATCATCAATCAGATCTGCAGCGAGCGTACACGGCCCTTGGACATGCCATTGCATTAGCCGAGTCCTCTGGCTATAGGGAATCCGATGTTTTACATCCTTCGGATTTCAAAGGTGAACTGCGCAGACGGGCTTGGTTGCTTCTGGAGAACTTCGACTATCGTATCTGTTCGTCCTTCGGAAGGTTACAAAGAATCAGCCATAAGCAGCGCAAGCTTGAGCTGCGAAATCTCTCAGAGACGAGCTTTGATGCCTATTCGACCGAACTTCCCTTACAACGACGACTTGATCAGCTTACACGAGTCCTGCCGCTCATTCTGATAAGCGCTATCCGGAATGTATCAGCCAAAATTACACTAGATATTTTCGGTAGAGACGATATCACGTCCAAAGACATTCAAGACTTTGACCAAGAGCTGGATGCAGTGTATCAACGGGTTCCTAAAACTATCACAGGTGACCCTGTAAAGGTTCTCCAGCTGCAGTATACAATAGCGATTATTTATCACGCAGCTAAAATAGTTCTGCATCGATGGTCTGTTCTAGACGAGAATATGGACAGGTCAGATCCATATGCCAATCACTCCAGAGGGCAATGTATTGGGTCAGCCGTGGAAATCATGAAGATACAAAAATCCCTGCTGGATAATCGTCGCTCGCACCACAACCGCTGGGAGCTCGACCCGCTTACCATGTACGACTTCCTCTTTGCGGGAATAATTTTGTGCCTAGAGTTGTCGTACCTGATACGCCCTCAGCGCCTATTTCACCGCGATGTACTCAGACCAGAGATTTTTACCAGAACGGTTCTTCATCAATTGCTTAGTTACTCTTTAGAATTCTGGGGAGAGTCACGCAGCTACGGAATTCCCCTAGATAGAGTCCGAATCTGCGCGATATTCACTCGATGTGTGAAGGAAGTTGAGAGTCACGCAGAACAGACTGGCCACCATGCGGATCCATATTTCAACAGAACTGGTTGAAATGGCCTCATGACCCTTGAAGGCAGGTTTGCCTTGTCGACACCTGGTGTAAAACCGCATCTCAGCATAAATAATTATGTTATCCAGTCGTCCCTGGGGATCCTCGAGTCTCTCGAGAGATGATTAGGCAGGAGGTGGCAATGTTAAGCCCTCAATTCATCCAGGGCTCAGATCGTGTGGGGTGTTCCTCATAATTGTCCGCCAAGGCGAGGTCGAATGTTCGAATGCGGCAAGCTCATCAATAAAACGAACAAGGACGGATGTCGCTTCTTGGTGCTGCAGGGCCATACGGAACCGTCTGGTCGTTCGCGTTCTCGCACGACGAGAGGGTGCAGATCTGGGACGCCGTAACGGGCGCCGAGCGGCAGGTGCTACAGACTGGCTTCGTGTATGACCTTCACTTCGACCTTGGTGGGAAACAACTTCTCACAGATAAAGGAGCATTTTCCATTGCGCCGCTCGAGAAGGATATGCCTGATCAAGATTATAGTGATGTTCTGCATAACCATGCAACGCGCGATGCGCTAGTATCAGCTCGGCAACCAGAAAGTTATGGTATAAGTCAAGACTCACGTTGGATTATGTTTGGCGAGAAAAGTGTTTTGTGGTTACCTCCTGAGTACCGTTCCGGCAGGTCAGCCATATCTGGCGACACCATTGTTATTGGTTGCCAGAATGGGAAAGTTTTGATCATGTGCTTTAAACAATCACTCTATTTCTTTGCGAGGGAGGGTCCTAGGGTTTCGCCACTGTTTATCTTCTATAGACACCAATTGCGAAATTCTTCTGGCATTTTCTAGGATGATCCTTCTATAGATAAAGATTATATCATATGTAATAATTCTCGTAGCATGCTTCTTGCCACTGTAGGTATAGTGACGCCATGTAGTGAGGACCTGAGAATCACCCCGACCGTCTTCGACTTCTTTTGCATGGCTATGCCCTAAGTTGGTACTCTAGATAACAAATCATAATCCACTTAAACAGTATTCGCCTCGACGCGTCGCAGGTGGTGTTATAGTCAACTCAGATCCTACTAGAGTGGATCCAAAATTGAAGACTTTTGCACTGCGGAGGAGTTACCCAACTTTAGTATATGTACTGTAAGCAGGTTCAGAATTGACGCTGTGGCGTGTAAGCTTGGTGGGGTACAAAAGAGTGGACACAAATTGGAGGATGTGAGAGAATAGATTAGGTGACTGATTTCGCTAGGGACTTGTACAATGTCCGTTGACCTATTTTAGGCCTACTCATAGTAAAGTCTGCAGTTAGAACGCCCGCCGGCGGGATACACAGTGCTTCAAGCATAATTACTGTGCGGGAGCCAAAATAGACCCACTGGGGAAATCTTTAAGTGTTGAACCCGGACGCTGAACCTGAACTTTATGTATGCAATCGTCTTCAGGTGTGCTCCATTCTTGGGCTGTCGATAGCATGCGTTCTATTGTGGCCGTGCTCTGATTTTTGATGGTGGCGCAAATGCGGTTTTGGGATGCGTCATTTCGCAAACCGCTCTGAGTCACTATCGGTCGCGTTACAGGAATTAGCGCAATCTTTCTACCGTGCCAGCAACAACAGGCCGAAGGAATTGGACTTGCTCAAAATTGTCATTGGTGAAAGCAAAATCGGTATGTCGACTCTCAGGGAACGCCACCGACTGGCACGATCTTGCTTTACATTGTTGATTCCAAAACCAGGCTCAAACTAGCAGTCCGAAATAATGGCGACCAACCTAGAAGCAGTTTCCCATCTAAAGAACGAAACGAATCAAACGAACGCAGCCGCATGCAATCACAACGATTATGATCGGCGAGAGCGCAAATATTGTGTCCATTGAACGGCTCAGCCCACGTACTGGAAACCTCATTTCAGTTGTATACAAAGGAAAGGCGAAGAAGATACGGACGAAAATAGGAAACCGATGTCTGCGTCTTCCGCTATGCTGCTGTTACCCACCGAAGACATAATCTATCTCGCATCGGAACGCTTCACGCCCAAACCTCTGATCGCGGATATCATCCGGACGCGCTACTGCATTCCGGGGTCCATTTTCCTGGTTGAAGCGGTCGATGTTTTCGAAGCCTCAAAGATAAAGAGACGGCGCGGTGTACGGCTATTGCTAGGAGACGGCGAACTGTGCATTCAGGCCCTGCTCGGAGGTGAGATGCACAGATATGTCGATCGTGGCGACGTTACCATTGGATCTTATGTGAAGCTGGAGAGCTTCGATCTGGCGCGCATCGAGCGCGAAGACTCCGTTAATGGGGAGGACAACAGTGCAAAAGATGCTGGCACATCCAGGATCGTTTATTTGATAGTGGAAGATTTGATCCACGTCGGCTGGAATAACAGGCTACTTGCTATGCTTGAAGCCGCAAACCCAAAGCATGAACCGACGAAGGCTATAGAATCAACAGACGATGACCTTGAGAAGCCCGAGAATCGAACTGAGCCAAGCGGAACAGCCAAAGATCTTTCCTGTCCAGATGCAGCCTTTCTGGAGGAAGTTGCAGATGCAGAGGACGACTTCGAGGTCATGAATATTCCCGAGCAGAAAATGACCCAAAAGAGAGAAGAGATCGCAGCACAGCAAGAGTCGCCGTCGGACTATGCTGTCCCTCCGAACACCCAGCGCCTGCCGTGGTCTACTGTCGATCCACGGAAGCCCCTCAAACTCACACCACTCCGCTCAATACCCAATTTGCCCTATAAGCAGAACTGGTCAACCAACGTCTTGGCGGTCGTTGCATCGATATCTGAACTTCAGCCCTCAACGCTGCCACCAGGCAATCAACGAGTTGCTCGGCTGGCTGATCCGTCCACACCAAAGCAGGTGCACTTGACCATCTTTCTCGATCCTTCCGAGTTCACACCGTCAGTTGGCAGCGTTGTTTTGTTGCTAGGGGTAAAAAACCATAGATTCGATGGGGGAAGCCTGAAGAAGTACGCTAGTGATTGGCCTGGCCATGGTGGTAGATGGTGGTTTGAGAACCCTACCCAATTCACTTGGTGTGATGTACGAGGATTAACGGCATGGTGGAGGCATATTCACCTCAAATAAAACATTTCAATCGCCGCGATCTAGATCTCTTTGTTGATTTGGTTAGCCGCCTTTGATCGCACGCATTCAATTTCGTAGCATATGATTGAGTGCGAAGGCTTTCTAAAACTGAGGCACGTAAACCAAGGTTTTATTCGTCAACCAAAACGAAGGACTAAATCCGTTTCCCCGGTGGTGGTATGCAGAGGAAAGGTTTCATAATCATACATCTGGGATACTTAAAGTGCCGCGGCCATTCAGGTCTGATTGCATATCAAAGATGATAAGCTTCTCTACATCTATACCAACAAGCCAGACTTGGCTGTGTAGTGGATGCCAGTCATATGCACCCATGCATGGGCCGTACCATAAAGGATATCCCATCAATGGTTCTTAGTGCAGCGAAAGCCCAACAAGGAGCAGCATACTAAGCGCACTATAATGTACATAAATGGTGTGTTTGTACTATAAGAAGATAGATGTGGAGTTTGACGGTATCGCGAACGTAACGGCCGGTAGACCGACAGCAGAAATTTAGCGCGGTGCAACGATACACAGACTGCCATCTTGTCGTAAGGTAGTCCTCGAAGTCCCTCGCTGTCTTTGCGATGTAGCTGAAGTTCTCAGACTTCAGCTTCACGTTCATCCACTTGCGCTCCTCGCTGGCCTCGGCCTGTTGCACTGTCAGATTGGCATTGCGCAATGCTTTTTTTCTGTCGTACTGGCCCAGAGCAACGGCGGTCTGGAACGCGTTTTTGATCTGTCGGGCATTCCACGTCTTCCCGGTCTTTTCGTGGGTCTTGTAATGCTTCGTCGCAAATGCCAGCAGCGCATTATGGTTAAAGACAATTTCCAACTTCGAGGTAGCGTTCTCGCGCTCGATCCGTGTGAGCATGTTAGTCCATATCTTTCGGGTCTCTTCGAGCCCGATGCGTGGATATTGAAGCGAAACATGAATGCGAGACTTGAAGGTTTCGCCAATAACCCCAACCCGATTCGTGGTGAGAAACAGGATGCCCGAATAATACTCCAGCTGCCGTAGAAACACTAGACAGGTCAGCCTCGATACCAGGTACGGAACGCGAATAGCTAACCAGAAACCAGTGCATTACGACTGACATCACCCCAGTCTCTTCGAGTAAGAAAGACATCAGCTTCGTCAAGAAGTAGTCGCTCACAGATGCACTCAAAGGTCAGGACGCCGCCGTTTCCACCCTCGCGTCTCTCGCCCTCGACAAGCAGATCCTGCTCGTCCAGGCCGCAGCCAAAGCCGGTGTGCAGCGCTTCATTCCATCAGAGTTCGGCTCCAACACAGTAAACGCCAAGACCTCGCAGCTCCACGTGTTCAAGGACAAGATCGCCATCCAAGATGCGCTGAAGAAGGAGGCCGATGCAGGCCGCCTGACCTATCCCTCGTCATCAACGGCGGCTTTTTCGACTGGGGCATGAAGGTCGGCTGGATCGCGAACCCCAAGGGCCGCAGAATCGTGATTCACGACGACGGCAACCGCCGCTTCAGCGCCACCACCCTGTCCACCGTCGGCCAGGCCATCGCTAGCGTCCTCAAACACCCCGAGGAGACCAAGAACCGGGCCGTATACGTTCAGTCCGCGGCGCCGACGCTCAAGCAGCTCGCAGAGATCGGCGAGCGGGCTACCGGCGACAAGTGGCAGCTGATCCAGGCTTCTATCGATGAGCAGCTCAAGGAGGCCTGGGCGTCGCTCACGAGTGACAAGCCCGATCCCAATGTCTTTGTTATGAAGTTTATCAATGAGTCCAACTGGGGTGAGGGCTACGGAAACCGCTTCGAGAAGAATGACAATGAGCTGCTGGGTATTAAGGAGTTGAGCAACTCGGATATCGAGTCGCTGATTAAGAGCTTGGCTTAGAAATGTCAAATGCTTGGTGGACAGCTCAGCCATCATTCATGATCCCTACCATAGTTGATTACCAAAAGAAATACATACCATCTCATCAAAATGGGTCTTGTTCATATGCTGTAAATTCTGAAATCAGAATCGAGGCTCTCAAGTACGAGCGCGGTATGTTACCCGGGAGCCGAGAATTGCCATCAAGAGTAAGTATGCATGTTTACGCCACCCGCTCAAGGCAAAGTGGCTCAATTGTCTTACCGTCTTGCGCATCAGCCAAGCCAGACTGGATCCACCTTCTAACGTACATGGCTAACGACCCAGCTCAATTCTACTCTGAACTCATCTCTGAAGTCTGGGCTTTAGGCAATGTTGAAAGCCGTAGTTACCGTTGTTGCCATGTAGACGACTCATCGCACTGAGTCGTCATTCCCGTCCGGCTGCGCGAACTTCAAAGCTGCAGTATGTCTGAACAAAGGTTGCTCATCACCATATACAAAGTCGAGCCTCTAGGCAACAGCCCTTCTGCCCGCTACGAGGTCAAACCTCGCTACAAAAAGAGATCCGGTGACGCCAACTTGCGGATACCTACCTACCTAGGTTAAGTAGTTAGCCCAATCAAGAGCCAGTCTTGGAAACGCTTCAATGATATTGAACTTGCGTCCGGCGAATAGGGCGGCAGAAATAGAACGTTGACGCTGGCTTCGCTACAAAGCTGCTCTGTCTTGTCTGGCTGATGGAATTTTGCATTGTCCATAATGAGGACAGACAGAGATCACATAATGCATTAAGCATGGGCGGCGTGATGCTTCTTGGACGCCCGACGGCATTTCGAGGGGCTTTCGTTGTTCCAAAGCATCGAAGGTTCGCTCGCATCGTTCGGACGGATCGCTGGCTACAGCCAATCGTGCTTGCGACTTTCTCGTCGCTGCATACTTTGCTTTCGATCATACCTTGGGCGAACACGTGCTGAGATTCTGCGAGGTTGGGCGCCATTTTGACTAATTAGCAACGCAATAAAACGATAGGGAGCGATTCCGTTGAGTGATTGCGTGCGTGAAGGAAACCAACACATAGCGCCGTGTCCGAGACCCACTCCCAGTTTTAAGCCGCCCACTACCACAATGGCCTTCAGCACCTTCTGTCCTACATAATCTCCTTAAACGTTCGAGACAACTTGGCTTTGTCGAGCCACTCTGCCAAATGCAAGCATAGTTAATATCAAGCTCGACGACCTTATCGATATGAGCGAACCCCGCATTTCGTGCATTGCTCGTCAAACCACAACACGAATGTGATTGGCGTGAGCTGCAGGTCGGCTCAGCCGCACTGCAATCCCAGTGATGAGGCTCTACTCAATGTCGTGGTTGCCAAACGCTTCCATCATGGTCAAAACTACCTCGCTCATCAGCTTAACGTTAATATGCGCCTTCTCTATACCGTGCAACAGGGCGAGTTGACTTTCACCAATGACCTTATCCACGGGAAAGATGACATACCTCCTTACGCAATCCTATCGCACACGTGGGAAGCCGACCACAATAATGAGATCACCTATAAAGACATCATGAAGCAGAGAGGGAGTCAGAAATCTGGATATCAGAAAATCCAGTTCTGCGCGGACCAAGCCAAAGCCGATAGCCTAGAGCACTTCTGGGTCGATACCTGCTGCATCGACAAGACAAACGCCGCCGAACTCGCCGAATCGATCAACTCGATGTTCCGCTGGTATCAGCATGCTGCGAAATGCTACGTGTATCTCTCCGACGTGTCTTCCGGTCGCAATCAGATACATGAGCCCGTACGATCGACATGGAAGCAAAAATTTCGAAGTAGCCGATGGTTCAAAAGAGGGTGGACACTTCAAGAACTTATCGCACCTGCTATCGTTGAGTTCTTCTCGTCAGACAAGCAGCGGCTGGGTGATAAGGAAACGCTTGGCCAGACGATTCACGAAGTCAGTGGCATTCCGATACGTGCGCTCCAAGGAATTTCTCTTTCAGAATTCAGCGCGGAGGAACGGATCTCGTGGTCGAAGACTCGGACGACATCGAAGAGAGAGGATAAGGCATACTCTTTGCTCGGTTTGCTTTCTATTTTCATGCCAATCATTTACGGCGAAGGCGAACAGGAAGCATTCGAGCGACTTCGCACCGAGATTTCCAGGCGCTCTCCATCAAGAGTGCTTTCAAGGCTTCTTGTCGCCGACGGAGCTGTGTATGATTCCCACACTGATGAGCACAACCCGCAATGTCTTCCAGATACTCGAACCGAAGTCCTACGCGAGATCGCTGAATGGGCGCATGATTCTCTTTCGAAGACGGTTTACTGGCTGAATGGAATGGCTGGGACCGGAAAGTCGACCATATCACGTACGGTAGCCAAGAGACTTTTCGATAGTGGTACGCTCGGCGCCACGTTTTTCTTCAAAAGGGTGAAGGCGACCGCGGTGGAATGTCTAAGTTATTCACAACCATCATCAGTCAATTAATTCAACAAGTGCCAGAGATAGCCGCGCATGTGCAGGCCGCTCTAGATACCGACCCTGCTATTGTTTCGAAGGCCCTACAGAATCAATTTGTTAAGCTGATTATGGATCCATTATCGAAGATCACATCTTATACCTCTACGAATCGAACCTGCATCATAATTATTGACGCACTTGATGAATCTCAGCACGAAGTGGATGTCAAAATTCTGATCAAACTATTATCTGGGGCCAGAAAATTACACAATCTGCAGCTCAAGTTCTTTCTCACGAGTCGTCCGGAGCTACCGATCCGGCTTGGCTTCAAGGCTGTTGACGGCACATTTCAAGACTTTATCCTGCACGAAGTAGCAGAGCCGGTGATTGAACACGACATAGCCACATATTTAAAGCATGAACTCAGTCAAATACGAGAGGACTTTAATCAAACCACATCTAACATCCGACAATTACCAGCAAGTTGGCCAGCTGAGGCAGATGTTCAGGTTCTTGTCGAGATGGCTATCCCATTATTCATTTTCGCGGCAACAGTTTGTCGATTCATGGCAGATCGCAAGGGTGGCAATCCCCACAAGAAACTACAGAAAATTCTTGAATACCGGGCGAGACAAAGTTCCAGACTTGACGCTACGTACAAGCCGGTGCTCGAGCAGTTGACCACTGGACTGCCTTTAGATGAGCAAAGAGATATCTTGCAGCAGTTTAGGACAGTTGTTGGTCCCATTGTGGTTCTTAAGAATCCACTCTCTTTGTCCGCTCTGGCGCAATTGCTTAATGTCGAATCTGAAGATATTTCAGATATACTGGATTTACTGCATTCCGTTCTCCATATACCGACTTCAGGGGAACAGCCTATCAGACTGCTTCATCTGTCTTTCCGCGACTATCTGGTAGAACCAGAGAGATGTGATGATCCCTTTTGGATAAACGAAAAAGATGTTCACGGATATTTAGCTGCTCGGTGTTTGTGTGTGTTGAAAGCCTCGTTAAGAAACGACATACTCGATATCCGAGCCCCATCGATGTCCTCTAGTCGAATCAATGCGAAATTGCCTTCTGAAGTCCAATATGCATGTCGATTTTGGACATATCATCTTCAAAAATCCGTAGCGAACAGTCTAAATACGACTGTTGTCTGGGGATTCCTCTCGTTACACTTTCTCCAATGGTTAGAGGCATTAAGCTGGATAGGCCGACTCCACGAGAGTTTAGTCATGATCGTGTCCTTGCAGTCAATTATCCCAGTAAGACCATATAACAGATATCTTATGACATTTCGGGGACTAACACAACTAGATAGGAAGCTGCCAAAAGATAACTAATTTCTTGGATGACTCCGTACGATTCATTCAAGCTATGATATCGGTCATACAAGCGAGTCCTCTTCAGGTATACTCTTCGGGCTTAGCATTCTCGCCAAGCCAAAGTATTGTTCGGAGCGTTTTTAGGCACGATATGCCGAAATGGATAGATTTGGAACCCAGAATGCCATTATACTGGAGCGATCGGCAGGCGACGCTCGAGGGGCATACGAGCTTTGTCAGTTCGGTGGCGTTCTCGCCGGACGGCCAGCGGGTGGCGTCGGCGTCGAGCGATAAGACGGTGATCCTCTGGTCGGCGGCGACAGGCGATCGGCAGGCGACGCTCGAGGGGCATACGAGCTTTGTCAGTTCGGTGGCGTTCTCGCCGGACGGCCAGCGGGTGGCGTCGGCGTCGAGCGATAAGACGGTGATCCTCTGGTCGGCGGCGACAGGCGATCGGCAGGCGACGCTCGTGGGGCATACGAGCTATGTCAGTTCGGTGGCGTTCTCGCCGGACGGCCAGCGGGTGGCGTCGGCGTCGAGCGACAGGTCGGTGATCCTCTGGTCGGCGGCGACGGGCGAGAAGATCTACACGATAAATACTGGGTTTGTTCACGATTTGCGTTTTAACTTAACAGGCACACGACTTTTAACGAACCGAGGGTCGTTCATTGTAAGAGCCGTAGATGACATTAGTCCAGAGACATCCCATGACCCTTCCTTCCATGATGCAGCTAGCATCGGTTTTGGAATTAGTAAGGACATGTCCTGGGTCACTTTGAACGGGCGGAATATCTTGTGGCTGCCCGTAAAATATCGTCCGGTAGAATCTGCCGTCCTTGGCAATACCATTGCCATTGGTTGTTCATCCGGCAACGTCTTGATTCTGCGGATTATGCAACAAGGTTGAAGTGTTTACCGGTTCAGATTGTTTCTTTTTTTTCCTCATCTCTTTGCAAAGGAGGGCATAAGGGTAGTCTTATATTTATCTTCAACTGTCCCGCTCACTAGAAGGTTCTAGAACGTTCGTGAAGAACCACTTAAATGATTATTGTGCCATTTTCCTATCTGCTGTCTTCGGGAATGGTGCTCTCTAATGAAAGCGTAATAATTCCTGATACTGTACGCATTTCCGCTGTATAGGTTATGTAACTGTCTAGCCTATCGGCACTGTGCGGCGCGACTCTGGGGGACTAACTTGAAGTGCCTAAGCCTGGCGGCCCCGCAAGCTGCACTGTGTTAGCTCAAAGCTCCAGAATTAGCTGTTCTAGAATGAATTGTCGCTCCACAAAAGCGGAAGCCAATAACGTTATTCAGTGTACCTAAAACAGAATTGTTCCGAATTGTTCCGACAACCGTTACTGTACCACAGCCCAGGAAATGGCATTTGGCTCCTGCTTGGACATTGGGGAGGTATAGCGGCCTAGGAGCTCTACTCTAGATGCAGGTTGGAAATTGACAAACACAATCGTACAGTGTTCCTGCAATGTTTTACCCATTTCGATGTGTTGCTCCTACGTTCTCACCAAACCAGAAAGAGATTCGTGCATTATCTCTTGTACCCAACCGCTTTCATTGATGGGAATTGAAGAAGGGGATCTAAGCCACTTTCGGGGTAGCTCTTGGCCCATCCTTGCCTGAGGTTACCAGATAGTTGTGCGTAATCCCCAATTTGTCACAAACTAAACTGATGGGCCAACGCCGGGCAAGATGTCAATGGCAGGATAACAATGATCATCAACGCAGCGATATAACAATGAGTAGGACCAGCGAGTCTGCCGGCAATGGTACCACACTCTAGGTGCTGGAAAGCCCGCCAGGTTCGTGAGAATTCAAACTCCGGCCTCGATAATCGCAAACGACTTGGCCGCACGAAATTCGTTCAGACCAGCGTTCCATCAAACCTCCAACCTACGAATAAACCCGAGACTTTGAACAAGCATCAGCCGAGCGTCCCAAGCGAAACACATCGCACAGCGACTGGAAAGCGTGTTAAGTCCGGCATATTTTCTTCACTCCAAGACAGAAGCACTCGAGCCTCCATCCTTGTCGAGAAACCACACAATCCTGTAGGAGAGACTACGGACGAACGAGACTACTCAGCACGGCCGATCGCGAAAAGGATTAGTCGAGCGTCTAGCCATGAAGTGGGTAGCACTCCGACGACAACAGCTGTGCTAGGACGAAGATTTTTAGATGAAGAAAGCATCGAGACGCAGGACCACGACGAGTCTCTCCCACCGAGTCGGGACGAAGCTGTTCTAGCCGAACAAGACACACCAAAGAAGCTACTGCGCGCTTTTGCTGATTTCAGAGCTCTAAATCAGCGTCATGGATGGTCCGAATTGCGGAAGGTGCTGCTACAAGCACAGGCTGAGCGTCGCATGAGCGAAGTTAGCTCGCTTTCTACCGATACTAAATTCTGGACGTTATGGGATATAGAAAGAGCACAAACTCTCGTGGTGAGTAACCCGGCCCCTCACAGCAGAGACAATATTGATTTTCAGATGGAGCTACAACACCCCAAAAAGTCCGAAAGCAGTGTCATAGCGACGGAATCAGCAGGTAAAAATAGCATTGTGTCAAGCGTGCCAAGTCTATCGAACATGTCAACGAGCAGAACAGAAACACAAGTCGACAGAAGCGCTAGTGTTGCAAGTCCCAATCATGGTGACATTCTCCTGAAACCAACCGAATCTAGGCGGAAACGTCGCCCTCGCTCTGGAAATGGTAAATCTGCAGTTCACCCATACTCTACGACCTCAGAGCCAGGTCAGAGCTCTCAGGGGGCGCCACTGACGCGTAGCGCCCGACGAGCAGCTAGGTCCTGTCTCCAACTGTCACGAGGCTCTGAAACGGAACGCCAGCCACGATCTCAACAAGTCCAACAAAGCCGACCATCTCGTCGATCAAGACTTACCAGAAGATCCAGTCCATCAGCCCTTGGGCAGAGCACTCAATTTGGACATGATGATCAACCTCGAGATCTCGTCGTAGATGCATCATCAGACGTGGCCATGGCAGGTACACCACCATTGTACGCGTGGGCTATTGATGACATTCTAGAGCAGGATAATGAATTGTGAGACAGCATTCATGCATGGTGGTATATATACTAACACGTGTGCAGATTGCCATGGATTGAGGAGCAACTTGACACACTCTCAAGCTTTCCTATAAGTGAGGACGCTGTTGAGCAACTACTCCGGATGCTGACTATAGAGCAAATATATGACCGTATGCTTACCATGACCAAGTGTCGGCAGTATGCACAACAGATGTTCACCATCCTATGGATCAGGCCCTCACACTGAACCCGTCACAACCAAGTACAGTTGAGCCTCAACATTTTCAGAGGAGCATTGCTTAACTACTATCTGTGATCCAAAGACCAGTGCTTGAAGCTGATCTCAGCTGCACTGGCAACACATCACCCTATACTGGGAGACAAAGCCATACTGATCGCAGTTGTCCTTCTGACTATTCTGGACATTTTCGAAAGCGGGTGCGGCGCTTAGAGCGTCCACCTCGAGGGTGCTAAAAAGCTACTAGTTGCTGGGATCATGACTGGCTTTTCTGATTGTGAAAACAGCGCTCGAAACTTACTTCATGAAGTTGCTATGTAACTTCAAACCCGGAGAACACCCCACGATACAAGCTTCAAGAATCTAAGATGCTCCAATAGATTTCAAACTTTTGGTTCTTCTCTAGCAAAACCCGGGGCTCTTACCAGTGGATCTACACTTCCCTCTACGTAGTTAGCCCTGCGGGATGGGCTTTCCACGATAACGCTGTGGTGGATTCGTACCCATCATTTCGTAGCAATTCAAAGCTTCACTGATCCTGATGTATCATTGCCTTCAGTTCGGCGATCAGTTCATGCGTGTCGTCTTTATTGAAATACCCATGTTGAATTCGATTGTACCGAGTTTCGAATTCTTTATTCGTCGCGCATAAGCTGAACGTGATCATTTGGCAATCATTGGCTTCTCACATGTCCATGGTCGACAATGCGCATTGTTGTGTCTCTTTGTGTACTACATATTAACTAGTACCTTTAACCAGTCCTCTTATTTATCCTCTGCTTAGCTAGCCGTAGTTTCCTAGATGCGGCCGGGATCCTAGAATGGTCGTGATACAGTTGTGTCAAAGCTCTCCTGGTCGCTCTTAATTCCTGCTCGGTCTTTTCGATGGTTGCACTCCGATTTCCTTCTGCGGTCCATCTCTCAATGTCTCGAGTCATTTTTGTAATACGATGCTTTTTCTTGGAGACGTTGTTACAGATGAAGCATTCAGCCTCTTCAATATCCGTTGACCACACCAGCTTCAGTCCACAGGTCTCCCCAGTTCGATATTCTTTAGTGCACTGAGAACGGAATGGCCCCCACTTCCAAAAACCACATGCCCAGACTGTTTGTTCGTAGAAACACATGATTAACACTAGACGAAGGCTCGGTGTTTGGAAAGAGATACACGAACACAGTCTCTGCCGAGAATGATTGCAACGACGAGCTTTAAGGTAGCTATGGTTCTAGAAGTTGGTGGTAAAGAGGACGATATATCCATTTGTGTGTCTGTCTATTCGACTCTATTAGATTCCATTCCCCCTCCACGTCACGATATCCCTTGCATTGACCGGGTCTCGTCTAATGAGCATAGTCATCAGGGTGGTCTGGCAAATCGACGTGAGATACCGATACCGTTTTGCAAATGAGTTCAAGCATGAAGTGGATCATACGACACTCTAGTATATAGGACAGCTAGTTCGGTACTGGTAGCATGTTGTAATGCCATTACCCTGCGTGGAGTGTATCGAGGGTCCTTACCCTTGTCATAATGGTGCACTACAGGCAATGTTGTTGTACCGGCTATTGTCAAGTCACCGTACTAATGTCACGCTAGTTATCGTGACTTGCGCTGATCTTTGAGAAAAAGGACCGCACTACGGCTGTACCTTGCCATAAGTGGAAAGGTGCAATGCAACGGGATTTGATAATTATCACGAACAAGGGCTACTACTCCTCACTGGGCAGACCCTGAGCTACGATTGGTCCCGAGGCATCGGTACGCTAGGCTTACGGTGATGCTGTCAGTCTCCTTGCTCTTTACGTTAGACCTGGTAAGGTCCACCTTGAGCCATGCTTAGCGCGTTGATGAGAGACGCGTCAGAATTTTGTGTCCAAGGGTCAAACAATTAATGCCTCAATATGACTCGTAGATCAGCCGAGAGCAGGAGATCGGAGTGAGGGCTGTTGGCTCCATGTGAGCGCGGATTCTAACGCAGCGCCATGATATGAGCGGCTCTAGGTTATGTGAAGGTACCTGCAACTCGCTGCTTTGAACTTCGCAGCCGCGCATTTGACTCTACCTTCCACAAGATCGATGTCTTCGTGTGAAATCATATGAACCGATCAGCACAAGCATGGATCATGACACATACTGTTGGTTGGGATGTCGCAATTGCACCAATGGTGTGCCAACCGCACGAAGTTGCATGCCGTCGGACTCGATCGGGGCTTCGCCATGCGGGTGAGCATATACACATCTCGGTGAGCTTCGGCCGTATAAAGAAACAAGACACGGTTCGACCTTCGGTCACTATCATCTTAAGATACCGTCTGACCTTGCATTTGAGTCACACCAGTCTTCTATGACGACCAAGATGGAAGCATTGTCGAGAGATTCTTCACCCTGTGACACAACAAGAGAGTTCCTTGCCCAAACAAGACTCGCGGTCAACGACTTACTATTGCAATATGCCAATGCAAAGCGTTATGAACTTTCTGTTTACACGAAACGGCTGAAGCCGCTCCAAAGCAAGCGAAGAGTTCTGCACGATGAACTGCAGAATGTCGACGAGGCGATACAACAACTGCGAGAGACATGGCATGAGAACCTTGAAAAGCACCACCGTGCAAGTGCGAAGAATATGCATGACCTTATCGGCAAATTTTTGAGTATGTGGTAAGGCGAGACTCCAAAACAAATGTTCGCCTTGGTATATTGGTGCTAATCCTTGATGTTCGTAGTCAACGGACCGGGCATCACTAGAGATTCAATGCCATCCTCAGCGCTGAAATCATTGTCGGAGAATATATTCCACACCCCGGTCATGTCACCATGCCTAAATCATGATGAGACAATTCCGTCCATTAAGAATGTATCAATGCAATCCACGTTGCCTTTCGACACTCTGGAGGGTCTTGGTCGGCCACTACATAAGCGAGTGGTTTCAAGGCCATGCCCAAAGCAGGGAAAGACACGAAGAGCTCCTACTTCTCTTGCTGTGAGTCGGACTTCCAGATCACGGCACCTCCGAAAGAACGCACGAAGATGCCACAAAGCTTGGCATAAAACGGCCTTAGGCGCAGGACCACCATGCGAAACATACACCCAATAGCATGGGGCATTGAATTTGGAACTCGGAACACAAGATGATTGTGAGAGAAATGGAGAGACAATCACAGATCCTGTTCCCGTCAATGTTTATTCGGTAAAGTGGCCCTACGATCAAAATAAATATGCAGCTGTCATACTTCCAGCTGGCTTGTTTGAAAGTGTGGGCATCACAGGTAAGATTTTTGACACCAGGCTGAAGAGTTATATTCCGGCGTGCTACAACGTAAACAAACGGATGAAAGCCATCATGGGATGGGCAAGGGCTACGAAAATGATGGCCAAAAGGCAAGAAATCGCAAGTTTCCTATCTTGTAACTTGATAATGAGCTCGACATCCCGTTGGACGGACTTTTGACGATTCCGAATAGGCCATTACTCGATTGGGTAGCGGCCAAGGACCTTCATTGCATAGATCTACAGAATCCGAAGTCGAACCAAATCAGCGGATACCAATCGGCATTGATGTTCGTGAAACGAATGCAGTCTTTCGAGAAGCAGCCTCAATAGCCGAGGTCGAAAACATCAAGTAAGCACGGATGCCATGCAGAATGATTCACATGACGGACATGATCAACATAGTGGACCATGGAAATATGAACACAGAAGTCAGTCAGCCTTGTGAAACTCCATTGAGTCAATCGAGCTTGGCACATATTGTCGGTCAAGATGCAGAGTCATACTACATTTCGAGTCACACGTTTTCAAAGTCTCGCGGCTGATGTCCAGGTTGAGAACTACGGGAATTTGGTGTCCCAGATGCCAGAGCATTCTTACAGCGCCAACACGATCGCGGGAGATGCAAACATCCACTTGAGGTCGGCATTGAACGGTGTGAGGATTAGCATGCCACAAGCTCAGCATCAATCCGCTGCGATACATCAGCCATTCGTTGTTTCAGAGGAACTCGACTCGCAGGTTTTGGCTCACGAGTTTTTGAATCCAGTTGGTGGCGAGAGCTACACCCATACACTACACTCTGATGATCATACAAATACTGAACTGGACGAACATGATCCAGAGACCCGTCGAGCTTCAACATCACCGGGCACAGCGATGAAGCGCTCTGATCCTAAGGGCTTTGTCGATTATCATGCCGATATGGCACATGTGTCGGTCATGCCTAGTGATTTGCAGCAACCGCCAGCAGAAGACGAGCGACACCACAAAGGCTGTACCACCAATCCTCTTCGAGCTCTTGATCCTCGTCGGATATGTAGCACGGATGGTCCTCTGCCAGCACGAGACTCAAGTGAACCACACCAAATGCACGGTAATTTAGCCCAGCATCTACATGATCCTTGTCCAGAAATCGGCTACTTCTCACGACCGTTTCCTATTTCGAAAACCACAACAGCGATGAATCAAAGGTACAGAGAATTTGGAGGACGAGTCCTCATGACTGTTGCGCCTGCAAATAAGTCGTGCAAAGGTCGTACATATTATAGGAAGCATTATTAAGTGGCGTGAACCCGTCATTATCGGGAACTGATAAGTCGCCACCTTTCTCAAGGAGCACTTTAACAATTTCAACATATCCGCTCATTGAAGCACTGTTCAAAGGCGTAGTCCCGCGGATGTTTGTTATGTTTGGGTCACCAGCATTTTCGATGAGCAGTTTGACCATTTCGGTATTTCCGCCAGATATAGCATCATGAAGTGGCGTGTCTCCATCCTTATTAATGACACTCAGCTCGGCCACTTTCCCAAGAAGCAGCTTAACAATCTGTTTGTGTCCTTGAGACTAAGCAGCCTGTAGCGCGTTGCCATACTCGCCGCCCTGAGCATTGACATCAGCCTCAGCATCTATCAACATCTGTACGATCTCTTTGTGTCCTTTTGATGAAGCAGCATATAGCGCGTTGCCATAGTGGCCGCCCTGAGCATTAACTTCGGCCTCGGCATCGATCAATATCTGTACGACCTCTTTGTGTCCTCCAGACGAAGCAGCCTGTAGCGCGTTGCCATAGAGGCCGCCCTGAGCATTAACTTCGGCCTCGGCATTGATCAACATCTGTACGACCTCTTTGTGTCCTTCAGATGAAGCAGCCTGTAGCGCGTTGCCATAGAGGCCGCCCTGAGCATTGACTTCGGCCTTGGCATCGATCAATATCTGTATGACCTCTTTGTGTCCTCCAGACGAAGCAGCCTGTAGCGCGTTGCCATAGAGGCCGCCCTGAGCATTAACTTCGGCCTCGGTATCGATCAACATCTGTACGACCTCTTTGTGTCCTTTAGATGAAGCAGCCTGTAGCGCGTTGCCATACTCGCCGCCCTGAGCATTGACTTCGGCCTTGGCATCGATCAACATCTTTACGATCTCTTTGTGTCCTTTAGATGAAGCAGCCTGTAGCGCGTTGCCATAATGGCCGCCCTGAGCATTGACATCAGCCTTGGCATCCATCAACAACTGCACAATCTCTTTGTGTCCAGACAACGAAGCAGCCTGTAGCGCGTTGCCATAGTGGCCGCCCTGAGCATTAACTTCGGCCTCGGCATCGATCAACATCTTTACGATCTCTCTGTGTCCTTTTGATGAAGCAGCCTGTAGCGCGTTGCCATACTCGCCGCCCTGAGCATTAACTTCGGCCTCGGCATCGATCAATATCTGTACGACCTCTTTGTGTCCTTCAGATGAAGCAGCCTGTAGCGCGTTGCCATAGTGGCCGCCCTGAGCATTGACTTCGGCCTTGGCATCGGTCAACATCTGTACGATCTCTTTGTGTCCTTGCCACGAAGCAGCATATAGCGCGTTGCCATAGTGGCCGCCCTGAGCATTGACTTCGGCCTTGGTATCGATCAACATCTGTACGATCTCTTTGTGTCCTTCAAATGAAGCAGCCTGTAGCGCGTTGCCATACTCGCCGCCCTGAGCATTAACTTCGGCCTCGGCATCGATCAACATCTTTACGATCTCTCTGTGTCCTTTTGATGAAGCATCCTGTAGCGCGTTGCCATAGTAGCCGCCCTGAGCATTAACTTCGGCCTCGGTATCGATCAATATCTGTACGACCTCTTTGTGTCCTCCAGACGAAGCAGCCTGTAGCGCGTTGCCATAGAGGCCGCCCTGAGCATTAACTTCGGCCTCGGCATCGATCAACATCTGTACGACCTCTTTGTGTCCTTTAGATGAAGCAGCCTGTAGCACGTTGCCATACTCGCCGCCCTGAGCATTAACTTCGGCCTCGGCATCGATCAATATCTGTACGACCTCTTTGTGTCCTTTAGATGAAGCAGCCTGTAGCGCGTTGCCATAATGGCCGCCCTGAGCATTGACATCAGCCTTGGCATCCATCAACAACTGCACAATCTCTTTGTGTCCAGACAACGAAGCAGCCTGTAGCGCGTTGCCATAGTGGCCGCCTTGAGCATTGACATCAGTCTTATCAGCCACCATTGATTTCACACAATGTGATAGCCCACCAAGTGAGGCGTAGTATAGACCAGGCGCTATATGATTACCCTGACTGATGTTTTCCGGCCAATCCGCCCACGGCCGGTCTGGGTCGTAAAGTCGGCACCAGCTCTTAAGTTTACTAGCATTCGACAATATGTATGTTGCTAGCGCAGCCATTTGCTGGTGATTACAATCCCCGACAGCAGCATGACCCATCCAATACCGCGCTGAATAACGAGAAAAAGGGAAAAGCCCGATGGTGTCCGTTTCCGGTTTGGGCTCGAGAAGATACGATAGGCAGACTATTGCCATAGAAGTACGAGCCACTTTCTGTTCCAGATGCTGGGCAGTCTCTTTTTCCAAACGGTTAGAAGTAAGGTAGTCTTTTACTGAGAAGTGTGCTAATTGGACTTCTTCCACTATTCTTTCTTCGTTATATTTGCCCTCTTTTTCAACGAGGATGACTAGACTCGAGCAGTATCTTGTGATTTCTTGCGGTACCGGCAACCTGTATTGCGGGTCAAAACGAGACCTTATCGTTGCGTCCTCTCCTATGTCGACGGCAATAGCATCAACTGCCTCGTCAAGCCGCAAGGGCTTTTCAGAATATGTTAAGAACTGCAAGATACGTATCGTATAGTGCTTATGCGCAGAAGGTATGTTAGCTAAAATCCGTTCATATGTCTCGTCCAGTGTTCTCGGTAGATCTTCAAGTGCTTTCAGTAGGGATCTTTGTTCTAAGCACTCTTCCAACGCGTCAAGCTGGCATGAAACCCATCGAAACCTAGGTAGTCTTAGTAGCCTAAGGAAGTTCAGAATCAGGTTTCTTACATTCCATCGGCTTTGTCCAGCAGACTAGCCTCGATCCTATCTTGGATATCCGATCGTCCCTGCCAGCGCTTCAAACCCTCATGTTCTCTAACTCTTGCTTGCACGTAATTGCGTATATCCGCTTCTAGCAAGTCGTCTCGTATAGCGATCATCTGTTCGTTATCAGCGTGGCGTTCGATGGCTGACTTGATGTCTTGTTCGGGTCGACTAGTAATAAGGATGTGCACATTAGACAGGGGTTGGTAGTTTTGCGCAAGATCTTGCGTCCAGGACAGCAACTCGATCCGTGGGGTGCATTCATCGAGTGCGTCGAGCACGATCCATACTTCCCTAAGTTCATGGATCATGTTAGTAAACGCCTTTTGTAGAGAATCAAAGCTCGGCTGGTCCTTTCCGTCTCGACACGTTGAATAGAGCGAATTCAAGTGCTTTTGGGCATCTTTGTTTCGATAGTACATCTGAATGATAAGAGAGCGGATAACATTCTCAAAAGACTGCTTTCGGGTATCAGTGAAGTCAAAATAGAAATAAAGCAGAGTTCGCGTCAGATCTTGGTTCTTTTGAAGATCCTCAATGACTGTGGATGTTAGAATTGTTTTACCGCATCCAGGAATGCCATATAGCCAAAGAAAGGAGCTTTGCCCGGTTTCCCACTTCAGATATGCTTCACTTTCTAATAGCCGCCGGCCTGAGCCTTTGTGACGAGCCTTAATGGCTTTGTTAAAATTGGTAGAGACATCAGGGGGTGCGAGCCATTTCGTAATGTCATCGAAATGTTTGTTTGTTTGCAAATTCTCGACTTTAGAATTCGTATTGTCAACTTGACGTGACACATGATTTATTTTAATGTCAACTATTCGACTATTAGCGCAATACGTGAAAAGAGGTTTTCGTGATGTAAGATGCACTATAGAGCTCTGATCTACACACCATCTGAAAGGACGTCGACCAGCTTCCTTTCGGCTTCCACCTTGTTCGGCGCCACCTTGTAAAGTAGGTTTTTTGCGTACGTGGCAGCGGTCATCGCCGCATACCCTTGCCACTTTATGTTCTTGTGCGTATCTGAGTAGTCGCAGATACCACGGATCACAAGACAAGGAAAATGGTTCATCAGCCCGGCAGCCTCCATCTCGAAACATAACACGTCCCTTTCAGCCGAGAGCCTATCTCGTATAGTTGCATCCTTCATCAGCTGGTTGGCGGACGCTATGAGACCGAAATGGATCATGGGGTCGTCTTGTTCTTCGGTTCGCTCTACTCGATCGACTAACTTCGAGGCGTCGTCGCATGCAGTCACACAATCGATATCATCGTTCTCGTTGTGTTTGAAACATGAGCTATACAGTCTGTCTGTGTCGGACTCCGGCCTTCGGTATTCTTTTCGCAGCCTCGGGTTGTCATCAAGAACGTCGTTAATAACCTTTGCGATATTATGACCACGACGCTTATACTGAGCTTTGAGGGAAGACATTGCCGTCAACAAGCACTGAGGCGGCTGGTTTAACTGTCCAGTGACAGCAAAGCTCGCATCTTGCATAGTTTTCCCGTAATCATATTGAAAAACTCCACCATTCCCATAGCCAGGAGAACTAACAACGACGTCGCCCAGCCGAATGTCGTGCTTCGAACTTGGCGCACCACCACCGATTCCCACCATTAAGCCGATTCTTATATTGGGAAAAGTGCGTATCATGTCCCTGGCGACGTTGGCAGCACTGACAAGCCCATATTGCCAATGCGGCAGTGCAGCAATGGCGACATTGTGCTTTCCGACTCGGCCCAGAGTATATGTGTTGTTGTCGTGAACAGGCACATCTTCCAAATCGTTGTGTTCCTCGTCGAGTAAAGCCGTGGCGGCGATGAGTTCAGCTTCCACGGCACAGATCCATCCGATTATATATATCTTAGGGTCTGACATGATCGGGATGCAGGAGGTCTAGTTGAGTTTAGTCGGTTTGGGTCACGATCAGGAATCGGGGTTAGAGGTAATAGGCACCGCGGAGCGCTTAAACCGAGTCGCAGATGGGCAAAGACATGCTCTGAAGAGTCGTTGAAGTATCGAAAAGGTGGTTTCAGTTCTAGTTATCATCGGAATCAATTGGAACAGTGAAGGAGAGTGGCGACCTTGAAAAGAGCCAAACGGGTCAAAGCCTCGACATTGCTGTCAGCCTCGAACCTGCACCTGCAAGGTTGGGTGAACCACGATTTTGCCCATGCAGAAAGATGAATGGTCGGAAGCCGATTGAACCCCTCACTGCAATGTAAGGCGTACTCATCGGGGCGGGGATCATTGAGCATCGCAGGTTCGGTGCGCACTTGACGAAGACCTGCATATCTGCGATTGACGATGAAACCGTGATTTCGTTAGTTTACGGCCTCTGGCGAGAAGTCCTCTAATAAGAGCGGAAACCATCATTGTTCAAAAGGTGTTCGTAAATTCCTCTAAGTATATTAGGCGCATTCCGCATCTGACTACAGTAAAATAGTTGACTCCGACTGTGGAGCAGTTCCATCAATTTGGCAACCGATAACAATGATCTCACCTTAGACGGGTTCCACCGCTTTAAAACTACCCATTCATTCAACCTTCGCTTTCTCGAGGAAGAGATCGCTCAAATCGATCATGATATTTATCAAACAGGCCTCAGTCTGGGGTATAAGCCGTCTGTGCGCGAGTGACTAGACCTGATGGATCTCTAGATGGCTAATTGGCTCCGCCCATCGCTTTTCTCCTTGACCCAACACTACCAAGTCGAGTCGCACGCTGTATGGAACAAGCGGTTGACATCTCTACCCATAACTTTGTCCTCATACTTGACTTGAAGAAGTCGGTACGCACCAATGAGTCGAGAATTTAGCACCTTGAAAGAAATGAACTTAGACCTTCTAGTGGGATAACTAGCGCGTGTGAACCTAGCGGTCAACAGACTAACAATAGAGGCAACAATACATTGCGTCGCCGTTCTCAAAAACCTATAACCGCAATTGATTGGAGGAACTGTAATTTGTCGAAAGAAAAGCATTTGAAATTTCAGAGAGACCCTGATGACTGTACTGTAATGCGCGATTTATATGGTCGACGAGCAAGATCAATATCCATTTGCGAAGGCTGGAACAATCCAAATCAAGGAGTGGTACGTAATTCCGGGATGCCTACCCACCGAATTTGGAGTGACCTACGAAGCGACAAAAGGCAACTTTAGGCTTTCTGCCTTGTTATGCTCTTTCGGGAAACAGTCCACCCATTCGGATAGCCTCCTGTTTTAGGGCTTATACCATTGTAAAAAAAAAATTTACATGTCCAGATTCGGTGCACGAATGAGAGATCGCTTTTTGCTCTACTGTACCTGAGTGGGTGATGTACAGTATTGTACTGTACATAGAAATTTCCCACACTAAAGTCGTAGATGAACAACTCTGCACCCTCGAAATGGATCCAGCGGGACAAGAGCAAAAGTAGATTCGCGGTCCAGTTATGCTTCTCGTTGTAAGTTTCTTACTGCGCATCCTTCAAGCAGTGCAGTGGCGATTTTCGACGCTAATTGATTTCCATGTACGGACGCTGGGGTTCTGCTTTGGTAAGCCGGTGCGACAGGAAAAGACGACGCAGATCTACATTCTTTGTCTACACGCCAAAATTGGTCTAGTGTTCAGAGACCACATTGAGTTTTTGGCATGTTAATGCTCGTTGGGAAATAGCCACCAACGTCAAGAACCAAACACGTCCAATTTCGGCATGTCCCCACGTGTACGCAACCCAATTTAGCAGCAACGAAAAAGGGAGTCGCTTTCCGTCCGCTTTTTGAGATTCGATGCATCCTATATGGAGCATTTTTGCAATTTATGTGCTGGAGCTTCAAGTGAACGCACGATATTCTGTTGACTCTCAGAATGGATTTGGAGCGATTCGACCTCGGTTAGGGTATCCTCAAACCGCACCCTGGCAGAACGCTCTGTCATAAACGACTCTGTCCATCTGATCAGAAAGTGGGGCCAACCCTGCTCCCTCATCCGCACGACCAGTCGACCCACGAGCGCTGCATCGAAGGCACCTTTGACGTCCGCTGTCACCAACGTAGCAACTAAGCCTTGGTCAAGAGCTTGCTCAATGTCATGGACAAGTGCTGCTACCAGATCGGTCGCACGCTTCGGCAAGGCCCCGAAGTGTTGTGGTGCCAAGATGCCGCGTTCAATCACTGTCCATGCTAGCCTTTTGCCAACTAGTCTTTCAAGCCCTTTCCCAAGACATGATAGGAGCGAGATTGGCCGATAAGTCCTGGGGTCAGAGTAGTCCTTTTTCCCTGGCTTGGGGATCATGACCACCTCGGCTACCTTGAATGGCTTCGGGTGGTACGCGACCATCAGGCACCTTTGAAAGAGGTCCGTTACATGCTTCCCAATGATAGGCCAGCATGCCTTGAGTATCTTCACGGTAAGACCATCCACCCCAGGCGAGGTACTGCTAACCCCGACCGTGCACGCCTCGGCCTCCTCTAGCGATACGTGCTTTTCGAAGGGGGTAGGTGTCCGCTGTCGCACTGGAACTGACCAAGGATTGGGGGTGTCGTTTTCCCCGTTGTTTCGTTCCAGCGTGGCCCTTCGCAATGCGTTTGCCTTGTCCAACTGTGACTCGAAGATTCTATTGCCGGTTATGATTGGGGGTGAGCTCAGGCCTGCCGCCATCTTGTGCCAAGATATGATCTTGAACAGATCGTTCGGGCTTTTGGCTCCGTCAATTGCACCCCGCCAGTACTCCCTCTTAGCCTTCCTCACAACCCGGCGGAAATCTTTCCTTGCTGTGCTCTTGTCCTCTTGGCTCGTAGCATGTTTTGCTGCGCTCCTGTACTCTTCCACCGCTTTTCTGCATTCATCATTCCACCAGACCGTAGATCTGAATCGTGAAGTCCTCCGGCCGGCTATTTTGATGCAGCTGGAGATGATGTGACTCAGGGTCTGGGCATACCTATCTAGCTCCTCATCATTGTATCCTAGTGAAGGGAGCTCATGCAGTCTGCACTGGATCATTTCTACCAGCTCAGGTATGGTGTCATCTGGTACGGTCCATCTACACGGCCTTGTCATTCGTTCCAGATCCCTGGCAATTGGTACCACGATCCGGAGTGTTTCATGATCCGACGTTGAATGCAGTGCCTCGCTGACCGCCGCCTCTGCCATTGCCACGTCAGAGAACGCCAGATCCAGTACATGACCGTCGTCGTGTGTCGGCACATCTGGCTCGGAGATTAAGTCCAGGCCGTGCGCAGACATGATGTTGCCAAGCGTCTCTCCTCCATGATAGTTATGGTTGGCGGAGTCCCAAGAAGCGTCGCCAGCATTGAAATCACCCGCTATAACGCACCGCGACGGAGGAGTCCACTCTTCCAGGATCCTATCGACTTGCTGCGGCTCCGTACTTGGCCTGTATACGCTAACAAAAGTGATACCTCGCACCTTGACCCATGTCACATCCCTCGTCTTATATGGCCGGAGCTGCTGGGCATGAAGGTGCTTCCTCACGTAAACCAGCGACCTCGGCCTGGTTGTATCGCTGTCCCAGTTGTCTACCGGGGAAAAGACGTTGTAGTTGGGGTGAGCCTTGACCATCATCCTCCTGCCTGGTGGGACGCCGACCCACGGCTCCTGCATCAGGATAATGTCCGCCCTCTCTCCTTCGTAGTCGGCCAGGTGAAGAGCTAGTTCGGTCGGATCGATGCTCTTCTGCCCCCCTGCCACATTTACGCAGTGGACGAGAAGGTGTCCGCGTCGTGTCTGTGTCTGATTCCTAGTTGCATTTACGGGCATACGATAATCGTCTCCTGATTGTTGTCCTGCTGGCCCTCGTGAGCCGTGCATGTTTCATCTTCGACTTGCATCGCATCAGCGCTCTGCCCGTCATCCCTGGCATCGGTCCTGCCGCTTCCCGGAGCGACAGTACTCTCTTTTGCAGAGCTAAATGCCTGAGACCTCGCACGGTCGCCTGCCTGCCTTATCTCGCGTAATTGCTCCGCGCATGGTCTGCGAATAATTCCTTTTACCACTTTCGGCCGTGCCGGGCACTTCTCAAAAGTGGCAGCATGCGGGCCGTGACAGTTGACGCATTTGGGGATTGGCTTGCTACAGTTGCTTTCGTGCACTGGTTTGGCACAGGTTCCGCAAATTCTCTTTTCACAACGGTAATTTCTGCCATGAAAGGAGAAGCAATCTCCACACTGGGGAATTCGGGGTTCCCGGCGTAGACGGTACGACGTCATGGAGTGTGCAAAGAGCCTGAATGGCCGATTGATTTCCCCAGTAAAGGAGACGAGCCAGTCTGTCTCTGCGTCGCCATCAGATGTATACTTGGACAAGACACATTTCACAGGCCTCACGCCTGTCTGAAGTTCTGCCTCGTTGGCAACAGCCGTTTCGTCGATCTCAATGGTAAGCCCCTCTGCTGTCATGACTTTACGTGGACAGCCCCGCAGCTTGTAGTTGTGCCACACGACATGTTCTTCAATTTTCTGTGCTTTGAGAATGTCGATAATCTCGCTCTGGAGGGCCAGGAGTTTTGCCTGGGTTGGCTTGTCCCGTGGGTGCAGCGTAAACCCGGAAGCGCACCGGGTCACCTCGCGGAGTT